GAGGAATCTATGTGATTGCTTCAGATAGATAATAATTATTCACACTCAAAAACTCAATAATATCGAATTGTTACGGACTGAGTGGAACATCCGTAAAAGTCAAATTTGATGATAGAACCTAGTAGGTTCAGAAGAGCAGGTTACAAGATATAAAAATATCTGGTAATTATTCAAATGCTCTTGACTTCTTTAGCAATTTGAGCAACTTTCAGATCATAGAGGAGTTTCTGTTTATAAAGCGATTAGCAGCATTTGAGTAAGATAATGGTTAATTCGACCTTCAAAACCTGTATAGTGAGGGACTATATTTTTACGGTTTGATATCACTAGTCAATCCTAGTTTGGTAAGGATAAATACGATAGAATCATAACATGGCTTATTATCTTACAGGCCGTATATAGAAATCCTAGAGCCTTTGGTGAATCCTGTAGTCGTGGACTCGATTCAGTTTCGTAACATTTCATCAATGAATGTGAGTGTGAGTTGTAGCAATATCAAACTCACTAATGAGTAGAATGCCTATTGTAAGATTCTGCAATCGAGGGTTGACTTCCCAGAGTATGTGATTAATCCAGCGATGATGTTGATAGATCAGATCACGAAAAATACACCATTATTACTAAGGAATTTGTTCATAAATAGAGTTGAATGTAAAGAATGTTATGGAGGATTGATCTAGGTCATGAGAGTGTCGAATAGTGATCTTAGATCCTTAGTGCAAATGAGTATGTGTCGATGCTCAAAGTCCTCGGCTGGATACTATGGATGTTATATGGCATCATCAGCTCAATATTAGACGATCTTAACTACTGAAGACAATAGAATAAATATCAATTTTACATCAGCACTTACGTTGAATAATATTCTAAAGCAGACTGGATTGAAAAGTAGAAGGAGAAGAAGAATGCTATCGGAAGAGATCTTGCCTTCAGATTTCAATTACGCAATTCCATCTCCAACTTATCTGGCTCATGTGGTGGTGGATTCGATGAATATCCAAGATGTTTAGGCAGTCCACGGTGGTGGTCTCTCAATTTATGGATTGACAGCCAATGTCACCAATACTTATTGCACACAGGCCATCGTAAGTGGACAGGGAGGGTGCATATATTATGAGGCTTAGCCCAAAAAGGACGGAGTTGTCTATCAAAGGTTGAATCTGGCTAAGAGTGTGTTCTTCAAGAATAATGCAAGCATCGGTGGAGCTATTCGAGTGAAAGAGAGTGGCATCAATTTGTGGAACAAGACTGGAAATACTATGTTGTAGAATTATGCATCCTTGTATGGAAATGATGTGGCTGGATATCCTACTCATTTAGGAATACTGATCAATGGAGAATTGCAACACTCGAGCAATCTCAATAAAAACACTGGATGGTTGCATTATCCACTTGTCATCAAGAGTGGCTAATTGATGTAAGACTTTGAAAACCAGACTGTGTTATTGGTATTTATGAATTAGAATGAAGAAATCATGAAGTATTAATTTGATGCCCAAGCAATTATGCAGTCCAATATCACTAACTCCATTTAAGGAGAGTCTCTGAGAATCTTCAATTTGGATCAACAAGGATTCGTGTACTCCAACCTCCAAATTTTATTCGACCCTTATCAAAATGTCACATTGGATATCATTTTGAACAGCTCCTTAGTCAACATCCCAAGGTATTATACGGAGTACCCATATCAATTGATGGGATTCGACACTGGATACACGCTGCTAGCCAGAGTGAGATCTGTCGAATGTGATCGTGGGGAAGCTTACAATCCTCAACAGGGTTCATGCAATCCTTGTCCTATTGGTTAATATGTGTTGGTGTACAAGGGGATTTGCAAATAAATAGATGAGGGATCCATGAATTACACAGTCAGAAATAAGATTAGTTTAAAATATCATTATTGGAGACCTGATCATCTGAATGATCAAGCTGAGAATTGCAAAAACAAAGTAATCAATTGCATTGGAGGATTCAACGTTGGAAATGATGTGTGCGTTGAAGGAACCATAGGAGCCTTATGTGAGGAATGCGATATTCATGGAACATTTTGGGGTTCCAAATACAGTAACTCTGCCAAATACGAATGTGGTACTTGCCAAGACAACACCCGAAACATCATTATGATTTTGTTCTTATCAATCTTCACCTTATATTCTACAGTTACTACAGTGGATGCAAACAAGGAGAAAATGCGAAGCATCATTCTTTACGAAATTTTCACTAAGTTAGGATGGGCCTCATCTCAAAATGCAGGAGCCAATGCCGCTGTCCTCTTGAAGATCTTCAATAATCATACTTAAATCTTGTCCATTCTAAGTGGGTTCCAGATTGAGATACCAACCGGAGCAGTGGATTCAGTCAATACCGTCAGTATGCCAGCAAAGACTGTAGGAAATGCCTTAGATTGCTTCTTAGCCGATGACACGTGGGGTATTGACTTAATCTACTTTCGCATCATTTGGTCATTCATAATGTAGGGATTCTACATAGTAGCCATGCTGATTATTATGTTTATAAGGTACGGGGTGGACTTCAAGATTCAATAGGTATAAACTATGATCATTTACTTGTTCCTACTCTTGCAACCCAATTATGTCATGGAATTTATGACTCTGATTTCCAGTCGTGTGATATCTGGGAACATGTATATCATGGCAAATGTTTCGTATCGATATGACACTTTCAAACATGATCAATGGATTGCAGCCTTTGGTGTTCCTGGGTTAATGTTATGGTTGATCGTCTTACCAGTGATCTTCTGGTACATCTGCTTTTAAGGCGCACAACAGATGAAACTGAATTCCATTATCTTCCGCCAATCCTGGGGCTTCTTTTATTACGAATACAGCAGAAAACGATACTATTGGGAGTTCTTGAAGATATTCTACCGCTCTCTTATTAGTGTCTTGATTTGCTATTTCCAAGAGGAAATCATTGTTAAAGTACTTGTTATTATATATCTTCTTTTAGGGAATACTCTCCTTCATCGTAATCTATGGCTATTATGGGTTGACAATTCATTTCAACCCTTACGACCTAAGGAAACTAAACTACTTGGATCAACTCTCTACAGTAGTCTTGTCTCTCTCCCTAGTTGTAGGCGTCTTCCTTTATAGGACCATACAAATCAATTTCTTTGGCTTAACCTATGCTGGATATGTAGTAATTGCCATATTGAATGCAATCTTCTTATTGCTACTCTTTTACAATCTTTTTGAGGAGAAGTTCTAAGAATTTGCGCAATCTTTAGATTAAGTTAGAGATAAAATCAAGGAGAAGTATCCTCATCTCCAATAAAATCCCCATATTGGACCTCTTCTTTAAAACCGTACCAAACTCAATCAAAAGGCTAGAATAATGTGGTAATAGGTGAGCAAAATTGTGAACCGAAGCATTGCCAATTGGAGGTAGGATAAATCAAAGCCTCTAGTTTTCGCTTTATAGTAATCCTTTCCATCTATTTTTTAGTGAAGACGAACCTGCGAGTGAATACAACAATAAAATTAATCAAATCCATCAAGAATTTGATTCCTAATACGAAGGACATGAATTATTTCAATCCAAAGGGGTCGCTTAACCCTCTTAAGATAAATCAAAGGATGAGGCCAAGAGTGGAAATTAGCTAATATGATATGAGCTCTAACTTTTTATAAAGTTTGTTAAGTTTTTATATTAATCTAAAAGTTATTCGAAGTGCTTTCCATTTCTCTATTATCCCCTAAAAGAAGGATAAATTAATTTGAATTTTTCTATAAGGATAATTATTCAACAAAAATCAGCAATTTTAATTCTAAGAATATTATAATATATATTATAATCATAACGCTTCAAATAATTCAGGCAAGAATATACCATTAGAATTCACAATTAAATTCACATCATCTACAATATTGGATAATTTCCCTTGATCTATAAAATCAGCAACCAAAAAATTTGGCATTTTTATGCAATTAAAAAAATATTACAAGAATCTCTATCTCACATGATTATACGAGTTGTACTTATCTCTATATGAAGAATCGAGTCTGTTCTATTTAGGTATTACTATACTTTAATGAATTTTATGGACAAAAATGAATTTCTAGAAAAGGAGACAATATCTCACCAGTTTATTTATTGACTTTCCCCCTTGCCACATCTCCGCTTTACACATCCTTCAAAGGATCTGCTTCCCAATCCACCTATGCACTTATGGAATATGAATAATATGTGTATTTGGAGAGTTCTCCTATTATTTACTCTTTTGGTTCTATCGTAATTAATAAGGTCTGTCTATTTTTTCGACACCAACCTAAAGTTGGAATCTCAGTGTCCTTTTGCAGTATGATAGCCCTTTGATCTGCCTTGAGATCAACCAGTAAACTGTGCAAGATAATGCTAGCTAGCGAAGCATCAAAATGCTCGGTTCCATTTTTTTGACTATTACACAATAGTTTGCTTTCGATCTTTAAAATGATAATTTCCTCAGGGTATTGAAAGGAGAGATCCACAATTTCTTTTAATCGCAAATGAGCTGACTCTGGTTTTTTTAAGGCTCTCTGCACCAGAGTCAATTGGCAATTGGATTTCCCATCTGATTCATGAGCAACTACTATCTCGCAAATATGAATTGATGTACTTCTGGATCATTATTGTTTGAGTACCAATGGAGAGGTACCTTGAAGTGTCGAGCCCCGTATTTCTCAAATTGCTCGGTGATTGTGACATTTTATTACGCATAAATCCAGCCATAACTTTTGGACATGGCACAATTATGAGCACCCAAGTAAACAATTTCGTTTAATTTAAGATCGTCATTCAGATGTCCATTACCCCCAGGCATTTACTTTTACATTTTATTATATTTATTACAATAACTCAGAATTACCTATACAAAATATGGAGTATAACTAGTTTTAGACTAGGTGTCCTCTTCCAATGATCTGATGAGTTGCTTGCATGAATTTCTGCAATTTATGCACTACTTAGGGATATTGTTGCGTATTAATTATTTTATTTAAATGCCAAAAGAAACGAAAGGGTAACAAAAAGGGGGAAGATCCAAATATGAAACAACAGAACAAACTGAGACATACAGACAATAGGATGCTGTATATATTGATGTTTATGCAATAGAAAGAAAAGAAAATTCTGGGACCGAAAACCAAATTAGATTTAGAAAAATTAGAACCATACTTCACTCAAAATAATAACTATGTTGGAATGTTCAAGAAGGACGCAGGAAAGACAGACAATAGTTCGGCTGTGGCATATTCTGTAACAATTAATCGTAACTGTTAGCATCCATTGGATAGATTGGGCATCGTGGAGAATGAGTACTGTTAAAAATGCAAGAAGGACAAGGGATTCTGTCCACACAAGAAGGACACTCACAACACCGTCAAGGATCAATTCCAATTTCCAATAGTCAGGTGAGAGCACTTTATAATTTGCTAGCTCTGCTGAAATCGGATGGAGAGAACCCATCGACAATGTGAATTGGGGATACGGAGTCAAGCAATCCTTCCCAATTTTCAATGCAGACTTCAGAAACACGACTAAAAAGGAGGAGAAGGAAAAGAAATGATTTGTTAGGTCTAACCCCTTAAATATAGATAATTATATTGGATACTTCATTTATTGTCTCTCTCTGAAAGCACACTTACACACACACTTCTGTCTTCATCGATATAAATTTATTTATCATTTTATGCAAGAAATTGAAGCCAAAAACCAATTGAAAGCAAGTGAAGGAGCCCACTTCTTTTACACTCTCATCTTCCTGAGCGCTTCAGGCATTATCGAGACACAGTTTATTGATCAGAAATGCAATTAGAATCTCGCCTTGTTTATACATTTGGTTTTCTATGGATTGATTATTTGGGGAACCTATATTCTGATCACCTTAATACCAAGGTTCATTAATCTACTTAAATAGGTACAAAAATCCTGCGATCAACTTGTTCTTTAATTTCTTGGATATCTGCTTTGCAATTTACATATCCTTTTTGCTAATCTATGGATATAAACTATATTCGACTTAAAATGATTGTGCAGTTGAGGCTCCTGCACTCTACTTCTTTTTGGAGGTGTTTATGCTGGTATGAAATCATTATGAATCAGGTTAATGGGATCATTTTCATCATTTTGGGTCTTGCCTTTATCTCATACATTTTGAAGAGATTCTCAAAACATCAATAGTCACAAGCTCAAGGGGATGAGGAATACTTGGAAGCATGATATAATTGCATAATCAAAATATCATAACCATTTTATGAAATAAATCTATTATTTTAATATTAAATCTCATATTTTTGGCATAGGTTCTGCAGCATTGATTTCCTCTTAAAATTCTATTTTGTATTTTGTATAATCAAATTATCTTCAATTATAAATTAAATTGTTACTTGTGAATTATTTAATTATCGTTAAATATTTATGTATTTGAAGATTTACACATGAAAAAATTTATTATAATTTTATATATCAAATTGGTTTAAGATTAAAAATTAAAAAAAAGGATATAAGACTAATTCCTCCTTGTAGATAGATCGTACCAAATTTAATTAGATGACTGTCTTTATCTGTTGATATATTGTGTACTTCTTAATACGATTAGTTTGAGAGTGCTAACAGTATTTATAATTTAATAAAATTATTTTTGAGAAATGAATGTTCCAATTGAGTATTCTGAATAAAGGGCTAAAACAGAAGCCAATTCTTAAGCTTTCTCCTAATCACTTGAAAATTTAGATACAAATAGTTTGAAAGAGGATCTTAACAAAAGCATTGAATTGGGACGAAAGAAGAGAAAACAGTTGACTTTAGAAAATCCTGAATTTCAGATAAAGCAAGAGATTGAGGACGAAAAGTAGAACATCAAGGTACAAACCCTCATCAGGAGGGGAGTAGCCGATTCTCTGAAGATAACAGACTTATGTACGATAATACTATTCATAAATTAGTAAAGTTGAAAATCTCAGCTAAGGACAACAATAATCCTGTACACAGTCTCTTCAGATGGTGCATGCTCATCCTTTACAAAGAGAATCCCGAGATGTATAATTGGTCAGAGTTTAAAGTAAGTAACCCATATGAATGTAGAAATAAGTCCTTGAGAAGAACAGTGGCTCAGACTTTCGTAATCGCTTGGGGTATCAAAGCGTTATCAATATCACCTCACTTGAAGGGGAGAAAACCAAATACTTGCTGACTTTGAAAAAGGCAATCGTCGAACAAAATAGTAGGCCTGAAGAGCTTAAGCATGTACTAGTGAAAATATTTGACATAATCGAAATAGTGTATAAAACTCATGAGCATGCAAAAAGAATTAACCATCTTGTTGATGATTTGTTAATGGTAATACAAATAGCTGATGATATTATTAGCAAGAGTAGAAGATAAAGCAATATAGAGATGAGATCGAGAAGGTGAATTAAGAAATTCAGTTAGCCAAGTCTAACTTGAAAAATTTGGAAAGCAAGTCTTTGAATGAGGAGATCATTCAAGAATGATATTATAATTAAAATTATGATGGTTCTTTAAAAGGAAGTTAAAATCAAGCATATTGATTGTTCCTTTATTAGAATAAATCAAGAACCATTTTATTCGTTTAATATTTATTTTATTATGATGTAAATCAAATTAACAGATATTATTTATGAATGGGGAGGACAATTATTGATTATTAGATTACAATATTGATTATATAGATAGTAGAGATCTAGTATATATTATTAAGGAGCGAAGTTGTATTTGTAGTTAGTTTGTAAATGTATTTATATGATGAATAATATATTATAATATTGCATGGCTTAAAACGGATACTCATTAATTAATTTTTAGATGAAATAGCTAGTCGTATTAGCATTAATGCTAAGCTTGGCTTTGAGTACAAGCATAACATCGCCTTAACTATTGGTGGAATTGTAGGCGAGAACAGAAAATGTGATAGACGATGGCGTTGATCTATTGGAGCAACTTCTTGCTACAACAGAATAGTAATATGAGCAAGTCATCCAAGAGAATGAGGCTGAGTAGCAACAATTAAAAGATTAAGTGGCTTCAAAGGAGTAATAACTTTACGATCTTTAAAACACTTGTATGGTGATGTCTGACGACTTGGCCTTGCTCAAATAGTAAATTGAATTACATGGAGATGACACAGCATACTTCAGAAATGAAATCGTAAAGGACAATCGTAGAATCCAAGTGCTTGAAGAGCTTCGTTGCTAATAAAGCAAGAATTGGTTGAATTTCATCAAATCAAGCAAATACATTCTTAATTTGATTGAGTTCTTAAGAAGAGCCATTTAAAATTATGGATCATTCGCTGAGATTTAGAACTTCTCAGTGATGTTGGAGACACTGAGCAGAGAAGTAGATGACAATGAACTATTGAACTCTCTTTAAGCAGTTAGTAAATCAAGAGCAATCACTCCAGTTAGATAGGAATTATTATAATTGCTTGATTAGATTGAGGAATCCATCAAAGCCAAGATCAATACAAGTTAGACTGACGAAGTAATTCAATCAATCTTATGTAGATTCTGTCAACATCAAGAATTGCTGATTATTTACATTAGCTCAAATAAGAAATCGCATGGTATGAGAATGAAGTTGCCAAACTCAATGAAGCTTGGGGAGATTCACCAGAAGAAACAGTAAAATAAAGATAAAAGGAATTGGACACATGCGAAAGTGGAATCAATGCCAAAATTGAAGAAACCAAAGAATTCAGAAATCACGTGAGTGAACAAATCATTCACAATGAATCCAGATAAGCTCGTTTCTTAGAGTAAAAGGACTTGGTTGCTTAATTGATTGTTGAATATTAAAATGCCTTCAATAAAATTGGAGAGACCTACAAAATTAGAATCGATGATTATGTTGAGGATGGAGTGTTTGACAAGACTGTTGATTTTGATAAGAGGTATTAAGTGGATATACTTATCATAGATCCTTAACTGACCTCTATGGTGACAAGGAGAACAATTTCGAATAATACGTAGATGATCTAGTGAGCGGTGTGGCTACTCCAGTTGAAGTCCCAGTAGTTGAAGAGGAACCAGAGTCAGGCGATTTTGAAGGTGGAAGCGAGTCAGAAAGCGAAGAGGCTGAATCTACTGAAGATGTGGAGGAGACTGTTACTTAAGGAACTGAGGAGAGTGCTACTGAAGAGGTAGTCGACACTGCAACTCAAGAGGCAGTCGAGACTACAACTCAACCAGAGGTGGAAACTAAGAGTGAGGAAACCAATTATTTTGAATAAGGCGAAGTCCAACAATCTGTTTGATTCTATTAAAATAAATAAATATTTATGTCAAGACATTAAGGAGTGTACAATATGCTTAGGCATGGGGATTACAATGATGACGATTATGAGGATGCGGATGACTATAACTAATAGGATGATGACGATTAATACGGGGATCACAATTTTACCATAAGTAATCATACATTTAAATATTTTAAAGGTGAATTGGAAGTCATCAATAATTTGTGTGAGATATTCCAACTTGATTTTACTCGGAAGCAGATTATTGATGCATTATATGAGACAGATGGAGATCATGATGCTGCATTCGAATACTTGAGTAATAAGATAAAAAAGTCACAAAAATAATAATAGCCTCAGAAATCATAACCAGCAAAGAAATAACAACAGCTGATTTAAGCAGTTAAGGTGGAGGAGTTACCTTAATAACTACCCTAATTAGTAAAGTAACAAAATAGTACTGACAAATCGAAGAACCAATTTCACATTGAATACAATGTTGATGAATTTAATTCCCCTTATCCCAGCATCAAATATAAGAATGTTGTCCAAAGCAATCCTTCAACCAGCATCGTTATTTTAGGCCACGTTGACACAGGCAAAAGCACGTTGACAGGAAGGCTGCTCCAAGTGTTTAAAGCTTTGGATGATAAAGAATTAAGAAAAAACCAAAAGGATGCTAAGAATTTGGGAAAAGAGTCATCTGCTCTTGCCTACGCCACTGATATGACCAAAGAGGAGAAGGAAAAAGGAGTTACTATGGATATGGCTTATAAAACTGTAGTGATTGGAGGAAGACAGTACAATCTGTTAGACTCTCCTGGACATCAAGACTTTGCACCATATTTAATAGCAGGAGCAGCTTAGGCCGATTATGCTATATTGGTGGTTGATACTACAAAAAATGCCTTTGAGAATAGTATCAAGAGTGGTATGTTAAGAGAAAAGTTGTAATTGATAAGTGCTATGCTTATTAAAGAAATAGTAGTGGCTATGAACAAAATGGATCAGATTGATTGGGATTAAAAGCAGTTTGATGTTGCCAAAGATTACATTAAGGTTTCAGCAGCCAAACTAGGGTATAATCAAAAGCAAATTAAATTCATACCAATCTCTGCTTTCCAAGGTATAAATATACAAAATAAACACAACATCCAATGGTATTAAGGAGAGACTTTGGTTTAAGAAATCCTGAATTTGCCTCCTCTCAAAAGAGCAAATGATAAGGTATGTTTTTATGTAGATATTGTGTTAGCCACTCAGATTCACCATTTTGAATAGATTCCATTAAAATGAAGGGAAGTTAAGAGGAACATGTTTATTAGGAAAGTTGCATTCTGGGTAATTGGAGAAGAATATAAACTATGTTATTCTACCATAAGGGATCTTCTGTGAAGTGAAGGAAGTCGAAAGACAGAGTGTGGAAGGGGACATTGTGGAAATTAAGATTAAAACACTCGTTGATTCGGAATTCTAAAATATACATATCGGATCAGTGTTGAGTTAGATTGAACATCATGTGCCAGTGGCGAATAGATTGGTGTGTTAGTTAAGTACTTTGGAACTTCAAACTCCCATCATAAAGGGATCTCAGTATTTGATGCATTTGGGTGCTTAAAAGGTACTAAGATATATCTATTTAGATCGGTGTTGTAGTAAAGAAACTAAATCATACTTATAATGAGGATGCTCAAACAATCAAAAAGAAATTTCCAAGAGCTATAGTTTCTAATGAATATGCTGAGGTTGAGCTTGAGTGCGATGATTAAATCTGTGTGGAAACACATTCTAATTTAGAATAATTAAGTCGAATAATACTGCGGGAGAAGTTTAACATAGTTGCTATTGGTAAGGTAATTATTATTAACGTAAATTTAAACAAATTAAAACAAGGAAAGATTATTCATGAATAGTAAATTTGATGTATATTAATATAAATAATAGTTATTTTTACAATTTAAATATAAAGTAGTATATTAACATTAATTTGTAAAATTTTATGGATGATCTTTATAAAAATTATATTTTAATAACTATTAATAGACAAGAAAGCAAGATGTGGAATACTCCACTTGTCTTGATGTATTGAAGTCGAATTATGATGCTTGTTGCCATATATAGGACTGTTTTTGGAAAAGGATATATATCCGTAGATTAGGAATTATTATGGATTTAAATTACTAATTATAAGTAAGGTTTCAGCCTCAATCATGAGATGAGATTAAATTACTTTAATATAGATAAGAAACTATTAGAGAAGGATAAAAAGAGGATTAGAAAATTGGAGAAAAGCAATTTGATAGTAATGTTGATTAGATTAAAACTAAATTTGATCTATTTGGATTAGATTATGGGAATAATTGAAAAAACAAGTAGAATTCACTTTTCGTTCCTAAAGAGTTGAATAGGTAAAGTGAAAGATTAAAATCGAAATCTAATGAGTAATTTCAGAGAGTGAAGTGTTTATGAGTTGTAGGGGAGTGCTAAAATGCACTATAAATACACAAAGAAATTTGGCGAGATCAAGATCTCAATTTCTGTTATAATTTAATAAATAAAGTTTAGTCAAAATATATAATGTTAGTTAAGCCTAAAAGTCATCAACATCTATTTGTTTATAAAAGGGCAATTCATACAATTGAAGAGAATGAGAAGGAGGTAATTAGATAATGAGAGCATTATAAGTTTAAAATTCAGGTTCTTTGTTAAAGTTTAATTCATAAACTAGAAAAATTGATTACATATTTCATTAATTTTAAATCATGATTTTTGGATTCTTCGCTTTGATACCGACTTTGATTACAGCAGAAACAACGACGAATGAAGTAATCAGAGATTATTGTTCTCTTCCTGATGCAGTCTATGCAGACGGAGTCTCTGCTGCTGATTTTGGAGCTACTGGATGGAATTATGCTAACGCTGCTAACTGGGCAGGTATATGGCTATTAATAATATTAGATTTGGTTGTAACATGTGGTGGCAGTTTCTAATCACCGATCGACATAGTAACAACTGGAAGTACCTAGGAACCTGTCTAACCTCAAATTCACTATAGAAGTAAGGATGCTAGTGTAGGATATGAAGAAGCAAACAGTAAAATATTTTAGTATCCATTTTTTAGAGCCATACACCAAAGAATATGAAGGTGAGTATTCAGAAATCGAAGTTACAGATGCCTCTGGATCAGTTATCCGCTATTATGCCAAACAATTCCACATCCATACTCCATCTGAACATACAATCGATGGAAAGTATTATGATCTGGAAATCCATTTTGTCCATCAAGTAACTTTATGATCATTCTAGGCCATCTAAGATGATGAACAAGACTGCAACACGGTGAAAAACAAACTTACCGTTTTTGGATTAATGTTCTAAGAATCTTCAAGTGCCACCGACTATGAAGCTTTTAAGCCATGGTTTGATTCCAATGCTACCGGAGAAGTAGACTCCTTCGATTTGAAGTACTCATTTTCAACTATTCCTAGTGATTTCTTCTCCAAAATGTCAGATGCAACATATTATCATTATAATGGAAGTTTAACCACTCTTCCATGTTCACAAACTGTAAATTGGGTCGTCTTCCAACAACCATTGCCAATTAGCACAGCCTAGCTTAAGCAATTTTAGGATTTTCTCTCTGACTCCACCCTCTTCCCGATCAAACACAACAATAGACCTATCCAACACTTAAATGGTAGAAAGATATTGAAAGGAGTAATTTATATTTCATAATTATCATTAGACTGCAATCACCGCAGGCGTAACTGAGATACCAAATCTAGAAGCATCATTTGCTCAGACAGTTGCTATGGCAATTCTTCTAGTTATTTTGATTTAATGAGACAAAATATATATATTTTTAATCAATATAAATATTTAAAATAAATAACCCATTTCTAACACATGAGAAAATATGTATTTTAATAAATGATGAAATAATCTCACATCCCTTTCTCTACATTTGCACTACTTGATTTTTGAATTAGACACACTACAGAAGTCATTGCTACTCCAATAAAGAATCCAATAATTGCAAACACCAAAGCATGATTTACATTCACTTTTGGCATCTTCTTAATTTAACTCATTTTGCTGTTTAGTTCTGCTATTTGTTACTGTAAAGTGTACACCTCCTTCTCCATCCCTTTGATTGTATCAATGAATGTATTCGCCTCTGTAATCTATTATTAAATTGATTAGGAAATTCTCAGCTCCTCTTCCTTCTGCTTTTCCTGCTCTTCCAATTCGATTTGTCTCTGCTTCTCCAATTCCATCATCTCCCTCAATCGCTACTCCTACTCTTCCTATTCCTTCAGAATCTTCTCCATCTTCTATTATTGCATCTCCTACTTAGCCTATTCAGATATCTATGCCAAAGAATCAATCCATTAAACAAAGAAATCGAACCTCCTGTGATTCTGAAACTATGAAGTCGGTCTATCCTATCCAGGAGGAAAGTATAAAATAGTTGGAAATGAATGCACTCCGAAATGGTGACAAATATGTTGGTTTTGTTACTCGTCACAATTCATCTTAGCAATCAAGATATCTGGCCTGGTTTCCTAGTAGTGTTCAAACACCTGATTAAACTCTCCTGCCATGTGTTGACAATATATACACCACGGGGTGAAGAAATCTAAAACAACCTGTCTCGTTTAATACTTACATGCTTGTCCTGTCCCAAATGCTATTGATAATTGTTTGCCGCCAATGTAAATGCCAATGTGCTATGGTACCAATCCGCATTAACATCAAAAAGTAATAATAGCAATACAATAATCATAATAATTATTTTATCAACTCATCATAAAAATTCTGCTTGAAATGTCAGTAACTATCCAATCTATGCCTTCCAACAACCCATCTCCAGTCACTGCTGAGCAGGCTATGATGCCCCAATGTCTCGTCTGTATTAAATCCAGTTCCAAATACTCTCTAATTTATTGTAAACTCAATGATTTTGGAACATCTTGCTTATTACAGAAAATCAATAAAGTAGCCCCAATCAACTTCTCCTGCTTCAACAAATTCTATAATTCCTTTTTGCAATCATCCAAACGAGCCTTATCAGTCGAATCTACCACCCAAATTAGTCCATCCGTCTATTCAAAATAATTCTTCCAATATGATCTTATCGTCTGTTAACCACCAACATCTATCGTTATTTTAACCATGTTACCCCAACAATTCAATTTATATCCATTATAACTAAGAGTTTTGATATTGAAACCCAAAGTAGGAGATATTTAAGAAATGTCCTCCCCATTGAATTTTTTTAGTATCGTAGTCTTTCCTGCATTATCTAATCCCAAAATCAAGAGTCTCATCTCCTTTTCTCTCTCCTTTGTTTTTTTGATAATTTTCAAAAGTCCCATTATAAAAGAAATTTATTTTAAATATATATATATAAGTTTTATTTTATATATAAATTCTAGTATCACTATTTTTAAAGGAGATTTATATTCTAAACACTCTCTATCTTACTACTTATCTGAAAATTAATTGTTATACTTTGCTCGTAAAAGTGGGATCACTACTTTGATCTATAATTATCCAATATAACCAATATACAAGGTGCTATAAATATCTCATTTAATCAAATATATATATTCGACATTGTGATAACTTAAAAATAATCATCTCGAATAGGAATTCATTTAAACCAAGTAATTGATCTCCCCCTGAACTATGGATTTTTATTATTTTTAATTCTTTAAAATTAGAAAAACTTATCATTGTTATAAATTAATACTATATTTCATTTATCAAAAGGTAGATGTTTATCTTGAATAGATTGGCGCTTTAATGTAAAAAGTAATAGCTATAAATTAGATATATCGTTTAAATTTCTTAATTTGTATATATCATTTGAGATTTTCAATAAATGATTTTAATGCATTTAAGCTATTAATTCTTTTATTATTCTATAAATTTTATCAGAAATAGGTCGTAGTAAAAATTACATTATCGATTATCAATAATATTAAAGAATTATTATATTTGGATATAGATGAATAAAGAAGAAATTTTCCAAAAAGGAAAGGAAGAACAAAGGCTTTAAAATTTGGGGGAATAATTTTGCCCTTTATATGATTTGAAACCACAAGACTTTCTCTACGAGTTTATCCCAAGATATTTAGAATATTATGTTAAATCTGAAAAGAGAGATAAGTATGCACAACCATTGCCTTTAAATGCTATAACAAATAGCCCATTGAGAAATGTGTTTAATAAGTTCGATATAAATCTCTTATTTCCAAATAGAAAATGGGAATTTTCAATGACAGGTATTTATCAATATTTACCCATAAGAAACCTTTTTAAGGCAAATTAAGTAAGAAACAAATGTGTTGCTTGCAATCAACTCGATTTTAGAAGGAAAAATGACAACTTAACCAAAGGAAATCAAATAATCTAAGAAATATTTACAGAATGCAAAATTTTATGAATTACTTAATTGCAAAAATAATCGAAGGGATGCAGTAATTGTGTAAATACTTCCAAAATAAAAATTTACTTTAAATTCATAAAATCAACTTCAAACCCTGGAGTATGTTCAGTCTATGGTGTTTATCTGTATAGCATCATATGGATATGATGAGATCCTTAGGAAATATCAAACTCATTAAGAAGAAGATCCATATCTGTTGGAAGAACTTGGCTTAATATAAGATATCAGAAAGCAATAAAAATATGGTCAGACTAAGGAACAAGATTCTTTCACTTACCAATTATTCGATAAACCCAAAAGCTACAGGATTCCTAATTTTTAGGCAGATTAATATGTATTCGACCTAAAATATCAAAGATGGGTAAAAAAATAAAATCACAATAATTATCAATAAAGAGTATAAATGTAAAATGAATTAAAAGGATCTTACTTTTTACTGAAAAAATACCTTTTTACTCCAAATTTTTAATAATATAGAAATTTATTAAAGAATATTAAGAGTGAAAAGTTCACAGCTACTATGGAATAATTTGAAGCAATAGCCAAATAAGGTGATACAATTTTGATTGGTAGAAGTGGAACCGGGAAAACTACTATCTCATTATTGAAATTATTTATTACTGATGCAATTTTCATGTTGAGATAGAATCTTGATCTTGTTGAAGAATCTAATTCTAAAATTAATTTGCAATACACTCAATAATTGTCTACTGGAATTAAATTGAAAACTTTATTTTTAACATCCAGTCCATTGTTAGCCTAATAAATAAAATAAAAGTATGATAATCTAGTAAAAAATGTTCAATAGACTTTAAGAGAAAAGAATAAAGGATAAAAGTTTTCAGAATAGCTAAAAGAAAACCTAGATGAAAGTACTGTTCAGATTCTAGATATATTAGAAGAGGAAGAAGAGAGTGCAAGTTAATTTCAAATTGAAGATGAAGAGGAAAATGAAGAAGACATTGATTAATATGAAAAAGAGATGGGTCAGTTTTCAACGATGTCAGATATCAAATAATTTCCAGCATTCCTCACAATTAGAAAATTATTATTTCTAATTGATTCATAATTAAGCAATCCTTTCTTTAAAAATAAAGAGCAGATTCATAGATCAGCTTAATGGCATAATGAGTATTTCGGAGTACTTTCTTTGAATTAAAGTGTTACTAACAATAATTTCTAAGAGTAATTAAATTCTGAGGTCGATGATCTAGACTCTAAGGAAGTCATTTATCATAATAACAATTTAAAAGAAGTTACTTTGGAATGCTTTAAAGACTTTTTTTGGCCTAAAATCATGCAATAAATTGCGACTGCTGATAAATAATACTTTAATTCATTAGATCCAATGCTAATTTGGTCAGATATCATTAATATCATCAAAGGACATGAAAATTCATTTAAGAATCCAAACTTTCATCTTAATAAGGAAGATTATTAGGATTATTATATTAGTCAAAGATATGATCACAATAACAAGCGTTACTATGTATTTAAAGTATTTTTGATATATGAAAAATTAAAATCTAAATATGGGTATTATGATATACTCGATCTGATCAACCATATTAATTTCTAATAAGTGTATTGCCATGATAAAATTGAGTATATGCATTATATTATACTTGATGAACTTTAAGATGTCCCCAAAGCCTTATTAATATTACTTAATAGAATGACTTAAGTTTAATTGTTTTTGGCTGGTGACAATGCTTAAAATATTGTTAAAGGATCTGGAATTAAATTCTAAGACATTGTTAATTGTCTAGAAAAGGAGAAGTCATTAAAATCATCTATTAATTTACCACAAGCCTCGCTAATATAATTATCATATAATTTCAGATCTACCAATCAAATATTGTAATTGGGTAATACTCTTGTAACTGCACTTGAATTGTTCTTCCCAAATTACCTTGACTTCTTGTAAAAAGAAAAATCAAATTAATAAGGGCCAAAGCCCATAGTAATTTAAAGTATCTATACTCAAGATCTGTTGAATTATCTATTCAAAGAATATTAAAATAAATAAAGAAATATAGAATTTGGTTCTAATTCAGTGATAATTGTTAAAGATCAAGAGTCTAAATTAAAAATTCCGATCGAACTACAAAATGCAATAATTTTGACAATTTATGAAGCAAAAGGCTTAGAATTTGATGATGTTATTCTATTTAACTTTTTTGCTGATGCCTGTGTTGATGAAAATGCATGGAGTTTGTTTCAAACATTAGAAATCGTCAAAATCAAAAAGGACAAGCAGGAGTGGAATTCTAGCAGTATATTTATATTTATATATTTTTTTAGAAAAATTGTAGTAAGTATTAATGCAAAAAAATATTAGCAAACATGAAGTGGAATTGACAAAGCTAGAACTGAGAAAATATAATCCTAATACTAACAAGTAAAATAAAAATATTTTCAATCCAAAAAACGTTAATCTAACACTTTAACATGAATTAAAATAACTATATGTCGCTGTAACACGACCAAAATAAAGATTAATTATTTTTGATTAATCTTTATAAAATAGACATTATATTTAATAGATTTGGGAAGAGTTAGAACTTGTGGAAATAGTTCGTGTATAATAAATCTAAGAGTTCAAATTTGTGTTATCCTTTTAAATTGATAATAAGGCTAATTGGAAAAAGTAAGGGTATAGGATGTTAAGATAGAATAATTATGAATAGGCTTAAAAGTGTTTTATGTTTGCTAATGAAATTGAATTAGCGAAGAAATCTATGGCTTATAATTTAGCGACTTAAGCTACTCTTACTTCAAATAATTTTGGGTTATTCATTTAAGCAGCTTAGATCTTCGAAGAAATCAACCTACCAAAAAGAGCAGCATCTTGTTACTTTTCAGGGAAAAATTATGAGAAAGCCTTCAAATTATATTAATAATTAGGTTGCAAAGATGAAATGGCTGAATCGGCATATTTTTCTGGGCAATATTAAATTGCAGGTTAAATATTTTCAGAACTAGGAGAAGTGAGAAGATCGATGGAATGTTATAATAAAGAGCAGCTTTGGGAAGTTTCCCTAGATCAATTAAATGGGAATTAATTTACTTCTGATGAGAAACTAATGTTTTTAAATATTATCATACCAAAATATTTGAAGCAAATAACTGAAGATATTGAAAAAGAAGAAAAATTGGAATAACAAAAAGAATAAATAAATAACCCTAATGATGAAACTGAAAGTTTTGAAGTTGAAGGCTCACTTCTTAATCGAAGCTAGATGACATAAAAAAATGAAATTAATGATCTTGAGAATTCTTAATCTTTTTAAGTTGTAAAGGATGACTCACTAGATCATTTATCTATTTTTGATCCAGATGATGAATGGATAAAACCAGAGAATAAGTCTCTAATTAAATCTATTGCATCTTCTAGTATAGAATCATAATTTTCAAATGTCTTATTGATGAATTAACCTTCAAATACTCCACTTCTCAAATCAAGACTGAATATTTTCATGAAAAATAATGTTATGTTGAAATTAGCTGAAAGATTTTAATAGTTTAAGAAGGAATTCAAAATTCTCTTAGAAAATCAAAAAAGTTAATGCGCATTACTTTCATTTAGAAATTAAGATGAAAAAGAATTAGATCACATGATAAACTTTTTATATGATTTAGAGAATTTTGATATAGAAGCTGTATACTTTGTTTTAGATGTTTTGGAGCAGTTTAAAAGTTACAAACTCTGTATTTATGTTTGTAATCAATTCAAATTATCCTCACATTTAGGGAGATACTTAGTATCTTTGGCATCCTAATATACACCTATGACCAAAAACAATTTCAAATTAGAAAATTGGGTTATTGGCAACAATCTTAAAAGAAAACGTTTATTAGATTAATCAATGCTAGCATAAATGGCTTTCAATAATATTTTAGAATCGATTAATCCAATATATTTAAAATTTAAATACGAAGAACAACTTCATTCATTCAATAGTTTTGGATTAGAATGTTATAAATCATTAATAGGGTTAGGCTATTGGAGAACGATAATCCATTAGTTAAATTATGAGAATGCAGTTCAATTATGCTAATCATTTAATAATTTTCAAGATTTGGTAATCCTAATTGAAAAAGTTAAAGGTGAAAGATAAAATAATTAGCTGACAGACTAAGAAAAGCATTAGTTAATTAAATACAACTATTTCATTTAAGTAGAATAATACTTCATATAAAATTAATCTAATAAGATTGAAATTGATTAATAATTTGAAATTACTATTTAATGCTCTTCCAAAAGACTATTAACTAAAGACAACATTGTTCAATTAATTAATAACTCTAAATTATATAAAGAAAATCTCACTTATGAAGAGAAACTCAAATAATTGGAATCAATTGTATTAAGTATGCTCTGTAGTATGGGCATTCTAAAATTTGAAATAAATTAATAATACAGCTTAATAATTGATCTAATAGAGCAATAACAATATTGCTTAAATCAATTGGCTTTTGTCCATAATAACCCAAACATTAATGAAGCACTCGAATTCTTATTCAAATTTTCATTTCCAACTGGAGATTTAATGATGGATTTTTCTTAATATTGTATTATTCACATAACATCGAAACTTATTAAAAATGTTAATGAATAAATGATCTTTATGGATATAGCTTATGAATACATTGCAATCCCTTTTGAAGCTTTAGGCAAAATTATTAAAACTTACTTTTGTAATTTCAAGCCAGTAATCACATTAACTTAAGCAATAGATAGTTAATAAGGCTAATAAGAAATGAAACTCCTATTAAAATGCTTAAAATAAAGACTTCAGTATTAATATGAGAATATACTTCCACATCTAACTTTGTCAGTTAATGATCACATAGATTATTATGCAAAAGTCACTTATGGTAGTAGACAGAAGAGTATTGTAAATTCAGTTGATGATCATGAGAGTTCAATTTTGAATTTCACCAAGTCTGATGATATGAGAACTGTTCACAAATGGCTCTTATAATAAAATCGCAGAATCAATAAAATGGATAAATAAATTAAATATTATTTAAAATATGAAAGTATACTGTTATTCGAATAAGGTTTACACAATCAAGATTAGAAACATGGCTATATCATTTTAGCATTAAATCTGCTACATCTATAGGATAATTTACCATTTGCGATTTTTACAATATAGAATTTGAAAAAGAAAGAAGATTAATAATATTATTTAAAATATTTAGAATTTTTAGAATGCTAATATTTTGATATTATTGAAGATTCATTTGAATGCTTCATCGAATATAGTTAATATTTTGAAGAAAAAATGTACTTAGATGAATCATTGAATCATTTGACTAGAATTGGCATCAAATTACTTTTGGCCCAACATGGAGTATCATAAGTTATTATTCCTTAAAAATATTAAGACATTATATCGTGTCAATAATATATAGATCAACCCCTTTTTAAGTTATCTAGACCTGAAATAGTATTAGAATTTATAGAATAGCTTTAGTATTATATAGAAACATGCAATTCAGAGCATTACGAATATCAATGTAATTTGCTTTTAATCATTTTTATGGTAAATTTGCAGAATCTAAATGATTAAATTAAAGAAAGACTTTTGGAAATTTTCAGTAACAATAACACATATCGATATTATAAAAGGTTACATCAGTGCCTTAATCAGAAGAACCCTAATTTATAATAAGAATTGATTGATAAAATGAATGTCTTAATTATAAAAGGATATTTTGAAGAATAACTTATTACAATATAAATTAAATAAAGTACCCACAACTTAAACTCTTAAAAAGTATACTAAGATTGTTTAAATAAATGGGAAGGCTACTTTGAAGAGGCTTAGTAAATTGAAAAAAACGGAAGAAATTTATTAAAGAAATGGAGATAATTTAAATCTTAGCATTAAAATAAAAATAATCTATTCAAAAATAAATCATCTCCTTCAGTAATAAGATTTTAATAATTCCATAAGTTATAATTAAAGGATTGGTAATCATAAAATAAACTTATTGAATACTAAAGTCTTATTATAAAGATATATAATATTTAAGAGTATTTTTATTATTTAATTTTAGGGAGCTCTTGAAATTGAGATAAAAAATGTTACGAGGAGCTGATCTTTAATTTGTTAATTTGCTTTTAAATAACTCCACAAATTTACTAAAAGAAATAATTAATGGGAATCTTCCGGTTGAACTTTTTGAGGAGCTAAAATAAAAATATTATAACTGGAGAGATAGTTTTTCTACTCTTGAAAAAACTGAATAGGAACTCTTAGAAAGAAACAGATAAATACTCAAATTGAAATGGTAGAAACTATAAGCAGGAGTCAAAGTACAAAATAAGTTTGATTCTCACTGCATTAAAACTGTAGATGAACATATAGATGAAGAATCTCAAGATTGAAATATTCATTTTTAATAAGATTTAAATTATAAATGATCATCATAATGCTAGATAATTCTTTATTAAAAATACCCTTTTGGCATAATTTTAATCTTCAAGTATAAGTCTAAAAAGTAGAATTGAAAATCAAAACTTAGAGTACGGAGCAAATTATTATTTAATTATTTTGCAAATTTTTTTTTATAATTGATAAAGAATTATTAGTTAAGAATACCTTTTATGATACTTAATTGATGTCTACCTAAAGAATGGTAATGTTATTTGTTATTGGTGTATATATATGCTTAATTATCAATACTATAGTCACATATCAAAGGGGTGTTAATTAATAAAGGGACTCAATATCTATAGTATAAGATTCAGAATCAGAATGAATTTTAAAGTTCCTTAAATTTCTCGTCTCTAGTCTTTATTTATTTTACTTATCAAATTTAGTAGGTTTATAAATATATATTCACTAAAAAAAATACAAAATTTAAGTTGGACTTCTAGACCATATGAATGAAGATTCTTTTTTTGATCTAGATTCTTGAACAAGGTAAGGAATCAAACTTTACCTACTAGAACAAGGTGCAGTAAATGCTAACTTGAAAGGAATAGGTTTATAAATGATGGAAAAGGAGTGTGATTCAGAAAGCTAATTAAATATAAAAATTAAATTTAAAAGAAATTATGATTATTAAAAATTTCTTTTTTTTTAGGATGCTTACTCTCATAGGTCTAATTTAACCACAATTCTTATTATTTCATATCACAAAGAGAAGTCTATAAATAATATTATTCATTAAAATTCAGATAATTTTGATCGTAAATTTCTAAATCAAATTTAAATAAATTAACTAAATTTTTTATTTTTTTGTTATGAACTCAGAGGTCACATTCTAATAATCAAGATGATTTTAGAATTGTTATTGGACATGTAGACATAATAAATGTTGAAATCTTCATTTGTGGAGCTAAAAAGATGTAAGGTCTCTTGATTTTAGATAATTTTTCAGGGAATGGTAGACGGGAAAAAATAATGATAATATTTGTTGTTTAATATGCATAAAAAATTATAAGAATTGTTTCGATAACAAAACATTAAATAAAGAATTTAATTCAAACTATTTTTCAATAATGTGGTTTAGTTTATTTAAGAATTGATTTTAAGATTATTTCTTTATGAAAATCCTCTATTTTTTTATTGGTGCTAGATTTGATGTGAAACTTCTCCTATTCTTGAATATTCGTGCATTGGGAAATTGTGTCTTTAATTGACAGCACTTCCTCATCAGGATTGAATACACAGACGGTGACAAAATTATCAAAAGCTATTCCATATCCAGTGCCTTTAAATATTTGCCTACCTTTGACATCAAATCTGGGTTGATTATGCTTGATGACTTATATTATTTTTTATTTAATTAAAACAGGAGAGGGATCATCAGGCACATCATCTTCGTCATCTTGTTGTCTAACTTAATTCTATTAGAGCAAGACTTTTGGACCGATGTTCATAGTTTTCATTCTGTAAAGCTAAGCTTATTTAGCAATTATAATATAATAAATAAACGATTATTTGGAAATTCGATGAGACTATAAAATTCTCCAAGTAGTATAATAAAAAAACACCAGAGTCATCAATTCAATTAATCAAATATTACTCTCTTGGCTCTTTTATACTGGAGTTGTTTGACTACTTTGAGAATGGAGGATTCCAATAAGGTTTAATTATATTCTTGTCCCAGCTTATATTCTTTGATATCATATTCGATTAAGTAACATAAATGATAAAATTTACTGAAAATTATTAATAATACTAATAATTCAATAACTATTAGTATTATTAATAAAATTAGATATATCTGATCTAGTTCTAGCAGAGCGAGAGCCACAATTTCTAGCGTAACCAATGAGAACACCATAGACAGGCTCATTAAGAACACGAACATTTATTTTTTGCTTAAATTCTACATGCTCAGTCTGATAGTTTATAAATATTATACTTTTCATTGATTTATATAGGGAAGTAATCATTACAAAATTAGCATCGAAACAAATTAAGTCCCAACTTAGGATGAAGATTAGCATATTCTGAGATACAAACGATATGATAATAAATATCTAGACATTGGCACAACTTTAGGGCTATACTTGCTTTCTCGTTTTTGCATTTGATACATTCTTAGGTGTTCATCGAGAGCACATTTCTTGATTTACTGACCTTAGCAAGATCTCCCTCAAGAAATGTTTTAGGTTTAAGGGTTCTAACTTTATATTTGGGTAATTGGATAGTTTGTGTCTGAGGACTTAAAAACACTGAGTCATATTATTCAAAACAGGTTTAGAATTGTTATTTATTATTGGGGGTCGATTTCGGACTCATTTAACATGATGCCTGCATTAATTAAATTTATTTAAAATATCACTTTGATCACTGAGTTTGGAGTCTGATAAATTAAATAATTTCAAATCTTAAAGGAAATTTAATTATCAAAAAGTTCATAAACTATTATTCACTCATTATGAAATAATGTTCTGTTTTTTACAAAAGTTATCAAATTAGCTGTTTTTATGACAACATTTATTAATTAATTAAATAATATATTCATAATTGATTTATAATTATAATTTTTTTGTGCTCTTAAAACTTTCGACCCATATTGATTGTCTCAGTTTGCTATTTATTAAACGTAAATATGTCAAAAACGTATACTGTTATTTTCTTGTTGCGTCCTTATAAATGAGAAGTAACTATTTGGAAATACATTTTGATAGAAAAGATATGAAAATAATAAATTGGGCAGAAAGCTGAATTACTATGAAATATTGTAATATATTGTTTCTAAATTAATTAATTAAAAGTCATTATTTTTAATTTGAGTCAAACAACTACATAGACTACAGATTTTATTTCTTTTTCTTTGAACTGTCTATTTTATTATAGCAACACATCTAGAGGCAATTATTGCAAGATACAGAAGCAGTGGACTCACTCTTGGAGTTCTTCAATGACTAAGAATACCTATGATCATAAATGATAAAGTTTACTTCTCATATGTCGTTTATCCTGTTAATAAATTTATTGTTTAAATGTATAATAGAAACCAAAGAGGGAAGAGAAACAAGAGCATTATGAGGATGGAAAACAGAGAAAGTATGAAAAGGATTATGAATACGTCTATGCCATCATCTTGAAATTCTTGAATCATAAAATAAAACTAGAGGGCTAAAGTGAAAGTGATATCCAAACAAAGGAGCCACACAAATACATAAAACTAAAAATGGTTGTTTGATCCTATCTTATTAATAGTATTAATTATTACGCAATTATCAACCCAAGGACAATGATGATCATATACTAATACGCAAGATTTGCAAATATCACAATGTTTAGCTCTCGGAGCCTTAACACAAACACACTCAGGACATATGTCTTTTGCATCATACCTCTGTAATATCTCATACAGACTTTTAAGAAGTTCTTATTCAATTTTGTCTTACTTCTTGACTTGCTTGCCAGGATCACTGAGCCAAACAAGGACAAAGAAAAACCAAATTAAAAGTTGAAAAGCTCCATAGTAATAAAGATATTGACTTGATTCATCTGAATGAAACTGATAGTAAATGGTAATTCCTTAGCAGTAAACTAGCATGGCAATAAATTTAAACATCTTATCCTTACTTCTATTGACTTTCTAGAATCCTTGGCTGATGCTGAAATAAGTGACCAAAAAGTTTTGGGATTCAGTCAGCATTTTGTAAACTTAGGTAAATGAATTGGCCTAAGCAATTTCAGCAGCAGTTTAGCCTTCATTATTTTTAATGCCTCTATTGGCTCCAGATAACAATAATTTCTTAACTATTCTAGTATTTCCACTCATAGTTGCTAGATGTAGCGCAGTCAAACCCTCTGCATCCTTGACGTCTAATAATTGATCTGTGAAGGATATTATATAATTGACTGCCAATTCACATCCATAGTAGGCTGCCCAATGTAAGGCTGTCCCTCCTTTAGAATCCCTTAGGGCAAAATCGAAACCAATTTTCTTGAAGTAGACAACTGATTTTGGCTGATCTCCTTGAGCAGCCAGATGTAACCCATTCATTCCTTAAGCATTTCGAATATATAGATTAGCTCCACATTTTTCAAATTCTAAAATCATCTCGATGTTTCCTCTGTAGGCTGCAAAATGAAAGGCCACGAACCCATCCTCTGTTTATTGATTAACCCATTCTGTGAGGATTGACACACATTTGTGCTTGTGTTACTTTTTGACATGATTTATCAATAACCTTGGGTTGATATGATATTATATAAATACTTAACAGTATCCAAGTTGTTGTTATAAGCGGCTAAATGTAGGAGAGTGTATTTCTTATGATCAGTGATAGTGTAAATGTTGATGCTTTCAGCTTCATCCAATAGATTTTAAATTTCAGACAAATCATTGTTCTGTATGACTTTAATCAGATATTATTCAGCCCCTTTTGATTCAATTAATCCATGCGTGTGTGATTTGGCCTTATGTCTGTCAACAATAATATCAGATTAAATCTTGGCTGTAGGAGGCGAAAGCAACTTCTTAATGTCAGAATACGATGCAACAATCTAGCGATGTTAATCTTCATCAAACTCTTCATTTAAGACCGAAATATTTGGGAACATAAATAAATATATATTTATTTTAATGAAATGTTTGTTTCCTCATATTTTTTCAATAGGTTCAATTCCAACCAAATAGAAAGATTACAGCAACACCATCCTGATTGCCTCACACAATAACAGTCTTGTTTGAGTGTGTTCGTCATTCAATATACGATACTAAAATTCAAATTTAATATAGTACTTGATTATAAGCCTCTGCAATTTTCACACAAATGTCATAAATATAATCACATAACCAATTGATTGCTAATTAATCAGTAACTGACTATAGAACATCAACAAATCGCAATAATTAGGCTGCTAAATGTCTTTCATGTTGATGTGTGATTTTGAATTTATGATCAGCCTTAAAAACCTCAAAGTCTTGAATACCACTTTTTCTTAAGATAGATAGCATTCTAACATATGAATACATCAAGTATACAGCAGTATTACCCTTTGGATCAAGCATCTTATCATAATCGAAATTATAATCAGATATACGATTCTACTTTAAGTCATAGTATTTAATGGCAGCTATTCCCATTCTCTCTGCAGCAGTCTCGAATTCTTCTGGAGAAAGGGCTGTTCCAGTAGAAAATTCTTTTCCTTATTAGTTTTCTTAAACCCTTTATTGAATTTGTTTCAAAGCTCTCTCTTTAGCTTCATCCAATAAATCAATCAACTTAACTGTATCACCTGACCTTGTCTTAAACTTCTTGCCATCAGGACCCAATACTAAACCAAATCCCATATGTTCCATTGATGTTGCTGGTGGTTTATGCCATCCCATCAATTTGGCACCTTCAAAAACTAGTTTAAAGTGATTCCATTATCCTACATCAGTTAAATAAAGTAATCTATCACATTTCCATTCTAAAATACGAGTTTTAGCTGCAGCCATGTCAGTTGTATCGTAATTATAACCACCATCCTTCTTCACAATCATTAATGGAACCTTCTCTCCTTTCACTCTGATGATCTTGGCTCCCTAATCCAATTCAACTATTCCTTTAGCTTCACACTCCTTCACTATTTCAGGTAGAATGGGATTGTAATAACTCTCTCCATATTCGGTTATCTTCACATTCAACCTTTGATAAATCTTGTTGTATTCCTATCTACTTAATTCGCATATCATTTTCCAAGCATCTATGCATATTGGATCCAATGCCTGCAATTTTACAACATATTATTAAGACTTAACTTTAAATTCCTCATTAGAGTCGAACTTCTTCTTTGCTTCCTTGTATAAATCTTCTAATTCCTTTAGGGCAGGTCTATTAGTCTAATAATCTGGGTATTCTTCTAATAAATGATTAATCAGCATTCCGAATTAGGTTCCCCAATCACCAATATGATTAACTCTCACTACTTCTTATCCTTAGAATTCTAATATTCTGCACAATGATTCTCCCAAGATAGTTGATCTTAAATGACCCACATGCATCTCTTTTGCAATATTAGGACTTGAGAAATCTACGACTACTTTCTAAATTATTGTGAGACACGAATTCATACTTGTTTCTTCTCTAATGGGAATTTTAATCCATTAACCAAAAGCGCATTTATTTCTTCCTCAATAAATTTATCATTTAATTAAATAGTTAAGAATCCTTTATCAATTGCTTCCACTTTTTAGATTACATTATCTTGACATTCAGTAGATGCTATTTTTTATGCCACTTCCACCTCTGTCTTCAAATCTATATTTTCTTAAGTTATCATCATTACCACCGAACAAATTTTGTTTCTTAAATTGATTGAAGATTCTTATAACAGTGGGTGTCTTGTACTCAAAATTCAGGTTGTTTGAGATCGATTCCAATTATATTTCAAAACTATTCTGAGGGAGATTTGGAAATGCTGTCAAAACCCTAGTTTTCATAGCTGATTTAATCAGCTTTTGTACACTTCGCAATGTATTTACACCAATTTAATCCATAAACTAATTAGCTTAAAAACTTAATTTATTTATTCCTAATATTCTCTCAATACATTATTTGAAAACATCAATTTCATTCGTAATATTATTATACCAAACTTATTTACACAATACTCAATTTGTATATTCAATCAACATTATATGAATTTAAACTTGCAATTCTGATTTTTTATAAAAGGTAAATTAAATTACATAATTAAAATTTGATTTGTTATATTCTTAATAATAGGATACTCATTGAGTAATCGTACCATGATATATAGGATCATAACTAAATTTGAGCAAGTAATATTCTTGTAATATTCAATTATTTTTTTTATATAACTATCATTGCTAACATACTAGATTCATAGGAATTTAGAAAACCTAGGAAATAATGTTTATAAATTTGTTATATTTATATGACATCATAATTGGATGATTACATATTATTAAATATTCCATTAATTGAGTATCAAGGTCACTATATTTCTTATTCCGATTTAAAAAAATATATCATCTATTTTTACTAATGTCAATATAGGAAGTTGAAAAATCTCACTTATTGGGAAGCTATTTGAATTCTTCATCGCCATTACTTATTTTCCTTGGAGTCAAAGAAGCTTAGATAGAGGAAGTGTAATAACTAGCTCAAAATATTTATAAAGTTTCATTCAAGTAAGTTCGTCATCAATATTTTTTAGAAATACTAATAAAAAGATCGTGCTCCATACTAAATCTAAAGACAACCTAGTAGTTGTATATAATAAGTTACTATTTAATAGGGACATTCAATAGAAAAGGAATTTGTGATAGCATAGAAGTTGTCAGCTGTGAATTTCCCAGTCTCCAGAACTTTGTTTTATTGTGCTGATCAAACCATATTGGGTGTTCCCTTTTACGCAACGGAATACATGGAGGGAAGACTCTTTTCAGATCAAATTATGATAGGGATGGAAGCAGAAGAAAAAAGAGTGATATACCAAGAAGTGGCAAAGACACTAGCTCATTTACATTCGATTAGCTTAAATTACTTAGGACTCGGATAATTGGAATCAGAAACTAGCCACTATTAAATCGTAAATTAGAAATTGTATAATCATTATAAATTAAATGAGACCAAAATTTCAACTAATATCGAAGATTTATTATATTGGTTGCCATTGAATTTACCAGAGAAATCTGAATTAGACAATCTGTGTTTAGTGCATGGAGATTTCTCATTGTCTAAGGTTCTATTTCATCCCACAGAACCACGAATTCTAGCTATTCTAGATTGGCAGACAGCATAATTAGGAAATGCATTTACTGATCTCGCCAGCTTTTTGACTCCATATTACATCCCATATTCTAATGGAAAACATAATGTAGATGGGTGGGCAGGAGTGGAAAGATTGATTGGTGCTCCCAATTTTTAAGAAGTTGCTAAATCATACTTTACAGCCAGATCAACTTAAACAATCCCAGACATTCGATATCAGATAGTATTGGCAATTTTGAGAAAGTCCATTGATCAATAAATTCTATTTAAACAAACCAAAGACATCAAGTATCAGTCCAATTCAGAATTTTTATCCAAAGCTGGATACTAAATTGTATTAGATCTAACTGATGGAGATCCATATGGGATCAAGATGAGAGCAGCTAATGATAGTTCATTATGGTCTAAGTGGCCAGTAACTGATAGATGCAAAAGTTACTATTACAGAATAAAGGATTTTTTGAAGGAAGAGGTGTTTCCTATTGAAAAGGTCATTTTAGACAAGTCACGAGTAATGCCAACCACTACTTAGAATAAAGGATTCCCAGAAATAGAAGCTTTGTAGAGGAAAGCTAAATCACTTGGATTGTGGAATTTATTCATTTCTGACCCTATGTATGGGAAAGGTCTCACAAATCTAGAGTATGTGTTCTTGTCAGAATTGATGGGACTTAGTTATTTGGCTCATGAAATCTTTAACTGTTTTGCTCCAGAGACTGGTAACATCAAACTCTTGATTGGATATGGAACACCTTATCAGAGAGAGAAGTACTTGAAACCATTGATGGAAGGAGAATGCAAGTCGTTCTTTGCTATGACTGAGAAAGATGTGTCTTCATCAGATCCAAATAATTTCAAATTCACTATTACTCCAAGCGAAGGAGGTTATGTAATAAATGGAGGCAAGTGGTTTGTCTCAAGTGCCCCAGATGAAAGGGTGAAGTTTGGAATTATAATGGGTAAGTCGTCTTAGGATATGTCAAATCCAATGGAATCCTAGTCTATGATAATAGTAGACATGCCAAATCCCAGGATTAAGATATTGAGATAAGTGGGAGTCTTTAGTTACTATGATGTTCCACATAGTTATGCTGAAGTTGAATTCGACAATGTTTTTGTGCCGAGAGAGAACTTACTAGGGTAATTGGGAGGGGCATTTAAAATGGCATAGGGTAGATTATTAGGAGGAAGATTGCATCATTGTGTTAGATAGATTGGATTGACAAGGAGATGCTTGGATTTGATGATGAGTAGAGCTGAATAGAGAGTTATGTTTAAGTAAAAATTGAAAGATAATGCTGCATTCTAGGAGAGATTAGGACAAGTGGAGATCGCCTTTTAAAATTGCAGATTATTAAGTCTTAATGCTGGGTTGTTGTTGGATTCAGCAGGATCCAAACACCTTCATACATTCATGGCTGTAAGTTAATGTAAGGCACATATTCCTAAGGCATGTCAAAAGATGATAGATTAATGCATCTAAGCTTTTGGTGCTGAGGGAGTAACTGAAGATTAACCTCTAGCAATTTCATTCCGATTTGCGAGAGCAATTAGATTTATGGATGGACCTTGTGAAGTTCATTTACGATAAATTGCCAGATTTGCATATGGTAATCACCTATTCAATGATCTGAATAATGCTTAAGGATACGGATTGGCTAAGTTATGATATATTCAGTTTGTAACAAATATAAGTTAAATGAAAATTTTTATATATAAATAGAAATGTAATTGTAAATGGGAATTTCATTGTTTAACTTTTTTTGATGGTTGTTTTTCTTCGTCTGAATTATTTGTTTATTCTTCCTGTTGAGTTAATTTGACTTTAGTTTTTTCAAATCGTTTTTTGTATGGTTCTCTTTGATCATCTGGCAGGAATTTCCATTTTTGGAGGACTAAATCATCGATGTCATTTTGAGTTAATGTCTTATCTTTCTTTAACTTTTTGGAATACCTTTCCTTGAATATTTGGAAGGCATTTTGGTAGGTTTTGGATTTGTCGCTCATGTTTAAGGAATTTTAATTCTGATTAATGATAAATAATTTAGTTATTTGAATTCAATAACTAGTGGGTATTTGGTGTGTTTTCGTACACAAATAACACATTTCGAAAGAGTGTTTGATATAAAAATAATAATTGCAAATGCCGAGTATTTCAGAAGTAGATAATTTGCTTAAAATAATTTATTTTAAATCTTTAAATTGATGAGTACAGGACTTGCTAAACCAAAAAAGCTGAAACTCACAGATTATGAAGTGTTTTAGACCTTGGGTACAGGTATTGTATTGGTGTAATGCTGAACTTTAGGCTCTTTCGGTAGAGTGAAACTGGCAAGGAATAAACAAACAAATAAATATGTTGCTTTGAAAAGCTTAAAGAAAGCTGAGATCATCAGACTAAAGCAAGTTGATCATGTGATTAATGAAAACACCATATTGGGAAATTTGCAACATCCATTCATTGTACGAACTATCCTCATCTCCAATAGGTGACCTTCGAAGGCTTCTGTCAGGACCCAAGATATCTCTATTTGGTCTTAGAATTTGTTTCTGGCGGAGAATTGTTCACTTACTTAAGAAGCATCGGAAGACTCGATACACAACATGCTGCGTATTGCAATCATTCGAGTTTATTATAGGTTTTATGGTGCTTAAGTGGCCTCTATATTTGAGTATCTCCATTCCAAGAACATCATCTATAGAGATCTCAAGCCAGAAAACCTATTGATTGCAGATGATGGATATCTCAAGTTAACAGATTTCGGTTTTGCAAAAGTGGTCGAAGGAAGAACCTACACTCTGTGTGGTACTCCTGAGTACTTGGCTCCCGAGATTCTATTGAATAAGGGACATGGCAAAGCTGTTGACTGGTGGACTTTGGGAATTTTAATTTATGAGATGAATGCAGGAATCGATCCTTTCTCCGATGAAGATCCCATGGCCATTTATCAAAAAATATTGAAGGGCAAAGTCAAATTCCCCAAGAGCTTTGACAAGTACCATTTTCATTTCCTATCCAAGAAACGCTAAATCTTTGGTAAAGCACTTGCTTGTTGCCGATCTTTCGAAAAGATATGGAAATTTAAAAAATGGTATTTTTATCTCACTATCACTCCCAGGCGCTGCTGACGTAAAAAATCACCGTTGGTTTGGTAACCTAGACTGGAATCTACTTACTCAAAAGAAATTGCCTGTTCCTTACAAACCAGTAGTCAAGTATCACTTCAATATCATACCCTAATAGAGCACCAAATGACACTTCTAATTTTTCATCCTACCCAGAATCAGATACACAAAGTCCCGCTCTTAAACCCGCAGACGATCCCTTCTTAGAATGGTGATTAAATAGAGAAATTTATATTCATTTATCATATATATACATTTTAACCTCCTTCTTTATGGATAATTTAAAATCACTTTTCAATAGAGCCCTCTGCTCTCTCTGTATGATGGAATTAAATATACTTAAAATTGAAATTTGTAAATATCGTTTTTATTAGTCAGAATTCATTAATAGTTTAAATAAAATTTTATTTATTTATATAAAGTGATAAATAGTCTTAAATAGTCTTATTTAATTAAAAAAAGCCTAATCAAAATTTATTTAGTTTTCAAAATAATTGAGTTTTAGGTATTCTAATATACTCATTTTTGATGTATTTCAAGAGTATTCGTCTGTGTGCCCAAAAGAGGCGGGAAGATCAATTGGGATTTCTAAAAATAATGTTTTGAGATTTTATTGAATATGAAAGGATCTCAAGATTTTCAATTTATGAAAGGGATGAATATTTAAATGGAAGCAAAAAGATAGGATTGAATGTAATATAAATTTTTGAATTATTTAAACATAAATTTTAATTTAATTAGAACTATTTAAGAATAGTCATTAAATTTTGAATAAGACTTTATAAGAAAAATTTGGAACAAAATAAAAAGTAAAGAATAATTTCTTATAAATGCCAAAGGATAAACTTCACGTAAATCTCGTCGTTATTGGACACGTCGATTCAGGAAAATCAACCACCACCGGTCACTTGATCTACAAGCTCGGAGGTATCGACGAAAGAACCATCAAGAAGTTCGAAGATGAAGCCAACAAATTAGGTAAGGGATCCTTCAAATATGCTTGGGTGTTGGATAACCTCAAGGCTGAAAGAGAAAGAGGTATCACCATCGATATTTCCCTCTGGAAATTCGAAACCAACAAGTATTACTACACCGTCATTGATGCCCCAGGACACAGAGATTTCATCAAGAACATGATTACAGGAACATCATAAGCCGATGTCGCTTTGTTGATGATTGCATCACCTGCAGGAGAATTCGAAGCTGGTATTTCAAAGGAAGGATAAACCAGAGAACACGTTCTCTTGGCTTACACTTTGGGAGTCAAATAAATGATCTGTGCCACAAACAAGATGGACGAAAAGACCGTCAACTATGCTTAAGCCAGATATGACGAAATCGTCAAGGAAATGAGAGATTACTTGAAGAAGGTCGGATATAACCCAGACAATGTTCCCTTCGTCCCAATCTCAGGATGGGTCGGAGACAACATGTTGGAAAAATCAGCCAACTTCGGATGGTACAAGGGACCAACACTCCTTGAAGCTTTGGATGCAGTCACCCCACCAAAGAGACCAACTGAAAAACCACTCAGATTACCATTACAAGACGTCTACAAGATCGGAGGTATTGGTACAGTCCCAGTCGGAAGAGTTGAAACTGGTGTCTTGAAACCAGGTATGGTCGTCTAATTCGCCCCATCAGCCATCACAACTGAAGTTAAGTCAGTTGAAATGCATCATGAAGCCCTCCCAGAAGCCGTCCCAGGAGATAACGTCGGATTCAACGTCAAGAACATTGCCGTCAAAGATTTGAAGAGAGGATTCGTCTGCTCAGACTCAAAGAGTGACCCAGCAAGAGAATGCAACTCATTCAATGCTTAAGTCATCATCATCAACCATCCAGGATAAATCCAAAACGGATATTGCCCAGTATTGGATTGCCACACAGCCCACATTGCTTGCAAATTCTAAGAAATTCTTTCAAAGAATGACAGAAGAACAGGCAAAGTCATTGAAGAAGAACCAAAATTCGTCAAATCAGGAGATGCTGCTATGGTCAAATTAGTCCCAACCAAACCAATGTGCGTTGAAATCTTCTCTGAATATCCCCCACTCGGTAGATTTGCCGTCAGAGATATGAAATAAACCGTTGCCGTCGGTGTCATCAAGGTCGTTGAAAAGAAGGAATTAAAGAAGAAATGATTTATTAAGTTCATGTTCATCTAGTAGAACTTAAATAATAATATATTTTTTCATTTATCTGTTTTATCATTCCTCAATATTATTGATAAAATTGAAGGATGCTAAAACTATAGAAAATCAATACACACTGATCCTTATTGATAAAGCTAAGCTAATAAGAAATAACAAAATTATGTTATTCCTTCTTTTGTTATTATAATTTTATGAAAACATCGTATTACTGATATCGAAACATATTCCTTTAATAAATTTATTTACAATTGTGTTAATGTTTTAATCTCCTTCCAGTTCTTCTCCATGTAATATTACCCTATTCCATTAATGAAAAAATTAATTCACTCTTATATTATATTTAATTATAAAAATTTCAAAATTATTTTTTCTCATTTCATTATTATTATAGTTTTGATATATAAATATATAATTGTGAAAAAAGATTGTAGTTTTCATCAAATTTCCACTAGGGAGATTTAAACTATTTTTTTGAAGTAACCCGACCAAAAAATAAAAGAAAATTTAAGTTGAAATTTAATCACATTTTCCTTAACATTTGATATCAAATTACATTTTAATACAATCGAATATTCTAAACGAAATAAGTATAGCTTATTTGATTACAAATAAATTATTTCCGAATATCTAATCATCATTCTTTAAGGATTAAATTATCTGAACTCCTTTGTATCTTTACCAATATTTCCTATTTAGTCACTATCAATTCAAAACTCTGATAATAGACTTTATGATATTTAGATAGTTTAAGCTCAACCTTGAGGCTCCCCAAATAAACCTTTAGATACAAACTTCCTTTTATAATGATTATCCTAATTGGTACATCTTTAATCAAGATTACGTGACAATTCGTAAGTATATCAATTAATTTAAAGTTTGACAATTTATAATTAGATTTTCCATAGTTTTCACCCACTACCAAAATGTTTACTCTTTTATTTCAATGGTACATCGATAGATTGCCGTAGCTTATGTTTGGTCGTAATTTAAATAAAAGTTTTTGTTTATCATTTTTTGCAAATTTAAGTTTCCAGGTGATGAATCAAAGAATAAATAGATGTTTAATCTTTCAAAAATTGATTTTAGCAGTCTAGCATTCAAAATTAATGGCTAAACAAAAATAAATATTCTTGGTTATCATAGTAGCATTGGCGATTTACAGAATGATTAGATTGTAGTGTTATAAAAATATCCTGTTACTCAAAATAAAAAAGATATAAATCCACTTGTCAAATATATAAGTTAAATTAATCCTTGTGATTTAATTTTTTCATTTATAGCCTTCTCAATTTTAAAACAATTTTTTATTAATTATCTAATAATCCAAATAATTAATAATAATGGGAACTTGCGCTAGTGGGAAAAGCTCAGGAAAGCTCCAAAGAAGTGTTGCTTAGAAACATATAGAGATCGATTTCGAAAAGCTAATGAAATATAACAAAGGGAAGGAAGTTAAGGAGAGTAAAGAACATCTTCAGCAATAATAATCATTTTGTCAAATATTCCTTCAAGAAAACAAACAATGTACTCCATATTCTTAAACCTAAAATTTGGGACCATCAACTTAATTAGAATACAAAAGATAATGAGATGTGCATCAAAATCATTGATTCTTATATACAAATTACTCTAAAATAACATATTATATCAGTATTTCTGGTTCTAGGTTCGTACGTTGAATTTGAACTTATCATAAAGTAGGGAATGTAAAGATTTTAATTTAAGAAGCATTCGTCAGATAGGAAAGTTAAATTGCGCTGAAATAACGAATTCTCGTTATTCTATCGAGGATTGTGAGTTATAGAGTTTGTATATTTGAAAATAATATCTCCATAATCCAAAAAATTTTGAGCTTTCTAATTGAAGGTCAAAGCTAATTAATTAAGCATTTGAGAATGGTCTCTCTTCAAAGAAGATGATTATCTGCATTTGACTTATATACTCGAGGCTGAAACTGTTTAAGTTACTGGGTAATTTCGTTAATTAATTACATGCAAATATTCTAAGATTTATTCGGAGTAGGGAAATTGAAGCTGTATCGAAGGAGAAGCTTTACATACAACGATGAATTTAAGCGAAACAAAAAGGAAATGGCAGATCGGATTTAATTATTTATCAATTGCATTCTATATTATAGAGTAATATTAAAATTTATTTAATGATCATTAATTATTATTGAATAACCAAGAATATCTATTAATTAATAAGGGAAATTGAATTATAATAGCATTTACAAACTTTTTAAATAAATATTAATTTAGTTACCATTATGTATGTAAATTTTGGAAATATATTTTATTTATAATTGCATTATATTGAGAAATATTATGTAAATACTCTATTTATATATATTAATATTATGGATTTTAATAATACTAACACAAAAATTCCTACGTTAAGATGTAACTATTAACCATTTTAATTAAATTAGAGGCTGAAAGTTCCTTTTAAAGATATAGAAATCCTTTGAATGAATGTCATCATAAGAGCGAATCAAATTCTTTTGAGCATAAATAGGGTGATTTGCAATATCCTATTCAACAATTTCCATACTTTCAATCAACTCCTATATTTCCCATCTTAGGTTTTTTATATTGTAATTATGAAGGAGAACCAAAAAATGAGTTTGTAGAAACAGCAAATCAATTCATTAAGCATGGCATGTAAAATAGCTTGGCGAGTATGATTTAAAAGTAGAGCATTGTTTAAAATGAATTCAAATTAAATTAAACTACATATGGATGCAAAAAAATGTGTGAAATTGATTGCATGTTGGTGGAAAGATATTTTAATCAAAAATATTGGGTAATTGTTAATGTTATACACAGATATTCTAAAATTCAAATTAGAAGTACCAGCTTGATTAAACTAAAACAAAAAATACGGATTGGCTAAAAGCAAGAATGCAACATCGATATAAATCACAAATCTATGATGCATTCTCAGAAATGATAGATCTCATATTCAAAGAGGGTGAAATTCAAATGAATTCTAGAACTCACTTGATTAAAATACAGAATCTCAAAGGATTCTAAAATTTAGAGAGGCAAATTTAAAAGGCTGTTAAGGCTGAGAAAAAATTTGATGTGTTTCTATTCGAAATATAAAAAGTTTTAGCGGATTTTATATTTTCAACTCTAAATTGATTCATATAACATATTTAACTTAATCATTATAGATAATAAAAATCCACAATATAATCAGGTCCGAGCTAAGCAGATTTAAGTAAATCCATTCGTTTATCTTCATCAGTAAAATTGCCTAAATTTTAAGGATAGAAAAGTAACCTGGTAAAAAGGAACAACATTTTTCTGATTCAGGTATAAATCCCATTAGTTAATAGACATAAGCAATCAATTCAGAGCAAAAAAAATTTTGCCTAGTACTTTTCTTAAAGAATTTCATCATGCTCAAAGAGTACCCTTTTCCAATTTGGGCTTCAGCATAAGCATACATGAGGATGCGATCATTTTCAGAAACATTCAGTAACGGCTTATATAGAATCCTTGAATTCTAAATAATAATTACTTTTCATAATTTTCGTAGGACTTGGTTTTAACAAAGCGTTCTAAAGGGAATGACAAAAAAACATACTATAACTAAAGGTGATGACTCCGTATTGATTGCTAGATTCAAAGAGCATTGGGTCTTCCCAAGGGTTTTTGAGAAACATAACAATGTGATCATAATCGCTTCTGGTAATAGATCTTTATAAGTTTTGTAGTTTTCCTCTGGTGCGAAAGATAAGCAAATCGCCTGTTTGAGCTTGTGCTAATATTTGAGGATCCAAGATTCTTTCATGTCTCCAGAACCGATGATATTTTGACAAGCTCATAATATTATTTAAATATCCATATGATTACTAGATGTACTATTGAATTAATGAAACCCACTATTTAGATTATTCTCTGGTTCTAGTAGGTACTACAAATTCGAATTTCTTCTCACAGCCTTCTGGCTATAGTCTTTTATATTTAAATGTATACATGAAACTCTGAATGTAAGTGTCATCCTTTGATTTTACATAGGAGAAGATGTATTTTTAGTAATCAAAGTCCAAAATTCCTAATGGTTTTTCCCTATTTTTGATGTTGTAATACGTAAATCTTCTTGAAGACAAAGTGCAATAATATGTCTGAAAAAGTAGATGATAAAATTTACAGAATTGGATTCCAAAAAATGAGGACTAACTTTGTAAAATTCACCTTCCAATTCTGGTTAAGGTCTTTAATCACCATTTCTGTGTATTTCTTAATGCAGTGGAGTTGAGTTTTTTTATTATTCCTTGTACATGTGGTTATTTTATTCTGGTATTTCGTCTTGGAATTAATCATCATTTAGATTTTAAACTTAAAAATACTTATAGTAACAATACTGTCAAGAACAGATTAGAATTCTAGGTTATCAATGATATTGTTTGGCTAATCATCTTCATGATTGATTGAATTTTGCTGCATATTTTACGATGCAAATAATAATTATTAAATGCAATAATACGATTAAGACATAGAGGATGATAGTAATATAATTTATAATAACTTGCAGTCTCTGACAATACTTCCTAAGATGAATCTCCTTTGAAACGATGTATGACAGCTCCTCCAAGACCTTTGACAGAATTTGAAGAATTTAAGAGGTACATGCTCTTAACAATGTTCTATTCTAATTAGATCAAGAGAGTATTAGCGTTTGGAGAAAGCTCAAAGATTATCAAGTAGGCTTGTTTCGAGAGATTTTCATAAATACGATTTAGACAATCCTGAAGGATAGATTGGCTGCAAAAAATTTTTATAAAATCTCGAAAAAATGTGTGAAGTAAAAATATCAGTTTCATTAATTAGACATATAATATTAAGGCTGAATCTCGTGATTATAGGAATTAATTTTCAAAGGCATACAAAATACTTTATACTGATGATAATTTATGCTATTTGACAGAAATTCTCGATAGTGCTTAAGAAGGTTTATCCATTTGACCATTTTCAATAGGTTTTCCTTATCTGTGGGTGAATTCTGAGAAATACTCATTCACCTAAGAAGTGTTGGAGGCTGGCAGTAAACTAATTGAAGGGTTTTATAGAGTACAACATGTCTTGAGACATTTGTATACTAGTACTTTATAGGAGAGTCCAGATTTTAGTATCTCTAAAATAAAGAAAGAGATTAAGTATCTCTTGGAGGCGTTTGATTAAACGTGGGTCAATTTTGAAAAAGTAAAAAGATACATTATCTAACGTAGTTGTATGTGAAGGAGTTGATGGTAATTGAAGCAAAGGCTCGCAGGTTTATTTTTCAAGCAATTGCAATAGATAAGGATATGTAATCGATAGAGATCCGAGAAAAGTTAAGAGGGAAGATTTTGGTTACTAGCGATCATTACATTTAATTAAAGACCTAAGTAATATGATGAAACATAACTTAATTAGTTTTGCAAAGTGATAGCAAAAATAAATTCAGTGGCAAATGTGGAAGGAAAGGGCATGGACCATTTAGGAGTTAATATTTTATTAGAAGCAGAGGGTATAACCAGGAGGGTTACGAAGGAATAATCAAAAGCTGTAAGAACTTTGGCTGATAGTATAAAAACAAAGTATTGTTTATGACAAAATATCAGTTTTTAAAAATTTCGAGAGCAGATGAGAAAATATGAGAGTAATATTGAAATGGTGGATCCTTAGTTAAAAAATAATCAGGAATTAGTAGACTTATTGATTGAGTATGAAACATAGTGGGAAAAGGGATTATCCTACTTATTGGAGCCTAAAAAATACACACAATTGATGTTATTTTCTCATATTATAGAGACAACAGCTGAAAAATATGCTTAATTTTCAGAGCAGCTGGAGTGTAGAGATAGTGATATTTTTGTTACTATTCCCTGTTTGATCGTATTAAAGCATTTAGAGAATGAAGACAAGAACATTTGTAAGTATTTTCTGCCGATGCTAAATGATGAGTCATCCAAAATTTATATGTAATTTCAAGAATTGAAGGAAAATTTCCTAAACTTTAGAAATCAGCATACAAAACAATACGAATATTATAACATTTTAGAGAAGAAACTGCTTGGAATAAAATAAAATGACATTTCTGAAGTGGAAACTTAGTAAATAGATAGGATAATGCAGAAGATCAAATTATTATCGATTGAAATATAGAGGTACAACGTTATTGAATGGAATTCGTTCATTGACGCAGCAATTAACAATATCTGATAATATTACATAAATGTTGTTTTTATATTCTTTTTCATCTCCTCAAATAGACTAGGATGGTTGTCATGTTGTCACAGCCGGTTCCTTGACTTGTGTCTGGAGCTAATAATTAGTCCAATAAATCTTCAGCAGCCTTTTTCAACAAGTCCTCAGTCACTTAGGCTTAACCAATAGTTGAGTTGACTTGCTTCAACAACTCTTGATGACTCAAAGTTTCAAAGACACCATCGCAACCCATTAAGATAAATCTAAATTGCTAGTTTAATCTATACTTGTCTTATGGTGTCAATTCCGTTTTCTTAACATCTGGAAGGGCGATAATCAATTATTCATTAGCTCTTAACTTGTTGTCACGTTTATATTCCAAATCTCCCAAAGCTCTCGATAAATTCAAGTTACCTATGATTCATTTATAAATTAATACCATTAACTCGACCATCACTAACGAAACCACCTGCTCTCTCAATTCTGGATTTCTCCTCGGGATTATCTGGCTTATGATCAACGCTCATGTCGAAATTAGAATTATTTCTGCATAAAACTGATCTTGAATCGCCAGCATTGGCAACATACAGAGTATTCTTATAAATCAAGGCTACATTGGCAGTGCATCCGGCATAAGATTCTAAAAATCTAATAAGAATTTACCATCAGTATCAGTTGCTTTGTATTAATTTAATTCCTTTTACCCATCTGGAGTCATCAACAATTCGTCCATCTTTAAAAATGTTTCTTTAAGAGCCTCCTCGAATTTGAGTTCCTTAAAGTTTTTATTTTTCAGTAACTCTTCCACAAAGTGCTTCTCCACATATTAGGCAACCTCCCTACCTCCATGTCCATCAAAAACACCAAAAACAGAGACATCTTGTACAATATCAGGTCGATGAATATGAGCATCCTCCATTGTGTTCCTCCAGCCTAAAATATTCCATATACACCATACCTTGCATTTCTGAGGCAGCAAATATAACAGACTTTCCTTATCCAGCTGTTGTTGTTTTATCTCTTTTTGGTTAGCTTAGATATGGCCCCATTTAATTTTATTTTATTTAATATCATTTATATCCACTTATTTCTATAAATACGAAAATTTCAGTATTCCACTAATCTTAATATCATTTTATTATTGAAAACTTTCCATGGGGACCTACTGCCCTTAACCTTTGTATTCCTTCTTTATTCACCCCTACTTATTGCAGTACAATTTTAAACAATCTCATCTATCTCCTATAGATATAAATGAAAATACCTGTACTTTTCAAATATTCTAAGGCATACCCACTTAATTTCAGAAATAAATAATTTAATCATCATTTCTTCATTGGTCGATTTAAATAAGGCAATAAACAAAAAAGTACAAATATTTTAATTTATAGAATTGTGATATAATGATGTTATGTATATTTTAATAATGAATAGTTCATTATGGAACCCTAACTTCGGGTAGTTGAATCTCTACATGACTCTTGTTTAAGAGCTATGGATAAACTATTGAAGGTACTTATTAAGGATATTGTTAATATATTGGATATCCAGTAACAGGTTGTTAAGGGATTTAAGCTCTTTGGGCAGATTATTATTATTATAACAACATTTATTGTTGGATCTACTATTACTACTATTATTATTGTAGTAAGGCTTCTTATTTTTGTTATTGTTATTAGTTCAACCAATTTTTAAATTGTTTGTATTGTTCAATTGGAACAGCATAATATTGAGGTTGTTGAACATTATCATTCATTGGTTCTCCATAGACAACAGTTTCTGATAGTTTGTTCATTCCTTACTTTTTCATTTTTTTTAAGTGTCTTCTTCTTCTCACAACTCTTCTAATTGCTAAAAATGCCACTACAGCAAAAATTGAAATGAGAATCCACTTAAATGCTACGATAATTAACTTATTTACCATGTCCTTTTTTGTGCTTGTAATGGTTGTGTTTGTTCTAATGTTAATCTCCAAGAACCAAGATTAGGAGTAAAGCTAAAATGATTATTTATTTCATTAAAAAATAAACAAAAATAAATTGCTTGTCAACTATTTAAATAGCTAATTTTTAGATATCAATGCAACCAATACCTATTCAGTTAATTTTAAAGCACTTCCTAGTCTTAGCAGGAAAGGTATCTTTAGCAGATGATTAAGAATTTAAATTAAAAAAATTATAAATCAATTATCCAAATCAGAGAGTAGTTTTTTAGTTTTAGTAATTTGTTTCAACTACTCTATAACACTCAGAATTGACTGCTCTTCTATTAATGAATCATCGGATTCGTTTTCGTCATCTTCGACAACCGAAGTTAAACTACTTAGAGAGTTCTGCTTTTGAGGTTCAATCACTTCATGATTCTTCATTTTGATATTTAAATAGCATTACCCATGGATACGATTTTAAATTGGTTGTATTGTTGTTTTTTTGCATCAATTTATAAAAGTATGCCTTAAGTTCATCATAGTTGATCACTTTGTATTAATCAATATTGGACAATTTTACATGATAATAAAATTAAATTATTTCTTTAGGTAGAGATGGGAATGCCTTCTCAATTATCAGATTCATTTTCTATAATTCCACTTCTTTAATTTTATCACTCTTCGTTTTCTTCTGCTTTGTTTTAAACAGTCGACCTCCAATGTAAAAATTAATTAGGATATATGCCAGGGATTCCAGATCATCTCTGGGACAAGGTTCTTAATTTAACTAATATGCATTACTTATCCCTAGGTGCAGATTTAGACTTGAATATTTGTTTAATGCTAAAGCGTATTGGAACTTGTTTTTAGTATTCTAGTTTAGTAACTGTCTCAATTTGTATTTTTGGGCGAACTTTAAGTCAGTTAAAAGCAGTTGAACTCCCCTGTGCATTGTCACAAATTTCTTCGGTTTTAAATAGCAATGAACCAACGATGCAGAATGCATTTTCTCCAACACAGATATCTGGTAATAGGTTCTCAATCTTACCGCTTCGATTGCCAGAGTTGCAAACACTTGATCAGAAAACTTCCGATTTTGATGTTGAAAGCAAAGTTTAAGAGAAGGCCCGCATCTTTCCTTTATATTGTAGCGATATTCCATATTCTTGAATTTGTATATTCCTTGTTGTATTGTCTTTGGAATGATTTGCACTAAAAGACTACTTTTATGATTAGTACAGTCATGCATTTTTTTAATGATTCTTTCGTCACAAACAAAGGAATTGTATTGCTCCTAACTATGTTATATTGTAAATCATTATACCTTTTCATTTCTACCAAATAGTACATATTCGGATCATCCTTATTTAAAGCTACACTTCCTATTAGATCTACCTAATTACCTAAATACAAGTTATGACTTCGGCCCTTGTAAATTAAACGCACGAGAAAATATTTATGATCTAAAACTACAGCATTCGCATTTCTTTCAAAGGAGTTTGACTCAGTTATTGAATCACTCATGTTAATTAAAAATCTTAATTATAATAAAGACAATGCATAAGTATTTAAAAAGGAGTGCATAACACCTTAATTAAGTAAAAACTTATTATTCATACACTTTGAGATCCCTTCTAGGAATTGAAGACATTCTGGAATAGAAAATCACAATATCATATAAGCATATAATTAATTTAATATTAATTGTCTTTAGTAGTATAAGTTAGTAATTAAAAAATATATTTATTAATTGGAATAAGCTGATAATTTAAGTAATTATAGCTTTATTATTATTAACGTCTAAATACTGGGGATGTTATCATCATCATAGAAGACTTATTGGATGTTACTCTTAATATTATTGTTTTAATTGTGATTTAAAGTAAACTCTTTGATATGCTATGGGGAGATAACTGAATGAAGAGATAAATCTAAAAGTCAAGAGGCAATTTAAATAATTTTGTTTTTATTTGAATTGTAATTAAAAAGTTTGATAATAAATTTGATTATATTTATTTATAATTAAATAACTACCAATAATGATGTCATTTCTTGGACTGCTTAAATTGAGATTCTATCAGCTTCTAAAGGTTAATTGAGATGACTTAGCTTATAAGCAATATGTTTATAGTCTTTATATAATTATTAATCGTAATATTGTGAAACAGAATATTTTTTTCAATATATTTATTGGATTTCTATTAATTTCTGAATTATATTTCAGGTCTAAATTTCTTCTATGATTGTGCTATTTGAATGAATATATATATATTTGTAATGTATATAAGCAAGAAAAGCGCTTGCCAAATATAAAAAAGGAAAAGGTACGATAAGAAAAAAAAATTATTCAGTTAAGCTCTTTAGGTCAAGGGTATAAAATAAAAATCGAACATATTTGTTAAAAATAAAAATCGAAAAACAAACTCTATATTATTAGTATTCTTTATAGAGAATAATTTTATATAAATACCAAAATCTTTTTTTTCATTAGACATAATTTAATATATGATTAAGAACAACCTATAGATTTTTGTAGTGTTGGCGATTTTATTTGTTGCACATGGAAACTAACAGATATGCACGTGTAAACAATTAAAATCAGAGCAAGACTGCTCTAAATTCCCACTTCAATATTGTGAGTGGAAGAATAATAGTTGTGAGGTTTCAACCTAGCCCACATAAAATCCAGTTATAGAGGGTAAGCCTTTTTGCTCTCAATATGCACTGTAACAGGATTGTCAAAAAGCCTTTATTTGTACAAACTGTTAGAACAAACAACTAATATGCGATGGATGTTTAAAACAATATCCTTGTGTATGGGAAGCCTCGTAGTGCTAGTTCTTTACTGGGTGCTCTGCATACGTGCTTAAATCACATGCAGAATGCAATCTTATATCATTATAGTGCACATCAGATCTAACTTAGTGTATTCCTGTAGGGGAGTGCACTGAATATAATACAGTTGAAGCTTGCTAGCAAAAAAACATCCATGGCCAATAATGTACATGGGATCCTTAATTGGGATGTAAAGAACTTTCCAGCTGCTCAGAAATTTCAAAGTTATTATCTACAAGTCATGATGCTTGTAATAGTCAATTGAGCAAGTGTACTGTGAATAATAACTCTCAGTGTGTTGATTTGTCATCAGAATGTGGAGATTATTCATTTGAAGATCAATGTAAACTGACGTCATCTTCAGTTAAATGCTAATGGTCAAATGGCACCTGTAGAGAAGTGACTTGTGAAGATGCTCCAATACATTATACTTACTTTGAATGCATATCATTTATGAAGATCTGCACAGCTAAAAGTGGGGGAGGATGCCAAAAAATTACTTACTGTTAAGATATAAAAAACCAAAGTGACTGTCAAAACAAAGAAGATACAAGTGGAAAACCTTGTTTTTGGGTAAGCACCTTTAGTCAATGCGTAATCCATGAATGTAGTTAGGCTCCATTAGACTATCAGACAGATAAATAATGTTAATCCTTCAAAAGTGAGTGTGTAACTAACGAAGGAATTGGCTGTAAGTTGAATACTGGATGCAGTGCCATAGCAACACAACAAGAATGCAACACCACTAAGAGTGCAGAAGGCAAGGATTGTATGTGGGAAGATTCTTGTGTTGAAAAGGTCTGTGAAAATGCATCAACTAAGTTGACCACACATGAGTAGTGCGAGAAATTCCTGTTCTCGTGCACCACTGACTATGGCTATGGATGCCAAACTAAAACTTGTAAGAATGCTCCAGATACATTGAAAACAAATGAAGATTGCGAAAGATATCTTCCTGATAATCATTGCATTACTAGAAGTGGAGGGGGGTGCATTCAAAATGATTCTTGCTCCAAAGTCAGTATAGAAATTGCTTGTGTGAAGGATATTAACGGAGCAGATTGTTAATGGTATGAATAAACTGATAAATGTATTACTAAGTAATGTAATAAAGCACCAACGACAATCAACACATAAGATTAATGTTAGACCTTTTGGTCGAAATGCAAAGTGAATTCATCAGGCACTGGTTGTGAAGACAAAATTTGCGAGAATTTCTACGAATAAGATACTTGCAAAGGACAATTGGATTTTTATGGAAGAACCTGCTCATGGAGAAATAAATGCATTCCAAAAACTTGTCAGAGTGCCTCAAAAGAGATCAAAACACATGAAGATTGTAATGCTTATTTAAGCACTTGTACTTTGTCTAAAACTGGTAAAGGTTGTATGTCGCTTCCTTTGAAATGTGAGATGATAGAGTTGGAGGAAGGATGCAGATTAAGGCAATCTATTGGTCTAAATTCTACTGGCAACAACACAAAAGAGTGTGCTTGGAAAAACAACAAATGCTAAGATAAATCCTGCTCTACTGCACCCATAACCAGGGACTCAAATATAGCCTGCCAGGATTACATGAAGGGTTGTTACGTAAACAATGATAAAAGAGGATGTTGGGTTTTGCCAGAATGCAGTTTAAGAGCCCTTTAGGAAACCTGCGAAATTCCAAACACTTTTGATTGTGTTTGGGATGAAGGCAACTCAAAGTGCTTAGTAAGGAATTGTGTCTCAACTCTATTTAGTATTGATAGAGCCAATTATAAGACGGCATAAAGTTGCAACCAATACAGGTTGAATTCATCCAATTGTCCTAAGCCAGATGGCATAGGTTGCTGCACATTAAATGATCTAGGGTTGGGATGTATGAAGAAACCTGATGTTTGTTCTCAATTGAAAACAAAAGATAATTGCAGGGAAAAGAGTCTCTATTTAGATGGGGATTGTTTATGGACAGGAGATGCATGTGTGACAAAATCTTGTACTGCTTTAAATCTAAAGATATACTCTTTAAGTTACAATCATTAAAATTGTTATTAAACATCATACAACTCATGCACCGTTAATGATGATGGAACTGCTTGCGCTCCATTTAAATCAAACTGTTCATCATATACACCCACTGAGCAATGCAATATTGACTCTAATGGTAATGAGTGTGTAATCAGATACAATTAAACAACTTAAAAATATACTTGCGATATGAAGAATTGTGGAGATGTGGCTTCTAGTTAGTATAATTCATTTGCTGCTTGTCAGGAATACAGTGAAACATGCACGGTAATTGCAAGGGTAAATGGAAAAGGTTGCATAAAAAAACAGGAATATTGTTACAATTATCTTTTCCCTGAATAATGCTTTAAGAATCTGGCTGGGCAAATGTGTGTATGGAACGGTAAAAGGTGCTGGGATCAAGATAAAGTTGATTGTTCAAAACTCGTATTGATAAATTATTCGACATAAACTTGTGAAGATGTTGCTTTCTATTGTAAAGCTAGTGATGATAAAAAAGCATGTGTTTTGAAAACATGCTTCGATTATACCACTTAAACAGGAAAAACTGGAGGACCACCAATATCTTCATTAACTCATTGCTAAAATTTAAAAGCTAATAAAGTTGGATGCTCGATTAATAATACTTTGACTGGTTGTGTTCCCGAAAAAGATCGTTGCGCTTAATATACACCATAAGAATGCTATAATGCTGCTGTAGATAAGCTTTGTGTGACAAATGGGGCATCGTGCTATATGTAATATACAACTTGTAGCACTTGGTAGGAAGACAAAGATGCAGATTGTAAGAAAAATAGAGAGTTTTGTAAATACCCCATAGATGGAATTGGTAAAGTAGCTTGTGTCAATAGATCTTGTGATGAAAAGACTGGTGTAAATCTGACAGAGTAAACTTGTCATTAATTTGATTAAACATGTACTGTTAGTAAAGATAAAACGAAATGTATATTGATTTAGTCTAGTTGTGGTACTTACAAGGATGAGAACTTATGTGTAAAGTCTGAATAAAGTAATTGCATTTGGTAAGTGGGTACTACGAGTGAGTGTGTTGGTATTACAAACTTATCCGATGCAGATAAGAATTGCTCATACAAAAAAGGATCAGGATTAACCTATCAAGATTGTTAAGACTTTAGCTCATTTTGTAGTGTCAACCGAGCAGGAACTGAATGTGTGGCTAGAAAGTAATGTGGAGGATATGAAACTAGAGTTTCTGATTGTTATAGAAGTCAGGATGAATTATGTGTCTAGTCCACATAAAATGATGCAGATGCGAAATGCTAATCCTCTGCTGGAGTGACCTGTGAATAGATTTTTCTTGGAAAAGATACTGTTTATACTTTTGACAAATGCAGTCAAATCAACAAGAATTGTACAAATTAAGGTACTTCAGGTTGTACTCTCAAAACTTGCTAGAATGCAGTTGGACCCTTCTCACATGATAAATGTGTAGCATGGAAGAGTGCATGCACTGTGAATGCTTCAAACAATGGATGCATAGAAATGAAGAGCAATTGTTTGAGTTATCCTTCCAATTAATGTTTAAGATCTGTTCTTGAAGGGCCATGTATGTTGGATGTGAAATAAAATATATGCATAAAGAAAACTTGTTACTCTTCTGATGATACTTTAACAAGTGATGCCTAATGTGAATCATATATGTCAACATGCACTGTAGCTTAAGCGGGAGGCTGTATGTCTAGAAGCTCTTGTGATTCTTACATATCGGAGTTACAATGCATTGTTGATCAATAAAATCAAATCTGCTTTTGGAATCCAACCTTGAAAAAATGTGTAAATTTTGAATGCAAATCAATAGAAAAAACAGACAAATATGATTCTCATGACGAATGCTACGAGTTAAATAATATTTATGATCCCAAAAAGCAAAATAAATTTTAAAGATGCACTGTCAATTTTGTGGTAGATCCTAATAACTAAACAGTCTCGTATCCAAGTGGATGCATGAATTTATAAGCATGCAATGAATACCGTCACTAAGAGCAGTGTGTTATTGATTCAACTGGCTAATATTGTCATTGGAACACAGATAATCCTGAAAATTTTTTCTGCGAATAGATTTCATGTTAATCGGCTGATCCAAATAAATATTAAACACATAAGGCATGCACTGAGCTGCAATTAAATAAATAAACTTAAGTTTAAGACAAATGTACTGTGGGTGTCACTGAAATAGCACCAGGAGTCCTTTCAGCTTATGGATGCCGAAACAGAGATGCATGTGAAGAATACAAAATCGAAGATCAATGCAGATTCAGTTCCACAGGTCAAGAATGTAAGTGGGATAGTATTAATTCAGCTTGTTACACGAGATTGTGTAGTAAAGCACCATAAAATTTCACCACTCATGAACGTTGTAGTGATTTTGCACCTAATTGCACTCTCAGTTAAACCTTGGCTGGATGTATGGATTTGACTCCAAAATGTGAGGATTACCAAGTTAAATCTTAATGTACTAAGAGTGTATATGGTGATTTATGCTTTTGGAATGGCGCTTAATGTGTAACAAGATTATGCAGTAATACACCAGATGATTTAGATGGAGAGTGCTCCTCATATTTAAATACTTGTGAAAGTAGTGGAGACTAAAGATGTGTCACAATTGACTGTGAATAGTATTCCTTTGTGACTGATATTGCTTGTAAATAAGCAGGCCTGGGAGGATAATGTACCACTGATGGAACTCGATGTGTTTTGAGGACAACCTGTGAAGATGCAAGAACTCAAGATGCTTGTAGAGTCAATAATTTAGGGCAACAGTGTGTTTGGAATCAACCCACAGCAACAAGTGATGCTTACTGTGAAATAAGCATTTGCGAACTGGCATCGGTAACAGATTATGTCAGTGAAATACAATGTAGATCTTACAATTCTCAATGTACTCTTAAAAAATCAGGAGGTTGTAAGTAAATTTAAGATTGCAACACTTTTGAATCGGAAGCTAGTTGCACCATTTCCAAAGATGGTAAAGTATGTGTTTGGGACAAGGATAAAGGTTGCAGGAGTAATGACTGTACAGATCTAACTGGTACAGATCATTTCAAATGTAAAAAGCAAAATAGATAATGCACGACTTCCAAAACTGGACAATGTGTCAATATGGCAGCTACCTGTGCTGAATATTAGATTGAAGGAAGTTGTGTTGAAACTTCTGATGGTCTACCATGTTTGTGGGTTAAAGCTTTGCAGAATGTAAACAATCCTTTAGGACAGTGCATACAATATTTGAAATGTGAAGATATCCCTTTGACAACTGATGCATAATGCAAAAGTGTATTATCAAAATGTACATCTAATGGTACAACCTGCACACCCATCAAAAAATGCGAAAATCTGAATTCTACTAACTGCAATAAAGGCTCTGATGGATTATGCATGTTGGCTCTTAAAGATGCCACTTCAACAACTAAAACATGTATGATATTCAAATCATGCAGTGATACTTTCTATAAAACACATTCAGAGTGTTAAGGAGTAAGCCCAACTTGCACTACTAATGGAATTCAATGCATGGATGTGAAATCAACTTGTTAGGATTATACTGATAAATCATCGTGTTTCATCAAAAAGGTTGAGAATACTAATACCTCAACAAGTACTAATGTTTGTGTCTGGGATGGGTCTTGTAGGAATTAAGCCTGTGCAGATATTAATGGATCCGATCATTAATTCTGTAATTCAAAGATGAGTTCTTGCACTTCTGATGGTACGAAATGTATGAATATTTTAACTTGCGAGTCATACAAAACCAGAGCTTAATGCAGCAATGGGTATGGAAGAAGTTAGGGATTAAATAATAATCCGTGCTATTGGACAGATGTGAGTTAAACTTCTGGATCTTATTGTAGAGTTAAAGCTTGTATTGACATATTTTCGCCATCCACAGCCTCTTGTTCCAATATTACTACATGTGTTTATGATGCAACTAATTAAAGTTGTATCACTAAGTAAAACTCTTGTAGTTCATATCAAGATTAGAATGCCTGTAATTCAGGAACATTAAGTTCTACAACTTGTTATTGGGCTAATAGTAAGTGTTCAGATGTTACTGGATGCGAAGTAATAACTGAGTAGACTAAGTGTTTATCACTTAGAGGATGTAGCTATATCACTTCAAATGGTACTTCTAAGTGTGTTCCCTAAGATTGCTAAAGTGTTTACTAGTAGACAAATTCTTGCAAGTTTATCTAAACATTTAATTCAGAAGCAACGAAAACTTGCATGATATAGAATGGATAATGCACATCAGCGGAACCGTCTATTTTAACTTAGGATACCTGTCTGATCAATTCAAATTACGCATATACTTGGAGTGCAGCTAAGTCTAGATGTGTTATTTGTGAGGACACTAATACTACTACCCCCAACGACACTGATAACAATACAATTACAGATGACTCAGCTTTGAAGATCAGCACAGTCTTAATGTTTTTGGCTATGATTGCAGGGTGATAATGAAGGATTATCATAAAAATATATAAAAAAATATAAATATCATTCTTATGTTGGTTTTCTTTGGGTATCCTATCTTGAAGTAAAATAACACCAATCGATAATTGTAAAATTAATTATCAATTTTTGATTTATTCATAATTATAATATACCATGCATAGAAAAAACTTATGGAAGAAAGAATTGAAATATTCCTTAAACTATTTCATCTCTCTCTTTTTTTTGGGATTAGAAATTGAACTTCAGGCTGATTTAAATGTAATTCAAATTCTTTCCATAATCATCATTGTTATTTCAATTGCATTTAGAGTGCTATATTCGTTTTAGCAAATCTCTTGGAAAATAGGTATGCAAATCTTATATATATTAAGATATCTCTCCTATATTCCTTTGGCTATTAACTCTGGCAAGAATTAATAGTGCTAGTAATTTAAATTAAGAATGGAATTCCTTTCTTTTTTATACTCTGGGCTTTGTGAATGGCCAATACAACAGCACACTTAGCATATAAAACGAAAATCCCATCATCTATAAAGGCAAGATCTTTGTGCAAGTCGTAATTTTAGTTACTTGCTTATCTATTACTAGTGATATTAAACTTGGGATTATGTTCATACTAATAATTTTATGTATCTTGGTGGGATTCAATGAAATCTTTTATAAATAAATGTTGAATGAAATAGAAATCCAAGTCAAAGAAAATAAATAAAACAGACTCTTTAATGAACTATCATTTCAATAAATTTAAAAATCTTCAGCCAGACCCCTAAATGACGAATAACTCTTCATCAAGCATTCAAGAGCTTGTCCTCTTGATTCCATTGCTGAGGATGAGGAGATACCTGAATCTAAATAAAAATAACAGAATGCATCAAACTCTACAAAATCATCTCTTTGGGGCAACTTCGTATTCTAATGCGATGATTACATAATTAAATTTTCATTTAACGCTTATTAAAATAATTCTCTACTATAAAACTCCGTAAGCAATTATTCGTTTAGTAAATTCCTTTAAGATAATAATATCACATTTGTAGATTTCCTATCGGAAATGAAGGTTTTCAATGACATTTATTGGACTTAATTTGATATCCAAAGTCCTGAATTCAAAAAACAGCAAAGTCTTTATGATTGGCTCCAATACCATCTAGAATAGTATAAAATTATCGAGTAACTTCAATCCAAGAAATCCTTGAAACAATTAGATGCACCAGATCCCCTCCAGTTAAGCAATCTCTCCAATCAAAAATCCTTATTAATGGATCTGATTATGGAGAAATCCATAATGGGGTTGTCCTCTATCCCACATTAGTAGAGCTCATCGGAAGCTATGAATCTGAAAAACAGTAAAATGAATCTTTTTGGAAGGATAAAAACCAATAAAAGCATGTATGATTTATAAATCAAATTCTACATCTTTGAAGAGGTATAACTGTATAGTAACTTAGGACTCCGACGGTTTGGCTATTGTATTTTTGATGCGAGATATCGATAAACTAGTATAATCAATTAAGTAGAACGTGAAAAATCTAGAATTGTTGGATGTGTCTACAAAATTTATATAGAATTAAGCTTGCAAAATAACTGAAATTCATAAATGGATTCGTGAAATCAAGAGTCCATCTAGTTTACTTGAGACTGATTACTTAAGTCGAATGGGTACGTCAGCTCGAAGAAGAACTTATTCATTGTGCTCAAACAGAAATAGCGAAGAGGGATAATCTGATATTTCTGAGAAGGTTTAGCTTCGGAGACAAAGTCAACTATAGTTATTTTTATCGAAATTGTAATTTGAATTCTTTTAGGTTGAATAGGATAACTTCAATTTTTACGAGGTGTTTTCATAGACAGAAAAAATCTTGTTTGATAAGAAAAAGATTGATATTTGTTAAAGTGTTCATTTAATTTTTGATTAATTTCATCATAATCAAACTCTTATGAAATATGGTGTCAAATTAATGTTGATTGACAATAATCTACATGATAAAACTATCATTACAGATGCAAGGTTATATTTAATTTAATTTATTTAGAAGATTTAAATAGTTATTGATCAATATAATTAACAATTCAATCCAGGCATATTAATTTGAATAGTATCTACAATAGCCAAACGAAGTTGAAATAACTGTGTGGAATTATTACGAAGAAATACACTTCACAATCACAGATTATGGCTGTGGACTGACTCATTTTTAACTCAATCAAATACGACTGTAAGAATGTAAGTTAGGGTTGGCAGCAGCATAACGGTTATTGTATTAATTGAGTGGTGGAAAGAAGCAAATAATGATCTAGTGTGTGAATTAAAGAACTACTGTATCCTTCCAATTGCCAAGGATTTTAATGGATGATAAAATCTTACAAAACACTGAGTTTGATTATGAATATATTAAGTTTATTAATTCTTGAGTATGTTATTAATTAAAATAAAAAAATAAACCCATTCAACTTGATTAGCTAAAAATGGAAAATAATTAAAATTCAGATGTTTAATCCTAACCACCTATCACAATATTTCCCAATTGCTCTAATATTGATGATGATTAAGAAATAGAAAATTAAGAGATAGAAGAACAAAAACAATATTTTTCTCAGTTATTTGAGGAATTATGTGCTTATTCTATTAATCCATAGGAGGAAGCCTTCATTGACAAGAAGTAAGTAACCTTATATGATTCACGTTTTAGAAGGACTAATAAATTCAGCCAATTCAGAAGGGGATCCTACAAGATTATGAAAAAACAACAAGAAAGGAAGAGAAAGTAGCAAATAATTGAGTAACTCTTCTAAAAACAATAAAAAACAGACTTTATTGAATTTAAATAGAAGAAGTGTGAAGATAAGTGTATTTCAGAAGAAATTTATATATAATAAGGGGAATGGCATGAGGACCACTGTATTCATGTTTAGGAGCATGATGTCATTCCCCTTGGATACTTGAGATGTGGTTAAGGTAATTTTTTTGAATATCTTTTGCTTTAGATTTAATGCTCCTAAACGAGAATACATGCAATGTCAACAATTATGAAAATTGCTTGCAATTAACTAATAATAATGAAATCAACAACAATTAATTATTCATGAATGCATTGGATATACCATTAGCACCAGAACCACAATTGCCAAACCTTTGAGTTGCCCCCTTGTTTCTGAGGAGCTCAGAAAAAGGGGTTGAAATAAAGTTGCGATCACTTGTGAAGTGACAATGCTTTCATCGACACCTATATATAATACATTTTTCTAAATATTCTTTCATTATTATTAAAAATTGAAATTATTGTACATTTTAGTAGAGCAGTTGAGATTTTATGAATCCAATCGCAGAGAAATTATTGATCTATTATAACAGTATTTGGGAAGTGATGTCCTTTTCAATGATAGGGAATGCATATAATAAGTACGTAAACATTTCTCTGTTGCTCAATAATTTTTCATTCAAAAAGACAATGTGTTTGAATCAAAAGTGAAATACATCATTAATATACTATTTCAGTCACTGCATAATAACCTATTCATGATAGTATTTAACAAAAAAATTTGCATTTTAGAATGTTGATAAAATTAATGTTATATAATTTTGAATAATTAAACAAATGTTGTAGTTGCATTCAAGGATATTCAAGGAAAATAGAAATCATCTTTCAATGAAATTTTTTGAAAGTTCATTAAAAATAAAAATACATGATTATTAACTAAAATATTATCCTTTCTTGAACATAATGCAAATTAGATCCTGTAAATAGTTGGTTCAATTTCAAAGGTGATAAGATATTGATCAAAATAAGAAAATTGAAGAAGGAGAATAATTGATTTTCAATTAATAAATAACGATTCAGAATGAATTAATTTATCATTTATATTTCAGAGTTATTATTAGTTTTTATTTTAAGTAGAACCACCAAGATTGCATTTTTAGTTGGCAATCAATATTGAATAAAAATAAAAAGTAATTATATTTTTATTTTATTTATTATGAATCAAAGTGAAGTTAATGAAGAACACTCACCTCATAACTCAGAACATGCTTCATAAAATATCTCTTAATTTTTATAAAGGGACTATTACGAGAAGTTCAAGCTTGGTTAGAATCTTTATGAATAATCAATTACTTTGTCGAGATTATCATTAGGAGAGAAGACTAGCGAAGATTATAATAATAATACATACGTAGGGTTGATACAAATTTAAGAACGGTTATCGGATGAGATTTGCAAAAACCAAGTAAATTATTGACTACAATTAGCCAGCTATTAGAGAGTAAAGTAACATAACTCACTAAGGATCTATAGGCAGCCATGGAGCACACAGCTTTACTCCAAAAATAAAATGAGAATTATGTTCAGATGTTGCAAGAAGCCAACGCAAAATTGCAAAAATAGATTAGGAATAATGAAATAGAAAAAGTGTTAAACTAGTAATTAATGAAAAAAAATTAGGAATTATTAGAAGTAAATAAGTATAATCTTAATCTATTTAGTAATTACTAGAAATAAGTATAGAATTTGGAAAAGAAGAAATAAATCTAGAACTTTTCGGATTGCAAAAATATTATATTAACCAAGTGTCATCAAAAGTCCAATCAATCAATATGTTCTTCAAATAGAAATAAAGAAAAATAAAATCAAGGGAATACAGAAGAGTCCACAGTTAAGGATTCCTCCTTAAGCGATTTTAGATCGAATGACAATCCCAGATTTGCTGAGTCGGCTCAACAGTTTTACAAATCCTAAAATTTTTGGTCTCCAGCAAAATAGTCATCTCCGAAAGCTCAACCTCTGAATCTTGAAAAAAGAATCGAGTCTACTTTAGCATAAATAAGAGCCATCAAAATGCAAATTCAACAATTAAATTAAAAATGATATATTTCATTTGTTTTCATTATATTAGAGGCATGCAAAAGTTATAAAAATGCTTTTCCTCAAACATGTCTGCCTTCCTCCAACTCACTCCCTATTTCTCAATAACCGATTTGATGGTATCATTGGCAGTGTAATGCGGATCCAATATTAAGAATCTACAATCATCATCATTATAATCAATTCCCAACAAGGTGTAAGCATAGAGACCACCACCAAACATAATGGGTGCCCCATAGTTCTCAAAATAGCTTTTGAATTCAGGTAATTTAGAAACAACATCGGTCCCCTTGGAGACATTTAATATTTTGCATTCCACAGCAGTCAGATGTGTAATTAACATACTTACTTCAAAGGCTCCAATCCATTCTGATGTTCCAACAAAATTAATCGGTTTATCTCCCATTTCTACTAAGATTTATTAGATCCTTTTGTGATTAGGTATCTCCTTCTTGCTTGTATAGCCATTCTCCATCAACCACGATAACACACTTTAAAATGATCTGTAGGCACATCCCCAACCTTTATCATCGAATCCATCTTGCATATAATGATGAAAGACATAATCTCCTCTAACAAAGTATCTTTTTCCATTGTCCACTATCAATTTATTCACTACACTTACATGCTTTTGGACTGAGGTAATGATGAACATTCAATATTTTGTTGTTTTCAGTATCAATTAGATTATTGATCTTATTCTTATACACAATTAATCGTCTATTATTTTTGAAATCAGATTTAAACAATTGGATTTTCTAAGCCTCGTCGTATTTATTAATTGGAAATACCGTTTTATCGTTGAAGTATAGTACTTATTTCTAATTTCATAAATATTTATTACTTTATTCGATGATAGAGCTTTTATTAATTGCTGAATGTGCGAATTGATAATCTAAATAGGATTTGCATCACTCAAATGATATGAAACAAATTCAAATTCATCTTCCATCAATTCAGAATTAATATACGGTTGGATAACTTCATTTTCATCTGTTCCTTAAGCAAGTACAAAGTTTAAATCAATAATAGGAGGATGCTTAAATTGCAATATCTTCCCCAAATTACCTATTTGCTAGGAGTTTATCAACATTATTTACTTCTTTATACTCCCTTTTCACTTACTGAATGAGTGCTGTAAAAAGATCAGATGAGGACTCTTGTTTTTATTTATTTTTTGCTTTTGCTTGATTCTATTATTGTTCTTGGACAACTTCTCCTCGATTTAGTTGAAAGACTATTTAATTATTTCCTTTTTGAACAATCTTCTTTAATCTATAAAGATACTGCATGCAACAATTAATTATCCAATTAGCCATTGCCCAATAGTCTCTAGTATCCAACGATATTGGTAAACAAGCAAATGTATTGTTTAAAAAAGTCATTCAAATCGCACGATCTATTTTACTATATATTCTCTTTAGGTATTTCTTCCACGCCCCCAATCATGGGAGGCTTCATTCCTGTGTATAATATTTGATTTCCTAAGCCGTAAGCATTTTCGTTATCTTATAGCTATAGATTGCACCATAGAAAACTTCCTTTATTATTATTCATAATTAAATTAATGAATAACATTTATAATTATTTTCATATAGAACCATAAAACTATTTTTGACCAGAAGAAAAAGTTTCATCTGGTTCCTCAGAAGGCAAAAAGGATTCTCCAGTCAAACCAAAGCATTTTCTAATACTCCTTCCCACACATCTAAAATTTATCATTATTTTATTGTACGTTTTCTATTGGCAGGTGATGCATAGAAGCAAACTAATCAACGTAGTGAAGAAAGGAATATTGGCCAAGCCCTTCTTTCTTCCTATACACAAGTTTATGATCAGACCAAACACTACTATGAATATAACAAAATAAACAGCAAATGCTATGTAAAGTTAATGATAAAACTTACTTTTTGTGTCACCTTCTTAGTACTTAGCATTTATCACATTTTATACTTTGAAAGCATAATTGCAATCTTTTACAATTACCAATGTGATATCCTTAAAATATTGAAATGGAAAGGTAATCTCAATTTTAGATGTTCCTAATCCAACACACTTAAAATTCAAGGTAAGTTCGCTTTCTTTATTTGTAATCAAACCCCCATTTGAGAGTTCTCCCTCAAACCAAGATTTAGTCACGTTTTCCATCTCAACATCCACATATGGTTGTGTCAGATTTACTTCTGGTATTTTTTTCAGAGTGGCTACATCTGTAACAAATCCTTCTGGAATTTGATCTGTAGAAGATACTTCAGTTTTCATTTAAAGGATAAATTTTATTACGTTTATGTCTCTTGAAACATTGAACACGTAATTGTCTAAATCAGAATCAAAGTAAGAAGCATTTATGATTTCTGAATTTTTAATAATCTCTTGTCTGTAGTTTTTATAGACCATATCCACACTAAAACCTTCTCTCAAAGTCAGAGGATTGCCACAGAATTTCTTCCAAAATATTTAGGCATCTCCACATTGAGGTACTTGAAATTGCATCTCGTAATTAATAAGAGTTCCTCCATATTCCTTACACTTATAATTGATTTCTATAGCATATTCTGTATGTTTTCCATTCGGTCTATGATCTAATCTTATCGAAGAATCTGCATAGTAATGATCATCGAAAATTAATTAGAAATTCTCTATTGCTAAATTGGGATTATCACTAGTGATATATATATAATCCACGTATTGAGAAGCAGGTACAATGATTGGATTTTCTATTAAATATAACAAAGTTTTACTTGCTTTTCTGCTCCATTATTTTGATGTGACACCTTAGGAAATGATATCATCTTATGCCTTTTTGAGATTGGTGCTCACTTACAATGTCTTACATATTTCGCTAAGATGAACGAGATTTAAAAGTCCAAGCAGAATTAAATAACGAGCCATAGAATTTTAATTATTACAAAAGTGAACTAACATACTTGATACATTTGGACATTTAAAAGAGCTTAATCAATAAAAAACGAATGAAAAAAAATTAATTTATATAATATTTAATCAAGAATCAACCTTATGAATTCTATTCAAATATTCTCTAATAGCCTTGATTCTCTAAATTAAATTTAGGGGTATCATCGATAAAAGAAGCGTTGTTCTTCTGATCTAGAATCAATTTAGAGATTAATTTACTTCGTTATTTATCTTGTTCGCTATTGGCCACCAAAACAACAGATACACCAAAATGAGCACAACCAAGAACACTATAAATATGGTCACAGTCGTGGTTGTGTTCGTGTCCAAGTCTTTCTGCATGCTTTCATTAAAAGTGATAAGCAATTACTAAAATATTGACCTAATGTATATGTCTTGCATTTGATCTATTCATAAATCAACATTCATACTTATTTCGATCGCAGCTATATCTGTGTACATGAGCGAGAGTATCTTATTCTCCTAACTATTGGTAGTAAAATTGTAAACCGTACCTGCTATTGTTGTGGATGTAGAATCATTTAGAAGAGAGTCATAGACAGTAAGCAAATACCTAAGATTTTCGAAGTGTCTTGATAAAGCCAAGGCCAAAGATTCATCCACAATTCCTTTAACGAAACCCTAGCAAGTAGCTAAATCTACTCCAGCAATTTTGATAACCTCGTTGCATGCTCCAGCCTTCATTATTGTATCAAAATAATCATTATAAATAGCATTGTGATATCCTAAGTTTAAGGAATGATCTTTTTGCATGTTCGTATTCAAATTATAGAGATCTTTGACAAAATCGGCAGATAAAGTTTTAGATACGTTGTTTTTAACAGGGAAGTTGGCATTCCATAGCATCTATCGAAAAACGTTATTCGCAAACGTAATAGAAGGAACAGCCATTGAGGTAGCGTTCATTTCTTAAATTAGTTACTACATAGAGCTCTACAAATTAGCTCCTATTAAATAATGGGCTATAAAGTAGGCAATGAGCAATCCAATGGATATAATGAATTTAATATAGAAATTCCTCTTGTCTTTGGAATCATATTTATACTTCTTTCTTTTTTTTCTTCTTCCAAACTCTTCTACAACTCCTTCTCCTTCATCATTTTCTTCAAATGACAAATCGTTTTCTTGATTTGCCTCTTCATCTTCACCTATTTGGAGAGTGTTCGAAAAAGCTTCGCACTTAGTGAATAATTACTTAACTTTGGCCAAAGGAATCTCTAAAAATAATTTTATAACTTCCTCCTAATTTTGTGAAACTAAGCTAAAGGCACAAGCAATCCATGGAATTGAAATGACTGTAAAAACACATGCTACGATCAATAAAATCAACAAAACATTCGAATCATAAGCCAAATCGATTAATTAATTGGTATATAGATCCACACTCTCTAAGGTAGCTTAATAATAATCGTTTAACAAGTTGTATCTGATGAAATAGATGGAATCTGCTTCAGGATCAAATTCTGTGATATCAAAATTCATAATTTCAAAAGCTTTTGATATGATTTGAGAAGTTCCTTAATTGATATCAACTAGTTGATTGCTATCACTTCCACTATCATCTCTACTAACCATTTTAATGGAATTCGTAGTCATCAACTCATCCTGTCTTCCACCAACATTTGTGGATGATTGAATTTTCGATTGAATATCTTTTAAATCGCTAATCGTTGTATTCATATTGGTAAGCTACACTTTTACTTTATCATCAGTACCAGCTACATTTATTTTATTTAATCTGCACAATTCCATAATTTACCATTAAATTCTTTAACCTAAAGCTACTCTGATATTTGAGTCTTACATCATAATGTACCCATCTTAAATATCTTAAAATAATTATTGAGTCAGCACATAATCCAATAAACCCAGTACTCCTAAGCATATGATCAATATGGCAGCACTCCATTTAAAACATATCATACTACTCTAATTGACATTACGACTCTCCGACAAGAATTAAACAAAAGTTCTTCTGGACTTATAAATATTAGCATGGCCACCTTCGGCTTCTTCCTCTTCATCTTCCTTTTAAACTTATTGCATTCCAGTGGTACCTCCTTTCTTTGATTCATTTTCTTCTGCATCCTCATCAGAATCTTAGTTTTTGAACTCTTCGATGTCATATAATTATCCATTGATATATTTCATAGTCCTTATTCCTAAGGCGAGGTCTAATTTTTCCTCCTTCTCCCCTATATTGGAAGTGGGTGTCTTTTCATCTTCTTTAACTGGTTCTCTTTATGAATAATCAAATGTTTCATCCTATTTAACACTTGAAATGGCAGACATCTAGAAATTTTAATCTTAGGTGTACTCTCCAGTGAAAATATGTTATGTTTGATCAAATTAAAAATAGAATTTGACTTATTGTTGTTTTTTAATTTGTGATTATTCATTTGGATTAAGAAAAGATTTCTCTTGTCTATTATTTTCAATTTTTACAATGTAACCTTGTAATTTAGAATCCCTAAACATGATTTCACCTGCAGTGATATTAAATTTACCTTGAACTGATTAGTCTCTATTTTTAAAATTAATGTCTGTTTCAGCTCCTGTTTTGTTCAGATATTCAGTGATATTTTCTTGAAAATTTGGAATGAGATCACTCACCTTAGTCTTCTTTTTTGTGATATAATTCAAATCAATGTGGAACATAGTAATAAAGGTGGCTGAAATATTTTCAATTTCTTAAGTTTATCCGTTTACAATCATAAAAGCTACGTTTTTAAATACTTTTTCTTGTCTCATGGCTCCGAAAAACTAGGCTCCATGAATAAAGGAGGGCACATATCTAACATAGATGAAGAAGGGAAAGATGTATCCATTCTTGGATTTACCTATAATCATTCTTTCTCTGTTCATGATTCTGCTTTCGTAAGTTTACAAATAGGTTTCCATGAATTGATCATGTGATTGAGCAAAGACGTTAGGCATCAAAATGTTTACCTTCCTATTGATTAATTCACTCTTGGAATAACCAAACATTTTGGATGCTGACATATTGAGTCCTATGATTCTACCAAAGGTGATATCTTCAGCTGAGATACTGATCAATGCAGTGGATTCATTAGGGAAATCGTTGATATTGTTTGTGATTTTGCCTCTATCCATGTTAACAGAATAAAAGTTCTTCAATCTTTCCAAAACCTCTTCGGCAGATTCTTTATCATACAAAATGTCAACTAGATATCTGGAATAAATCATCATCAAGTTTGGTGGGACATCCATGTTCATCTTAATGATTCGTTTCCATGAATCTTCCAACAACTTGTCCACATACATCATTCTGGTTCCCACATCATATAGTTTCCCTAAGTCTGGAGTGTCTTCACTTAATTGAGACCAAAACTCTATATGTTGAGATGCTGATTTCTCGATCTAAGCCCTGATCTCTCTGAGATTGTTTTCAGTGGTAAGTTCATTTACAGCATCAATGCCAGCAGCTGGATTCTTGGTTGATTTTGAATTCTCAAACATCTATTCTTCAATCAGTTTCTTTAATCTGTATATAATGAATTATTCATCCATGTAGGGTTTCTCTTGTTCAGCAGCCACCAACTCTTATAATGCTTATTAATTTGATTGCATTTTTTCCATTAAGAACAACGAATGTGCTATTCTCAATTCAGTGCAATTGGGAAATCTTGTTAGTGAAAGTGTGAAGATTCTTTCCATGATATAGACTAAAACGACATATTGTTCTTTGATTTCCTCATCTTAATTTTGGAGTTTGAAATTTTTCTGGAATTTAGCTATCTTCTTATTTCCCATGTTTTTAGCCTAACAAGGACAGTCTTCCCTTTTGCAAATGGTTCTGTGATATTCAACGAATCCATCCAGGAGAGTGGCTATGTTTCTGTCTGTGTGGTAATAGTTTAAGAATTTGGTCAGATATTGTAATTGTTGAATGGCTTGATTTAGAGAGTCAAATTTATTGGAGTCTATCATCATTATATCATATCTGTATTCTTTTCTCAGCATCACAATCAATAAGAGCAACGGACTCCCAAATACCCACAAATAAGGTGCTCCTTCATAATAGGTGTCTTCCACAATGATGCCGAATATGATCATACAAATTGTCCACATGATTATGGCATGTTGAGAATTTAGCACTTTGGAGTAGTAATAGTTCAAGTACACACTTGATTTATTGAATGAGAAGAATTGAATCACTGCAAAAAGTGTGATGATTATGACAACCAAAATTCTCAATTCATTCACGTTCAATAATGTAAAGCACAATACCAAAATTACTTTGAAAATCAAAAATTTCATATCGTCTCTCCCTGAAGTCTTACATAGAGGGTTATTAGGTTGAAATCTTGATTCATAGAATGTCATCGTCACCAATCCACTTACGCATATCAAAATCAAGGCTGCAATAGCCGATAAAAAGGCATGCAATAAATAATTGCCTGTGTAGCACTATAAATCGCTGTAATAATTGTGATACCCAGTACCAGAATCACAATAAAACACAGTTAAAAATAAATGTAGTACTGGCAAAAAGAAAATATAGTTTAGGATTTCAAAAAATATTTTTAGAACAACCAAAGGACCTGTCAATTTACCGACAGAAGAGGTTTACGCTTTTATTGCTATAAAGATTATAAGCACTATTAGAATAAAAAATAACCCCATTACTATATATAGCACCAGGATAAAACTTTGAAATTCGACATTTTTCAAATAGGGAGATATCATAAAGTATCCAAAAAATTGTTAAAATGATTCAGACCAGGATTTGACCTTCCACAAAGAAAGGAACTTAATTTTATAATATTTAATTACTTCATCACTGAATGCAAAGTAAAAAACTTAAAAGCTTTCAATCAGCACAAAGAAAATGTAAAGAAATAGTGGAAAGTTCTCTCCAGATATCAAGTAATAAATAATCTCAAAAAGGAGATTCTTGAAAGAATTCTACATCTTATCGATGGCTGATTTATCATCATCGAAGATTGAAATTCCTTACATAATAATAATAATTCAAATAATAATAATATTCATTTCACCGCCTATAATATCTCTCCTCCAATAAATTACTACTTCAAATTAGGGTATTTTTGTATAATGTCCATAGGTATCATATTCAACATTCCTTTAGTTCTCCAAATCTACTTTGATAGATTATTCAAGTAAGGAGTCCAACAGAATATGAACGCAGCAAACATCAAGACCAAGTAGACACTGAATTTCATTTGCTCAATAGAATCACTGTAAGACAAGAAGTCTGCAATGCCTGACATGAATTGATCTGTTAAGTAATCACATGCAGGTGAAATATAGTACAACAGCCTATGCAACTTATCATGGTAAGTCTAATTGTTGATTGTGGAAATTAAGTCTAATTATTCCCATTGATATTCATACCTGTTCTGGTTCTCTGTGTATTCTTCCAGTAACTGATCATGTCATTTGTACTCAAAGCCACCGAGACAAAGGCTGTCTTCAACCCACTTGTAAGCAAGCCTGAGTCAACAGCCGCACATCCAGATTAATCAGTAACAAAATTGTCTGAATTATAAGATGTAAATGTTTACTTATACTAAAGTCATTGACGCATAGATTGTTATAGGTGAAGGCTTAAAATTTGGACAAGTAGGAATCATATTAAGAAGGGAATGACTAAGTCAAAGATTGGAACAGATTTCTCTCATTATCATACAATCTACTTTGAAACTCAGTTCTCATGTCTAAAGTATCTTCTAATTGAGTTTTGTTTGTGACAACTTCTTCGAATGTGAAGTAAACATTATATTTAATGGAAATGGGTCTTTTGGATGAATATTGAAGATGATCATAGACCTTTTGCACATTATCCAGAAAGATCAATTCTAAATTGATATCCAATATGAAATATGCTATAAAGATAAGAGCAAAGATTAGGAATTGAACAATGACCACTGATTTGTTGTTATCCTTTGAGTTTAGCAACTTTTAGGAACGAAGATTTTCTATTTCTTCTTCGTTTTCTTTCTTATCCTGCTCCTATTGCTATTGTTATTTTTAATCGTTTTTGGTAGCTCCTTAAGTAAAGGCAGATGGAGTGGCTTTATTTTCAGATGGTTTTGCAGTAATGGATGTATGAATGGCATTTGAATTAGGTTGTCCAGTCTGCAATACATTTTATCCACTTCCATTCGATCCACTTTATTATTAGTTCTTCTTTTTATCACTTTTATCTTCTTCCTCATTATTCATTTCAAAAACTTCTTTGTTCTAAGTCTTTTCCACTTCAGGAGGTTGAACATTGGGCTAAGGTGGTTTATCCTCCTTATCCACAATTTCCTTCTTCTCATTCTTGTCCTCCAAGAATTCCTGCATGTAATTTTCGCATTTAGCAGCCAACTCCTTTATTTCCTGTATTGGGATGATACCAAATAGTGACATAACCATATTATTTGTTTTATGCACTTAAAACACAATAGGGATGAGGATCATTGCAGATACAACCAAACAGAATATGCCAACACCCATAATAACAAAGAAGGTTACCTAGTAGTTGTTTATTTCATCCGAATAAAAATCGAAGAATCTCTATGCAATATCCTCTGATCCCTTTCTCAAAACAAATAAGCCATTGGTCATCACATAAAAAAAGTTCTTTTGTGTATTGTCGACGGTTGTTACAGAACCATTAAATGATGCTGCAGACGAATTTCTTAAGGACGAAGCCGAAGTAATAATTTAAAATAATGCATCATTAAAAATGTTGTCATAACTATTAATATTTAATAACAAAGTACATTTTCTCTTCTCCAGAAGTCAACAAAAACTTCACTTAATAGGTTTCCAAATTTGTTGATCCAGTCATTCTAGCCTCCATTTTGATTCTGGCCTTAATCACATCAAATTGCACTACCTTTAAAGTATCCACCAAATAGGACAGCTAATCGATATTACAATATTATTACATTGGCCTTAATAAATGTATCTGCATTTGCTGTAGTGTAACCATGTTTATCAGCTAAGTAAGTGCTGTTGCCCAACATCTACAGTAACCGAGTGTAAAAGTTGACGTCAGCCATTATATTATGTCTCATATAGGATAAATATATGGCATCAGCACCTTCTTAGACATCTGAACTTTGAGTCATTCTGTATCCCAATATTAGCGCACTTAGAACAATCAGTATGAGCATAATAAACCAGACAGTACGTTTTAGAATACGAATATATTTTGGTTCTGTTTTTTCTGAAATTAATGCTTTGAAGTCTTTCAATTATCTCATATCGTCATTTACTGATCCGCCTGATAAATTGGATTCTCCTTCAGATGCATTCACATCTTCTTACACTTATTATTCATCTTTCAGAACAGTTTTCATTTAATTCTATTGTGCTTCTTCAGCTGCTGGTTCCATTGATCTTTATTATTTAATTTCCTCGTTCTCATCGACTTCGTAGAATCTGATGATTTAGATTTTTTAATCACCAAATTCAGTCTCATCTTAAACAAAAGCTTTAATCTTATATTTTTTATATCTTTGCTACTTCTGCAACTTCTTACTCTTGGCCTCCTCTATTTTTGAATTCTAAACTTATTATTGCGATAAATCCACAGCAGTCTCTTTATATTGATGATTCTAATTGAGCATTTAACCTAAATTGGAATCTCCAATCTTAGATTACATCTATGACACTTATTATGGAGGTTCATAAATATTTTCTTCCTCTTCCATTGACATCTCGTCATCACTTTCTCCTCGTCCCAAAAGGAAGTTTTATTGGAGTTAAGAAGTGTCAATAGTGGTAACCAAACCTTGAGATTTGAGATCATCCTAGTTTTTAATATCCACTAATTCTGGAGCAATGGCATCAATAGTAAATTCATTAGTATTTGTTGAATTACCATAGACCAAAGAGGCTGGAATACCATATCTTGTATAACAGGATTAAGTAATTCCCAAGATGGCTTGACTATTAACGTTGATGATAATGAAATGCCACTCCTAATCAATTTCTTATTCACTTCTCAAATATGAACTTCCAGGTTCTATGTCTTTCAAGAATCCCACTATCTAAATTCCTTCATCCAAATTAGGCAAAACCTTAATCATGAGTGTGCATGGCACCAAATAATTGTTCTTATTCTAAGCTAGCAATATTCTCTCCTATCCGATCACTTTGGAATCACTAGTTTCTAGATAGTTCTTCATGAATTGATCATGTTGATCTGCATATACTTTTGGCATGATTCTATTTACATTCTATCCAATTATGTCTGACTTAGAGAACCCTAGGATTCTAGTGATTTCATTGTTGACATTGGTAACCACACCTATATTATTATAATTGCCTGAACAAGTGATGATACAAGTATTGGCATTTTCACCATACTTCTATCTTTCTTAATCTAATCCCAATTTGTTGACAGCAGTGCTCTTTTGTATATATTCAGCCTTTTCTAGGATTCTTTAACCTTCCACATCATCATTGACAATATCTTTCAAAAAGTTGCCATATACTTACAAACATTTGATATGATTCTGGTTCATCTCTTACAGTTTTTTGTAGAAATCACTTGTAGATTCAACAGTATTTGTAATTTTGGATCCAAGGGATTATAATTTCTAAATATCTGGGTTTTCTTCTAATAGTTCTCTCCAAAATTCCATATGTAAAGTAACACTTTTTTCTATACTACCGAGGAAATTGACAAATTTATTTTAGAATACTACAATGATATTGACGTCTACTCCTTTATTTTCAGAAGTTCGCATATCATTTTCGATCATTTCCTCTTCAATCAGATTCTTATATCTATAAATACTAAATTCTTCCTGTAAATTCGGTTTGTTTTCTTCAGTTATCATCAATTCAAATAAGGCTTTGAATTTATTCTTCAATTTCTCATGATGTATGTATGAATTCAACAAATGCAATCTTGGACACTTTGGATACCTATCCAGAGCATCAGAGATAATACTCTTTATTAGTTGATACCATCTCTTCAATTTTTGGGGTGTTTCCTCATCCTTCAAGTTGTCTGCTACCAATTGCTGACAAACACAATTTTCGCTGGGTTTTCCACAATTTTTTAGATGCAACTTTAATACACCTTCCAAAACAATTCTGGATTGAAGAATCTCACGATTTTCAATTAAATCCATAAGGTGATTTATGTATATTTCGATATCTGTCTCTTTTTTGAATGATTTGATGGGAGTTTTTAAAAGTTGCTATTGTCGAAAGGTCAACAATTAGAAGTAGACTAAGGAAATCAATGGCATTCCCAAAATCATGTAAAACAATCCAATGTCATCAACGGCTCCCAAATCCAGAAATGCAGTTATGACACCAACCAAACTTGCCCAGAAGAGTAATACTTCCTGCACCACGATGAATCCGTAGACACTCTTGTTGTAGTAGGGTGGAGATCGATATCTTTGGACCAGGAGGAGTAAATAAAATGCTGCCAAAAGAGATATGTAGACTTCTGCGATTTCTCCATTGAAATCCAGAGTCACGTAGAGAGGAAGTATGATTTTAATCAACTATCTAACCAATGGATTTTTGGACTAGGGAGATGCAAAGGGGATTGGGGAACTTGGATTGAGTTCAGCATAAAGCAACCCAAAATAGAGCACATTGATTAGGAATAAGATTAAACCGATTATCTAATATGAGTTATTGTTGTACAGCCAATGATATGTGCAAAAAGTGTAGACCAGCGTAACATTCTAAACCATCTGAAAATGGAGCGTCTGAGTTGCAATAAATGGTGGCGATGAAGGAATTGAATATGGGGATTGTCAAAATGGTATTCAAAAGTAAGCCATACAACGAAAATATTTTTAGACAGTATGTAAGAAAGGTGCTTGGCTTCCTCTTATTTGATGTCAATTTGAATGTAATTATGACCAACAGGAACAACATGAGGATCTGAACTCCGAAGGACTATAAATAATACACAAATCAAACTTACAATGTACATTACTATTAACAGCACATTCACTCCACCGTTGAATATGATATAATTCACTTAAAAGTATTGCAACGCATTACGGAAGTACTCCAACCACACCGTTTTGAATAGAAAATCTAAGTTGGGATGTATCGAATAATACAGCTAGATAATTTGTCAATTCAAAAAATACAAGTTAGATGAGCTCAATCAATATTAGGAACTTGAACAAGAATGGACTGCAAACCTAATTCTGCAGCAATTCGTGGGTGAGTCCATAAGTCCATGTTTTTATCCTGTTCTCAAACCGTTCCCAAATGGACTCATCATAAAACACTCGTCGATTATTCATAATCATTTTTCGATATAAAATTAAATATGATTAATAAGTAAAATCAATTACCTAAACACCCCAACATCTCATTCAAATAATACTGCGAATAGTTCGTTAAGGAAAGCCCAAAAGCCAAACTCAATAAAACAACTTTCGTCTTACGAGACCAATCACTAAATAAACTCAGAGAAAAACAGAAAGAATAATTCAAATCTTTTATCCAAGATCACATCACTTTGACCAAGAAAATAAGAGACAATGCAGAATCCAATGCCACCATGTACATGGGACTAACATCCAAATGGCAGATAGCAAAAAAAGACTATTTTAAATAAGAAATCTCTCTCATAAAGCAGGAATTGGATATGAGATATGTCAAGCAGATTCAAGAACTCAATTTTGATTCCTGGAGGAGGATCGATTCAGTGAGCTAAAAAAGAGTTCGAGGGTTCTCAGTCGACACAACGATGAAAAAAACTCATCCAAAAACTTTCACAACTAGTTTTCGATTTTGATGATATTCACTTTCTATATATGAATGTTTTCAAGGTAAATCTTCCCTAAGATCAAGATTTTAGTTTAATAATTTATATTTATTAACCTTAATCTTTTTCAAATCTATTATTTATAAATCTACTTATATGTTAATAATCAATTTCACTTCTTCAAATCTCAGTATTATTTACTTCAATAAACTAAATTAGAAACTTATAAATTTCTGATGAATCCAAGGTAAATTCTATAATTAAATTATTAAATTAGAAAGATCAATAAACATAGATTAAATATTGAAATTATTCACTTTATCTATATTTATATATTATAATGAGAAATTGATGGAGAATTAATCTGCTTTTTATAGTTGTTTTGAGAGAATTGCTTTTGGAGAGATCGAACTAGATCTAACATTAATTTAATAAAATTAGTTTCTGAGAAGTGTGAAACAATTTCACTTAAAGAAGTTCATAAGGCTATCAGTCTTATCCTAATGGTATCATAGAAAATCTTTTGTTCGAATTGTTGAAATTTTTATTATCCTAGATTCTAGTAAGGAGAATATATTTATCCAAAAATTTATGAATTTAAACACCATTCCCATAAACCATAAATTTTATTGCATCCTACTCATATATAAGGCCAGAATATTAAAAAAATATGATATCTGCGGTTTGAAATTGTTTATCAGTAAAATAAGTAAATAAATCAATAGAATTTGTTAATTAGATTTAATATAAACAAACCTAATTTAAGATATATAATTTAAAATTATTGTTAGTATCATCAGTAATAGAAATAATTGGACTGGCAATATTTAAAATTAAATAGATTTTATCATAAATCTATTGCAAAAGCAAAGATTCTTTTATATTTTTCAAGATGATTTAGCATATATATTTTAAGTTATGAAATTAAAATTCATTTCGAAAGTAAAACATAAAACCCACCATGTAATGTAATTTTAATACTTTTAGAGCACAGTCAGATAATAATAATAAGCCCTATAAGAGTGACTGAGTAATAGTCATTTGAATGCAATTAAACTCATTCTTAAATCAAATAGAGGTAAAAGCTAACAACTAATCTTAAGTGAATGAATAAAATATGATTAAGAGATTGAAGAATCAGAATACGTATTTAAATAATATCATTAATAAGTATAAAAGCTTTAAATTGATGTGAAGGGTGTGAGGGAGAGTAATAATTAGGTCATAATCGTGTTGTGAAATGTTTGTATGAAATTATTATATAAATTATATATTATAAGATGTTGCCAAAATTACATTAAAGTTCGTCTGTGTAATCAGTAAGAACATCTGAAGATTTCAGTTTAAATGAAGCCAAAAGGAGATAAAAATAATTGGAGTTGGAGTCTTAGACTGTTGAGAATCGAATCAAATAATTAAAGAAAGAAAATGAGAAACTGTCAAAAAAAGTGGAGATGGCAGAACAATTGGCACTTGATGTGTATGCTTCACGACTTGCATAGAAGATGAAAGTAATTATTTCAGGTGTAATAAATAAAATAGAAAGAACAGAAATAACATCAACTCTCTATGATTGATCCAACTAAATACTAGTAAACTTAATATGAAAGGATGCATCTCAAAAAGATGAAATAAGAGGTAAGAGAGTTGAAGCATTAAGATGCTTAATTAATGAAAAACTCCATTAAATTCGAATTAATGAGAACAAATGAAGAGCAAATTAAAATTGCCCAAAATCTAAGGTTGAGAGCAACATTGAAGAAGGAGGAGGAAAAACTCTCATAAGCTATGATTCAAGAAAAACTATATGAGAAATAATAGAAGGTGCGATTGGAGTAGGAGAGAGAGAGACAAAAGATAATTATGGAAAATGAAAAACATGAATACTCAATAAAGCAATTAGAAGCGTTGGAATTGAAATTAGTCGAAAAACTGCAAGCAACACAACAAAGAGAATAGGCTGTAAAAGAGAAACTGATGGCAGCAACTAGATTGGCTCCTGAAGATTTTGATAGAACTTATTTGGGTGGTCAGTCAATAATATAAGAGCAAGAGAAACAAGTAATAATGTATTAAGTAAATAAGGAGTAAAAATAGGAAGAGTAAAAAGAATAATAGGAAGGAGGGCAATAAGGAGAAGGAGGTCAATAAGGAGAAGGAGGTCAATCAGGTGAAGGTGGTTAAGGAACATAAACTGAATGATATGATTGATAATAACGAAAATCAGTATATATATATATATTTCACAAGTATTTTCTCAATTCAAATTAATTTAATAAAATGGATAGATCAACTCACTCTAATGCTCGACCTTCTAGTGGGAGCAAAGATAAAAATGATCAAGGAAAAAAGGAACATGTCATAACATAGTTAGAATAGATTATTATGGAACGTTTGAGGACCGCAGTCAAAGATATTGAAGTACCCTTTTGTTGATAATACATTTAGGTTGAATAAGAGAAACAAATGAAGTAAAAATAAGATTCAGGGAAAAACGATTAAGTGGCTGTGGCTTTATGGTCGAAGATTAGGGGATGGGCAACTGAACAACCATTTAGTAACTGATTTAATTTAAATTTTATAGAGAGATTAGCAAACCAAATTGTAGATAACCAAAAAATACCATAAGAGGCAAGATAACGATTCAGTAAACCCTTCTTGGACTAATAAAAATTGATTTTGAATATCGATTAGGATAAGTCTAAAGTTAAAATTAAGTTAAATGAATACTATTAAACTTTGGCCAAATCAACTCAAGATAATATGAATTCAATTAGTGTTAGTCTTGGTAGATTAGCAAATGCTGGTTGTTGTGGAAAAGGGGAAGCCTTAAGAAATTTTGAAAATGAGTTCAGAAAAATAGAGTTTGACTTTATTTAATGGGCAGCCTTGCCTAATTTAGAAAATAATAATGTTGATATTGTAGTAGTAAAAACTAGTCTTAATTATGACGATTTTAGATCATTCCTAATTAAGCAATTAAATGATTATTTTCCTAGTGCAGCAGGAGAAACTAAGATAATTGAAAAACCTGTTGATAAAGTAGTATATGTAGATAAACCGGTTGAAAAAATCGTTTATGTTGATAAGCCTATTGAAAAGATTGTATATGTGGATAAACCAGTTGAGAAGAAAGTCGTTGAGTACGTTGAGAAGGTTAAGGAAGTGCAAGTCTATAGAGATTAGCCTATTTCAGATGATAGATTGAGAACTGCACATGAGATGCTCTACGGTATTGGAAAACCTTAGAATATCACTGAGGCTCTAAATTTATACTATGAATTGGCAGAGGTGAACTAAGACGTTACTGCCTAAAATGTTATAGCCCAAATATTTTCTGAAGGCAAATTCTTTCCCAAAGATTTAAATAAAGCATATACTTATTGGGAGAAGAGTGCTGCAGCAAAAAACGCAGAAGGTTTGTATAGAATCGGTCGTTTGCTATTGGATGAAGTGATTGATGGGTAGATGTTATCCCAAGGGAAACTATAGACAAAGGATGAATAAAAATCAGAAGCTGTGGTATTCTTTTAGTAGGCAAGTGAACAAGGACATTTGGATGCCCTGGTAGATTTGGGAGAGATATTTGAGAATGGACTCAAAAGTGAAGATGGTGAATCATGTACATATTATTAATCTTATGTTTTGTTAGATATACAAGAACCAAGTCTAGATTCAGCATAGTTCTACTATTCTTAGGGAAAGAAAGTCAGATATCCCAGAGCTATCAATGCCTTAGCCCTCTTTTATTACAATCATCCAGATTATTAAGAAATAGTAGTTGGAAATAACTATCGTAAAGCTCTCAAATACTTTGAAATAGCCAAAGAACTTGGTTTTGCCAATTCACTCTATTGGTTGGCATAATGTTATGAATTTGGTTAAGGAGTTGGAGTCAATTTGGAGTAGGCAAAAAGCTATTACAAAGAAGGAGCATTGAAAGGGGATGTTGCATGCAGACTGTAATACATGCATTATGTGATGAAAGATTGCAGTAATTCAGGAAGGTAGGAGGATTACCTATTTGCTCATTAATACTTGATTCAAATCATGATCCAAAACCCAGAGATCACAGAAGTCTATTTCTATTTAGGACATCTCTATGAGTGTGGGTTTGGCGTGTAAAAGGATCCACAGAATGCTATTTATTATTATTTTAAAGGAGCACAACAAAAGAATTCTACTTGCATGACCAAATTAGGAGATTGTTACCATAGCGGGTTTGGTGTTCCACAGAATTAGAGAGAAGCTCTTAAGTTCTATAAGGAGGCTGCTGAATTGAAGGATTCAGAAGCATTAATTAATATGGGTCTCATTTATGAACAGGGATATGAAGGAGTCAGTATAGATTCTGCCAAGGCTTTCAATGCTTATGAAGAGGCTTCTAAATTAGGGAATGCAAAGGCTGATTTCCATTTGGGATTGATGTATGAGGCTGGGAAATATGTTAAAAAGGATGTCAATTTTGCAATATAAAGATATTAGAAAGCTGCTCAATTGGGATGTTAGGAGGCTAGGGATCTGCTGAAAAAGAAGTAGATCCCCATGTTGTATGATGATTCTGGCTTGAACGATTAAGAATTGAGTATTACATTAATTCTATGTTAGATATGCATGCTGCAAATAGAAATGCTATCATGCTTAATGGAGCTATCCCAATGATTTAGAATCCCTGCATCATTCAGCAGCCGAAAAAAACTAATTAATCAATCATTGCCTACAAATCTCAACATCAGGAAATGGGCGAGGGAAAAATGATCAGTATCCTAGCTCAACAAACTGCAACTCAGTCCAACTATGTGCAAAGCTATTATTAGAAACCAGGCTAGTAACATTGATGCAGTGGGAAATGATTATTCTTATATAATATTTTATAGCATGCATTAAATTGTTGCTTTCTTTAGACTATGAGGTTAATGAATAAGTAAACTACTTTCAATTCCAAACAAATTATATTCTAATTTAAATAAATTCCCCTTATTCTAAACATACATTTCAAATGTTTTCAAATTAATGAATGAATCATAATTAGATAATTTTAAAACTTATTATGTAGGAATTGGAAGAGTTCTTGGAAAAACAAAAGGACCTAAATCTCAAAATGCTGAGAGATATGTTGCAAACTTAAAGTCTCATCCAGCATAATTTGTCTATAGGATTAGACTCTTTGAAAAAGTGCATCGAAAATTTACCTACTAAAATTGTCCCCAAGTAGGGATTGCAATCCAGAATCACTATACATAGACAGAAGTATCAGATTTATTCTAAATTAGCCAACATCAATTTATTTTGAGTCAATTGGGTCATAAGAATTTCATATCCTACTTGAATTTAGAAGACGAGATCAAGGAGATCTATCGAGAGAGGATGTTCAATTTGTCTGTTAGTTTGAGAGGTATGAATGGAGAAGTTTTAGAGGATGAAGACTGTCCTGTTTATTTAAGAATGTAAAATTCCCTTACAACTCAGATACACATCGGAGAAATTTCCAAAAGAAGTTGATGCCAATATTAAAGGGAAACCAATATTTAAGGGATAAACGCAAATACTTCTGAGAGGAAGAGGTGAATTTTAAAGAATTTCAATCACTGAAGTTTTCTATTAATGTAATTTTTAACTTAGGTGTCCTCTCATTTCCCTTCTGGAAAATTTATTTTAGTGATATTTTCGGAGAAATCTTACGTAAAACCCTACATAATTGATAATTTAATTGTTAAAGCGAAAAAATTGCTCAAATGAATTAAAAATTATATATAAAAATTATTGATAAATTTTATATGGTCATTAAAAATTATGTTTCTCTTTATAAATATTATGATAATCAAATTTTGATACAAATATATAATTAATTAATTCAAACGCAATAAATGTAAATTCCAGAATTGTCTTTCTTGAAAAAGCAATTTCAGGAAATTGGTTTTAACTTTAATTGCAATTCTAAAGCAAGTCCAAGGAAAATTAAGAAAAAGGATATATTACAATTATTTAATTTCATAGTTTACTCATTACTTTATATAAAAATTTAACAACCAAAGAATTTTTAAATTTGTAAACATTATCCAATTTAACATTTGAACATTTTTAAGAATATTTTTATTAGTTAAATTATAAATATTTATTGATTCTTAATAATTGAAAAATAATTAATGATTTTCTAATACAGACTTAGATCTTAAGAAAAATAGATATATTTTTACAACTTTATTCCATGACATAATATTTCCATTCACTAGCATTAATTATAATTGTTGAAAAATCTTAGTTGAACGATAAAATGTTTATTATTTAATTTTCCTTTACTTATTTCTCATATATTTATAACTTATTAATTAATGATAACTTAGGTTATACTGATTTTTAACTTCAAAGTTTTATCATAAAGTTCTATTTAAGTTTATGGAATTAAGTGTTGTAATTTTTGTGTCATCCTTTAGATTATTTCCAAATTTTATATTAACCCTCTAATATCAATTATTACTTTTTTTCCTAGAAAATCTAAATTCATAAAGCCTATCAAATTGGCACATGCTTATAAGGCTAAGCTTGGTCTTTTATTGGAAATAGATTAAAGGCTAATTGGAGAACTTTTTAATATTTACTTGTCATTAATATTATAATTATATTTTTATATAATTTATTCCAAGTATATTATACTTCTTGTTTATAATAGTGCTTAATTTTATATTTAATTTATAAAATAAATGAAATCGAAGAAAAAGGAAAAGTCTTTAATTAAGGAGTTAGATGGGATTAGATCCTTGAAAAATGAAAGCATTGATTTGAAAGAGTTGGAAGATAAAATGGTTAAATTAATTGAAAAGGCAGCTCAATATTATCAAGATTAATTGGATAATAATATGGCATAATTTTATTTTGAATATGGAAGCATTTTAGTTTAAATATTGGAATAATCTTAAGATTCTGTAGAGAATTCCTTGAATTGTGTAGAAATTTCAAGAAATGATAGGGAATTGAAGAATACATAATTGGCTTTTGAGAACTTGGAAGCAGCAAAGACAATAATTAGAAACAGACTTGATAAGCAAAATATAGAGATGTATAAATTATAGGAATAGTTGCAATGTAAGCCTTTTTAGATTATGATAGAAATTAGATCGAAAATAAATGAGACTGAGTTAGAAATGAGTTTGATTTTGATACGAATAGGTGACCTCTAGACTTGGAGAGAAGATTACAAGGACGGATTACTAAATTTTTATGCTGCCTTGGACATTTTGAAAAACTCATATAATTATAAGGAACTTAGTGCAGTACATTTTAAAATAGGGAATGCTATTTTGTTATAAAATGAAAATGGATGTGAGAAATTGAGTTTGAGTCATTTGGAACAATCCTTTCGTTATTGCTACTAGTAATTCTTTAACAAGGAGTGTGATATTGATTTGAGTGAGAAGAATTTGTCAAAGATAGTAATTGACAATGATTTATTGAAAATGCTAATAGAGAAGATGGAGGACACATATATTCAGCTAAATGAAGTAAATGCGTGTTAAAAAGAGATAGAGAGATGGAAAAGTTCAGAACCAATTTTATAACAGGAAATATAATATTTAGGAAAAATTAGCAAATAATCACAGGAAATTAATGGGATTCAAATAAAAAGAAAAATTTGAGGTTGATTATTATATTCTGATTTTCATTTTTAATTATTAAATCTAATGAATCGAAATGGGCTTGAAAAAATTTGTAATCAAGCTACAAATTTTTGGAAATAATAATTCATTGCATCACCTAAATAAGATTTGGACATATCTACTAATGCTGGATCAAACATCTTAGAAGAATAATCTATTTTTGAAATATCTGCCAAAAAAACTGAATAATATCTCTTTCCTGAGGTGGAAAGATAAAACTTAAAGAATGAAAAAAATGAGTTCGAATTCACTGAAAGATCAGCTAAACAGCAGCAACAATTTGAAGTGGAAGATAATTGTGAAGCAGAGGCCAGTTGTTCGCAGTGTTCTGATTGTCTGAGTAAAAGAAGAGACAAAAAAAAATCAAAACCAAGATCTTGCAAATCAAGTAAGCCTATAAACTATATTTAAGCAAAACAAAGGTTCACTATATCTGAAGAAGCATTCATTATGGAGTAATCAAGAAAGGGAACTAGCTTTACCGATATAGCTTAACAAATTCCAGGCTCTACTGTTAATTAAGTCAAACATCATCTCCTGAAAAGACTTAAAATTTGTAGTAAAAAGACAGATCTTCAAGGAGATAGTATTGCAGAAATTATCTTAAAAATCTAATAACTATAACAGTAAGACCTAATAATATTTTAGAAATGAGAATTTAGATAATGCTGATAAAATTTAAGAACTCAGATAACATATATCTTAAATAGAAAATCATTTGCATCAAACTAAGCAAATGATACTGTAAAAGTATATGGTATTGTTTCAATAATAATGACAATGAGTAGATATCTTTCATATTTTAATCATTTAAGTAATAAAAGTAGATTATTCCTAATATTATATACTTATGTTTCTCTAATTTTTCGATTTCTCTGCCTGGGAATATTCATCAAAATGATAATAAGAAAGTTATATAGTTGAGATATTTATAAAACTAATTTTTATAAATAGTGAATTTATATTCAAAAGAATTCTAAATAAACTCTTTTAGTAAAATCATTAGTTCTAAGTTTTGAAAAAAAGTCTTTGATTTCAATTTCATTTGTAAAGAATCTACTTTCTGAAGAGACTGAAGATAGTTATTTGAGATAAAGCATATTCATATTCTAGTTAGCAATATTGAAAATTAGTAAGTGGATATTCTTCTTTTCAATCAAGCTTTTCAATCTATCAATTGACATTTGGTTGTAATTGTGAACTCCTTCACTAAATATGCAAACGTATCTGATGGTATGTTCATCTTTTTCTTCATCAATGTTATCAATATCAACCTTATATTAATTCTAAGAAATATTATTTTCAATTCTTACCATATTCTAATTTAAACTAACATTATCAAACTAATTTTCTTCGTATTATTTCAATGCCTAACTAAATCCACCAGAAACCGTAATTCCTACCCTTGGAGAACTCGTCTTGCATCTAAACTCCATATCAGAGCATCTGAATTCCTCTTATTCAATTTGCTACTTAATCTAATTTGATTTCAAGTGTAAGGATAATTGTTTGCTTTACTCTGGTTTATCTTTCTCAAACAAAGAAGCTATTGTGATCTCTAGGGCTGAGAAGATGTTACCTTACCCACCTGGTTTGATCAATACCTTTTCTATTGTTGATTCTAAAAGCTTTTTGTAGGTTCCCTTCAATTATAAAGGGAATATCTCATGGAGGGATTCGTTGAATGCATATAGTCCAACAAATGAGTCATCATTCAAAGATTAGACAACATTCTGACACATATGATGAGATAAAGTAAATTGCTCAGTAGTCATTTCTGAGGAGTAATCAAGTAGAAAGATCAGTTCGAGTCTTTTCAGTTAATTTTATTGCGAGAATTTGATCAAGCAATTATGATCTACATTACATCTTTTAAATATTTTTGTTAATGTCTTCAATACAAATTTCTAAAATCCAGGATCATAATGTCCTTCGGCTTTTAGAATAGAAATAAACTTATAACAGGCTTCAACATACTCTCCTCTAATCATTAATAACGATGCCTAAATTATTCGAACTTATTACCTCTAAACCTGTTAATTTTTCTCTTAAAATTTCTAAAGGAATATCTCTAAATATATCCACAAAATCAGAAATTTCCAGTTATTTAATTTCAGTTCTATTGTTTTACAAATTTTTTAATTTTGTTTCAGCTTCTTCCAATTCTAATTTTGCCTTCTCCAGCATTCCAGCTCTGGCAAAACAAAAAGCCTTTTTTGCTATGATATTGATCTTCATATATTGAATAGAAAAGGAGTCAGGAAGATTTTGAAGATCATCCATAATATCATTGAATTGTTTAACACTTTCATTAAGAAATGTCGATTATGATTTTGTCATACTATAATTGTAAAGAATGCAAGCCAATTAATATTTTCTAAAAACAATTTTGTGCTCAATTATAACTTACTTTTTAGAGTATTCTTCAGTATTTTATATCCTTGAAATAGGACTAGACTTTTTTGGACTTCCTAAATTCTCCAATCTATCACTAGGTAAATCAACATTTTCTTCTTGAATTGGATTTTTTTCCTCCTAAAATGTTTTTCTAAACATCGTATTAGTTCGCTTCGGTGTTTATTGATTCAAGTTATGTGCCTCAGATTCTATAGAACTTTTAATTTAAGTTTCATTTTTAAATCTTTATGTAGTTTACCTTCTTACAGTACAACTTTGAGAATTTTAAATGACTTTTGTTTTACTTTCCAAATCTTTTATAACATCCTTCATCACTTTTTCTTCCTGTCTTTAGAATTTCTATAAAACATTATTTTTTAACCTAAGATACAATTTAATTAATTATTAATCATCTTATGGCTGTGCTGCTTAATTTGCATACTATTCCATTTCTTTTAAACTTTACAAATCTTAATTGGCTATCAACACTGATTCCTCTTATTCATTCATAGCCTCCAGATATCTTTGATTTCTCATATGAATTTTAGCAATATTATTGGCACATATACCAACTGCAGGATTGTTATAATACTTTTTATAGAACCGCTTAGACATGCTTAAAACAATTAAAGCTTCAGCCTCATCCATGTCTCTGGATCCTTGCAACAATTTATTGTTTGAGTATTTAATGCTGTTCAGGTAATTGATTATGACTTCATAGAATTTCCTTATTTCTTTGTTGTTAAAGAGATCCTTATAGCTCTCTAAATTGAAGTATTGTATTTCAAGATATTTCATATCAACTTTTGTTAATTTGATCAATTAATTAATAGGAACTTCGAGGGAAAGTGCAATCACTACACCTTTCCTCCAGAAATATATGATGAGAACAGCATGCAAAGCACAAGCAATAATGATCAGGTTCATTGAAATCTTCGATGCTTCTTCATTTTGACCTGCCAACTGTTTGTAATATGAGAGTGACATCGACTACAGATAAATCATCGAGCATTTGGTAATTAATTCTTTGGTAAGAGTAATATTTGGGAAGATAGGATGCACAAAATGGTATGAAGAAAACTACACAATTCTTTGTTCTCCCATTCCATCATACAGCATTCTCCATTTTCTAAATTCTATAGGGACAGAAACTAAAGTGTAGAGTTGGTCGGTGAAATCGCTGGTTTGATTTGGCCATAGTTAAAAAGCATCTTCGAGTGTGCTATTAACAAGTGCTCCATTGGAAATGATATTAATATTCCCATTTGTTAGAAACGAATAAATTACTGGTGTACTTGAATTAATAATTGCAAGCTCTCTCTTTTTTTGAATGTGCAATTTGCATTCAGAACCTGCTTTTCCAGCTCTCATTCGCCAAACTTCATTTTTTAAATCTAATTTAGGGTATGCGATTTGTGGAGAATATTGACCAATATAATCGAAGCAATCATTATATGCCTTACAATTGGATATCGAAGTTTCATACCAATCATCGGCAGATTTGATGTCAGTACTAGAAAATGATATGCCTAATCCATTTTAGCATAAGAAATGAAAGTGATCAAATACATTATTTATATTGTAGATCTCTATCAATTTCGCTAAGGGAGAATAATATTGTAATAGTTAATATTAACTTGGGTAGTTAAGTTTCAAAATGAACAAATCAGTAACATTTTAAAAATGCCAATTTAATCCAAGCAAACTCTCATCGTCTAATTGTTAATAATCATCTACGTAATCTATTAAATTTGATATAGCATAAAGTGAATTGATATTAGGTCTATTGGATCTTCCATAATAATATCGAGCGAATCGAATTCTACTCTAATCGAATACTATTGACTTTTACCAAAGAAGACTCGTTATAAATTTCTTAGGACAGTGCCTCACTCTCACTTCTATATTCTTCATCAAAATATTAACCTAATAACAATACCAGACTAAACAGAAAATAGTAAAGTGATAAAAACACTATCATCAAAATTAGCTTGATCCTCAATTTCATAAAATTAATATATTATAATCTGCAAACTTATAATTAATTATATCATAGTTCAATGATCTTAATGTTAATCTTGATGCTGTAGCTTTATTATGTTATCAGTTATGGTCTTAAATTCCTAACTCAACTAACAATATTGAATGATATTACAGATTCTAATAACGAAGTTAAATCATCAAACTATGATTTTATTCTCCTCACATTCTCGTCAGTAAGATCTGGAGGCATTAACACAGGCTCTGGAGGTTTGTCCTATGATTGTTTTGTTCCTGCACAAGCTCCCATTTAAATATAAAATAAAAATTATTATATATTAATCATGACTTTTGTTCGTTTTAAATTAGGAGGTTGTCTTAAAATATAAGATGCTTATTACTTAGACCATTATCAATTAGATAATTTAGTGAAAATAAGGTGGTTAACATAGTACACAAAATAGATATCTAGCATACAGCCTCTAAAATATGTGAACTTCTTCTGCTTATTATTCTTTCAATGTTAAATTCTAAATCTTAACGTTTTGAAGTTCCTGATGTAAGGATGGACCAAACAGGGCTTCAAATTATTTTTTATAGCTAACATATCTTTTTAGACTTAATCATAGACTATCTCATTTTCTCTGATGTAGCTCATTAACCAAAATTGTGAAAAGTACTTTATTTGTACTTTTGTAGATTATTTTGATAGTGATGTTCATTCAAAAAAGAGAATAAGTTCTACTTTGCGTATGGCTATCATCTCCAACTCAGCTAATAATGCCATACGAAAAGGGTATATATTAGCATTACTTAAATTCCAGATGATTTTTCAAATAGAAAATAATTATTATTAAATGATTACTAGTTATTTCCCACAATGAATGTATTTCTTATCATTAATTCATTGACAAATGATATTCTAAAATTAATTATGTGTGGCAATGAAGAATGCTACAAATAGTATTAAAATATTTGGTATACATGTAATTCGAGAAAAAATCGAACCAAAATAAATTTCTTAATTATTTTAATTAAAATTAATGATCGAAGAAGAATACAGACCTGAAGATAAAGCGTCTATAAAAAAGAAATATAAAGTATTTCAGACTCTTGCTTCAATGATAAGACAAAGAGGGTACTTTGAAGCCAACCCTCCTATTCTTTTGGAAGATGAACCTTTCGAATTGTTTGAAGCAAAATATCGCACAGATGTTTTACCCTAGAGAGTAGTTTGCTTTAAAGTAAGGCATTCCATTTAATAATATGATAGAAGGAGGACGAGACAGACAAAATGGTTATCTAATTTTACACTAAATAAACAGCTCTAAATTATGAGGATGCAAAAAAATATATTGGTGAACTTTCTAATCGATAGGTTAAGAGACTCATAATGGTATTTCCAACTGACCCATTTGCAACCAAACCTTAAGTAGTGGAAAAAAAGGCAAGGTTTTTTATAGATTAAGTCAATTCCATCTAGACCTACTCGTTTGAATTGTTTGGAGAAGACGATTTAGTGTATGATGTAACTAAGCATGAATTGGTGCCTCAACATATCATCTTAAATGATAAGGAGAAAGAGGTAAAAGTTCAAGTGATAAACTTAGTTATTATTGAAGAAGTATGGGATGGTGGACAATCAATTGCCAAGAATATTACAGAGCGATCCAATAGCAAGATTTTTGGGACTTCATCACGGGGATGTAGTAAAAATAATAAGAAAAAGTGAAACTGCAGGATTATATGTTACTTACAGAATAGCCATATGATTTGAATATATAATTAATTAAATATAGTACAATAATTCGCATGACTTTAGAAGTTCGGCTATTTTATCATCAGAACTCTCCAATTGATGATAGAATGGCGATCTATTATTTTATAATATAAATGATGTCTAGATGAAATATTGTGTTGAATAATTAATGTTTATGCTATCATGAAAACCATCTTTACTAAATCTCCACAAATGATTTAGGTTAAATTTAGTAATCGAAATGGGTGCATACAATAAGTATCATGCATATTGATATTCCGATAAAGATAAGAGTCAATCCAACTTTTTTATTATAGAAGCTTGTCTATATTAGAAAATGTTATACCAATATGATACTCCAACTGTAATCAACCAAAACACACTTGCAAATATAAACCCAACAATTCCACCCAAATAAGGTCCGATGTCCAACTATCCAAACATTGGGAACAACGATAATACCTCAAGATTAATCAAAGAGAGTTACCTAATAAATTGGCAAAAAGAACATCCAAATTCCCAAGAACATTAAAAAAAACGCCAGAACTCTAATCTTATTGAGATCACTCTATTTGAATGTCAATTTTGATTCAAATATTTCTTCCAATGAAACCAAACCCTCTTCAACATAATCGATATTCTACTCGTCTTGTGACCACTCATTCCACACTATCCATTAATACACCTTCTAACAGACTAATTCTTAACAACCCTTTATACAAATCATATAGATACTTGTCTGGTTGAACTCATACTGCATCCCTAGGTCGATTCAAGAATGGGAATATGGATTTCTATGGGATTCAATTAGATGCCATAGGATTTACAGACAACAGTGAGCAATTGAGTGGGAATGTACCAAAAGGAAATTCTTAATGTTGTATTTCCAACCAAGTAAATGTTATTCTAGTCTATTTGATACTCGGGATAATGATGTGGATTGAGTTTAAGTTTCTACCAATTAGTCAACTTTTCAATTTGATTATCATTCAATTGATAACCTTTGAGGAAACATTAACTATTTTGAATCTGAGATTTCCACATTGATAATTACACTTCATTATCCTCGTCATCATACCATTGTATTTCGCTTTCTCTTTCTATCCATTTACGATCCCCTTAATTGTTAATTACCAACTCCTCCACTTTTCTGTAAAATCTAATTGCGTTTTCAACTTTAATCCCTGTTAAGTAATCAATGAGGAACTCCTCAGTGGTTAGTGTGGATCCTTGCAATATTATCAATTAATCTTCATTCTTCAATTCAGCTACATCCTTTAATATCATATGATGTTTATATTTTCTAGCCTCCGAATTCAAGAGCAAGGGGAATGCAATGAATACTGTTAGGGCCCCCAGAAAGAATTCTGTTTAAGCCAACCATTCAGGTTCATCAGTTACAATTTATTCTATCTTTGGTCTCTGATGTTGCTCAAACACTTTTGTATCACTGATTGGTGATTACAATTCAGCATAATCAGGAATTTCATTTTCAGCCTCACTCATCAATAGAAGCATCTATTCATTTGTTCCATCTCCTATCGTCTCTGCCATTGCAAGCATTTATTCAATTAAGGGATTCTGCTCAAACAATAACACTCCTGCTTAAAATATTAACTCCTATTAGTATAAATCATCATTAATAAACGCATCTTCCAGAATATCATTTCCTTAAAAGTAGTCCTCGATCTAAGCCTTCAATATATCCTCACTTAATCCTATCCAAAAAATGAAAAATAAAAAACGGAACATATATAAAATTTTATATTATCATACCAATAATATTAAAAACTATATAACAATAACTTTCTTGATTTCCTCTCCCTCTCTTATAGTTTAAATGAACTCGGAATATTTTTGGCCTTAATATAGAGTGAAGCCTATTATTTCAGGAGGGTGTGTTTCAAATCAAAATGAGCAACTCTAAAAATTCAAAATCAATATTACAAATCCGATGTTAGATTCTATTACATCAATTAATTCAGACATAGATGAACCATTAAAATAAATATTATTACAAGCGGGCCTATAGTAATAAGATCTTAACAATCCATCTTACAATTCTTTGTTTCGTTATCTGTCTCAAGAACCGCTAAAAAACACAACGAAATTGATAGCCAATAAGTAATAAAGAAAGACATAGCCTTAAGTGCCAAGTAGGCATTCTACGATAATGCCAAAGAAATCTATAGTAGTGTCGCAATTCAATTTCCAACATAGTATCTATACTACCAATCAATTTCATAGACAATTCGAACGCTTAAAATAAACCACCTCCCAAACTACTGAGTAGATTCCCTGCCATAGATTTAATTGAGTAAATTTAGACACTAAATTTAAAACAAATAGAGTAACAGTAAGGTTAAGAGGATGATATAGAACCTAAATTTGCTTTAAATCTTGTAACAAATGAAAGAAATCTGGACTACAGTTTTTCAAGTTAATCTGATGATTTAGACAATGATAAAATAGATTCTTGATTTTCTAAACACACACCCATCAATAAATATTTTATTATATGAACAAAAATGTATTTTCTGAAGGTAAAATTCTATGATTAATCAAGAATTTGTTTAAGTTTCAGAATAACTTAATATCTGATTAATGGATGGTAAAACAAACATCAAAAGAATGTTTTACCTCATTTTAATCATTGTTAAATATTTTAATTTATTTATTAAAATAACTATTAAATAAATATCCCTTAAAATCATGCATTTATATAGACAATTTAAGAATTATAATATTTCCTATTAGATTTTTTATGTAATAACATAGTTCCATCAGAAATTGTGCTCAATTTGATTCATTTTCTTCAAAATAAGTTTCCAAAAATAAATCTCAACTCAATTTATTACTTTTGTAAACTATATGCATTGGCTGTTCTTTGATATCCAAAGGAAACCTTCATTATTAATGGTGTTTAGAGTGAAAAATTGAATAAAAGGTATTTAATGTAATTTAAAAACGAGAAATCTTTTAACTTTATATTGTTTTTTTTGTTATTTTAATTTATATTACAATGAATTGACGCATTAAATTAATAAAATGAGCAAACAATATAAGAGCATAAATGATTTGCCAGATTGGGTGAAAATGATCACAGGTGGTATTGCAGGTAGTGTAGCTGAGGCTATAACCATCCCCATTGATACAGCTGTATGTTATTTATTGATGTTTCAATGTAGAAGGTGCGTCTTTAAATCCAAAAGCCAGATGCGAATGGAAAGTACAGATATCACGGATTGTTACACACAACTAGACAAATTTACAGTGAAGAGGGAGTTTCAAGTTTGTTCAAGGGTCTTTCAGCAGGAATCCAGAGACAATTAGTGTTTGCATCAATCCGTATTGGATTGTATGAACCTGTAAGGATTAATATTGAATTTCAAAGATGCGTGATTTCTTCTGTGGAAAAGATTTCAAGGGTGATCCTCCCCTGTCTAAAAAGATTTACGCAGGTCTGGCCACAGGTGGAATTGGTATCTCAATCGCAAGTCCATTTGATGTGATAAAGGTGAGATTTTAAGTCGATGGAAATCTTCCAGTTGAATAACGTCGTTATAAGAACTTGACAGATGCATACATTAAGATCTACAAACAAGACGGGTAATAGATATTTTAAGAATTTAAGGTTGCACGGATTTTGGAGAGGAGTAACTCCAAACATCATCAGAAACGCTGTGATCAATTGTGCTGAGTTAGCCACCTTTGATCACATCAAGGAATCTCTAATTAAAACCGGGTTATTCCATGAAGGTTTAGCATGCCACTTTGCCTCAAGTGTTTGTGCAGGATTCATAGCAGCAGTTGTTGGATAGCCAGTTGATTTGATTAAGACAAGAGTTATGAATCAAAATGTTGGTGTTTTAACAGTTGTCAAGAACATCATAAAAAATGAAGTAAGAAATATCAATCTATTATGAATAGGGAGTGATGAATCTATACAATGGATTTTCTGCAAATGCAGGTAGAATTATCACATGGAACATTTGCATGTTTGTTACATTAGGTTAAGTTAGATTATTTGCATTAAATAATTTCTATAAGTCACCTGAATGATATAATTATATATATAAATCATTAAAAATATTTGAATAATTTCCAATAAGATCTAATTAAAATAATGAACTATATTATCCTTATTAGAGAACTTCGTAAGTTGCCATTTAAACTCGATTAAATAGATATGAGAATGTTAAATATTAAAGATTTTTATATTTGAATTATCAAGTCTTGCTTTATTACTATGATAATTAATTTCATTTTAATTCATTAATTATTCACTATTTAATTATAAATGATTTATGAAGTTTCATTTTAGAGTGGTATGCTTAAGAATTTAAAGTTTTAATTGATGAGATAGAATAATTAATAAAGTCTCTACATCAAAATTTCATTTAGTATAAGAATGAAAAGGATTAGAAGTATACAATCTAGGGCAAATCAAATAGTTTTCTTAATTCTCTCTTGCTTTTTGTAGTTTTAATTAATTAAATTAATAATTTATATCAAAATTAATGTAATTTATCAACTATTTTCTTAATATTTGAGAAACAATCAATATAACAATCGTCCATTTCTAGAGCCATTGAATATTTGCAATTGAATAAACAATCCTCTATTCCATTTTCATATGTTTTGGTNCCGTATTGGATTGTATGAACCTGTAAGGATTAATATTGAATTTCAAAGATGCGTGATTTCTTCTGTGGAAAAGATTTCAAGGGTGATCCTCCCCTGTCTAAAAAGATTTACGCAGGTCTGGCCACAGGTGGAATTGGTATCTCAATCGCAAGTCCATTTGATGTGATAAAGGTGAGATTTTAAGTCGATGGAAATCTTCCAGTTGAATAACGTCGTTATAAGAACTTGACAGATGCATACATTAAGATCTACAAACAAGACGGGTAATAGATATTTTAAGAATTTAAGGTTGCACGGATTTTGGAGAGGAGTAACTCCAAACATCATCAGAAACGCTGTGATCAATTGTGCTGAGTTAGCCACCTTTGATCACATCAAGGAATCTCTAATTAAAACCGGGTTATTCCATGAAGGTTTAGCATGCCACTTTGCCTCAAGTGTTTGTGCAGGATTCATAGCAGCAGTTGTTGGATAGCCAGTTGATTTGATTAAGACAAGAGTTATGAATCAAAATGTTGGTGTTTTAACAGTTGTCAAGAACATCATAAAAAATGAAGTAAGAAATATCAATCTATTATGAATAGGGAGTGATGAATCTATACAATGGATTTTCTGCAAATGCAGGTAGAATTATCACATGGAACATTTGCATGTTTGTTACATTAGGTTAAGTTAGATTATTTGCATTAAATAATTTCTATAAGTCACCTGAATGATATAATTATATATATAAATCATTAAAAATATTTGAATAATTTCCAATAAGATCTAATTAAAATAATGAACTATATTATCCTTATTAGAGAACTTCGTAAGTTGCCATTTAAACTCGATTAAATAGATATGAGAATGTTAAATATTAAAGATTTTTATATTTGAATTATCAAGTCTTGCTTTATTACTATGATAATTAATTTCATTTTAATTCATTAATTATTCACTATTTAATTATAAATGATTTATGAAGTTTCATTTTAGAGTGGTATGCTTAAGAATTTAAAGTTTTAATTGATGAGATAGAATAATTAATAAAGTCTCTACATCAAAATTTCATTTAGTATAAGAATGAAAAGGATTAGAAGTATACAATCTAGGGCAAATCAAATAGTTTTCTTAATTCTCTCTTGCTTTTTGTAGTTTTAATTAATTAAATTAATAATTTATATCAAAATTAATGTAATTTATCAACTATTTTCTTAATATTTGAGAAACAATCAATATAACAATCGTCCATTTCTAGAGCCATTGAATATTTGCAATTGAATAAACAATCCTCTATTCCATTTTCATATGTTTTGGTGACTTTTTTTAAATATTTTTTTGGTGCTTCTCTCTTTTTCAACCAATATTCTATGCATTCTTGATCTTAACATTTGGCTATTTCTTGAACACTTTTTAGATGTGCTTTCCTTATTAATGGATTGTAATATGATTCAATTAATTGTGACCATTTATCCTGAATTTCATTTTCCAATTCCTTAATTTGATTCTTCTTATCCATTAATAATAATTATTATGAAATTTATATTATAATTTTTAGGCTTGGGTACATAGTGTAACATGCTGCGGCTAACTTTTTGATTAAACACATTAATAGAAAAGGAATATATAAGGATTGGCCTTAGAAACCTAATTAATGTATTTTATTTGAGTTGTGATGCGAATCCTCTATATCAGTGATGCCAGATTATTATGATGCTTTTAAATTTGGATTGAGTTTGTCATCTCTATTGAATTGAATGCTTATCTCTAATTTCTATTTCTATAATTCAGGTACACTCATTTTAATTCTTATTTAGACACATAGTTCTTTAATGCAAGATTGACGCTTTTCGTCTCTAATTATTATACTAATTTGATTTGTCTTTTCATTCTTTTTACACCCAGTGGTGAAGGACGATATTATTTTACAGTTAAATGTTTATTTCTTTGAGTATGTTGATTCTAGCTTGTGCCTTGTTTTTGTTTAGAACGAAATTAGCATCTTGATTTGAAACAGTTGAGTTTGACATATAGAAATCCTATGTAACTATGGGATTTTCAAGTCATCTGAGACTTGTTTTTGGTTATGAATTATGTAGATTGAGAGAAGTTTAATATTTGATAATTGAAGATATTTTGCAGATGTTCATGATTTTCATTATTTTTTTTCTTGGGGATTGCTAATAAATAATAGGGAGCTATTTTAATGTGAAAAAAACGATCTGCTTAAATAAAATTAATTGTACATCATTAATTCACAATATATTATAATTTTTTGTTATAAACTATTTTTTTCATTGTAACAATTACATAATTACAAAAACCATATTAAAATATATAAGTAAGAAATCATACCATAGATCAATTCAAATATAGCTATCTGAAAACATGGACAATTCACTAAACTAAATTCGAGGAAAAAGCACTAAAATCAGGAGTTACAACACTGAAAAGAGATCCTTGATACAGTGAATCTCCATGAGGGTAACTACTACTGTTATTTTTATTTTGGAAGGTGAGCATACTCATTTTCTTTGATGATTCTAATTTATCTAAACCACTAATGAATTCAAAATCTTCAATAAATTTTATTTCCTAATGTTAGGGGGATGACTCAATCCTTATTTCGGTTTTATCTATATCCCTTTTTTCACAGCTCTTGCAGATTTATCCCATATATTCAATATTAATAAAATCAAATTATTATTATATACTAATTGAAGAAATTTCACTTTTACTCTCGTCATCAGATACTCTAGTTTACATCGATTATGAAATTACAATATAATATATCACTTTAATTATCAAATCCAAAATTTATCCAATTCTAAGTAGTAAACTTGCTAACTTTTTTATATTAAAGAAACTGAAGTTAATTAGAATTAATAAATTTTTATTCAACTGAGCTCTCATATATTACGAAATTTATTAATTTAAAAACAATTATTAATTTTTTATGATGGGTTTTTTCTTATTTCCAGAATAGTTATTAATATTTTTTTGATCTTACTTTATTTCTTTAACTGAAAGTTCAGAAATAATTTGTAAACTTAAAGATAAAGCATCCCCATTTGAAATAATAGAAATTAGCACCTCAAAATTTAGGCAGATTATATGATCACAGAAATATCATTAATTCTTATATGACTAGAATTTTTCCACATTTTTAAACTCTGTAATTTGAATAATGAGGTTATCAATTTCATTAAATGTGCTCGAAAGCTCTCAAAAAATAGGAAATCATTAAAACTTCATTTCCCTTTTTTATACCAAAATTCTCATTTATTGAATTATAAAATTTTGTTTCTTATTATTTATTAATTTTCCTTAAAGTGTTTTTTTTTCATTATATTCAATCTGATCTACAATAATTTAAATTCAATTTGTAGTGAAGTGGTTAACACGCCAGTCTCCATAACTGGAATCCAAGGTTCGAATCCTTGCAAATTGCTTTTTTTTAATTTTAAAAATAAAAATAGATTAAATAATTAATAATCCATTTTCATAATAGATCATAAATAATAATTTTCAAAGTGTAATCCTCCATATTCTAAAAATGAGGGGTTTTCTAAAAATTGCTCTTTTGTTTATCGTGTCCAATTCTCTTCAGATAAATATTCAATGTTGATTGCTTTTTATTTAAGACTAGCGCCTACTGTTTACCAAGCAAATCTAATGTCTTATGGATAAATAAAAACAGGAATGCTGACTTTAGAGAGAAACTCTCTTGTCAGAGCATCTGAAGGGTAACCTGATCCCATTTATCCAGATGGATAAATATCTTATTATATTTATAGCAATCGAGTATTCCTTTCCTGCAAAGCCACTGTTTGGGCTGCAATTATTGTTTAATGCATTCCTACAATAAATCTTAAGTCATTGTTTCCTAAGCCAAGACTCTTTTTCAAAACTTCATTCAAATTTTCCTTGAAACCAATGGGATTAATATAACACTCTAACTATTAAATATCTAATTGCTACCAATTATGTTATATCCTTTTGACAGTATATTTTTAATAAGTTATAATGTGTAATTTAAACTAATTTCATTTACATCAGAAGGAGTATATGCCAAGATCTTTGTGGATAATTTTTCGGCGCTAATTTCGATTGTTTCAAATTGCAATGCCTTGCCTTTAAGTTTACAAATTATTTCTGAACTTTCGATTTGATTTTAGTAGAATTGTTTATTGAGTGATAAAGAACATTGTTTAACAATGTAATTATGATTCGTGATTGGCCAAAAGCAACCTGCAATTATGATAGGTCCAATCAGAGGCCCTCTACCTGCTTCAAAAATCCCTAGTATCCATTCCTAATTGGCTTTAAGATCTTCTAGATTTTGAGGAAGTTCATCTGAAGAATTGTTGTTAAACACATTCATAATTGAATTTAACTTTAAATAATTTTGAATTTCCTAAACATTTTTCTTCCTTTTAAAGCAGTACCTTCATTGTTTAGCATCAATTGAATTGAGCAAGACTTATAAAGTAAACACAAAGTTTTGTAATTTAATAAAAATATAAAAAAGAATAGAAAAGATTATTTTATTTCTCACTAATTAAATTATTTTCATATGAGAAAGAAAAAAATGATAAACAATAAAGATGAATTCAAAATAATAATATAACTCAATTTATAAATTATGATCAATCTTCTATTCATATTATTTACTTTCTGGGAGTCCTTTTGTAATCCAAGTCAATAGCAAAGTTCTAGGATTTAACCCCAGTGTACCTTATCATTCGATTAATATAGGATTCCATTTCAATTGATTAATTATTGCTCAATAGAAAGATTTTTCAATTTTAGATTTACTCTAACATTTAAATAATCATCCATGTTATCAAATTTTCAATCATTTAATAGCAAGTTCTACTCTTAAAAGCGAGAAATATTATAAGTGTTTTGACTTCATTATATAATAGGCTTTGAAGAGAATCATCACTTATTCTAGAATATAATTACAACTTACTCGACAACATTAGAAGTAGAAGAATTACAAACTGAATGTGAACCAAAATGATTTGCTACTGTATGTGCTTTTATATATGTAGAAAGAATCCCTAAATACTTATGGTTTCACTTCTGAGATCTCATTATATAATATACTTAATTTTTTATAATATAAGAGTAAAAAAATCAAAATTCAGTGACCATAAATAGGCCATCTCCATAATTATGGAAATATGTGCCTGCAACGACGGGAAGCGAGCTGAGAACATAAGAATAGTATGTGACTCATTTAATTCTATGTGATTTAATATATTAGTAAACATTAAATTTAAATGTGCTTCTACCTTCTATTACTATTTGGATAAGTTATTAATAATGGTTAGTTTTTATTTAGTGTACCTTTACTTAATTCTTAATATAAATATTAATCATTACGGTTGAAACTATACAAAAATATTATTCAAAATAAGAAAGAAGAATGTAATAGAGAATAATTATTTTTTAAAATTTTTTCATTCATAGATGAGTTTTGGTACACCCGATAAAAGGACACTAGAGAAGTAAAAGAAGCTTTTGATAAAGAAAATAATGGGCTGGATAAGGCAATGCTTCAATGATCGCTAAATTGGATTTCATCCTTTCATATTATGTGTTTCAATAAAGCCAAGCGTTAATTAAAGATGTGCAACAATTCAAAGTTATCCAAATTAGGAGCTGTGGAAGAGCTTACATTCACTTTAAGATCAAGAATTACTATCATAGATTATCTAGGAGGTATCTGAAAATACATTTAAACTTAAAGACAAATATGATAATTCTTTAATCTAATAGTTTTTAATTAGAATAAAGAATAACTTTGATTTTTGTAAGTTCTATAAAGAGACTCAAGAGTAAGGTTTTGATTAAGATGAGCATGCTTCAGAATTTACGGAATTAAATTATACTAATTAAAAAACAAAATAATTCTAGAAAAATGAAAGCGAGTCCAAATAATTGCTCAAATAAATCGAATTATGTAATACAAAATAGGGTTCAATAATATCTATTGAAAAGTAACATTACCATAAACTTTTCTAATTATTTGAAAAAATATGCTCAGTGCCAGAGGAAAATTATTCTACCGAGATGAGAAAGTTCAGGAATTAATTATCCTTGCTTTTAGAATCTACTCAAAACCCATAAGAAAAGTAAGTGTGTATAAAAAATGATTTTTAAACTGAAAAAGTAGCTATGCTTATTTAAAATAGAGAAACATATGGCATCGAATAATATCATCTATTATAAGATATAAAATAAGAAGTTCTATCAACAATGCCCGAAATTGTATTATTCCTCCCAAGTGAATAAAATAATCAAAGAATCAAAAAAGATGAACTCTATAAAATCGAGGAAGAATTCTTTCAAGAATTGTACTTTTACAAGACTATTGATGCTTAAGTTTTAACGCCATATAATATCACTTATTTTTGGAAACATTACTTTTAGCCAAAGATTGAACATGTATGTTCTTAATGGCAATAAGTAAAAATTGAATGAGTTCTTTATTGTATATAATAACTAACAATTTAATTTATTATTGATTAATCTATTAAACCAATTTTAACAAATATAAATCTATAAGATAATATATTTGTAAAGAAACATAATAACTTGTTTTATTTTCTAGAAAATTTATATTAAGAACCAAACCTTATGAAATTCCTAAAAGGCTTAATAATTTGAACTCTCGATTAATTCCTTGCTTTTAGTAAGGAATCAATGTAATACAGGATTATATATAACAGATTCTTAAATATTATATTATCTAGAAAGTAATGGCTAAATTGGTACATCTTTTCAATCTGTTGAAAGGCCAACTGGTGAACCCAACCTCAAAAATGTTAGAGTGGTGGGTTAGTACTTTGGAACTAATGGTGTTAACACAGTTAAGATTTACACTACCATTGTTAATAAATTGAGCTATTGAGCAGTTGAATTCTACAAAAAATAAACGAGATATTTAGTAGTTGGGAATAATTTATATTAAAATGGAAGAGAACGAAGAGAAATACAACAAGACTGTGAGTGATATGCCTTGGTTATTTTATGATTTTAAAGAATTTGTAAAATATTAGGAGTATTATGAATATAAAAAACATATACACTTATAACTAATATATAGGCATACCATGTTCACTTATTTGAAGCCTAATAATGTGTAATTGATCACAAATCAAGAGAGAGGGACAGTCGAAAAAGAAGGCTAAAGGGCTTTTGATAAATAGTTAACTCAGATGAGCTTAAAATGATATATATAAAAATAATATTTTTGGATACTTTTGTATAATCGTATTCAACATTTCAAATAATCTTCCAAACTTTCTTAAGCATACTGACCTGTTTTGGCAATGTCAAATACTTTCTAAAATTGCTAATGACACTTCGCATTCCTTTGACTTTAATAATAGTAAAGAATGAATACACTCCCAAAAAGCAATCAATGAATGATATCGCACTATCTTTGCAAAACTCAGGTTCAACATGCTTTCCCAAAGGTGTTGATCTGCAGAGATTGAAACTTTTTCTTTGATCTTTGCATACCTGATTCCCTTTAATTGAGTAGATCATCAATTATAAGCTAGATTGCATATTAATAGATACTGAACCTCTCATCATTTGTATATGTATACAAATCTTTTGCAATAGCTTGAGAAGCCATATTTATTATTATAAAATATAAATTAAAATATATATAAATATAGATAAATAATAACTGAATAATTACCAATATTGGAAACTCTAACCTTTGAAGTCTTTAATTATGAGTCATATTATTTCATTATATATTTAATTACTACAAAAAGCATTGAAAAATAGAATTAGGTTATATTTATGATATGAATTCCTGCTTCAATAATTTCTTAAATCAAGATAAATTAATTTTTTTTTTAGCCATAATAATTATAGAATTAGATTTCAAGATTTTGTCTTTATATTTGCATTTATTCAAAATAAAAGGTGTTTTGATATGAGCATTGATCAAATATCTAAAATTAATTCATTTGAATATTTATAATGAGATTTCTATACAAATTGAATAACAAGAAATTCTATTAATCATGATAAATTTCAAGTATAAAAGGCTTATTGTTGTATTAATACAAATAAATCTATATAAGAGGTAGATTTTGAAAATAACTTTTAATAATTAAAAGTAAATGAAATAGTTCAAAGAAATTTTGTGTTTATAAGTTGTTAAAGTCGAACTTACTTAAAGAATATCAAAATCTGATGCAGAAGAACCGATCCATTATGGCATTATTTTAACAACCCAAAACTAAGAATAATATGTTGTGCATAATGGTTATAAATTTGGAAAAGCTTAAGACTTTGTCCTAACAAGCATCTNGAAATACAACAAGACTGTGAGTGATATGCCTTGGTTATTTTATGATTTTAAAGAATTTGTAAAATATTAGGAGTATTATGAATATAAAAAACATATACACTTATAACTAATATATAGGCATACCATGTTCACTTATTTGAAGCCTAATAATGTGTAATTGATCACAAATCAAGAGAGAGGGACAGTCGAAAAAGAAGGCTAAAGGGCTTTTGATAAATAGTTAACTCAGATGAGCTTAAAATGATATATATAAAAATAATATTTTTGGATACTTTTGTATAATCGTATTCAACATTTCAAATAATCTTCCAAACTTTCTTAAGCATACTGACCTGTTTTGGCAATGTCAAATACTTTCTAAAATTGCTAATGACACTTCGCATTCCTTTGACTTTAATAATAGTAAAGAATGAATACACTCCCAAAAAGCAATCAATGAATGATATCGCACTATCTTTGCAAAACTCAGGTTCAACATGCTTTCCCAAAGGTGTTGATCTGCAGAGATTGAAACTTTTTCTTTGATCTTTGCATACCTGATTCCCTTTAATTGAGTAGATCATCAATTATAAGCTAGATTGCATATTAATAGATACTGAACCTCTCATCATTTGTATATGTATACAAATCTTTTGCAATAGCTTGAGAAGCCATATTTATTATTATAAAATATAAATTAAAATATATATAAATATAGATAAATAATAACTGAATAATTACCAATATTGGAAACTCTAACCTTTGAAGTCTTTAATTATGAGTCATATTATTTCATTATATATTTAATTACTACAAAAAGCATTGAAAAATAGAATTAGGTTATATTTATGATATGAATTCCTGCTTCAATAATTTCTTAAATCAAGATAAATTAATTTTTTTTTTAGCCATAATAATTATAGAATTAGATTTCAAGATTTTGTCTTTATATTTGCATTTATTCAAAATAAAAGGTGTTTTGATATGAGCATTGATCAAATATCTAAAATTAATTCATTTGAATATTTATAATGAGATTTCTATACAAATTGAATAACAAGAAATTCTATTAATCATGATAAATTTCAAGTATAAAAGGCTTATTGTTGTATTAATACAAATAAATCTATATAAGAGGTAGATTTTGAAAATAACTTTTAATAATTAAAAGTAAATGAAATAGTTCAAAGAAATTTTGTGTTTATAAGTTGTTAAAGTCGAACTTACTTAAAGAATATCAAAATCTGATGCAGAAGAACCGATCCATTATGGCATTATTTTAACAACCCAAAACTAAGAATAATATGTTGTGCATAATGGTTATAAATTTGGAAAAGCTTAAGACTTTGTCCTAACAAGCATCTGTAATATTAGTAAGAGCTGGAAGATTTATGAAACATATGAATTAGGGAAACCTATTAAATTAGAAGTCCTCTTTTTAGCTGGATGTTGTGGGCAAAATATGAAATATAATCCTATATACAATAACAGTAAGCATGCATAAGATAGGATTGTGTAGAAAGTCAAGGAGTTATCTAATCAAAGTCAACTATTGGTTTAATGAGCTGTATTTTTCATATCTCAAATTTGATCCTTTTTTAATTTTAGTAGAAAAATGTATTTTTTTATTATATATTTTTGGTTGTTTTAATTTCATTAAGGAATTGTTTTATCTCGTCCTATGCAAATAGTGAACCTAGGGATTTCTCATTCTTGAAGACTTCCAATTTAAAAACCCTATAAATCAGATTTCTAGATTTTAATAAATATGAGAATTTTCATAATTCCTTTTCAATTTTTTAGATAAATTTATTAAAATATGCTTTTGGTATTTAAATATTGAATAAAATTGAGAAGGATTTTATTGAATATTTAAAAATTTGTATTTTATATATTTTATTTGAATTTCTATTAAATATATATTTTATAGTAAAGCTATTTTAAATCGACAGGTGACACATCGAAATTATAAAAATTTGAATAATATGACTACTTCATGACTGTTTGTATTTAAAGACAATGCACCACTATTAATAAAATATAATTTCATAGTTTTATAAGATTTTCTTAATACTTAACTTGAAATCTAAACCATCTATTCAATATTATTGAGATAAGATAGATTTTAATCCTTGAGACTTTAAACAAGAGTAAAATCTGAATTATTTATTGGAATAACAAAAAATCAAAGGTAAACAATAGAATCTTTATATAGAAAGTATGAAGCTAATTAAAACTTTTTCTAACGAAGCCATAACTTGATAGACAAAGTATTATAATTGAATTCTTAATAGATTCTTTTAATATTCATACTTTGGAAGCTATATAAGTAATTTAAATATTGTAAATGAGAGAATGATCTAATTACTTAAATCTAGCACAACTTTATTGATATAAACATTTGCACATTTTTAGGATATCAATTAATTAATAAATTTTAACTTGAAGAAAATTTTGGCTTTCAATTAATTTTAAAGTTAATTTATTCATTATTTTTCATATGTAAAATTAATATTTTTAATAATTATTAGAATTTGAGAATAAAATTAAGGATAGCCAAAATCCTTTAATTTATCCTTTATTAAATAATTTAAACTTTTAAGAGTTTATTAAGGGATTCTTTTAGCATAAACAAAAATGAGAGAGCTTTAAACAATTTATTTTGAATATTTTATATCACTTATTAAACCAAACAGATTAAGTAATAATTGGAGTTTTGTATAAGCAAGGCTAAATCTGAAATTCAAGATATATATCAGATGAATAAAATAATTTTTGATCTATTCAAGATATAAGAATTAATCATGTTATCATTAATCTAATGAACCCATAAATTAAAATTGTGAATTCTATTTCTAATTATCTCTTTTTCTTTTCCAGTCATCCACAAGGCTATTCGAATTTAAAAATTCTAATTTATGATTCTAAAATTAATAAGGGTAAATACATATTGCATTTGTCTCATTTGTTCATTTTAGAATTAATCATAATGCTACTATTGATTTTACCAATAGAAATTTTATAATTTAGGGGAATTGATATCTATTAAGTTAGGACTACAATTCCATTATGGTGATGTAAATGTGTTATAATACAATTGATATTGTTGTGTAGGTGTGTAAGTCATGGGAGTTTGATTAATCATCGAAATTGGTGATACGGCATTATAATTAGTTTGAAACTGTTTCATATATTATTCCATCATAATTTTATATTAATACTGTTGTAATTCTTCCATTTAATTTCTATAACTTTGATAGATCAACTAATTCTAATTTTATTATTAGACATCGAACTAATATGGTTATTGGAGAAAGTGCAAGAAACAATTATTTAAAGTACTCGGTGTTTGAATACCATTAATTTCTGAAATTTAAGTTTGTTATTAGACTTATTATTGTTAATCTTATCGATGAATGTCATTTGGTATGTTGGAAACTTAAACATTAGGGACGGGCTCATTATTTTCTTTTTGATTTAATGAATTATTTTAAATAATAAATTCTTAATTAATTGATTCTGACTATTTTTTTAAGGTTTTGAGATTAGCTTTAATGAGTTTCTTTTTCTTCGTTGTTTTTTTTGGATGCTTGATCTAGATATGGAGTTTTCGGACTTTCTACTTGAAGGTTTGGAAAGATTGGTTTTTTTAAATATTTGGATCTCCTGCGAATTCTTCAGAAAAAACTCCTAATTTCTTTAGATAATCTTGTATAGCTTGAAGTTCATCTAATTCATCATCGTCTTCATCTTTGTATATCTTCTGCATTAAGCTTTTGAATCTTAAATTTATATTAAATTGGGATACCTATTCTTGACTTGATTTTCAGTTCTTCCTTGCAAGAGTGTTGATAATTATGACCATCTTTTGCCATGATTTACTATGTTGATCAATAATTGGATATCTTCCTTTTAAGTCCAATTTGCTCTAAGGTATAAATTTTGATACTTACTTATTCAATTTAGGGTTGAGGTAATTCATCCACCTTTCTCTAACTTACTTAGGGGTTCTAATAAATTGACCACCATTTTTGTTGTATAACTCCAAGGCAATAAATGTCCATATATGTTTCTCATCTTATTCACTATTTTGTTTTATTGATATTTTACTTCATCAATGAACGGATGATGTCATCTTCTTGAGAATCCCAGTTTATACTTTTCTGAACAGGGTTTATTAGTGTGATCCATCTTTATTTGAGAATGGTTTCATCAGTTTTTAAGATACTTGCAAGCTCAAGCCATTCCTCCTTGTTTGGGTTGATGGATTTCTGATTTTTGATTTGAAAATACTTGCTTAACACCCATATGAACATCATTTTACATTACTTATCCCATTTTCTCTTTATACCTTACTTTTCCTCTTAAATCAATCTGTTGTTTTTTATATATTGATTTCTTACTTTTGTACAATACCATCGAAATACTTGCTGTTTGGATTTATGAAATTGTCTTTGATTTTAAATTGATTTCTAAAATAAAAAGGAATTTCAGCATTTTTGAATGTGCCAAGTTATGAAATGAATTCCTGAAACATATATTAATAATAATTTAATTTAGAAATACTGGCAAAATTCGTTAGAAAGTACAATTGTAGTTTGAAATCTGAATACATCCCTATTACAAAGATTGTTGGTAGCTTTATAATAATGAAATTTATGCATTAAATTAATGTTTAAAGTTATTTTAATTTTTTAATATAAATATGTCATAATTAATATATATAGCAAAATAATTAAATAAGTCCAGTTTATTATTTACTGATATTATAGGTTTTAATAAATTATAGCTATAAAGTACTAAATCAAGTCAAATATGAAAATCCAGCAAGTGTAAGGGGACTATTTAAAATTTTGTTGAATTTTGAATTTGATTTATTATTATGCTTCATTGAACTTTGTAATACAGTTTTTGCATCCATAGGTGAAGTCCCCAATTTCCTTTGTTGCACAATGTTAGCCTACTCTCGACTTACTTTCCTAGATATGTTGATCTCTTCATTCAGAAAAGTATTCTTAGGTGGAGAATTCTAAGATCTAGAGTTGTTCAGTTAAGAAGTGTTCATCGATCTGGAATTCCTGTGCTTCAATTCCCTAATCTTCTCTTAAATGTCACTATTTTTATAATTCAAAATACCTTGTAATTGAACCCCCATATTCTAATTTTATTGGACTGGCATAATTTTATACTAAAGATACTTAAAGAGGCTATAAAATATTAAAAAATCTTCTGAAATCCTAATAAAACTGAGCCTATTTTTTTGACAGTTACTACATTTCATCCTACATTTGTTTGAACAAGTTCTTAAATAGTAATTTATTATAATTACTAGTTGTTTTATTGATAACTATTTATCCTATACTATTCCATCCACTGTCGCCACTAATTATTTGAATGTGTATATATCTTAACCATCCTAGCTTTTCAAAATTGCCTTGATTTCATTCTTTATTATGCTCATTTCCTCAATATCTAATTGCTTAAACTACTTTAAAATATTACCTAAACTTCTTCATCCTTAGTAAGTTCATTCAAATATGTAGTCTCAATATTAGACAATTGATTTTGAAATTCCTCTTATTTTGAATCTAAGTACATGTGTAAAGCTTTAAATTCTGTGTCTATGTCATTTTTTTATGTTTAACACTTATCCTTTACTTACTATTTATCGAATTGAATGTTCCTTATCTTATCCAAACTCCTTTCAACTGCTAAATTTAATTTCTCTAAGCAAGGATGACCTTTTATAGTAGGATCCTCCTAAATTGGTTAAACATATTATCTCTTCTCTGTGGTAAAAGGTTTAACATTGTAATTGGGCTATGTCTTTGATAGTTATGATTGTGATTCTTTTGTTTGTTGGACAGCTTAAAGTGACTCGTGATCTAAAACAGTTGGAGCATTGCATTTTAGACAAGGCACTCCACTGTCATCTTTGTGAAAAGCATGTGAAATGCAAAATAAACAAAATTTATGCTCGCAATCTAATATAACAAATTGTGTTGGGACGGTTTAGCATTGTTCACATATTACTTCATCTTCTTCAGACATTTTTGATGTTATTTTATGATTAATTTTATTTATTAACAACTTTAATTTAAATAATAATAAAAATTATGCAAAATCAATACTTTATGAAAGGATTTATAAGTGAGTCAAAATAAGTTCTCTAAAAGAATACGAGTTATAATTCAGTATATCATAAGTGAAATTAACTTTATTAAAGAAATTAAAGTCATTTATATCTCTCTTGATATTACATTGGGTTTTATCATAATGCTCATTCTTTACTTTTATATTAAGTGTTAAAATAATACTATGGGTTTTAGGGAACGCTAAAATACTATTTCAATTAAGATGTAATTTCTCTTCTGAAAAGGAATAAGGAAATGAGATAACTTATAATAAAGTCTATTAGGGAAATATTTTTATTACTCCAGAACTATTTTTAACTTCATATTTAGAATTTAACATAGTACAATAAAGTTTAGCAATATTATTAAAAGATTTTATATTTCAAATTCAGTTTACTCTAAAATAATAAACTCAAAAGTAACTAGTTTTAATAAATTAAGAATTTAGCTTTCATTATTAAAAATCAAAATATTAATATATTTAAGTAATATTATTGAAGTGAATCTTAAGATAGAATTTTCATGAACCGAAATAGATTTTTCTTTAATTCATGACCCTTTTAATTAATAATTGAGATAAATCAAGAATTATATATAAGAACCTAAAGTAACAGGTTTTTAAATTGCTTATAAAATTTATTTATTTATGTATATATTTCATTATTAAGTCATATAATTTCAATAATAACATGAAACTCCCTTATCATTTTATGATTATCACGAATTAAATGGTATCTTAATGAAAGTGCTTTCTGTTTCTCAAAGAATTCAATGCCATTTGTTTCAGATTTACAATCATTTAAGTATTCATAAATTCAAAGATATGATGAGAATCAAGGATCCTCTAATAGAAAACTTATTACATTATCTGTTGTTCTTGAAAAAATAATAAAATGCCTAGATTTCAAAATATTAGTTCAAAATAGTATCTAAAATTATAAAATTATATTGATAAAACAAAAATTAATTGTGTGTAAATTTATGAATCTAATGATAGTAAATAAATGAATAACTAAGGATAGAAATTTGAGTTTACTGCCATCTCATTCATCTTAACTCTCTAGTTTTATAAAAACTTTTACCAAAATTAATGCGTTTTAATAATTAGGTTCTCTTTGAAATGATTGATTTAAATGGTTGAATCAAATTCTATGTATTAAGAGTTATTGACAAAGTTGTATTGATTATTTTAATTATTGGACTTCGTTGCATTTCATTAATTTTTATGTAATAAAATATTATATATTAAAAAGAGTAGAAAACAAAGAGCTAGTCCTTTTTGGCTAGAATTTGTTCTTGCTTAAGCTTCCTGAAATCAAAGCAACATCAAACGAACCAATTAAAATATCAATTGGGAATTGATAGTCCCAAATCATCATTTTTAGTACTTTTCAAAATTATTTGGTTAGGGACAACGTAAACTTATAGTTCTAGATTTGGATGAAACATTGGTTCATAGTTAATTTTAATTTATAAATGGTTATGATTTTTCAATCGATGTAAAATACAATTATATCTTAGATTATTGTTTAAGGCCAATTATTCAAAGTCTATGTAACAATCCGACCAGGGGTTTATGAGTTCATAGAGCAACTTTATGAATTTTACGATATAGTATTTTGGACTGCGAGTCTATAAGAATATGCTGATCCAGTGATGGATTTTATTGATCCCAATAATAGAGCTATTGGCAGAATGTATAGAGATAGTTGTACACCATTGTAAATTGGATTAACAAAAAACCTAAACAAGTTGGGAAGGGACATGAAGGACATCATTATAGTAGATGTAATGAATAAGATTTATTAAAAGAATTCTGTTGTGTCTTTTCACTTAAATCCGGAAAATGGATTTTAAATAAAAGATTTCTTCTTTGATAAGTAAGACTAAGAACTCGAATTAAATTTGCCCTTTTTCATATGGTTATCATAGGTATCATTATGTACCTATTAAAGTTACCAGATGTGCGTCCAGTTTCTAGTTTGTTTAAATAGTTTAACAGCACTTCATCAAATGTGTTGAATATGAGAAACGCTATGACACTCAACAGTTAATGTTAATAAAATGAACAAAGGAAATTTTAAAGTCTCTCAAGATCTTTATCTCTTTAAAAAGCAAAAATGATGCTTTCCAATTAAGTGTTTCGAACATTAACTCTATCAAAAGATGACGATGAAGATGAGTTAGACGAAAGCAAAATCAGAGATAAACTAGGATTAAATTAACCTCCATATGAAAAAGCAAATTAACAACCAGATTAGACTGAAGAAGAAGATAAAGAGACTTATGTAATATCGCATTGAAACACTTATTGGATTTTTGTTGTAAATTTTTAAAATCTGTTTTTTATTGTATTTTTCTTATTTGATTCTTGAATTGATATTTTCCAAGGGAGTCCCAGTGTTTTTTAATTTAAAGTGTCTGACTAAAAAATATTTCCTATTTTTTTTAACCAAAAATAGTTATTAGAGAAATTTATTGTGGTTCTTAAGATCTTTTGATAATAAATTGTAATAAAATAAGTGTGATACAAGCATAATTTCTTAAAATTCAATATAAAAAATTTAAAATACCATGGCAAAATTAAGCACAAAAATATTATCATTATCTTTTAAGATATGCTTCTAAAGAAAAATCATCAAATTCTGTATCACTAGTTTCAAAACCAGCGTAACAAAAGTCATTGGAATTTATGGGTAATTATTTGAGTTTTCTACTTATCGTATTTTTAAATTGTTTGCCTTCTAAAATAACAGATTATTTGGAGCACTATGACAATTTCAAATGATTAAAATCTGTTTAAGCTGACTTAGCAATTATTTTAGGAGAATGTGTAAAAGGTTTAGGTGAGTTCGAAATCGGCTTCTTGTTTTGGGTAGATCTATCAAGGGATATTGCTCTTTCTCTCTCCACAAATAGTTTAGGCAATATAATTTTATGAGGTAACTATCGAGCAGGGTCTTATTAAATTGAAATATACTCTATGACAAGGATCGCTTTGCTCTATTGGTTAATTATATAATACAGGACATTATAATTAAATATGTACGGATAAATAATATCAATAATACACCTTTTTGGTAATGACGTTATAAAAATCTTCAAATGTCATTTTTCCATCTTGATTAGAGTCAGTCTTTCTAAAGATCTTGAATATCGGATTTATTCTATTACTTCAGCCAATACTTCTTCATCAATATCCTCTTTTAAATCTTTATACACAACTTATCTGAGATCTTGTAAAGTGATGTATCCTTTGTTGCTTTTATCATACTTTCTGTAAACTCTTCTAATAGCATCCTTTTTCTCTGATTTAGTTTTATCCTGATTTAGAATGCCCAAGAAGTATTGAAATGTTATTCCTCCTAATTCTTCTTCATCCAATTCAGAAAATATTTCTATTTTAGGATAATTGGATTTAATTACCATATAAGGTTTCCTTAGTCGGATGATATCCAAAACTAATCAACAATTATTCTAAATCATTGGGAGATAAGATTCCTGCTTATTCTGAATCATAGTAATCGAAAACTTGTTTAATATCAATAATGTCTGATTCCTATTAAATTAATCAATATAAAATGCTTTGAGATCTTTGGTTACAAATTTTTTGGGATTAAATTCATTCGGATTGCCCCCTTTTTCCTATATTCTTTCATTAGCAATTTATTTTCTGACTTGTTATCCCTAATTCTAGATATTATTATGAGATTAGTTAATCAACATCCTTGACCTCATTGATTCTCTATTTTGTGGACCTCGGTTGTTTGAAATACGGGACTCATCCAACTAAGTATGGGGACTATCTCTGATTATAGATTGAGTTGTTCTAAAAGGACTCTATCAATATTGGATTATGTTGGTTACATGAGAAGTTCTTTGATTTCTCATTCAATTGATAATAAATTAAAATAAAACTTAAGACTTTATTAGGATTTATTTTAATTATTTTTTTATGAAATTAATTTTGTTTTTGGCATTGACAATCCTAATATGCAACTGCTAATAAACAGATAATGAATACAATTTATTTGCTTCTACTGAATAAATTAAATTTAAAAACATCGGTTTGGGGTTGATGAGAAATATTGAAGGCATATCTGATAGCTTTGATGAAATTCCATCAAGTGAGAATGATATATTGTTATAAAACGACTTAAATGAGAGATTATGAATTATGACATTTAAATATAGATAATAAATTACGAAAATTAATTAGAATACATTCGATCATCTTGTAGAACAATAGTAAATACATGTTAAAATCAAAAGAAAATAATATATTTCAAATTTGTTAGACTCTCTAGTATTACTTCCTTCTTTATAAATCATCAGGTCCTGAAAGCTATGGTTTTGTTTCTAAGGGTTAAAGATTAACATCTAAGAATAAAATTTAGTAATACTTTTTTTATTAGATGGTGGTGTTGCTTGTGATAAATTGCTGCTGTTTGTATTACTATTAAAACTATATTGACTTGGAAAATTGGGTACTGTGTTTCCTCGATTATCGATAGGACTTAACATTATTTTTTGATTTGGTTTCTTCTCATTGAATTACTGATTGGAAACTTCATTCGAGTATCGATATTTTCCTTCTTTTTCTTCGAGCATCTAATAATTCAATTTTATCTTCTCAGCCACTAATTATGCTCTATCCAACTGAGGCTAACTTGCACCATTTTATTTTTGTTGATAATCTAACATTGATAATTAGAGACTACCTTTTATTTGTTATTTTGGGGAAGTCATTCTTTAATTGTATTCAGAATCATTGTAACTACTTTTATCAGATTATCGAGAATTAATTTCAATGATCCTTTCAGCCTTTTCTTGCTCAATTAAATCGATTGCTAGTTTCAATTAATATGATTACCTTGTTTATAAGGCAAATTAGGAAAATTGACTTTCTTTGCTTTAAAATTGAAAGGAGGAATCTTATAATCTGAAGAATCATCATCCCATTCACATGCTGCTTGAAGAGATTCTAATTCAGTTTGATTAAACATCATTTTAACTATGCCAGAATATAATTTTATTTCTTTTTCTTAACTTCTAATAGTATCCAACAGATCTTCCTTCTCATATTCAACTTCTTGTTTTAAATCTTTCTACTCATTCTAAGCCTCTTCTAATTTCTTTCTCAAAAATTTAACAAGTTTTCTTAACTTTTCAACCTCTTCCTGAACACTTTGATACTTAGTCTCAATTTACAAAAGTTCTTATTATTGCTATTCCTATTAACTAATAAGAGCTTCATGCTCTTTTTTTTATTAATCAATTGCTTGTCTCAATTTTTTATATTTCTTTTTATCATCATCAGTACCTTTGCCACCTTAAACCATCATTTATTCCTTTTCTTTCAATAAATCTTCCAATCTCTTCCTGGCTTATCGTTCTTATTCTGCTTAAATCTCCTTCTCTCTTACTTCCATTTCAATTCTTTCCTTCTCTTATAGTAATTGATTATTCTTCTCCTTAAATTCATGCAACTCTTTAAGTTTCTCTTCAGAGGGTCCACCTCCTGCCTAGGCTTTGCTCTTCTCTTTCAATCTATCATTTTCTGCTTTTAATCTTGCCAGCTCTGAATTGTTTTCTGATTTAGCAACAGGCTAAAAGGCATCCATAGATATAGGTTAGCCTGCTGCTTATTTGGATAGCATTTCTTTAAGTCTTTTGATTTCTTCAGCCTGCTCTTTTAATAAAGCATCTTTTGGATCTTCATTTACCTTAGGTTGATTTTTAATCATTTTGGCTCTTGATGCATATCTTAAACTAGACAAAGTTTCATCAAAGTTAAAATCAGACGGACTGATAGCTGTAATCATTATTGTTTTTGTATTTCCTCCCAAAGAGTCCTGTAATAATCTTGTTAATTTAGAATCTCTGTAAGGAATATGCTATGTTTTACCATCAACAAGGGCTGAAATGACATTACCCAAAGCTGAAAGTGATAAATTGATTTTTGTAGCTTCTTTTAATCTGTCACCTGTGGCTTAAGTTTTTGATTATCTTTCACTACCTGCCAAATCCACCAAGTTTAATTTGCCAGCAGTAATTCTCTCATTTCCCTTTTGATCTGTAACAGAACATTCTATGTATACAGTGAAAATGCAATGACTACGACTTGATTCCTTATTCATGGCTGTGGCTCCAACTGATCTGTTTTATGTACCCAATTACATGTATCGATCCATTTCCTAAGTGGTTCTAACCACGGCTATGTTTAGATCCTTAATGTAGACACCTTATTATCTCTCTTTTAACTCATATTTCTGCTTCACATCTTTGCTTAATAAATCATGTATTTCTTCATTGTATATCTCTATGTATGAACATCGAAGTAGAAATTTCTTGTTTGAGTCTGAGTTATTATTTATAATGCTGATAATTTGATCAAAAGTTCTAGGTATGATACCCTTCATTGTTTCCTAATAATGAATAATATTAATACACTAGATGGGTCTCCAATCATAGTGAATGTTTTACCACAACCTATAGGATAATTGAATATTAATACCTGTTTAACCATATGCAAATATTGTTCCATTGTAACCATCCGCAACACTCTCTACCAAATTGAAAGCAGTTTTCTAATAAATGGACAGTTGAGGTGTCTCTGATCCAAACACGTAATCATATGTATACGATTTCACATCATTATCCTATGTCTAAGGTATGATTGATTAAATAGAATACATTTTTTAATTCCACAGTGTTGGTGTCTTCGTAAACTACCACACATGGCTTGCTTCCATTCTCCATTTCTCTTTGATTGAATGGACGCATTCTTACAATGACTTTGACACATTCAGCTGGCATTAATTTATATTTTATTAATCAATAATTGTAGTAACAGTTGTCAATTGAAGTTTATAATTAACATTCATTATTCCATCGTAAAAATACATTTATGAAATCACAGTCATATCTCTTCAGCCTTGTCCTTCTACTCCTCTTGATTCTATTTCACTTTTTCTAAATAAGCAAATAATTTACCATTTTAGATAATATCCGCCCCTTATCCTGCTTCATTTGATCCCACCTTCTCCTAAACACCTTATTAATCTATTTGTCTTTCTTCCTCCAAAACCTATTGTTCCTCAATCTACATCCCTTTATTGACCTTGTTTTCTTCATTTCTCATCTCCTACTCCTGACCATCAAACTTTTATTCTACAATGCCATTCCAACTTTATCTCTCATTATTAAAGTCATTCTCTTGACTGCTTTATTGTATTTGTTATTGTTATAATAATTCATTTACTTTACTCTACTCCTGAAGAAGTCTCTCCTTATACTTATCCAGTTCTCGACTTAAAATATAATCACATGCTATTATTGACAATTCCTTGTTCTTCTGGATTGATATTTATTCCTATATCTCTTAAGTCTATTTTAGTCTGGTCTATTCAAATTGAACCTACTCTTCATTTATTTTTTATTCCCTCGCATTAATTAACTCTTCCTTTACTTTCAAATCTGTGTCCTTTTTCTCAATCATTTATTTCCTTCTCAATAGCTGATCTTTTTCTTTAGTCGTCTAAGACAATTGTTCCTTCAAGTCTTGAATCTCATTTAAACTCAATTCAGATTTGTTAACTTATTTTAACTTCTCTTATTTGTATTAATTTTTAGAATCCTCCAGTGCCTTTCTAAGTTCCAATATTTCCTATTCCAATTACGATATCTCGTCCTACTTCTATCCAAGTTTATTTTAATATTCTATCTCTAATTATTGAATCCTTCTTTGTGACTCCTCCTTCAATTATTGCATCCTACTTTACAATTATTCAGTGCTCTTCTTCAATTCCGATAAAGATTGATCATTATTTTGGTTCTTTTAGACTTATTCAGATCTCTATTTCTGGATCAAAAATTGATGATACAAATCCTCCTTCTCTTTTATTAATTAATGTATCTACTCCTATAATCCTTGAATTGTAATTTTATCGTTTTCACTTTAAATCTTCATTTGTAATATCTTCTAATTTTCCTCTCCTCTCTAATCTCCTCCTTCCAACTCCTTAATTTATCTATCCTTTTAATGTAATTCCTCTCTCAATCTTTATATTTCTATTGCATAATTTTTGATTTCCTCATGCTACTAAATTATTAATTGCTTATTCTTCTTGTTTTGCTAAAACAAAATTTGATTTTGTTAATAATAATTAATATGTTCCTGAGTTACAGATTTCAAACTCATTTCTTATTGTAACTCATTTATTTTTATTTCAAACTCCTCATACCTCTTTCTAAATTCTTCTTTCTTCCTTCCAAATTCCTCCTTTTACTAAGTCAATCTCCTCTCTAAGAAATCCTTCTGCTACCTCTCCAACTAATATTGACTTTACAATTTAGATATCTCAAATTCCAATTCCTCTATTCTAAACTCCAATTTGCGCTTCTCCATCCTCTATTTCCTGAATTCGTTTAATAAACTTTACTGCTTTTCAGTTCTAACCTTGATTTCTAATTTGAATATGAGAATTACTTTCAATTTTATGAACAATTGGCTCAACCTTATTATTGATAATCTATCCCAAAGCCTTCTCCTAAGTCATTATGCTAACCCTCTCTTTCAAATTCGTAATCTCATCCTCCTTCGTACTTAAAACGTACTTGAGATTCAAATTCTCCTACTAGATTGCTTCCCATTAATTGGTTGGGCGATTATAAGATTGCTAGTTAATTAAGATCTACTAAATTTATGTTTTCAACTATTCATTCTCATGGCATAACTATTTTATCAATACCTAACCATCAGTATTCTAAACTTAGGGTTGATTCTTTAAAAGATCCATAACAGATAATTCCTAAATCTAAGTTCTTCTAGCAAGGTTTTCAGATCTTAATTAAATAAGTTCAATATTTTGAATTTCCTCCTTCTATCTCAGTTATTATAGTTCGATTTCTAATTGATTTTAAGTTTCTTTTAATTTTCTATTTAAGCTAATCTCCACCTCTAATTTTTTCTTCTATTGCTAAGAAATAGCCATCAACTATTCGAATTCTTGTTTCCTTTGTTTCACAAACGGCAATTCCTTCTCCACCAAATCTTACAGTTTCTTCTTGTCTTACCTCTCCTTTTTGTTTTCCTCCTTCAATTCTTTCAACTCTTCCTCGCACTTCAACAAAAGCTATTTAGTTTCTATCAATTCTTCCATATCTGATGGAATTATCAGATTCACCATATCAAAAACCATAGAATTGGATGAATTTATCTTTTATTACAACTTTGCAATCTGATCTTGTTAATCCAATAGTTAAATTTCATTCTACTATTATTTTGCTAACGCTTCCTTCTCAAATTCTAATCTTACTTTCTCTTATTCCTACATCTGTTTATTTTGATTCTCCAAGTTCTTCTTGTAATTCTCATTGTCATTCTTCAAATTTATTATTTCCTCTTCCAAGGCCCTTTTTTTCTCTTCTGCATTTTTTATTATCATTTGTAATCTATCAATTCGCTTTTGATTCTCAATTTCTAATTATAGAAATCTTATTTACTTGTCTTTTCTTCCAAAGCCTTAGAATATTGTATCTAATTTAGTAATTATTGCTTTTCATTATTGAAGTTCTCAAAATATTAGTTGTAATTCTGTAACACATTAGTCAAAGCATCGTTGTTAATGTATATTACTTAATTTAAACTCTTTGTCTTCAATTCCTAATCCAATTTTTAGCGCTCCAATTCCAAATGCTCCAATTAGCTTCTTAATATTTAAATCTCCTTTTCTAATTGTGTTGTCAGATTCCTTTCCTTTTTCAAATCGTATTCTAATTACGACTACTATTGGCCCTTTTAATGAAATAAATACATCCGTGCATTATATTGTATGTAAAATTTACTCCTATAAATTTCGTATTTATGTTTCCAAGATACTTTTGCTTTCCTGAATCTCATTTTTCTCTTCGCCCACCTTAAACAGTTTGTTATTCAAATCAATATTAATTTCCTCCAACTCATTAATTCTTTATTATTATAGTTCTATAATCCCACTCTATTGATTAACCACCCTACAAAGCTCAATATGAATACTTATCAAGTTCTTTGATCTTGCATTTATAAGAATAAGCTTCCCTTTCAAGTCCATTCAAATGTTGCTCCAAAGATAATTTTTACATGAACTTAATATTATTTATTGTAAATATTGTTAGATTATCATTAAAATAAACAAAACCACCCAAACTCACTAAATACACATAATTTGAGTTACTTAATGAAAATCTAAGGGTCAACCCAATATTAAGCAATATTTTAGAATAGCAAAAATAAGCATAGAGTTTTTAGATCAAAAGTATTATTTATTAATTAATATTATCCCATAATATTAATTAATCTTAATAAAAGCTTATTATTAGATTACAATAATAGTAATACCATATGAGGATAAACACGGTCTCGTTCGTCTGAGATTGATGAATCAAACGTCGCTATTCTGATCAAATTATTAATTTTTATTAGAAAATCTTTTTGTTAAATACGGTAGAATCAAAGTATACTTTATCAAAATGGTAATTTATGTTCATAAATTCCTATGTTATTACATGATTGCCTCTAAGTATTTGTGATTTCGTTTAGAATGGATGTTTTATAATATTTCTGGGACTATGCAATATCCTAGTTAGTAGAATTTATTAAACAACATAAAATAAAGAATTAATTAAAATCACTATATGTGCTTGAGTTTAGAAAATGAATTAATAAAAATAAATAATATTATATAATCATCATTTAGATGAAGTAATGATACATTTAAAAAATAGTAGAAAAAAAGCAGTGCCAAAAGTACAAAGCAAAATAGGATAATACATCAATGATAATCCTGATGCCTAATTGCGAGATTTATTAGATCAAGAGGAGTTGTTGGAGTCCAAACAAAACATCAAATTTTTCGGTGAATTGTAACAATACATTATCGAAATAGTGTTACAAAATCTCCAGAACGCTTTTGGGAAATGCTAGAAATAATTAATCTCAGGCCCAAGGGGAATGAAGAAGTCATCCCTAACAAGTAAATTTAATAGTGATCTCTAGATATCCTTTTCTAGTAAGTGAAATTATTGGAAGTAGAGAGGATTAGATAATCAATTATTTTTTTGATTAAAAGGGACCCGAGGAATTTGAATTCCTTAATATGCTTTTCAAAACAATAGACAGAGATTATATTGATAACACACTTGCAGGGTATGTGGCAAAAATATTAAAAGCATTAATTGAAAAAAGGGGATTATGCGTAATTCTATAAAAAATAATATGTAGCTTTGGAAATATATATTAAACCCACAAAAAGAAAGTTAATATATATTAAAGGATCTTATTAAACTATTAGATGTTCATCAAATTGCAGAAATAATATATAACCTTATTCGATTAGATGTAATTAGAGAGGAAGGCTAAGAAGTTTATATTAATCAAAGGTTAGAATTACTCTCACGCATTATTGATTATTTATAATCAAAAAGTTATAACAGTGTGATTGTGGAGAATGTATCTTATATTTTGCAAAACATTATAACTGTAACAACTGATGATGACGAAAGAGCATAATTTATTAATACAATTCTATCATCCAGTTTGAAATATGATTCAATAGTATTAAGAATTTTAATCTTTAGTTCATTAGCAAGTCAAGTTCATTGGTCAAGATTCTGATAATCATACTTGAGTACATATAGAGGGATATTTAAACAGGACAAAATAAAATATTTTAAAATTATTCACTAATCTAAAATGTTTCCAATTATCTGACAGACTTGCTTAATTTAGATTTAAATTTAAGTAATCTCTCCATAAAATTTAGCTCCATTTCTGACATCCTATGGGGTAAACTAGGAACCATTAGGCTAATTCAAATTACAATTGATCTAATTATACTTGAAGGCATTAAAAATGAATGACCCATAAATTATTCCTTACTTTTAGCATTAAAATGTATGTTATTCAATGATGCAACTGATTCTTAAACACGAATTCAATAATGCTATTTAGAATCTCTTCGTAGAGGTGATCGAATTAGTTATGAAGAATGATTCATACGTTGAAATTCAAGAGGCTTACAAAGCAGGCAATCTCATGGGATTTTTTACTTACCTTAACTAATAAGAGAAATATCAAGTAGGAACAATAAAAAAATAAATCACTAAAGGATTTTAAGGAATGGCAAATAAACTTTCATTCCTCTTGTACGAAGATTTCTAAGATGAAAGTTGGACTGCTTATCTAGAAAAACACTAATAGATTTTTTTGAACGAAAATTAATATTTACTTGGGTAAAATCCAAATTACATTGCGAATGAGGAATAAGTAGAAGCCTTGATGTAATCAATCTAACTTACTAAAAGCAGCAATATTTTAAATTAGCCTTAAGAGATGGAATAAAACTAAAATTAAAATTAATAATAACAGTAACAATAACAACAACTATAACAATAATAATAATAACAACAACAACAACAACAATAATAACTGTAACAATAGCAACAACCATAACAATAACAACAACAACAACCATAGTAATAATAACAACAACCATAATAATAATAATAATTAATTTTACAACAAACACCTTAAATCTAAGAATAAGAATATGTTTAACAACAGATCATTATTCCGTTACAGGAAATGAAAGTCTAAGAACCTAAAACAGAAACAATTGGATCGTAGGATAGTTTTAAAATATCATCGAGCTAAAAATTTGGTGAGATTGATAATTTCATTTAAGATTAAGAAGAAATTTAAAATTAAAATGATTAAATGAATCAATTCAGTTAACTTGAGGATTAACCCCGCATAATAAGTGCAAGTAATCTAAATCATATTTTTTAGAAATACAGGAAGTTCTAACAAGTAATGAATACGTAAATCCGGATATAGCAGATTCAGTAATTTTTGCAATCAAAAAGTAAACTAGAAGTGAAGGAAATAGCAAAAGTGGAGAACTGAAAATAGATCCACTTGATAATAGAAGAAGAAGATAAACAATCTCGTATAGTGGACCAAAACCAAAATCCCCAAAATTCCCAAAAAGAAACTCAATGGATAAAAAAAATCAGATTTTCTGTCCTCTTTAACAAATCTAAAGTGGGAATAAAAATAAGTGAATTTTATCATTTAATACACATAATATCAAACATTCATATTATTGACAATTTTTTTAAATAATTATTGAATCTAAATTAAAAGAAATTTATACCTTATTTGCATTGGGTTGAAGATTTCAGTCTCAATAGTCTCGTAATGAATAAGGAATTTCAGTATACACACAAAAAGTAAGAAATTAAGGAGAATAGTAATAATTAATAAAAACTTATAAAGGACAGTCATTTGATTTGGAGGGAGAGCAAAATATTGAGATTCAAAACTCAATAATCTAGTTATTATCTCTAAAAATATTGAAATGAATTATGCTTTAGACATGATTCGAACGATCGATTTTTTTTATTTTTGACCACTCAATATTTAACCTATGAAAAGTAGTAAATTACTAATCTAAAAATAGGATAAATGATACTTGAGCTAGGTGCGTTCTATGACTATTCAATATCATAATGGATATCAAATTCAACATTATGATATAAAAGATAAAAGGTTCCCAAACATCTATAAATAAGAATACAAAAATTACCTGACAGGAAATCATGGAAATAATAGAAAATGGAAGTTTCCAAACTTGAAAGTTCAACGTTCTCAGGTGGAGGTTGAAATATTTTAATTAAATTTGAATTCTTAGATCTTGACTAAAAATGGGCTTAATAATATTTGACATTCAATTTGTGTCTTCCCACTAATTGCATCTATGACAGATTTAGCTACTTTAAAATGAACTGATTATTCTCATATTAATCGTGCTTTTGAGGAATGCAGGTAATTTGACTCTATGATTGTTGAGTATACTAGCATTTTCCAATTGAACTTCTAACCTATTTTCACTAAGAATCATTACCTAGGATAACAAAATAATAACCACAGATTAAGGTGGAGAAGTAAATTGAACCTTCAATGATCCATCCTTTTAAAAACCATTGGATTACAAAGGAGATATTGGTATATACCCAATTGTATCAGTAAAGTGAATGACTTCCTATAAAATACTATCAAAGGTTTGATTTTAGTAATGAAGGAATAAATATCCATCAACAATACCAATTCTCTTAAATATGTTTTTGTTATATTGATCCAAATAGTTTATTTCTTTGAGTTTCTGAACATTATTATCAGAATAATCTTTTATTATGTTTCTAATAGAATTTAAATAATCCAAACCATTTATACGTTTGAGTTTGGCCTTTTTGCTTGCATAAGTGCTCAAAGTACTAATGATTTGTATCTAAGGATATTGCCATTACAATTCAATAAATACTAAATATTAACCCTTCCTTAAATTCTGTTCCACGACAACATTTCTGTCAGCCCTGTAAATACCTGAAATATATTTAAGGTTGTCATCAACCAATTGAGATACAATAATTCTAACAAACGAATACCTGTAATCAGAGATCTAGTTCAAATGAAATCGATTGTCATTCTAATTAAATGAGATATAAATGTGAGAGTCCTCAACCATATCTAAATGAATTATGCAACAATTCTATTCGTTTAACTAACATTGAATGCTATTATAAATGTAATCATTCTGAATCTTGCAAACACCAATCCCTGCAAAAAATGTTCTGAAATCCTCTATCGACATCCAAAAAATACCGTCATCATTGTCTTCTACACTATATTATTGTTTTGTCTATTCCGTCCATTTATTACTGCTGTCACACCAATCCCCCTTCCATTCTACTCGTCCCCATGGCTACATATTAAATTTAGTAGTATACATTTCTCATTTACATTATCCTGCATTACATATTGTTCTAATCCAACACATTAGCCAACTTCAAAATTGCATAAGCATGTCCAGCCAATAAACCCAATTCATTCTCGTGATTAATCAATTCGGCTTCCTTTGTGTATGCTGTTAATAAGAACCCTTGAGCATGATTCTGCTCACAGTACTCCCAAAATTCTTAAGCTGAACCGCTCTCTTTGTTCTCATACGGGGCTCCTGTAAGATCTCTCATTGCTATTGCAGGATTCCCTCCTTCTATATTCAAATATGATCCATAAACCTTAGCATAAGCCTTCTCTAAAAGCATAACCCATAATCCATTCGCCCTACTAAAGGCAGGTAAATTATCTGTACATGGAAAGTAATCATCAACTACTACTGATGTCCATTCTCCATTTATATTTAACCATACTGCATACAAACCATATTGACTCACTTCGCTGTTATGAAAGAGCCGCTTTACTAATTCATTTTTCTCTGCGATCACACTAAGCGCACACAGAAAATAACAATCTCCTAAAATCCCTTATTTTATGTCCGACGGCTCTATACATCCATTAAATATATCATAATCATCAAAGATCTCATTTGCTCTTTTCCATGTCAAATTTTTCCAACCTACTTTCATTTATGAACTTTACTCTTTGGTAATTCTGACAAGCTTAAGGAGCTGCTTTAAGGAGGGAAATTAGAATCTGTAAATTACAATTAACTGTTTTTTATTGTATGCAGAATTTCATCATATTCTTAAGCATGTTCGTTGTACTCTTCATCAAAGATTTCTCGGATTGATCGAATAAATCCTATAGATTTTTATGCAACAAGAAATTTTTTCATTATTCAATTATTATTATAAAATTAATCAATAAAACTCGATTATTTTCTCACTCTCACTTTTCTAATAAAAATTGACAGAGTGATTCATTTCCTCATATCATTTCAGAATCAAACATAGGAGATAATAGAAATAGACATTTATAAACAAATTTTTTTGATTTATTTATGATGAATCAGAAACCTAAGAAATACTAGAGTACAGGCTTTCGTATAGTTATTCCAAGATGTTTGCTGATTGTTCCAACTTTATAGCTATCGGCAGGCATTTCTGGAGGAATTTGGATAGTTTTTATTTTACTTTTTTATTTTTTTAATCTATCTTTAATCTATTTAATAGTTTCTCTTTTCTTTTTATTCTTAAACCTTTATTATTTTTTTTTTTTAATTTTCTTCTATTGTTTTTCTAAGGATTTCTTCTATTGTTATTTAGATTCGAATTTTTCTTTATTTTCTTGCTTTCCATTAATAGTTTATTATTCAAATTATTATTAAGGCTATTATTATTATTATTATTATTATTATTATTATTATTGTTATTATTATTGTGGCTATTATGGTTGTTGTAGCTGTTGCTGTTGCTATTGTAAAAATTATTACTATTAATGTTATTATTAAATTTGTTATTATTATAACTATTATAATTATTATTACTTTTATTATTAGATTATTTGTTATTGTTATTGTGATTATTATTATAATAGTTATTCTTTTTGGTCCTCAATAAGAGGTTATTATGGTTAAAGTTAATATGCTTGCTATTGGTGATATTAATTAATTAACATATTATTTTAAGTCTATTACTGATAATATTTCATTGATTGAAATGCTTATTATTACTATTAAAACATTTATTGTTGTTATTAGTTTGGAAGGACTGGCGGAGGATACATAAATTGATTTTACTGATTGATCGGTATTCTCTATTGAAGGAATTAAGGATTAATTTAAAAGGGTGAGTGTTGAGGAATGGTGGCAATATTATTTTAGAGCATTTAGTATGGGTTTTGTTGTTCATAGATGTTTAGCTTTGGCATCTTGTTAATTTCTTCTTACTGCTCTTCATCGCTTATTGGATCCAAGTCATTATTGATGGGTAATTTGGTTCTTCCTTAAGGGATTTATGGAGATATTTGCTATAAAATATTCATTTGCATTTATGATTATTGAGGCATATAATTATTAGTATAAAAGGGGTAGCTTCTCTGATCTTTAAAGAATATAAAATAATGAAATACTTGGATTGGCTTTTTATTGTTCAAAAACTTTCATTTTGTATTATTCATCATAAGCTGCTCCTAAACCAGTAGTACCCTATTAATAAATAAAATTAAAATTTACTCTTCTTTGGTAGCAATCTCTTAAAAATTAATCATTGTCTGCTGCCCATTGTTGCTTGGCAATTTCATTTTCCCAAAGATCATGTGAAAAGCGACAATTCTATCCTTTGCAATTACTCATTGCAAAAAAGAATTTACATTGGTATTTTGACAAATCATGAGAATATTAGCATTATTATTAATTCTAACACCCTTGCCCTAAGTAATACTTGCAAATGCGAGTAACATTCTATAACTCTTTGGGATGCATATATGAACATTTATTGCCTTTAATGCAGGAGCCTTTTTTGAAATGCTCACAAACTTTTGTTCTATAAGTGGAAGAGTAAATTGATGCTCCATTTTTTTTGGGTTCATTATTTGTGGGAACTTCTCCATCCTCTAGTTAATTCATTAAATTATCTATTTAAATATATATTTATAAACTTTAATATTGACTATCAGATATAAAAAATGTAAGTCTTTAAGGGCAGTATATCTGCCTTCTTATAGATGCTGTTCAAAATGATTTAACATACTAATTTTGAATTAAGAGAATAATTTTACAGAATAAGCAAAGTATAATAATGTATTTATTATAATAATAATTATTACTACATTGTCATTCATTTTTGAGTTCTTCAACAGGTTTTTAAGCTCCACAACTTAAGGATCTTTTGATTGATATCATTTGTTTTGTAGTCAAAAATAGAGATCTCCTTCTCTGAATCAAGCTATTAGTTCGCTTTCTGTGATTTAATAAATTGTAGTATACTTATTCTCTTAATTTAGAGATGCCTAATGGATTATTTCCCATTTCTTTTCTTTCGTCTATTGTAATGTGGAATCTTTTCTATTTGCGGCTGTCTCATCTTCCTCATGAATGATTTATTTGATTTGAACTTAAAAGGATATTGAAATTTGAATACCTATCTATTCATGTAATTCAATTTATTTTTTCTTATTGCTATTACCGGATTTTTGAGATTGCAGATCTATTTCAGGTTGACTTAGAGAATGAGTCAACTTTGAACGACGTCGTCTTTCAAGACGCATTTGTAATACATCTGATTAATTGGCAATTTCATTTTTGATGAGACTCTCAATTTTCATGACTTAATTTGTGTGATTGTCAACAATTCCTTTAACTTGAGCCTCAATCGCAAAATGAAATGAATACCTCTTTGGATTCAGTTTGACTGTAAATGAGATCCAGCTCTATCCTGCGAGTTTATTCTTGAAACTTTGCTCTCTTAACTTAATTGTCATCCTTAGGTTTATGAGATTCTTCAAATTTCTAAGTTGCATTAATAAAAGTAGGCTTTAACATTAGTGCATTAAGCTTTCTCTAAAAATAAAGATGCCTTCTGTCTTTAATCGATTCGTAATATTCTACTCCCTCCTAAATGAGCTTGCGATAAATGATTACCATATAGAGTGAAATCAAATCTTGTATGAGTTCTATTTGAACTTATTCGTTCAATTCTATTTCCATTTCAAGATTGAGAATCTAATCTGCAAAATTCTTAGGCAAACTCTTTTTTGTGAATTTCTCCTATCCAAATTTGAACATTTTATTAATAAATAAAAGTTGATTATACTTATTAAATTTGATTTTATTTAACAAAAGCACTTTCAACATCTTTCTTAATTTTTAGTCTTTTCTAACCTCTACTATATAATTTGCTTGTTTCTTTATAAGACTATCTCTAATCTAAAGGTGTCTTTAAATCCTAAAAATATGAAGTAGAATTTTATTTTATCAAAGTTAAAATTGGTTTTCTCTTTCTAATATCAAAAGTCTTTCTTGATGTTAAATATATGAGATCTCCTCAAAGTTAAGTAAAATATACAGCTATGGTTCAGCGATGATATGCATCTGTGCATAATTCAAATTAAACTCAGAAAAATGTATATCAAAGCTAAAGTAACAAAAATGCTTTGAAAGATATTTGAATCGAAAAACATAAGTTTGAATTATCATTTTCAATTTTCATATTTCTTAATATATTCATCTTTAAAGTTATAATTAATAATAAATCTAATTAATGTTAATTTTAAGAGATTCTCTCTTTATTTGTTATGTCTTAACAATCCTTTAATTACTATCCTTAAACTAAATGGATAAGTTAAGCAATTAAGAATTACCCTCTTTCAATCACATTTCTATTAGAAACTAAAATAAAATTTAAGTTTAATTTTTTATAAAATAAGAACAAAGTAGGTTTATTTCATTCTACCCTTACTTGTTCTAGTCATAGAAAGATAACAATGCAAGTAATGTCGTCTCTTGCTAAACTATTCTAAAATTGAATATCAAATATTACTCTTCTCCATGCTTAGATTGCCTCTTTAACCACTTTCTCTGCAGCATGTTCTGGATTATCCTTTTCAAAGTATGGGATCACCAAACCCATAACCTAATTATTAAACAAAATACCTCTTCGTTACTCAAGTATTCCCAAACCCCATCAGAAGCAACAATTATGAATTGACTATGTTTAGTCAAAGGAAATTCTTTAATTTCTGGGATTGCTGTTACTCCTGCTTAAGCTCCCACTTTGTCACCAAAAGATCTGGACATTGCTAAACCTGGCGCTTAGATATGCTTTAACCAAACTCTAAAGGGTCCTATTGGATTCCCTTGAAAATCTAAATTAAGTAATTTGATTATAACCTTTCTATTGTTCAACTCTACCTCCTGCATCCATTATAGCCTTCATTTCTTCAGGATCATCTGGTTTATGATCTCTCGTTAATGGTACAATTTTCCAAATTTAATCAAACTTACATAAAATTGCTCTTGAATCTCCAATGTTTGCAGTATAAATCTATAAAATTATAACAATCTCAGGTTACAATATCTTTTGTGATGAGTACTGATGCCGTAGTAGAGCCAGAAAGATTCGTATCAGTATTTGAGTTCCAAATTTCTCTATTTGTAATTGCAAACGCTCTAGCTATTTACATTTTAATATCTTCTTGGTTAACTACTAAAAACTTATGGAAATATTTAGGAAGCGTTTATTTGATAAAATTAGACACAAGATGGCCATTTAGACCATGTCCATCGGAGACTGCAAATAGCTTATAACCAATACTAGTTTATTTATTATGGATGGATACTTCTCAAGAATTTTAGGACAAACAATGCCTGAATCTTGATTGATTTTTGTAGCTTTATTAATTTGACATCCTGCTTTAGTTCTCATAGCATATATAGTTGTTTATCTCCTTTAATATTTAGGAGTGATTGACTTTCTTATCTCAATCTTCTTACTTTAAAGCTAATCACTTGATGCCATGTGATTTTATAACTATGGTAGTCGAAGGTACTTTGACTATTCTGTAAACACACTACTTTGTTCAGTCATTTTAATCTGTGGCAAAAAGAACTTTAACTTAATGTTGAAGTCAACACTTTCCGGATATCTTGCTGCTATTTGTAAGGGTTTTAGATGAAGATCCCTTTATAGATTATTAAGAGATTGCGATTAATGAAACATATAATTTGATATTTTTAATTAACTCATCAGGCTTCATTGTTGCTAAGCTTCTCTATTAGTATTCTTTGATCCTATTCAACTTTCTATAGACTATCGAGTTCTATTTGATATCTATCCAATTCAGCCTTTCTCTCATTCAAAATGTTCGATAACTCCATCAATTTCTTCTTTCTGTTTTCCTACTCTGTTTCTACTTTATTTCTCTATTTAAATCATATTATTCATACCTCTCCAATTGCTCTCAACTTCTCAATCTCTATTTTTTTTGAATATTCTTCAAGTGTCTCATTCAAATTTTGAACCACCTCATCTAAAGCAAGCACCTTCTTAATAAAATCCATGCTCTCTATCTTCAACTATTCTGTCTCTCTATACTTCTCAGCATCCAACACTCTAATCTTGTTTTATTCATCAAATGTAATTGAAATCTCCTCTGCCATTTTTAATAATAATTATGAATTCATAATTAGAATAGCCTTTTCAATATAGACAACTTCGATCCCAATCTCTAAGTCCTTATAATGATTTCAATCTTATCAAGTAACTCAAGCGATAATTACATTGTTCTGCCCAAAAAACAGCGTAGGTGTTATCTTTTGAAAATAAAGCAAATCAAGAATAAATTGAGACAAATATCATTAGCTCAGGTAATTTAAAGCTTGTAACTTACATAAGATTCAATCAAACACTAATCCAATACCTTTAAGAGTAGGAGGAACTCATTGATATTTGAAGGATAGTCTATTCCAATTAATCCAATCATCAAATATAGTGTGGATGTCTCTCAATTCTACATCATAGCTCCTAAGATTCTAAGGAGCAACAACTACTAATAAAAAATAATCAAAAGAAAATAAAAACCCATTAAGCCCAACAATTCCCAAGATTTTAACTATAAGGATGATGCGAACAATCAGTCAACCGTCGATGCATAAAATCCAAGTTGCTATCCACACACTGAAACTAAAAGACAAAATATATCTATTCTACCTAACATAAAAAAATAAAAAGGAGGAATTGAAGAGGAATATCCTATTAAGAGATCTGAGAGATACGAACAATTAATGGTATTGAAATACTAATTTAGAAATAAACCTGTGATGACCAACTTAATGAATTACAATCCTTAATTAAGAAGATCTAAAAGCCCCCAGTTGGGAAGAAGGAGAAGAAGGTAACATTTCTTATTTGAATATATACATTTTTATTGACTTTACTTATCTACTCATATTTAGCTATTAATAGCATCATATTTAACAAATTCAAGGATTGCCAACATCAAAGGTAGGCATGATATTTAATCATATTGTGTAATCTACTAAATTTAATTAATAACGAAAAAATTTATAAGTTAAATGAGTAAATTATAAATTAAATCAAAATATATCTATTTTTAATAAAATAGTGCTTTTTGAGAAATGTGGAAGATATTTCGGTCAAACTCATTAATATTGGCATATTAAGAATCAGGGTTTCAAAATATTAAAANATAGACTATCGAGTTCTATTTGATATCTATCCAATTCAGCCTTTCTCTCATTCAAAATGTTCGATAACTCCATCAATTTCTTCTTTCTGTTTTCCTACTCTGTTTCTACTTTATTTCTCTATTTAAATCATATTATTCATACCTCTCCAATTGCTCTCAACTTCTCAATCTCTATTTTTTTTGAATATTCTTCAAGTGTCTCATTCAAATTTTGAACCACCTCATCTAAAGCAAGCACCTTCTTAATAAAATCCATGCTCTCTATCTTCAACTATTCTGTCTCTCTATACTTCTCAGCATCCAACACTCTAATCTTGTTTTATTCATCAAATGTAATTGAAATCTCCTCTGCCATTTTTAATAATAATTATGAATTCATAATTAGAATAGCCTTTTCAATATAGACAACTTCGATCCCAATCTCTAAGTCCTTATAATGATTTCAATCTTATCAAGTAACTCAAGCGATAATTACATTGTTCTGCCCAAAAAACAGCGTAGGTGTTATCTTTTGAAAATAAAGCAAATCAAGAATAAATTGAGACAAATATCATTAGCTCAGGTAATTTAAAGCTTGTAACTTACATAAGATTCAATCAAACACTAATCCAATACCTTTAAGAGTAGGAGGAACTCATTGATATTTGAAGGATAGTCTATTCCAATTAATCCAATCATCAAATATAGTGTGGATGTCTCTCAATTCTACATCATAGCTCCTAAGATTCTAAGGAGCAACAACTACTAATAAAAAATAATCAAAAGAAAATAAAAACCCATTAAGCCCAACAATTCCCAAGATTTTAACTATAAGGATGATGCGAACAATCAGTCAACCGTCGATGCATAAAATCCAAGTTGCTATCCACACACTGAAACTAAAAGACAAAATATATCTATTCTACCTAACATAAAAAAATAAAAAGGAGGAATTGAAGAGGAATATCCTATTAAGAGATCTGAGAGATACGAACAATTAATGGTATTGAAATACTAATTTAGAAATAAACCTGTGATGACCAACTTAATGAATTACAATCCTTAATTAAGAAGATCTAAAAGCCCCCAGTTGGGAAGAAGGAGAAGAAGGTAACATTTCTTATTTGAATATATACATTTTTATTGACTTTACTTATCTACTCATATTTAGCTATTAATAGCATCATATTTAACAAATTCAAGGATTGCCAACATCAAAGGTAGGCATGATATTTAATCATATTGTGTAATCTACTAAATTTAATTAATAACGAAAAAATTTATAAGTTAAATGAGTAAATTATAAATTAAATCAAAATATATCTATTTTTAATAAAATAGTGCTTTTTGAGAAATGTGGAAGATATTTCGGTCAAACTCATTAATATTGGCATATTAAGAATCAGGGTTTCAAAATATTAAAAGAATAGATATGGGATTGTATTTATTTATTCAAATTCAAAAAGTTTCGGTTCTTAAAGAATAAAAATTTTTTTAAGGATTGTCAAAATGAGATTTAAAAATTGTTACAGATTATAATTCATAATTGTTAAGAAAGTAAATTCTGAAAATGGATAAATAAAGATTGTTTTGAAAATGCTATTTAATATAAGATCACATATTCATTATAATGTTGGCAACTTCATAGACAAAATACTATTAGACCAACATCCTTAGTTTTCTGAAGAGGTTTGATCTTAGGTTGTACTGTAATTTTTATTAGATCTCGATGAAGAAAGAAAGTTAAATTGAGATAATTCCTCGGCAGGAATGATTTTTTATAGTTTCAATTGCCGTTCTAAAAGACTTTTATTATTTGTAGAGTGGCATTTTTTGAAATTAAACTAAACTATGGGTAAATCTTCAATTGCAACACTCAATTATTTTTTATGTTATGATGTTATTTTAGGAAGTTCTCTGTGAGTTAATAATTATTTAATTTCTTGACTTGCTTATTGTCTGCCATTTTATTAAGCTTTTTTGACTACTAACTCTATTTCATTTGATTCGATATTGGATAATGAACTCTCTTCCAAGGATTCAGTCACAGTTTGAAAAGTATCTTGGTTGACTTTACTTTAAATTTGAACCATTTTAGCCAGATCTTGGAGTTCACTAGCATCCTTCATGAGCATGTTCCTAAAGAGGAGTGGCTATAACCCATTGATGGTTGAAAAGGATTTTCTAACTTTGATTGTCAAATCTACTGAATTTTATCTTTTAAGTTTTCTTTAGAATTCTGCCTAAGCTTTAAGAAACAATGTGTAGGCTTCGTCTGCAATGGTTTTCTTTTCGGTTTCTTAAATTAATTAGCGGAATGCTTAGAATTTGACTGAAATGCTCTATTCACTGAGAATCATTTTGAGTTACTTTTCTCTTTGAACCAAGTAACTAATATGACTAAGCATAGCTCCGACTGACAGAGGGATGTACTTCTCACTATATTGCAAGGTCTTTTGAATCTTGAGCATCATCATTCTGAATGCTGACAAAGCTTCTTGATTTTCAGTGAGACCTTTAAATTCATCCAATGACAAGGCCTTGTCCTTGTTATAATCGATAAATTGGTATATGGTTTATAAATCGTTGACACTCACTCCATATCCATAGTGTTTGAAGAGCATAAACAGATGAGCCAATGTAAGAACTCCTTCGTTGTTACAATCTAAAGTCTAAAGAGGTTTAATGAGTTGATATACCATGAAAATCTATTTTAGTTCCATCTATAATTTTCTTTCTTCAGGATAATAGAGATACTGAGGCTTTACTTAATCAGATCTCCTCTTAAACCACTGGTTGGCAGGAAAGTTATGAAAGCGATTTCGTTAATTCAACTAATCCAGATAATGTTGGCTAGCTTCATGGACGATTGGTACTTATTCCCATTTAACTTTGTGATATTTCATTATTAATTATGATGAATATTTTTATAGTATCAATTTTATTCACAACATTACTCTCATGCCAAGTCCAATATAACAACGACCTTAAATTCGATTTCAGCAATGTATAAGCTAACAATTTGGTTTATGGAAATGATGGGAAATCCTTATACATCACATTGTGCGGACTTTTAAATTATAAATGTGAGAAGTAAGAATCCACCAGAGTTTTGGAAGAGACCAAAACTGAAACAAACAATGCAAGTACAGACACTGCAACTACTACAACAGATACTGAAAAATCAAATGAAAACAATGCAAGTACAGAACCGACAACAGATACTAAGAAAGAAGACAATAATACTAATAGTGATACTACTTCCACTTCAACTGATACAAATATTCCTCAAATAGATGATAAGACAACTGATGAAAAGAAAACTAATGATGATACAAATATTCTTAAGTAGGTAGATAAAGATTAATCACAATCACTTATTGTTGCAGAAAAAAACACATGCACTCCATATTCTGAATAAAGCAATGTGGATACGAACTAATTAACTTTATTGGTTGAAAATAAACCATTTGAGGGATTGGTTATTGAAAGAAGAGGAATCATAGAAAAGGAGACTTTTAAATTACAATTGAAGTGTTCGGAATCAGATGTCTTGACAGTACAAGACTCTGATAAAGATGGATATCTATTCATCCTTACAACATCTTCTGCTTGTCCAATACTAGTCTATAACCCTGTGACTTAATTCTTTATTGATTTTAAATGGATGTTCTCCATAGTCCTTTGGGTGATTGGAATATTCTTCTTACTCTTCGGATACTAATTAGCATAATTGTCATCTATGATTTTAGCTTCTATAATGGGCTTCGGATTTACTACTATTGTCATTGGAGAGGCCACTTTAAATAGTGAATCGAGTAATGCCGCCTTGTGTGTTGTCATAGGATCAGGAGTGTTAGTGGCTTTCATTTATTTCAATGCTTCAATGCAGAGATTCTTTTTCCTTCTATTCAACTTTGGATTCAGTGTTGGCGTGATCATATCCTTGATGATTCAATCCATATTTTACTATACGATCGAAACAGACTTGATGTTCTTTCCTTTGACAACGTCCATCGTTACATCTGGAGTGATTTTGGGTTTACTTGGTCTCAGATTCAATCTCCAAATGGGAATTGTGTCCACTTCTTTAGTTGGAGTAAGAAGTATATTATAACCTAGGCTTACTGCCTAATCAGACCTATTGGATTTATTGCTGGAGGTTATCCCAATGAGTTATTATTAACAAAATAGGCTGAATACGGGTTTGATATCAAGACAGGCTATTCAGTTTATGTGTATAATGTCATGATCATCTTGGTAGCCATTTTCTGTGGAGTATTTTAAAGAAGATAGCACTTAAAGAGAGTGGCCCTTGATGACCAGTTGTAGGCAGATATTAAATATTACGAGATGGGCAACGTGGAGGATGAGGAGAAATAAGTAAATCCTTTAGTTCTATCTCATAGAAAAGACAAAGCAAGAATAGTGATAAGAATGTGACAGTCATTTTCGCCAAACATCTTGAAAATTAAGGAGAGGAACTTTAAGATAAAAAAAGACATTCGCATCTAACTGGAAGTGATATCAATGATTGATGATGTTAATATAAAATTTAATTTGTGATTAGATCTATCATTCATCGTATTATTTTCTAATTTAAAATTACTTAGATTTCTCATCCCATAATATTAGATACAAAGAATCACTCGTTATTGCACCATAAATACTCAAAGTTTCAAATGTGATTGTTTATTCAGCCTTTAGTGAATAATCGTCCTAAACTTTAAATAAATTAACGCAATTTCCATTCTTACATAACAACAACTTGCTTTATTCCTTATATTCCATTTAGAACCATCTACAACAACTGCTCTATATTTTTGTCACCTCAAACTCATTTGTCTTCTCAAATTCACCACTCTGACTAGATTTTTTAAATAGCTATATTTTCGATTATCCCTGAGGTTAAAAATAGAAATGGTTATTCTTAATGAAGCAAATCCTATAGCCATATTGATCATTCTTAATTGTTTACTTTACTTACCATTCTCTTAAAAGGGGATCTTTTACAAACACTGAAATTAAGCTATCAAATCCACATGAAATCAAAGTATTTTCTAATGAATTCAACGATATTGCATTAACATTACTCTGATGGTTCTTTAAAGTCTATACACATTTCCATTAATGTTATTCCTTGGTATAAAATTTAATACACTTATCATCACTACATGTAATCATTTCATTCTCATCCTTATTCATCAATATCTAATTAATGTAATCAGTATGTTCCTTTAATTCAGCTTAGAATTTCAACTTATTATCATCAATAGCCCAAAAGATTACTTTTCCATTAAAATCCCCTGAAACAAATGATTTACTTTTCTTCATAGCATAAATTGAACAAATATTTGAATCGTGCTTGTCTAGCTATTAAATAAGTTCCAATTACCCCCAAATAAATTTGTATAATTATATTGATTTATTACATCCTGCTATTAGTAAATCATTCTCCTTCGTAAAGCATAATGATCTAAAATAATCAACTTGTTTTATTGGAGGGCTTTGCAACATTAAATAATTAATTCTTGCTTGACTTTACGATACTGTGTCTGTTTATGTTGATTTTATCTCTTGTTATTTCGTTTCTTATGGAATCTACAAATTTAATTCAACCTCCTTTGATATCATTAAATGTTCTCTCTACTGTTATTACATAGAATGCAAAAAGACCTATTCCTAATCAATACAGATCTTTTCAGATATTTTTTGGAATGATGACACACAAGTTTCTTTAACTTTTTAAAGAGAGTTATAAATGTTTTTATTTAATTACTACTCCTATTCCAATATTTAATTTTCTTACTTAAACTAAATCTATTCATTTAATTAAGTGTTAGATAAAGTTTCAGCAATGTCAAGAAGAGTTTTCTTCTAAAAATTGTGCCAATTTTAATTCTATCCCTAAAATGCTGAATTAATTATGTTATTTAAATTTGAATTATGCTCTTTGAGATAATCAATAATTTCATTTTTCTTCTCTTGCAGTACATTAGTAAAGGAAGTTAATTATTACAATATAACTTATTCATTCTCATAATTTTTTTGTTGCAGTGCCTCCAATTTCTTTTTCTTTATTTCTTCTAGTTAATTCCACTATTTCTACACTTTTGTCAACGAACAATATTTTATCGCATTCTCTTCCATGCAATAAATACAAGCTAATCGATTCTCCTTAGCTCTCTCAGGATCAAGATCAAAAGCTATTACTTCTTTATTGTGAGTTTGGCAAACTACCTTAAGTCCTGGAGTGTCCTATTTATTATCACTATAGTCTTTACAATCTAATTTCCTTCTTAACTATATTGGCACTATTGAGTTTAAAAGATTTCTATTTGACTTGTTTAAAATTCGATAGAATTAAGGTATTGAAGAAATTCTTCGATTTTCTAGTTATTCTAAATTTGTTCTATTTGAGATTTTAAAATATCTCTGAATGAAAATTAGGAATTTTCTATATCTTCATTCGAGAGTTTGGTAAATAATTCATCAAAATTATAAACATCTATAGATTAAACAGTCTAATCTAAATTCCCAATAAGAGTTGATAATCTCTCAATCTCTTGAGTGATTTATTGAGAGACTTTTTCACAAATTTACAACAAACTTCTTTTGAGCTCATCAATGCATACTTAGAGTTAACTTAGCATATTTTATGCCTATTCAATATTTTTACTCTTTTGTTAATAATAGCCAGTTTTTATTTCATTTATGTAGTTCTAGGCCACCTCATTAATATGGATGGTCTTTTCCATGGTTTTTAAGGTTAGGCATTACCCACATAAATGTCTATTTTCCTCATCACAAGACTCCTTAAGATTGGTGGCAATGATCTATAAATTATGCGTTTTGCACTTTCTGATATCTGGGCTCTAAGACATTTAATTAAAAATAATTTTATTATTATTGCTCTATTTCTATTGCAAAACAGATTTGCATAAATTTTCCATATACCCAAAACAACTTATTAATAAAATAAATAAAAACCTACGTAAGTACGTTTTGCAATTTTAGAGAAAATTTTTCAATAATTCTTAATAAAATTTAAATTTTTAAATAGATTTAGATAATTACAATATAAAATAATTAATAGATAGAATCAATTATATTGTAGTTTTATATAATGATCCTTAATTTATATTTAATGAGAAACATACGTAATTTCAGTGCATCTGAATGTTATAAATGAGAAAGTAACAATGAATCATTAATAGATATTATGTAAATGTAAGACAAGTAATTAATGAAATATATAGCCTACAAAATAATAAATTATTCAACGAACATCTAAACTTTAAATGCAAATTTGAGATTTTTGCAGTATAGTGTAAAAGCTCATCTGCAATCCTGTTTAAGTCGGTTACAAAGTCTTAAATAACAAGTTCCAATTATTTTTATATTAAAATATGAATATTTATTCATCTGAGAGAATAAAACAACTATAGGAATCAATTAACCTTCCTACCTATCATTTAGAAGAATTTATTTGAATTAATCAGGCTTTTAATTAAAGTTACTTTTAATTTCATAAAATAAGAGAATTTCAAAAATGCAACTTCAAGTTTATATATAAGATAATTATATTAAAATTAATATTTATCTTATTATCTTTGTAGTTATTGAAATTCAATATAATGGGAATTAGATAAGTGATATTTTCTTGTGATTTGGATTGATTGATTATCTTTATTTTTACTTGAATGGTTACTTTACTTTTTTGTCTAAATAGCAGCTGAAAATTAATTTATATGTTAATATTTTTGATTTAAACATCGAAAGAATGTGATTTTCGGATTCTGTTCATATTCTATAATAAAAAGAGTCTTTGTTTACTGGAGATGAAATTAATCGAAATTTACTTGCGACAATACTTAACAAATTGTACAACATTATCAAATTTAAAATTTTTGTTTAAGACAATTAAATATATATAAATTTATAGTAAATGAATGAATTATAATTCATTTAATATAGATATTAATTGAGAATACAAGAAAAAAAATCGGAAAAAGACTTGTGGCTATCAACTTATTGTTGCTTTATGTTTATGTTACTTAAGGCATTCAATATGACTGGAAAAATGGGAATGATGCAAATATATGATTTCATATATTCAACCAATTTTCCATCAGGTCTTGACTCAGGACTTGTAAGTCTTGGAAATGTTTAGTACAATCGAATATTAATCTTTGTAGATGGTTTTGTTATGAGATGGCTGCCCCTTTGAGTTTGCCAATGATGCCAATGCTTTTATTGAAAGTTTAATTCAAATACATATTTTTCTTTTCCTCATTAGGATCTATTTTGTTTATTATACCCCTTTAATTTGCCACAATCTGTAAAGATGCTGAGGAGCCTATTTGCAATGTCTATGTAATGTGGACATTCACAATAGTGTTTTCATTTATCTCAGGATTTTGTAAGACTTTGCTGCTGTTTTCAATGCTTTATTATTTGTCAAATTTGGCTGATGGACGGGAGAAGATAATTTACTATAGTTCGTTCTATTTTATGTATGTATATAGATATTATAATTAATTGTATAGACATCAATTTCAATGGTTGGTGGGTAGTTTGATAGGGAATTTGTTGGTTCATATCTATCACAGAGAATCATTAGTAGAGACATTAAAACACGTTTATATTATATTGATAGTCAGCTCTTTGTTTTTATGTTCTTTATTTTTAACAATTCCTGATGAGAAAAAGAAGTCAAAATTTAAGAAGTTCAATAAGATAATTGCTCAATTGTTGATGGAGAATGGGAAGGAGAACAAAAAGTAATTGAGATTAGAACTTTAGAAGATGAATTAGAAGAAAGAGTAGAATGAATTATATCATAAACTGATAGAGGAAGAAGTGACTGGGGAAAATGGGAAGATTAAGAAAATTATGGATCAATAGGTGTAGATGATGCAGACTCAGCAATTTTTTACGATTTAAAGTTTTTCTTATGAAGAGAATAATCTATAGGATATTTTATCAGAGAAGCCAAGTTCTGCTGATGATTTGCGATGGGTGTAAACAGGTTAGAAAACAATATCGATGGAGGAATATGTAAAAAATAATTACTTTGGAAATTTATACTTAACTTTGTCTGTTCTTTGTTCTGAAGGATTCTTTTATTTTATTATTTTGATTTTCAATGTTGGAAATTTGATGTCCTTTCTATTATTGTAATTGCCAAACTTATTGGCAATTAATTCAGTATTGGATGCTGAAACAAGGGCTGCGACAATTTATGAAGGATTTTTGTATGTAGGGATAGGACAGATTTTTGGATGCTTTTATATAGGGTTGTTTGGAGACTTCTCGCAAAAAATAACGTATAGAATTGTGTAATAAATTAAGAGGACTGTATTATATTCTTGGAGTATATCAATTGGGTTGCTTTTTGGCTTGGGGAATCTACATATTTTAAATAGAGTTTTTAATATTTGTAATGTCATTCATTTTTGGATTCAGTTGTTCTGCTATGATGTCAACCACCGTATCATTTTAGATATTTTATTTTCAAAAAGTAATTTAATAAATTAATAATAGTTCATTTACTCAGTGGATTTAATGTATATAATTTACAGTTTCTCTTTCTCTATCACCTCCTTATTATATATTCTAACTAACTTCTTCGGAAAATTTTGTGGTTTGATATTGTTATAGAGTTCAGGAATATTTGGATTATTATCAACTTGGAAAATACACATGAAAATGAAGGCAAAAGTGAATAAATAATAATGACTAATTATTATACAATAACAAATGAATAAATTTGCTCAATTCTTCAAGAATGTTGTCAATGAGTTCAACCATTAAATGTACAATCTTTATTCTTTGTCCAATGAGTAGTGTTCAATGAATGCTCCCAATTCATCGTTGATTCCAAATCCTTTCAAATAGTCTACCAAAGCCAATTGTAATCTCTAAAAATAACTAGTAATAAGAACCTCATCTAAAGTAATGAAATCTGGACCTGAGTAATCTTATAATCCTCTCTCAAATCTTGGAATCTTCTTGTGAGCCTCCAAGTCCTTAATCAAACTAACCAAGTTAACATTAACCTATTGGGATAGAATAAGAGAGGTACTTCTCCTTATGATGTGGTGCATTCATAGCATAAGATTTGTCCATTGCTTTTTTATAAATAAACTGTGAAATCGGCATATTCAGTGTGTGATTCTTATTGTTCTTCTTCATCTTGATTTTACTTATTGTTCTATTGTTCTTCTGGTTCTTCCTCTTATCCTTCATCTTAATTTGGTTGTCTTGATTAGAATTGCACGATGACTTTGACATCACCTACTTTCTTTTCTAATGTGACTTCGTGATTGCCTTCATCGTCAACCAATTGGAATCCGGCCTTTTCAACGAATTGAATGGCTGTGTCATCCTCAACGTAATTGGTTTTCTCGTATTTTAATTCTTTCTCAACTATTTTCACTAACTTTTATCCAGCTATATTGTAATGATTGGGGAGTTACTTTTATTGACCTTCTCCAATTGGGTACAGAATGGAGCAAATACTCTTGTCATTTTCAATGGTTTGATGGTGCTTAACAATCTAAGAGGGATTTTGGAAATCATGTATAAATTTTTAATTGTGATAATTTATTTAATGAAAATTAATCGAACGATTATTATTTGATTGCAATTTATTAATTTATTTAATGAAACAATAAGAAAAATTATAAATATTTCTTCAATATTTAAACAATCATGGTTACTATTAAACAATTCAAGAACTCATCGAAAAAACAAGTTATAATCAATTATAATAATTAGACTCAAAAGTTGATTCTTCAATTGTTTCCAAGATCACTACCTACATTCAGAATCAAGATTTCGATTAATTGGAGTAACTATTCAACACCTATGTGAATTAAGAGAAGAAGCAAAAATGCATGTTTATAATTGTCTAAAATCATTATGTAGAATTGTTGCAACAACAAAAAATAAATGAAGCTGTCGAACTATTAAGAGGTCGATTACAAGATTGCTGTTTAGGTTCTTATTCTCTTCATTCGTATGATAGATGAACAACAAAAACATCAGCTCGCCAATCTCATTATCGAATCAGAATTTCAACCTCTTACTTGCGTTGAAATTATCAGGCAAATCCTACTTATATGTCACCAAGAAATTGGAGTCCTACAACCAAACAGACTCATGGTTCTGATGCATTAAGCACAAACAAATAAGATTTTGGAATGCAAAAATCATTGCAAATTGGAATCCAATTACCAACTCACTTCAAAACATTAGTGCACTTAAAAAATAATTAAGAAAATTATACGAGAGCAGCATTCAATGTTTTATTTATATTTCTATTATGTAGATCTATTGTTCAATATTCTAATGATCTATCATTGCAAGTCTAAGTAAGCGATAAGGTAAATTTGATTATTTATTAATAACATTTGCTAAACAACTCAGAACTCTAAGTATACAAACTATGCACACTAATTGATCATCATCAAAAAGAGATCCTATCAGTTACAATATCTCCTTGCAATCAATATATCGGCACTACATCCAAAGACAAAACAGCAATAATATTTGAACTACGAAATAACAAACAATTAGTATTAAATGCTCATCAGAGTGCAGTCTAAGATATGATTTGGGTTTTATCACATAATGTCGTGAATGGCAATAATAATGCCAATATTCAACATTCGAAGCAGGACTAATAAGAATCACAACTTCAAAGTAATTAGACTTCCACTACTCTTAAATTATTACAGTACAAAATATGGACTATCACAAACGATGGTTGGTTATTTGAATGGGAGTAGGGAGATAAGATTTATAGTCTTAAGACAGAGGAGAAGGTGAAAAAAATGCATTATGATCAAAATCAGGATTCCCTAATTATTGTCAGTGAATACAAAATATCAATTTACTAATTATCAAAGAAACAATTGATTCGACAACTAAGTCTGATTGATCAAATTTTAGATGTGAAAATTGAAAAAACTCAAACCTTCCTAATTACAATGACCAAAAATATCAACTACTAATTTACTTATTATTCCCTACCCAATCTTGAATTTGTGAAGATGTTTATAGAACATAATCCAAAATTGATCATTAAATAATTTGATGTCGGCTGGCATAATAATAATTTAATAGTTTGTAGTACTAATGAAGGAATGACCATAATATGGCATATCTAAAAAGGATAATTGCCTTTCTTTCGAAAATAAGTACTTTATTATCCAATTAATACAATAAGATTCATAAGGGCCCAATAAGTTTAGTTAGTATAGAGCCTCTGAGTTTCACTATAAGATACTTTGTAGAATAAGATTCAGTGTTAAGCCAGATCTAGAGGAACATAGCATACTACTCAAGGTTTTTTCCTGAATAACTCTCTCCTATGCCTGAGAGATAAACGAGAAATAATGATGATTGGTGACATTATAACAATAAATACAAATCAAAAAAACTCTTCTTTTAATTTCTTCTCCCCCCACATGTTGATTATGTCCACCTAAAATTTAACTTCTAATAATTACTCTTCTGATTAAAGTTAAGATCTTCCGAACTTTCTTATTGTCCTTAACCACCTCTCCCAAATCGGTTACCTAAGTGGACCAGGGATATGCCCTATTTCTTAATAGTAACTACAACATTAGCAATGAGATTCTTACTTCAATAATAGGAATGTTATTTTCTTGTATAGCTAAATACAGAGGTGTTCTATTCAATATGTCGATTGCATCAACATCTGCATGATACTTAATTAACAACTCAGACATTTCATACAATCCTTTTTTACTAGACCAATGTAATGCAGACATATTGAAGAAATCAAAATCGAAAACCAAGTATTTGTTCTTCTCCAAATATTGATGAACCTTCTCTAATTGATTCAGCTTTACTGCATGAATGAATTCTTACGAAAAGGGTTTTTGATAAGGCTTTTTAGAGAATATTTATTTTTAGACCATCATCTTAGTGGTGACGTTCATTTCCTTCAATTTTTTCAAGGCTCTCAGTAAACAATGTCTCAATTATTTTTTGGTTCTTTTTGGAGGCTTAATTTACTCTTTCAACAAATTTTCATCATCAACAGATTTAATAACATTCCTTGTTTTAATTACTGGAGAACTGTCTACTCCATAATCCTGAGTTGTAGGTGACTTAGGTGATAACATTGTGCTTTCATCAATGTCAGTTTAATGAAATGCCCTGTCTATTCTATTGGTTTATATGTGCATCTCAGTTTCACAGATATAATCTGATTCTAAAGGTATTTTATGATTTCGAAATGTTGAGGTCTAAGGAGATCTCGAAAGAGTAGTACGGTTAGTGCTTAAAGGACTTGAGACTAATTTTATTCTGAATCGAGGAGAACTGTTTGTGCCCTTTTAATTTTCTAATTTGATTGGAGCAATATTCCTGATAACATTATCGCTTGATTAGGTTTTCTTTTCTCTTATATTAACTTTTTATCTCTCAAGGAACTCCTTAAATGAAAATTTCCCTGCTCCATCTGAAAGAATAAGAACTTAATTACTTTGATTTGCAATTACTGTCATACTTTGTACTCCCATCAAATGTGGTCTAGGTTATCTACAAATTATACATATACTTCATACCTAAATTCTGCTTGTATTTTACGATAGCTTTAACCCGTTGATTTCTTCATCTACAATTATATTCTTAAGCTTAGAAGTATAAATTTATGATTAAAATAATATATACTATTTATTCAATGAAATTACATTATTGGTAAATACGATCAATCTAAACACTGATGATATAAATATACAGAAACCATGAAAATTATAACAGAAACAGAGTTACAATCTTATTGTGAGTATAAAATTCTAAATAAAAATTAACTTTAGCATTTAAAATATTCATTCTGTATGAATGTATGACCATCCATCAACATGAGATTTTTCTATTTCAATAAAACTTTGCAAATCAAACACATTTTAAGCCCCTTTTGATATCATATATACCTTATTATTAGTAGGCTTTGGCATCTTGAGTTCTCTATTGAGTACTTTATCCCAATTAATGTCGTGAAAATAAGGATGTTATTTCACTTCCAAATAATCTCCTTCTCCTGAACCCAATCTACTTACTGGATTTCTGTTCAATAGCTAAAGAATTAATAATATCTTACTGCTTTCAAAAGGTTCTTACCTTCAACAGAAATGTAATTTGGAATTTGAAGCTCCCCATTCTAAATATTGTTAAATAAGACATCTTTATCATCTGAATAAAAAGGAGGTAATCCAGTTAAGAGTTCATACATAACAACTCCAAGTAAATACCAATCCAGAGCTTTCCCATGTCCTTGCCTTTACAGCATTTCCGGAGCTAAATATGCTACTGAACCACAAAAGGATTAGGCTCCTCTATCAGCATCAAAAATTCCTTCTTTTGATAGGCCAAAGTCTGTTATCAAGGCATGACCTTCTGAATCGAGTACAATGTTGTCTGGCTTCAAATCTCGAAAGAGTATATCTCTTTTATGGAGATCCTCCAATGCCAATATTATCTCACACATGTACAACTTCACTATATTTTCAGACAGTCGTTTCTACTTAGTCAAGATCTAACCTAAGTCACCTCCAGGACAATAGTCTAATATCATAAATAATTTATCCTAGGTCTGAAAGGCATATCTTAATTTTACAATGAATGGATGTGATGATACTGATAAGACATTTCTCTCAGTTATTGCATATCTACAAATATTTTACTCTTATATAAATTGTGATTTATACTGAAAATTAAGCTTTTGCGTAGAACTTTCATTGCATATAACTTCTACTATCTTTATACAAGGTATACTTCTCCAAAACTTCCTCTGCCTAAGAGTCCAACCAATTAAAATTATTGTGGCCCTACTCTTTCATCCACTTTAGATTTTGACTGTTTCAAAGAATCAATAGTAGATGAAGTATTTATTAAAAGTTGATTTAATTGATTGGTTTATTGATTTACACTTTGTTATTTTAATTCATTTTATAATTTAACTAGAGGAGTCGAAGTTCCTTTTGATTCACATTTTTTGGATTTTTTGAGGTACTCTGTCAAAATATTTTAAATTTTAATCTCTTTTGTTCTTTTCTCTGAATTACTACTTCTCTTACCTTTTGTTGATAAATGGTAGTTTTAAAACAACTTCTGAATTTCTAATTGATTTGTATAAGATTCTGGTATTTTTTATTCATTATTTTTTCTTATTTAAATTCCATTCATCTTTAATAAGCACTCAACTACTTCTTTCTAATTAAATCTACACGCATAATGAAGCGAGGTATCTCCCTTATTATCTGAATGATTGATATCTGCTCCTTCCTCATACAAAATAAGAATTATGTCTTTATGGCCGCTTTTAAAATTAAATCAAAGTTTACTGAATGCAAGCCAGCATAAAAGGGGTGATATGTTCAGAATTTACTATGTCTATTTAAATTTGCTTGAAAATCAAAGCTTACACAAGTGAGACGTTTTCATTCAATACTGCATAATGCAATGCAGAATTCTTGTTGATATCTTGAAAATTTATATTTGCTTTTAAGTTTGGGTTTATTGGAATTAATGAATTTAAGTTTACTAAGTTAATAAATCTGATTTCATACATATTTAATGTACAAAGGTTGGCTCAAGAAGTTGAAGACACTTATCGGTTCTATTATCTTTGCTTTCTTTTATAAATTAATTACTAATCTCTGGTTTTATAATGAATTATGCATACACATTAAATATAATTGCAAAAGCTGGCCTTCTTTTCGTATGTCATTTTTCTAATCTCGTTTTTAATGGTTTAATTATTAGTCAATTGCTTTGGAGGATTTTGATCTTTCAATAGAAAGTTTAGAATGATCAAGAATTGCCCTAATGTCAGGTGATTTTTATGGTGATTTTGCTTTAAAATTAGAGCCTGTATTAATCAAAATTCGATCCAATGATTTTAATCTGCTTATTTTATCATATAAAGCAAGAAGAGGCTGTCTTTGACATTCATTTGTCTTGCAAGATGACATATCAAATCGATGGTTATTTTAATAATGATAAACCAAAATATGATTTCCAGATTCTATTTATTAATTATTATAGGAAAATAACTTTGTAAAATTATTTTATTATCAATATTCATCTTAAGATTGATAGAGTAGTTTATTGGATTTCAGGTGATAGTAGGAATCTCACTTTCAAATAAATGGAAAAAAACATTCCTAAGAAAAATATACACTTTATATATATATAAAAATTACATTTTCAATAAATTAATTGAGAAACTAAGACATAATTAAATCTACAATATTAAGTAATCTTATTAAGGACACATTAAATTAGGAGTTGGTTACTTAAATGAATACATCATGGTATGTTATTATATTGAATTGCTTAATGTATAAATTTGATTAATTGTTATGAATGTTTATTGTATTGAGAGTTCCAAAATGGTGGAACTTTATTAAAAATTATAACTTATATTTTTTATAAATGTGTTTTAAATTTGTTAGAACAAATAATCATAATAACTTATTATAAGGAATTTCTAAATTCTTTTCAACTATTTTGAAGATTGGATACATTAAGTAGAAAATCTTTGATTATATCAAAAGTATTAGATTTGTAAGAAAGTAAGTACAAAGTTTCAATCAATAGAATATCATACGAACTGATTATTGAAATATTTTGAATTCAATTTTGGATATGGAATAGATGACGACTTTATTTTTTTAATTATTATAACTAATATGCCACTAAAAAATTTGTTCATAGGATAACAAAGATATATTTTGAATCTACAAATTATTGAAGTAAATAATATAATAATAAATTTTACAATTTGTGGTAAGTTTTAAAATTAATATAGAATTTGATATTATTTTTTATGAAAATTTTATAATTATAAATTTTTAATTTAATATAGAACGATCATTCAATAACCTTGTCGTTATATACCCCTGAGGGTAAGCAAATATTCTTCAATATTTTAATTACCTTAAAAGAAATGAACAATACATTTACCAACAATGTAAATTAGTCCACTTAATAATAATACCTCGATTTATAGTCTTTTGAAACATAAGGATAATAAATTTAGAAAAATATTTACTTTGAATGTAATTTTCTAATATATTTCTTTAGAGTAGGATAAACTTGATGGTGTATCAGTCAGGATTAACTTTCTCAAGAAAGTATTGGCAGTTCTACTGATTGAATTCTTCATCACTTTTGTAATATTTTTAATAGGAGAATTCACATATTTACTTGATGTTTTTCTTGAATACATTATCATCTGCACATATTACGACAAATATGGTGATGAGACATACGAACATTGTTACTATTATTTCGCGCCAACTTGGGTGTTCTATTTGTTTCTAAGTGCTTCGATGACTTTGTAATTTACTCTATACTTTGGACGATAAAGTGGAAGATAAGTAAGAATTATATTGTTAAGCATAGGTTATGCACCCATATTTATTTTTTTTCTTTTATTAAATTTTCTTTGGATTTACATTTACAGTGATATGGACGATTATGAATCTTAATATCAACATTATGGCCATGTTTGTGACTTGGGGAANCAATATTAAGTAATCTTATTAAGGACACATTAAATTAGGAGTTGGTTACTTAAATGAATACATCATGGTATGTTATTATATTGAATTGCTTAATGTATAAATTTGATTAATTGTTATGAATGTTTATTGTATTGAGAGTTCCAAAATGGTGGAACTTTATTAAAAATTATAACTTATATTTTTTATAAATGTGTTTTAAATTTGTTAGAACAAATAATCATAATAACTTATTATAAGGAATTTCTAAATTCTTTTCAACTATTTTGAAGATTGGATACATTAAGTAGAAAATCTTTGATTATATCAAAAGTATTAGATTTGTAAGAAAGTAAGTACAAAGTTTCAATCAATAGAATATCATACGAACTGATTATTGAAATATTTTGAATTCAATTTTGGATATGGAATAGATGACGACTTTATTTTTTTAATTATTATAACTAATATGCCACTAAAAAATTTGTTCATAGGATAACAAAGATATATTTTGAATCTACAAATTATTGAAGTAAATAATATAATAATAAATTTTACAATTTGTGGTAAGTTTTAAAATTAATATAGAATTTGATATTATTTTTTATGAAAATTTTATAATTATAAATTTTTAATTTAATATAGAACGATCATTCAATAACCTTGTCGTTATATACCCCTGAGGGTAAGCAAATATTCTTCAATATTTTAATTACCTTAAAAGAAATGAACAATACATTTACCAACAATGTAAATTAGTCCACTTAATAATAATACCTCGATTTATAGTCTTTTGAAACATAAGGATAATAAATTTAGAAAAATATTTACTTTGAATGTAATTTTCTAATATATTTCTTTAGAGTAGGATAAACTTGATGGTGTATCAGTCAGGATTAACTTTCTCAAGAAAGTATTGGCAGTTCTACTGATTGAATTCTTCATCACTTTTGTAATATTTTTAATAGGAGAATTCACATATTTACTTGATGTTTTTCTTGAATACATTATCATCTGCACATATTACGACAAATATGGTGATGAGACATACGAACATTGTTACTATTATTTCGCGCCAACTTGGGTGTTCTATTTGTTTCTAAGTGCTTCGATGACTTTGTAATTTACTCTATACTTTGGACGATAAAGTGGAAGATAAGTAAGAATTATATTGTTAAGCATAGGTTATGCACCCATATTTATTTTTTTTCTTTTATTAAATTTTCTTTGGATTTACATTTACAGTGATATGGACGATTATGAATCTTAATATCAACATTATGGCCATGTTTGTGACTTGGGGAACTGTTGCTCTTATAATATTTGGATTGATGTGTTATGTTATTTTCGAAGAGAAAGATTTGTCTTTCTAAGGTATTAGTCATTCTATATTTTATAGTTGGTGCAATTATGGTGTTTGTCATCTCCCTGTTTGTCTTTATCATTTTTGTCATAATCGATTCTTCTGATGCATTACAATTCTTGTTATATGCATTTATCAGTATCATCTACGGATTATATTTAGTTTTGGAGTTAAGATTAATGTTAAACTAAAATGTAAAAAATAATTATTTATATTTAAGAGTTTAAAGTTGTAAATTGATGAATATTTAGTTTTATCAATGTTGCTTTATGCCCTTATGTTGTAACCCGTAGTGAGAATATGTGAATTCATCTATAATACCTGCATAACGTGTAGTTCATGATTATTATAATCAATTATTTTGCCAATAAAGATCGTTTTTATTCTTAGATTACAAGATTTATTTTTTTTTAGATCAATTCAAACATTGTAAAGTAAATGTGTTCATCCCTAAATTATTATTTTACTAGCATTCTCTTAATCTTAATAAGAATAATTCTTTAATTTTATTTGAAATATTTAAATATTATGTTAATTAATTATTTTTTTAATATTATATCTAAATAATTATTTGTTATTTCCAAGAAATTACTTTTCTTCATGCAACCTTTTATAATACAGTAAATTAATTTACACTTTAATTATGAGTCAAAATCATATCGCATACTGAAAAAGCAATTGTCATTAGAAACGATTTGGGTTCTGTATCAATTTATTAGGAATCAAATAATTCAAAATCTAATAACTATCGAATTCAAAATTTTCAGCTTTCGCATTATTTTAAATGATCTTTTAAAAACAAATTTAGATAATTTAAAGTATACATCATAACTTATTAAAATATACTTTCAAAAGGATATAAAATTATTGGTAGCAATTAGAGTTTTAATATTTTGGGTGTTATATTTATCCAAATGGTTTCAAGGAAAATTTGAATGAAGTTATGAAAAAGAGCCTTGGCTTAAGAAATAATGACCTAAAATCTATTGTAGGAATGCATTAAACAATAATTACCGCCTAAACTGTGGGTTTTAAGGAATACTCGATTGCTATAAATATAATAAGATATTTATCCATCTGGATAAATGGGATCAGGTTACCCTTCAGATGCTCTGACAAGAGAGTTTCTCTCTAAAGTCAGCATTCCTGTTTTTATTTATCCATTACACTTTGAAAATTATTATTTATGATCTATTATGAAAATGGATTATTAATTATTTAATCTATTTTTATTTTTAAAATTAAAAAAAAGCAATTTGCAAGGATTTGAACCTTGGATACCAGTTATGGAGACTGGGGTGAAAACCACTTCACTACAAATTGAATTTAAATTATTGTAGATCAGATTGAATATAATGAAAAAAAACACTTTACGGAAAATTAATAAAATATAATATACAAAATTTTATAATTGATAAAATGTGAATTTTGGTATAAAAAGAAAAGGAACTTTTAATGATTTTCTAAATCTTGATAATTTCTAAGCACATTTAATGAAATTGATAACCTCATCAAATTTACAGAGCTTAAATTCTAAAATAATTCTAATCAAATAAGGATTAAAGATTTTGTTTCAAATGACGATGCTTAGTTTAAAAGCTTTCAAATTATTTATGAACATTAAGTTATTGTGCTGAGCAGCTGAGTACTTTAAATATTATATTTGTCATCTTATCTATTTTTGGTTGATATTGAGAAGATATTCATGATTTAAATATGTACATAATCTATTAGTACCAAAAAGCAGGAAACAAAAACAATGAGAGACTCTCAAAGCATTATATATATTTTATAATAATTATAAAGAGCTATCGACACAAGGATTGCGGTGCTCACAGTGAGTAATGATTAATTATTTATTCATTGAACAGCTTTAAGAATTTCTCCTCCAACAAATTGTTCCTTCAAGTGTTGATACTTGGCAATAATCTCTAAAGGAATCATATTCAATAAGCCCTGCAATAACAAAAATAAGAGTACCTTAGTTTCCCAGATTTATTCACTCAAATTATTTTGGTATTGAGTCATGCAAAATATGAACACAAAGAACATAACAATTAGAAACACAGAGAATTTGACTTATTCAATCATTTCTGAATATGACAGAAAATCTAAGGTAGCTTACTAGTATTACAAAGTTAGATAATAGCAACAGTTAGATACATATTGCATAATAGAGTCCAGCTTTTCAAAATAATCTTTCAAGGTTTAGGATAGATCATCAAAAGTCTTATTACTTAATGACCACTTAGCTAGCATATCATTAGATGTTAATGCAACTGACGCTATTGTAGTTTTTAAGCCTTATTGTAAGAGGCCAGCCTATACCTCCATGCAAGTTGAGGCGACCAGAGTGAATTAATTAACAGTGAATGGATAGTCGCACAGACTATTAAAAGAAATGCCAGCCAATAATGAGAAGTAGGAATCAAATTATGAAGGATGTGACTATTGAATTTCAATGGATATGTTTCGCTCATTTTCTGACTATCTGTTTTGAAAGTCAGTCTTATATGTATCTAAGGAAGTGGGATTCTGTAGAAGCAATTGTTCAATTGACAAGTACATATAGTATTTGATATTGATGGGTCTGTCCTCTATGTTTTTGAGGTGATCAAATATATTCTGAGTTTCTTTTAGGAAATAGGATTCTAAAATGATATCCAGGACAAAATATGAAATAAACAAAAGAGCAAAGAATATAAATTAGACAGTTACAGCACATTTGTGGCTTCCTTGAGAATTCAACAGTTTGTTTGCTTTTAAGTTTTCCTAATCATCTTCCTTCTCTTCCTCCTTCTATTACTGTTTCTTTTATGAAAGTTTTAGGTCGTGTTTGGTAGCACCTTAAGAAACTGGAATGGGAATTTGAGGTTGGCCATCAGAAGTCAAATTTGATAATTGTTTCACATGACTTACACTTTGATGTCCTGATGACAATAACTTTTAAGGCTTTTGAATGAGTTTGCTAGCATCATCCTCGTTACTCTCCTGTTTCTCTTGATGTTCCTTAGTTATTAATGGTTATTCTCCATGTCCGGATGTATGAATGATATTTTGGTGAGTAATTTATGCTTCTTACACTTTAGTGTGTTTATGTGAGTCTCCTTATTCATTTAAGAAATTCTTTAAGTACTGTTCGCATTTAGTGACCAAATCCTTTAATTCATTCACAGGTATGATACCAAACAGAGACAACACTTTATTATTGGTATCATGCACTTGTGAGACTATGGGAATTAAAACCAAGGAGGAGATGATCAGGAATGCTATGCCGATGATCATGATTATGAGGAATTTGATCAAGTAATCCTAAATAAGACTAGAATAAAAGGAGTAGAAATTATTAGCAATGTTTTCAGATCCATTTCTGAGTACATAGTATCCATTATTGATGAGAAAATAGAAATTCTTGTAACCACTATTTGTAGACTAAATAAAGGAATCATTGGAAGCATTGTCTAATTAAGAACCAGATGTGATGAAGTACATCATGGCATCATCAAAGAGTAGATCTTAATTGCTTTCCTGTCCATTAGACATTAGGAACTTGGTTGTGTACATTTGGGGTTGGATTTGGCTTCCCTTTCTATTTTCCATAATGAGTCTGACATTGATTAAGTCATATTGCAGTTGTTGTAATGAATTGACCCAATATTGTAAATCCGATTTGACCACTTGCAAATCATCATCATAAGTATTGTTATAAATGAGTTGCAATTTGCGAGCATTGTAGACAACATCAGAGATGATATTATGTCTGTAATACCCTTAATAGATGGCATTCACACCTTCCTTAACATCATCAATCTAAATGATTCTATAAGCCATAATCAAAGTGCTTAAAGTTAGTAGTAGGATCATGATGAACCAGACTGTACGCTTTAAAATAATTATAGATCTAGGTTGAGTTTTGGAGGAGATCATCTATTTGAATTCCTTCAATTCTTTTTGGTTATTTTCAGTTCTAGAGGATCTACTTGAATTGCCATCCTCGATTACAGGTTGTAAATGATCGCTGATTTTATTATCTTGATTATTCTGATTCTGTTTTGAATTCATGGAGTCCATCTTCATAATTTGTTCACTCTACTCATCCTCCTTGATCCACATAAATTTAATGGTCTATAAATTGCTTTCTCCAATTTTGAGTTGATCACATAGTACTAATTTTACTTTATATTTTTTATATCTTTGCAATTTCTCGTTCTTCTTTTTCTTGAAATCAACAGTCTAAAATCTGTGAAACAATGGACTAGGTGTATCAGACACTTAATCTTATTGTTTGACCTCCACTGGTTTGAGTAAATATCTTTGTATTCTTGTATCATTTGAGGATCTCAAAGGATCATGAGGAAACTCGCAGAATTAATCATCGTCATCCTCTACAGATATTTCACTCTGACTTTCTCCAATTCCTTATAAATAATCTTCCTGCAATTGAGTTGTATCTAAATAAGTCAGGATTCCATCTTCCATATTGATGTGTTCTTCTACGTTTGGGAATAGCACATCAAAGGTAAATTTCTATTTGAATGTATTATTAGTCATAATGGATTGTGGAATTCCGAAGATTTGAGTGCAAGATTAGGTGATGCCCAAGATGGTCTGAGTGTATCCATCAACTAGAATGTAATGCCATTCTTCGTTTGATTCCTACTGATTATTGTAATCTTGTAAGAATCCAACCATCTTGATGCCTTCATCTAGATTGGGGAGTATTTTGATCATCAAGGAACAAGGCACCAAATATTGTTGGGAGTTAATGCAACACAAGATCCTCTCTTTGTCCATCACCTTAGGTTTGCTGGTATCTATGTAATCAATCATGTATTGATCGTGATGACTTGCATATATCTTAGGCATAATGCAATTGATATTAATACCCATGATGTCACTCTTACTAAATTGCAGAAGACGTGTGATTTCATTATTGCAATTGGTGACCACACCCATGTTATTAAAGTTCCCTGAACATGTTATTATACATGTATTGGCATTCTCCCCATACTTCAATCTAATTTAATCGTGAATCTTGTTGTTCTGGAATTGTTTGATCAAAATCTGAACTCTATCTAAAATTCTATTTGACTCATCCTCATCATTCACAATCTCCTTTAAGAAATTGCCATAGATGGTTAAAAACTTGATGTGATTGGAATTGAGCTCTTGCAATTTCTGATACTAAATCATTGTCTACTCTAATTTCTTTGTTATTTTCGACCCAACTACTTTCAATTTCAGAATATCGGGATTGGTTTCCAGTAACTCTCGCCAGTACTCAATGTGATAATTGACAGTCTTCTCTACTGCATTCAAGAAGATGATAAAGGTATTCTAGAACACCATTATTCCATTCACATCTATTCCCTTATTTTCATTAGTTTTCTGTTCCATGTCTTTGAGTTTTTATTAGATGATATGTTTGTAATGGTACATGGCTAATTCCTCCTGCAGGGAAGGTTTGTTGTCTTCAGCAAACATCATCTCAGTGAGTGCTTTGAAATGGTTGTTCAATTGATCATTCAATAAAAAGGCATACAGAAGGTTGATTCTACAACTCTTATTGAACCTTTCTCTCATCTCATTCAATAGGAATCCCAAAAATTTATACCAATATTGATCGATCTCCTCTTCCTTTATGTTTTCGTGCATCAAAGCCTTGCAGATGCAATCCTTGTTCTAACAGGCCTTGGAATGCAATCTCAATTTGCCCTCGAGGAGCATTCGTGACCAAATCTTTTTTCGCTGTTTGATCAACTTGATGACTGCCAAGAGGTATATCTCAGCTTCGATGTCTCTTTCGATGTTTCTGAATAGAATGGACAAGACCTTCTTATTTTGGAGGTGCAAGAGATGAAAATAAACAAGCACCACCAAGGGAATGCCGATCATCATATAGAAGAAGCCTATGTCTTCGGCCCGATTGTAATTGATGAAGGCTGTGAAGAAACTAACGAGTGTGATCCAGAGCAAGGTGATTTCCTCTATTATCGAAGCCCATGCAACCCATTTGTTATAGTATTTGGGTTGTTTGAATCGTTGCACATTGAGATAGATGTAGGACAAGCTAAGGAGTGATATGAACACTCTGTCTAGTGAGCCTGCATAGTCAAAGATGGTGTAAATGGGCAGGACGATCTTTATGACCTGCTTGATGAGAGTGGCACTTTGTTGAGGAGAGGCAAAAGGGATGGTGGAAAAGGGGTTCTGTTCCATGAAGATCAAATTGAAGTAGACGATGTGTATAAAGTGCATGAAGAGTCCCAAAAACTAAATATATTGAAACACAAAGGCATTACAGAAAACACGAAGTGAGCGTAGTAGGCACCTACATAGCATTCAAAGTTGGAGTTCACGCAATACAGTATGGCGATGTACACGTTGGTGAATGGAATCAGTAGGATTGTGTTGAAGAATACTCCGAAGTAGGCTACTAGTCGATATGTGTAGATGTAAAATGTGGTATGCTTTTTCAAATTACACAGGATCACTATTTTCAAGGCGGTCATGAGTAATTATACTGCGAATACCTTGATAGGTGATTTGTATTACTATGTACAATAGTGCCAACTAAATTTCTATTTGTCCTTTACCCAGCACTTCGTTTGGCTAGAAATAGGATAGAATTAAACGGAAATATTTGAAAATGGGGGTTTGGAAAAGGAATGAAAAGCTCGGATGTATTGAATAGTACACCTGAAATGTTATATGATTTCAATTACCATTTGCATGGTTTCCAATAAAATTAGGAAATTGTACAGGTGTACAGTTACAACACTGTTTAAGAGTAAGTTATGCGTAAGGTTGTAAATGGACATCTTTAGGGAGTGAATCCAAAGATCCCATTTTGAATACTCAAAAAGAGTCTTCCTATTATTCATTATCATTAGTTTTAAATTATAACAATAATAATAAAAATGTAATAGAATTCGATAACAAAACTAAACCATAATAATGGGTGGGCTTATGTCCTAAGAAACAAGTAATCCATAGACCAGAACTTGGATAGATATGAAGCGGAAATGGAGGGCAAAACCCTTAGATTTTAATGTGATGTTCTTAAATAATACACCGATCAATTCATGAGGTGTCTGGACGAGTTAATCCAATACCCGTAAGAAAACATAATAAATTATCACGACTTCTTTATTGACCAATAAACTAAACATTTATATGTGATTTAGGAATATGTCGAATAGGAATCCTACCTTAATTAATAATTGAAGTATAAGTAACCTGACGACGTTCAAAAACAAAAGATTTGTGAGGATGTTGCCAAGGGAATATATTATCTCCACTTACTCAGTTACAGACACAGGAACATAAATCCTGAAAACATATGTTTTGTAAATGGATAGTATAAAATAACTAATTTAAATTAAGTTGTGCATTTTATAATGAAAGAGAAATTAGATCCAGTAGGAGATAGTTCTTATTGGAATCAAGACTTAATGTAAGGCAAAGTGTATGATCAAACTATTGATATCTTTGCTTATGCTTGTGTAGTCTTTGAAGTCTACACATAACAGAGGTTGTTCACTCGAAACTAACCAGACAGGACACGCATCCCAATGGAAAAAGCGCAAGAATTATCAAAACTACCAAAAAAACTAAGCCAATTCATTATTTAAGTCATTGCAGAGGGAAAACCAGAATTAGAAAATATGATAGATTAGAAGTAAAAAGAGGACTTAATAAATAAAAAGTGCTAAGCATCTACAATAGGGGTCAAGCCGCAATAAAATAAATTTATCAAAACAAGTCCTTCTTTGAGTTTTGATCAAAAGGATGCACCTAAGTTCAGTAATCCACCTTAATCTGGACCCTCATTTTAACCTATAACAGCTTAAATGCGTGTACCCACTACCATAATGAATATTCAACAAGTAATTCCACAAACAACACAATAATTTAACGCACTACCCAAATTCACAATTCAAAACAAACCACCAGACTCTTTTTCTTCACCAAATCAACCCTCGTAATCACAATTCTAATTTTAATAACCTCAAAAACCCTAATCAGTCCCTTTCCACTTGTTTCCATAGCAAAATTCATAAGATAAACAGAATTAAGGAATCCCCAAACCATTCACAACCATATAGAATAAATTTAATAATTTTCCCACTTCAAACAATGATTTGTCTTCGGCGACTCAAAATTTTAATCAACCAATAATTCAGCAGCCACCCTAGCCATTTAATTAAACTGCTCCAGCTTTAAATTTTGATGCTTCCTAAAGTCTACATAGGAAAAGGGATTCTCTAGGCAATCCATTCACACTGGAGAATACTTACACTTGCACTTAAAAAATAGACGAAGATATCTTTAAATGTTAGATAGATACTTCAAAAGAAGAAAGAGAGAAGGAAAGTCAAAGGCAGGCTAAAGAAATCAGCAATATATCAAAGTTGGTGCGACAAGATTAGTTGGAAAGAACTGTAAAAGAATATTTTGAAATAAAAAAACAAAATCCCAATTGGGCACCCTATTAAATTTTGGCAGAAATTATTGATAAAATGGTGAGAGATAAATTGTGACTTCGAAGTTATTGAATAGAATTAATCTATATAAATAATAATTCAATAATCAATCATTAATTGTATGTATTATTAATCTAATGATGATTAATTGTTGAATGATATCATACGATATTGCATCATTCAGAATTAATTAATTTTTGAATGATTAAGTAATTGCTTGCTATTGTGGCAATTGGAACACTGTCAATAGTGCCTTATCTTGACAACACAGACTATAACCCTTGGTTTGAAGGTGACACATTCATTGTCTCCACTGATGGAAGCATGAAAAGAATTAGCAGATTTGATCCAAACTGGAAACCACAGTCAGCATATGAGTAATTATAGAATTTAATAATTCTAGAGATTACCATGAACAAATCTATCAAGAACAGGAAAGATTACGTAAAGAAAAGATGTCTGACTTCCTCAAAAGTACAGCTCACATTTGTACAAATGGAAAGGATCACACCAAAATGACTTTGTCAAATTACATGAATGAATTCATCAATGGTCCTTGTTAACCAGCTGTCTTAGTCCCTGGTTTGATTGGCACAGCATTACAAGTATAAATAATATATTCTATGTATTCTAATAGGTAAAAATTGATTGTGAAATTCTATAAGCAAAAAGACCAGATATCTTTGAAAATTGCGGTTGGTAAACTTGCAGTGCCTCTAAATTCTGGTTGAAGAAACCAAGTGAAGAGTACAGAATGTGGATAGGTGCATTAAGTGGTCCATTTTCAATTGCAATGACCAACAAAAAGGATAAATGTTTTGGAGATTTCATTGAACTTTATTATGATAGATCCAAAAAGGATCCAAGAGACAGATATACAGCAGCCCCAGGTATTGAAATCACCTGGGCTGGTAACACTCCAAAATCAATCGATAATGAATGTGGAACTACTGCCATCCAAGAGTTAGCCACTGATTCCGTTATCAAGGCAGCAATGTGTGATCCCAAAGGATATCATGTTTTCTCAGACACTCTTAAAAACATGGGTTACATCCCAGGATTAACAATGCAAGCTGCTCCCTATGATTTCAGGAAATCAATTGCCGCATCAGAATCTCAATAATACATTAAGAAGTCTGTGGAAACATTCTACAGATTGACAGGAAAGAAAACCTACATCTTTGGACATTCTTTGGGTTCCCTTCATTCCACATAAGCAGTGTACACGATGACTTAAGCAGAGAAGGATAAAGTAGCTGGTATTGTGACAATCGCTGGACCTCTTTTGGGAGCAACTAAGACATTCAAACCTTAGGTAGGTGGAGATGACAGCTTTATGTTTAAAGTTTTAATCTTGGATGCTGGTATTAACTGGTATGCTCAAAAGAAGATGGCTCGTACATCTGCCAGCATTGTGGATTTATATCCCAAAGATACATTCACAAGGTTCAGAGATGAACCATGGATGTTAGAGATTCTTGACAGAATGAAATGGGATACCGAGTTCATTTCAACTGGAAAGAGACCAACAAGAGCAAATCCATTACCTTGGTTCCCAGAACCTAGTGAAATTTGCGGTGCTGATTTTGCTGATAGATCTAATCATTGCTAATTGTTAATGCATGATATGAGTGAACACTTCCTGAAAGTAGTGGACAAATTGTATTATTCAACTGAAGAATCTACCAAAGAGGCCATTACTGACACCATCACTGCTAATGATGCCAAATAAATATTGGATTATGTTGAAGAAACTAAAAGAGAAAAAGCCAATAATGTTGAACACCCAGGAGTACCTATGGTTGTAGTCTATGCTGCTCATGAAATGACTCCATTCCAATTTGAATATAAGAAACAACCTAAACCTATTGTTGAGTCTAATGATGATTTCTATTTCCCAGATCATATTACCAAAGCCATTGGAGATAGCACAGTTCTTGCCTCCTCAGCCATGACTCCAGGCATCAAATGGATTTATGAACATAATCATGGATTAACCACCATTCCAACTAAATTGGTTGAGTATTGTTCATAATACAATGGAGATGCCGTCTCATCGATTTATGATTCAAAAGATGCTCAAGGATAAAGACTATTCACTAACTCAGGATATTTAGGTCTTACTTGTTCTTGCAAATTCGGATAAACTGTACATTTATTTCACTTATCATTTTTAGGGAATCGACCATTGTGGACATGCTTGCATGATTCAAGACACATTATTTATTGAGTTTGCTGCTGATGTACTTAAAGCACACTGGAAATCTACTATTTCACAAACACCAGCCAATGAAACTGAACTTAAAAACATACATGAAGGATGCACTAATCTACATTGAGTATTTTAATTCATCCCCATAATAATTTAAACATATTAACTAATATTTTATTTCATTTCTGACAAATTTTCAATAATTTCTTATGAATTAAATTTAGATGCCTTTGTGTCTTCATCATTAATAACCTATTGCTGAAATTACCTTGATTTAATCTCCTACAGAAGAACTTTAATTGTTTTGCTCGAAATGCCCTAAATCATAATGCAGCAGCCTTGAGATAGTGCAAATTTTAGATCGACTTTCAAAGCTTAAAATAGAAGACTAATCCAATGTTGAGAACTATCTCAACTTTTTATCAAATAGAATTAATGCAATCAAGCAAGGATTTCTTCAAGTGATTGAAAATTTTGGTAAATAAGTCAAGGATTAAATTAAATTCTTCGAATAACAGATAATTACTCCTGAAACTATCAACTATTACTCCACTATCCAATAATTGACATCTGAAGATTTAAAACAATTGAGTACTATTTTCGCACTCAATTTTCAAATGGATAACAATTCATTCTCATATCATAAGACAAATAGTATTATACAATAATAAGTCATTATACTCCATAATAAAATAAAAAAAGTAAATTAACTCAAAATTTAAATTGAAAATTCCTTCAATCCTGATTATTAAACCTAAAGTTAAATTTAGACAGATGAAGAAGATTGCTTTAATGAGAAGCCAGTAGGGTATAACAACTATAATGAAAAAGATAGAATAGAATACTCCTAACAAATTAGAGGAATAGAGTTTAGTTCAGATTATTAATATGTTTTTGCACATAGCCATGAACTACCTTTGACTGCATTTAAAATCGTAAATAACAAATTGTCTGCTTATCAAAAATTAGAATTAAAATCCTAATATATCTCTTCAATCGCTTGTAGTAAAATGGCGAATAGGATTTATGTTATCTCTGATAAGTACCTTGAAGTTTATGAAGAAAACTAGTTAAACCTTTGGACACATGTTAAAACATATGATATGCTACAAACTATTAATTTAATTTAAATCAGTATATCTGAGATGATAGCGTTAACTTTTAAAAATGTGGTAATGTTATGGCCTTAATATGGGAATTAAATATCACTTCCTTAGAAGCATACAAAAATTGTGAGAGATATAAGTTTTAATTATAATTCATCATTTTTACTAACAGCAAGTGAAGATAATTTTGTAATATGGAAGGTCAGTAATCCTAACTAAATAGAAATCTACTAGAATTTTCAAGATCAATCAATAATCTATGCTTAATTTAGTGATTCAGTTGAGAATATTATTTGTGCAGTCAATAGATTTGGAAATCGTTCTTTTTGGAAACCAGATATTCAAGGTTTATTCTATGAAGCATAAGCAATTTATACTAGTTCTTCAACTTTTGGATGCACTATTAAGTTTCGATTGAATTCAAAATTGATTATTTTGGGAAATCATTCAATTTAACTCTTTGAAGTAGATTAATAAAATGATAATGAATGGGTAGTCAAGTAATAGATTAAAGTGAATTGTTGGAATCTTGATGTATCAAAGGATGCTAAGTATATTGTTGCCGATGATTTTCGTAACTTATGTCTTTATGTAAGAGAAGAGTGATATTTAATAGGAATAAAATTCAATTTATAATATTAAATAAAACTATTTAAGTATCATGAAGGATATTAAGTTGTTTACACTCAATATTTTGATTCTAACATTTATTTATGAATCGTTCCAATGATCCTCCACGAGATGGTGCTGCACCTATGACAAAGCAAAATCTTTTTAACATTTGGATTAAATCATTATGATAATTCTCAAAAAAGAAGCAGTCAGATATTAATGCACATGTATTCGCATAGGGATCTCCAGATTACCACTTTAATACTTCAACTTATATATTTATTTCATTTAAAATAACATTTTCCTTTAGATCATTTATAATAGATTAATTTCCATCTGTTAGAATTACATTAAATCCTTTTTTGGCTAGGACGATCCCACAAAAACCAGATCTCCCTGCTCCAAGTTCAATTATATTGTAATTCTTGATTCTGTCAAGATCGCTTAATATGTATTTTGTTAAAATGATCTCTGATGGCCAATAAAAGACACCTGTGTTATCTATATCATTTTCATTAACTTGGTTCAATTAACTTTTATCAGGTAATAATTATTTGGTGGATTGTTTGACTATTACATCTTCAACATAATAGATTATTATATCATCTTTGATTTCTTTTTTAAATATTTGCACTTCATTTATGTCTGGCTTATAGTCTTAGTTCTCAAGAAGATAGCCCTTCAATTTTTTCCATAATTTTTAACCTTTCATTAAAAAATATAATATGAAATTATTCAGATTTGCATACAGCTTCTCAAAATACACCTCTTAGAATCATTCGCTTTTATAACAAATATATTCCTATAACTATAGAGACCACTATATTGCTTACCTACTTTTAGATCACCAAACCAAATCTATAATATCAATTGATCCTGGAGATTTTGAAGCCGCCTTCTATAACATTAAGAATCTGGAAGTGAATTCAGGATATCGCTTAAATTATATCCTCTAAACACATGGAAGATCTAATCATACTGCAAGTGTTTTAGAACTCTATTCAAAATTCAAAGATGCTAAGGTCTATAGTGGTGTTGTTGAAAATAAGTTGTGCACCCTTTTTTAAACTGATTTTGCCAGAGAATTCTAGCCTTTTTAAATTGGAGATTTAGCAGTTTGTTTCATCTAAGCTAATGGACGTACAATTGAATTCTTATTTTAGACACCTTTGATAATTACATGATTGCTGTGACAGATACGAATCCTTAATCGACTAAGATACCAATCTTATTTTCCGGAGATACCATACTAGTCAAGTAAATTTAGTTAAATAGTGATAAGTAATGTTGGAGAAATTGAAGATTATGGAGCGTTCTTTGCTACTTTATAAAAGCTAAGAGGATTTCATGATGAAACCTTAATCTTCCCAGGCCATCTACCATAATAGGAAGTGTTTCTGTTCGCTAAAACTCTTGAACCTGATAACATCGTTGTCTAAAATAAAATGGGATTAGATAATTTGATTCCCACTTCGCTCATTGAAGAAAGAATGGGCAATCCATACTTTAGATATTCTTAATTGAATGGGAAGGTTAAGGAATCAGATCCCATCAAGTACTTAAAAAAATTAAAAAATATATAAAATAAATATTTTAATGGATAAAAGGTATGAGAAAGAAATGAAGTATACTGAAAAAATCAGTTATCATGTATAAGAATTCTAAAATCTCACTAAATATTATCTAACCAATTACATGTTTGAACAAAAAGAAAAGTGCTATTAAGAAAACATCAAATCTGTAGACAATTATGTAAATTGCGCATTGCAATTAGTCAATCAATTTAATGAGATGTCAAAGAAGTTTAGATACTAAGGACTCTACTTTGAGCATAGATTTGTTGATTGTTTGAAACATAGACCAGATGAAGGAGATAATTATAAATGCATCTAAAAGTTGGAAAAGGATTTAAAAATTGAAGCCAAGAAAATTACACCCAAAGAATGAGTTATATTAATTTTTTATACATCTAACTGAATAATTCTATTTAATAGATAGACAAAATATTATTCACAAATTTTGTTTATATTTTTCATTCTTATTGTTGGAATAACAAAATTCAGAATAATAGTATTTATTCATATTATCATAAGATAGTTAAATTACAATTAATAGGTCAAAATATAAAAAGGTTGTTCGTTGAATTATTTAACTTAAATAATTCTTAATTAAAATGAATAATTAAATAAATTATTATCTTTACTTAACAAATAAAAATCTTGCTAAAATAATTAATAGCTCCAACAAGTTCAATTTCTAAAGAAATATGTGTGGATGTTTGTCATGCTTATATAAAAATTAAAAAATAATTCTTTTTTAAAAGACGAAATTCTCTATCTTATGCAAAATGTAAAAAATTTCTTAAATATCTTGCTAAATTATGATTATTTTAATATCATAAACTTACCAATTTAATTAAAATTGACCGGTTATAATAAATAAAGTTCCTCCCTAATCTATACAAATCTAAACCTGGAAACTATTTTTACTCTAAACTAACTGAGAATTTAATTCAAAATATTTTAGGGAAGGGATTAATTACTGTTTATAACTCGACTTCACTATAACAGAAATATACAATATGATTAACAATATTAAAGGCAAGATTAGTTAACTAGAAGTCAAACTTAATTGTCTTTACCTATACAATAAATATCATATTAACTATAATATTGTATTTATAATAATATGGAATGCCTTCAATTCATAGTTAAAGGTGATAGATAATTACAAAGCGAATTTTGATTAATTTTTTAATTGTTTGGATCATTTCTCCTATAAAATACTATAGTTATTTATATTTATTTAATAAAAATTGAAATTTGAATGAACATATTCGATATACTTAACTCTTAATTTGTTAGTCAAACTCAATATGACACAATTATTGCTTAGTAGAAGGCATACTAGCAATATTATTCTTAGTTATAAAGTGATCCTAACAAGATAGCAGAAATTTGGCCTATTGTGAGATAGGCAGGAATATTAGATATCTGCTATGAGAATTATAAGTGTATTATTTTGTCATTAATCCATAGATTTTGCAAAAGAGAACAAGTTATGTTCATTAGAACCTATCTAGAAGTTGATGAGTAGTGCACTTGAAGAAGAAGGTAAAATTGATTATTTGGCTGATTTCATCAAATTTATGGGAATAAAATAGGATTACAGTTTATTTGATTAGGTGAGGACTGTGGTTGAAAAATATGAACTTGAATATGATATACAAGATCGACTTAAATCATTAAATAATTTGAATTTCAAAGAGCAATACTAAACAATTACAATAGAGTTATTGAAATTATATGCAGAAAAAGTATATTCAGAGGAGGGTTTCTTAAATGAGTTATTGGAATTTGGAGCTGCTCTCGAATCAATTGAACCTTTAGCCAAGAATATTATACAACAAGTTCATGCAGACAGAACCATCAAGAACATGTTTGAGGCTGTGCTCTACTATCCTGATACAAGTGATCATCTACATGAATTTAAATCGAGTATGGAAGTAACTAAAATGTATGCTAATATGGATTCGTGTTTGCAACAATAGATGAAAAAGAGATTATTGATTTCAGGAGTAAACACTGATACTATTCTGAAATTCTATGTGAATTTATTGAAGGTGTTATAATTTGTAGATTCAGACTACATGGTATTTGATAAAGTCACTAAGCCAATCAAAGAATATTTATTATAGAGATCTGATTTCTTAAGATGCATCATTGGTATCTTGACTTAATAAAACTATTCAACTGACAAGGTTATGATATTTGAATAATAAGATTCATCTGATGAAGAGTCCTCTCAAGAAAAGGATTTAACAAGTGTTTTAGTTAGTTTATATGGATCTTAAGAAGCATTTATAAGCGAATATTAAAACATGGTTGCTGAAAAGATATTGACTCCAAAAGATTTCTCTTTAGAGTAGGAGATTGCCAATATTGAACTCATGAAGATTCGTTTTGGCGAGTAATCGATGAATACCTGCAGCATTATGATGAAAGACATTTATGAAAGCAAACGTATTGATACTAATATTTAATCACTGGCAACTCAATTCAATATGTTGAAACCACTGTTCTTAAGCAAAACCTTTTGGCCAATCAGTTATGAATTTAAACCTACATTTAAGTTACCTCCAGCCATTGAACAATTATTTAATGATTATCAAAAAAGATTCGAAAAAATCAAGACTATGCGTTCTTTATTATGGCATCATGACTTAGGCAGTGTCACATTAGATTTGACTTTCGATAATGGAGATTTTGAATTTAAATGTTTGCCTATTCATGCTTGTATAATTGGATATTTCAATGATGATGATTCTAAGGGGTTGTACAGTGATGCCTTGGCTTAATAATTACAAATGAACCATGAAGATTTGAAAAGGAGAATGCAGTTTTGGGTTTAGAAAGGAGTCATTAGAGAATAAAAAGGTGAAAATGATGTCATTTGCTACACAGCTGTCAAAATATATGTTCCTTAATGTATCATATATATTTATCCTAGCTTGTGATGATTTATTGATTGAAGAAATACCTGAAGACTTGTTTGTCTCATCAACTAATTTCTTGTAGTCCAACCAACTTATTCAATAAATTTCTCATAATTTGATTGAATTGTTAAAATAAACAGGCACTCTGAAAATTGAGAAGATTGTTCAGTTGTTCAAAACAACTTTCAAAAGTGAGTTTTCAACTCCTATCACCGAAAACAATATAAAGGAAGCTATTAAAATATTGATTCAAAAGGGAAAATTATAAGGGTCAGAATACATAGAATTAAAATAATGAATATATCATAATTAAATAGTATTTATGACTAAAATTCAAGGATCTTTCATTAATAGAGGATAAAGATTCTCAGTATAAAAGATAATAAACTATATACATTTTTTTTTTTTCCATTCGTTATCAATTTTATTAAGTTATCCTGACCTTTATATATTAAAGGGTTAAATTGAGTAAAGAAGTTGTAGAGAAGATATAGATATTTCTATTCTCAATTTCAACACCTCAACCTTAATTATTATAGTAATTACAATGTATTATAAAATATATATAAGAAGTAGTTAATAACCCTTTCTTATTTAACAGAAAAGACATAATACTAAGGCAATGAATGATGCAAATTCAACAGATCCTGGATAATAGTAAATATTGTTGAGAATTATAACTATTAAAAATTATCATTCTTAATTCCTATTATTTATAATCCATTTGTTGTCTATCCATCCAAGTGATCCTTTATTTTAGTAACAAACATGATATAAATGCTCTTATTCTATGGTTTATACTAAGAGATCACAGTTTAATACCAATATTCTAGAAATAGCACTAAAATTACTTCAATGAAACATTTGGCACTTTTCGAATAGTATTTTCTGGAAAATCTTTGGATGCGCATTATAATCAATGAATTGATATAAGATTTCTTTATATAACAGTGCTTTCATAATAAACAAATGCATAAAATAATTATAGAGGTCGTTTTGCTTTGCTCCCTTTTTCTGTCTCATAACTTAATGTTGTTCATAAATCTGATTGATCTGTAATAAAAGAATATATATAAAGATTTTCATTGCATGGAATCAAGAGTCAATGATCAGCTCCAAATGTGGCAAGAAATTAGAGTAATTCTGAAGTTAGATATTAAAATAATAAAGTTTAGAATCAATATAAACAATTGTTTAATGAATGTTAGCTTCATTTATTTTAGAATTAAGAAATTCTAATTCCCTGATATATAAATGACTTAGTTGATTACACATTAATTTAATAAATGAGTTTAACATTAGTATCCTTCAATATTTGCCCATACGTTCTTAGAGTGGTTGCAGCACTTAACCACTTGAAGATCCCTTATGAAATAAAATACATCGATTTAGAGAATAAGCCAGAATGGTTTGTTAAGGCAAGTCCATTAGAAAAAGTGCCTATTCTTTTTGTTGGTGAGACAGTCCTTTTCGAGTCCCTTGTTATCTTAGATTATATCAATACTCTTGCTCCTCAATCTTTACTTCCAGCTGACAATCTATAAAAAGCATTGAATAGAGCAAGAGCAGAATTTTCTGGAGAAATCATTAGTACATTCTGGGGTGTATTTTCAGCTAAAACAGAAGAGGTATCTATAATATTTATGTCTAGTAATTCAAAAATAATTTTGCTGAATTGAAGTGGTATTTCGAGAAATTAGAAGGATGGTTGTCTTAATCGAAATTCATTTTTGGCAATGAGTTGACTTTGGCTGACTTTGCTTATGCACCAATATTCACATTGCTTGATGCAATTAAACCACTTTTGAAATTGAATGTCTTTGAAGGATTTCCAAGATTATAAGAATATTCTTAACAAATTTTATCACTACCAGGAGTCTAATCAAGCAAAGTAGAGAATTACGATTAACTCCTCCAAGAAAGATTAAAGAAAGGAGATCCCTACATTTTGACATAATGAGATATGTTTATTACATAACATTTATCTACAATTATTTGATTATCAGATTTTATAAATGTACAATTAAAACTTAATTGTAAATTTATAATATTTTCTATTCATTCAAATATATAAAATCTAATCCTTGATTGCAAATTTGTAATTAATTAACCAAGCAAGTTTAGAATTCTATTAAAATACATATGAAATAATAACTTTAGTTGTTACATAATATTTTTGATGATATTGAATTTTTATCAATTTCACTAGGATAATGGATGAATGTACATTAAATTATCATGGATAATAATTATAAAATAATTATACTTAATAAAAATATTCCTGGAAGGTTTTTTCAATTAATTTGTATGAGGCTGTTGCCTTAATAATTTGTTATTATTTTGGAATGATAGAGTACAGCTTATCTAATTTGACATTTATAATCTAATCCCATTCTTGACTTTTATAAGGTTGCATTCTTTATTTAAGCTTAGAGAATAGAACAGTAAAATCATTGGGCATTCTTTAGAAGTACCTTAAAATCAAGACCGAGATATCTGAGATTCTTATGTTATATAAGAATGCACCAAATAAACAGTTCTCAGCAACTAATCTCTGTTAAATCTATAGAATAAACAAATAAGCTTACATATTAAGAATGACTAAACTAATCATATGTTTAGATGTCTGATATTATCTTTAAACAGGTCATCAGGGATCGTTTCTCTTGTATTAATAACGCACAGTTGATAAACTAAATTAATATGAATATAGTTACATCTAAAATATTTCCAAATATCTCATCAGTTATCATTTATCTCGTAATTTCAAATTCCAATAACCATTAGATAACATAAAATAATGATGACATTTTGTGAATGTAGTTGCTTAAATCATTTAGGTTTATGTATTTGAAAATTAGTAAAATCGATTGATAAATCTAAATTCTTACTTGCTTCTTGCTTGTTAATAATCGATTAAGGTATTTTAAATTTTCGAATATCTTTAATAATTATAGCAGAGGTTTGTAATAGAGTTTGTAAATATTTTAGATACTCTTTTATCCTAATTGTCTTTCCTAATTGAATTCCCTATTTATAGAATCTAGATGAATTTGTACTTTCTAAACTACCATCAAAATCCATTCATATAGTTAATCAACCATAACTTACTTCAATTGTCCAATCTACCCAGTAGTATTTATCATCATTCTGGTAAGTTTCAGCATATCTAAATCGACTGCCTATGCAAATAATTTCAAATAGGCTTTATCATCTATTATTTGCATGATGACTCCATATAGACTCCTTACATTTTCATTCAACATGCTCTGCAAAATAAAAACGATATCTCGAGTGATTGAAATTTAATCCATAAACTGAAGAACATCATTTTTAAATTTCTATATTAATTGCTCAGATACTGATTAATCATGAATAGATTCATTTTAAACATTGAGCAAATACATTTTGACTTTGTGATAGAGAGTAATAATCTTTTAATTAGGAATGATACGAAACTCATGAAAATCAGAAAAACATTCCTTTGGAATATTGATTTGATTAATTTAATAAAATTGATCTTCCATTTTGATTTTTGCATTGACAAATATTCTTAAGGCTTTCTATATCAATTCTTAATCATTAAATAGGAATATTCGACTAAAATTAAACAATATTTTTCTATCTATTTACATTTTCTATATTATTTCTTCAAATTTAATCAAAGTCTACTGATCAAATAGAACCTTCCAAAATTTATATAAGAACCTGTCTGTATAAGGTGATTGGTTACTCAAGTATAAGAATGCCAAATCAAAGGCCTTACTGTAGAATTCCTAATACTGAAATTGCTTAAACAAATCTAGGTTGATTGGATATAGAAATTATTCCATCTTGTAGAATTACAATTTATTCATAACATCTAATTGATATGTTGTGCATTTAATGGATGCGAATAATCCTATTGAGTAATACCTGAAAGCCATTTCCTTTATACTTTAATCAGGACTTAATTGAATCATCTAAGCAAAGAATGCTAAATATTATTCAATCATAAAGCAACTAATTTCTTTCAATATGTGTTTGATATTATTTCTTAAGAATTTATCATTAACCCATTGATTGTTTTGCATAATCCAAGAATTAAAAAAGCTCGTTATAATGGGCATAACAAAAGAATGTAATTAACTATAGTCATATTATCTTTGAAACCTTACTAGATTTCTTAGAAACTTGAGTCCAACTTAAACAGCTTCTATGGTGTTTAGGTTTTTGATTAAATTTAAATTGAACTCAATCCATTGGGGAGTGTGATTGGCAAATATTGTCTTACCTGCAAAATTGAGTAAATTTATTGAATTAATTTTTGATATATCTGATACCATAATTTTGGAAGTGATTTAAAAGATGATTTCAATACTGTCTTTATCATTGGAATAGTACTTTTAGTATATTTTACAAATTTTACCAAGAGACTCCCATATCTTAATATTTAAAGGCAATAATTCAGTCATTTTAGCAATGAATTACTAATATTTGACAATGGACCAAACCATTTTAATATGATTGGTGATTGGATCCATGTGATCTAGATGTTGATTTTGTATCATCTTTTCAAGTTCATTCTGATCCAGTATTTAGGATTTGATTTCCTTCATAATAGTTTATAAGTTCCTTTTGTTTTTCACTTCAGCTCTTTTGATGTTATGCCAGTCTTTCTCTTTAAAATCCTCTTTAATTTCTGAAGATAACAACAAATTTAACAAATCAATTGCACTATCCAACAATTGTAAGTCAGGATTGCTATTGTTTCCAATCAAGCTAGTAGTTATGATTTCCAGAAAGAAATCAAGATTGTGCTTAAAGAATTGTTATCTGACAATTTTTTGCTTTGAATCTAGGATCCTGAATTCGCCAACTCGTTCTTATGGTTGTAATCTTCTTAATACAGTATCAATGATGATGAGGTACACTTATTTGTTCATTATTTACGCTTGTTCTTTAAAATATTACACAGGGATTTGATCATAAAAGTGTAATATGATATTGGCAATGATGGAAGAAAAAAAGTGATAGACTGGACGTGAATTGGTAGTAAATCTTTTGATTCTATTCCATGCAAATTCAAATATCTTTGCAAATTCTGGTGTATTTTGATGGTTTTAATCTATGTAAGTTGAAACCAAGCTGCCAACAATTTGTAATGTAATTTCATTATCACTCTGATCTGCCAATTGGCATAAAAGAATGAGATTATCTTGATTCATATTTTTGTGCAATTGATCTGGGTCAATTTGATATATTTCATAGAGTTGTCTCTCAAAGTTCATCTTAATATTAATTCCAAAATTATTTCAAGACATTTCTGCATCTTTATGGAAAACTATTTTAGGGTTTTTTAAAAATATTAATTATTAAATCGCCTAATAACTTTAGAAGGTTTTTTGATTCAATTAGATTTCCATTTATCATTTATAATTGATTTTCAATTGCATTTGTGCCTTATACCTTATATTTTGACAGAATAAATTGATAGATTTAGAAATTGATATAAATAGTTAAATTTTGTAATCAGCTCTTTCATCAAAATCAGTAGCTTTTGAATAGATATACATCTGATTAACAATATGTATTTACTTATATTCTTGAGAGAAAGAATCCCATGGATAATATGTTTGTTAGTCTTACATCACTTTAAATATGCTACAATATTATTTCTTTCTTTTTTGGGAGTAGTACATACTCATATAAGCTGAACATCAAATAGAATAAAACAAAATTAAATCAAAAAGTATGTTTTTATTATGGTTCTTAGATATTACGGCTATTTTTCCTATATTTCCACTGATATTAAAATTTGGAAGAGATCCCTAAATTTAAACTCTCTGATAATTTAATTCAAGATCAAATCAAAATGAGACCACATAGTATATATTTGATAATCTTCAAACTGCTTCAATTAATGATTAATTCAATTATCTACACATTTTGAGACTATAAATTTAATATTTCATTTATTGGCTATTTTTTCCAGAAAATCTTGATAGATATGATCTTTAACATTAAAGTTACTGTTAAGGTGTTATGATGATTTTTAATAATTTTGGTCTTCTTAATCTCGTACCGTGAATCTAGCCATTCTAATTGATTCATCCATTATTAAGATTTCCGAAAGGCTTCGAAAATAAATGATAAATTCAAATTACTTAATCAAATATTAAAATACCTTTTCTATTTATTATTGCAAAATTTGAAAATTATGATAGTGTAAGAATGTGATTTTAAATATTTGACAACCAGTTCCTTCTAGTTTTCATCAACCAATTAGAACTTGATCAAAAAAAGAGAGTGTAATTTATTTTCTATTTAACAGTGATAGAAGTATTGCTCAAAATAAAATGATGATATAATTGTTTCAGTAACTATCATTCAACTATAATCAATCATCTGTTTTCTTTCCAAATATGAGTGTTTATGTAAGAGAGACGATTGGCAGTACCACTTACATTAAATTTAGAGGCAACAACAATTTTATTAGAGCTTATATTGACATTATTAGGAATGTTGTTTTTATTAAATGAAGATTTAATGTACTAGTTATTTGAACTGAATGTCCATTAATAATTCTCATAATTGGAAGGGAGACATAAAATAAGTCAAATGTATAATTGAGCACTATAATTATTAAAATTAATTTATGAGTTAGTCTCCCATAGTCTTCACGAATAAACCCTCTAAGCCTCATCCTTTGGATGATAGTGTTTGGAGATGGGGAACTGTTTTGCCTAAACTACCCCAAAAGGATCTTAAACCGGAAATCAAAAGTGAACCGCAGTACTTCTAAAATAATTAGCTCGAGGATAGTTAAACAATCAATAATTATACAGTTAGATCAGCAGTATTGCGTGAAGTAACCATTTTCAATTCCAATTTTAGGAAACTGACTATATAGAAGTGGACTGGAATGCATTCCAACTTATCTCTTTTGAATGAATCCAGCTGTTTGATGAGTAAATAATGACAAATAAACATATATTTTAATTGTCTCATGTCTATTTCCCTCTCTCTTTTTGTTTTAGGCACAATTCAATAGATATCTTGAATCTATCTCTTTGTATTCTAAAGCTATGACACATTTCATCATCAATGAGAACTTTCATTAATTAACCCAACCTTTTATTTAACTCAAAACCCCGGCCATACCCAGAAAATCGCGATAAGCAGTCATACTAATGTGTCACTACTAGTGCTTTCGAGTGGTCTGATGGAATATGCGAGTCCTCGATAGAATTATGGAATTTGGGAGGGATTGGAGTACTCCATTCATTCATTTGAATTTAAAACAGCAGATGTTTAAATAGAATGGCGCTCTTTCTTATGTGTATATAGAGAGCACCACCAATTAACTATTAATATCGATCAATTATGAAAAAATTCGTAATATTTTTTTATATTGATTTGATAGTTTAATTACCAGTAACTCATTAATAAATTCATTTCATATTATATAGGTGCTTTTAATCTAATCCAAAATTGTGTATTTTAAATATTCGATGTATCCTTAATCGCAATTCATAATAAATAATATGAGTATAACTTCTACATTAAATGGTTGTAATATAATATATATTTATATTAATCACACCGATAAAAAATAAGGTTTTCTTGTTTTAATTCTTTCTAACAAAATCTACTCGTACCCTTCTGGTTTGCTTGCAGCCACTCTGGGAAGACTCAACAGAGTTGTTCCATATTACTACACTTTTGGAAAGCCTTCAAACAGATTGACCTTCAAATGTGGCTATAGAACCTGGATGATTGCAAAGATTGGAATGTATGCAAAATCTGCCAGAGTTAATTCGTCACTATATATGAATTTGGTTTAATTTAGCCAATTTTCAAGTTTGTCAAAATACCATTTCAAATCTGCCAATCCATTATTGAAGCCCTACTTTAGATTTAATAAAGTACCTCTTCTGTGGGAGCTGCGGTTAATCCCAGGACAACTCCAACGACGTCATTAGAGAATTCAGCCTTGCCTCGATTTATTGCTTTTTCAAGAGGATCATTTGGGAGCAATGAGTTGGGTGTGAGCGAGTTGATGTACTCTAAAATAACCAGGGATTCTTAGATGACTTTGTTTCCTACTAACAATGTAGGGACCTTTTCTAGAGGATTGGCTTTGACGAACCATTCAGGCTTGTTGGCTATATCAATGTCCTTCTGTTCAAAGGGAATCTACAAATAGTTTAAGGCTGATGTGACTCTGAGTACAAAGGGTGAGATATTGTAAGATACTAATGTGAGGCTCATTTATAATTAATAAATTAATTCATAAATCTAGATTATCAACATAAAAATATCGGAGTGGATTATCCAAATTCCTAAAGAGTATTAATATAAAATTGAATTGCTTTTGGTTTAAAATAAATACCAGGATTTTGAGAATTTATGAATTGTATTTGAGGTAAGTCAGATTTTAATGAATACTAAAATAGAGACTATACCTGTGCTTTAGGAGAAATGCAAATTTCATTAAAATGAATAAGCGAATTTGATATGTCTAACAGCTTCTTGTTTGAACCAAGGCTTCTTCTGTTATCAATGTAAGAATCATCACGAAGGTCACAACGTAATTTAGGGAATAGAATTCTTTGACACATTAAAACAATTGGTTTGTTATGATGGTTCATCTAAGTCTTCCAATAATGTGAATTAGGTGTCAGCCAGAATAGTAACTGCCATGTTGACAGCCATTGATGAATTGGAAGCATTGAATTAATACTTCTCTGAGATTCTGGGGTCGATCAGATTACAATTCGAGAAATATTGTCAGATATCAAATGATGTGAATGTGATAAACAACTTTTTAGTTTTCTCTTAGAAGGAAGGGATAGAACCCCAATAATTCAAGGATAAATTTGAAGAGTGTTTGAAGAGACTCTGTCTAAAGTTACAGAAACTGCACATCAAATCTACCGTCACATGTCAATCCAATTCATTGTTTGTACCAGACGAGAGACTATTCTAGGAATACTTGGAACCCCTCATATCAACCTTGAAGGGAATAAGGTTATAGGCTGAATCTAGTTTCACTAAGCCTCTTTATTATAATAAATTAGATTTGACTTTCAAAAACGGATTGATGCCTTAGGTAAATTCCTTTTTTGAACCTATAATATTTGAGACAGATCAACCCAAGGAAGAGGACAAGGTGTTGGAGAGATTGTGGATAGACAAGAATGAAACCATGAGGAAGATGTTGATGATGAAATAACGAACAAAGGAAGAATAAGTGATTGATGATGAACCATACTCATATGGCAATGGAAGGTTGGAAAAAGTGTTTGCTGTAGCTGGATCCAAAGTATGGTTTCTGGATTTCATTTATAGTAAATTCAAACCAACTTCTAAGCATTCAAAAATTGAACCAAAATAAGCATGTATAATATGCAAATGTCATCAGAAATTCGCAAGGATAAACGAGTTCTTGAATTGCAAATATGGGGATCTCTATGGACCCTATCATCTAGAGGCTAGACTGCTGGATAATTTTAAGATGGCCTTTGATAAGAGAACCAATAAGGATCATTTGATCGATCGAGGAGGTCTTTACTTCCATGACCTATGTGTGTATTGGTCATCATTGGTAGAATGTGATGAGAAGAAAGGAACCATAGATTTTGAATCTTTATAAGAAGCAGTCAAAATATCGCAAGAAACCTACTGTTATTTATGTAAGAGGAAAGGTCCTACTCTTAAATGCAATAATGAAAATTGTCAGATTTGGATACATTATTACTGTTGGAAGGAGTTGGAACCCTCTCAATAATACTTGGACACTCAGAAGTTTAGGATGTTATGCTATCAACATGTACCAGCCAAATATCGAAAACCAGCTTGGGCTTCTCAGAATTTACTATTGGATGATTATTAATTGGAGAAGAAGGAAACCAAGGAATTCAGGTAGAGTTAATTTGTTAAATTTACTTATTAAGAATTTGGCTAATCTAGATATATACAGAAATTAGAATAATAGGCAACTAAACAATAATTTGAAGAATGATGATTTATATTTTAATTATAATTATAATTTAATTCAATTTAAAAATTATATTCTATTATATTAAACTAATTTTCAAAGAAATGATTTACTCAATTTAGATTTAATAAAATAGAATCAATTATTATTGGATTGAAAAAATCTAATTATGTTGAACAAAAATTTATAAAAGATTAAATATAATCTATATATCAAAAAATGGTTGATAGTCTGATTTAAAAAATACTTTGTATTTTATAATAAGAATATAATGTTGTATATTTCAAGACTTTATGGCTTACATTTCTACAGATTGTCTAAACATAATAGCTAATTAAGTATACCCATCTGATGCAGATGACTGATTAGTTATTATTTATAAGAAATCTCCAGGCACAGATATCTTCAAATAATTCAATAGTTTCTAGTACACAACTGTTATAAATAATCCCCCTAATATCGAAACTGGAACAACCTAGATTATAGAGTGACTTACCTAACCAAATGCTTAAGCATAGACTGTTTCAAATTTAATCACATAGAATGGAATCAAAAGAGCGACCAAAACAATCAGCACAAGTATTCTCTAAGTCTTTTTCCAAAAGGACATCAACTTAAAATGCTATGTGAATTGATTCTCTAAGTAAATTCCTTTACTTAGTTTGATCCCAAACACAAAACTTAGCATAAACCAAATATACAAACACATACTGAAACAAATATTTTATAGGACTGAAGGACTGTTGATTGAGTATAGAGTTGATTGGTTCTCACACTTCTCAAACACAGCCTTCATCCATAAATTGGCTTCAGATGGAGTAATGAATATATTTTTGTTTAATTCCAGAAATAGAATGGATATACAAGTCCAAATGAACACAATTAAGCCAATCACATTCATTACTTTGATTGAAACTCCCTGCTATCCCACTTATAAACATTCTTTTAGATAATTGGCTATTCGATCATGCAAGTACTACATGTAAATGATGGAGATATATCCCTAATAAACCCAACCCAGTATGATTTGAGCAAATGAATGAACTCCCATGAACACTCTTGCAAATCCAGTCATGAAGCTCCAGAAGGTGATTATAAATATAACTAATAACCTTAAGTATAATGGATACTTGCAGCTATGGCTATTAATGTAATTACTTAGGTTAATCTGTCCAAATTGCAGGGAACATAATGGAGGGCAACAAGAAACACATAGCTGAAGATGTCATGGCATGACCTGAAGGTTTACCAAATTCTTTGTTGCATTCATAAGGTTCAATCTCTTCAACTATGAAGAATGGTCTAGCTTAATGGTATATATTTTTCAGCAGAGAATTAGATGCTACTGAGAATAGAATCATCCCCCCAAATAACAATGCTCCCAACTTATTATCCAAAATGAGGAAGGCAATTCCTGCTATGCTTGGAAGTACATAAAGGGAATACGAGAAAACTAGGAACATTTCTTTCTCACCTTGAAATTAGTGGTGTTGCAAATAAAGTGTCAAAGTGGTGTTCGCTTCCCACATTTTGGAATTGAATACAATGTCAAGTGCTATATATAAAAGCAAAACTAATGTAGCAATAATAAATAGTTTCATAAATTAATTTATATTAAAATTCTTTTTTGGTGTGGAGATGACTATCAATAAAATTAGCATGACTGACAGGGGAAAAATAGAATTTATTAAAATATACAATTGATTTTAGTAATATCTTAGGTGTTAGCAATTATATTTATCATAAAATTAATGAGAAACTTGAATCATATATCCTTGTATACTTTCACCGTTCGAGCTATTCATAGTCAAGTAGCAATCATAGGAGGTGGAACTGCAGGATTGAATGTTTCTGCTCAATTAGTGAGAGATGGCCACTATATACCACAATAGATTCGTGTTTTTGAGCCATACAAGATGCACGCCTATTAAACAGGATGGACCTTGGTTGGTAGACTATGATGATCTAACGAAGGTGCTGGTATGTGTAATGTGGAGAAAACTATGAGGCCTATGGAGAAGGTTCTACCAAAAAATGTATGTCTGAGTGATTGTCCTGTAGTGAGAATCGATCCAGAATAGAATACAATAGTGACTATGGATGGACAGAAATACACATACGATTAATTGATTGTGGCAAGTGGAGTGCAACGTGATTTTGCATCCATCAAAGGTATAAATATAAATTTATCCATTCTTCAGGTGCTTTGGAGTAACTCAACAACCCAGAAGCACCAGTTGGTAGTATTTACTATTACAGATACGCTCAGAAAATAGATAGAATGATCAAAGAATTCGAAGGAGGCAAACTCATATTTTCAGAACCACCTTCAAAATGTGAAGGTATTCCATCCAACATTGTATTCTTAACTCATGAAAGATTATCTGCCAAAAATGTAAAATGTGACTACCATGTGTACAAAGCAAATGATTCTATTTTTGGCATTCCAAAATACTCAGAAATACTAGGAGAATTAGCACACGAGAAAGGATTGCATTGCCATCTCAAAAAAAGATTAGTTGAAGTTCAAGATCATAAAGTAATCTTTGAAGATGTTGAAACTAAACAGCAATATACTTCTGATTATGATTTCTTGCATATCGTGCCACCTTAAGTAATTTTTATCTCGTATCTTACTAAGAAACCAGCTGCATTCATTGCTGAAAGTGGATTAGGTGATTCAGATGGGTATGTCCATGTCCATCCCAACACACTCCAACATGTACGTTATGCCAATGTCTGGGCCTTGGGAGATTGCTCTTCACTTCCAACGTCTAAAACTGCTGCTGCTGTGATGGCCCAAACACCTATTCTTATTAAAAACCTCATTAGAACTTGGAAATTTAAGTAGTCCCCTCTGCCTGAATATCAAGGTATTCATATTATGATACACTCAAGGTTATACCTCCTGTCCAGTCTACACTTCCAATAAGAAAGTATTGCTTGCTGAATTCAAGTACAACAAACAATTAGATGAAACATTCCCAGTCTTTTAATCCTCAGATAGTAAAGTCATGTATTTGCTGAAGAAACATTTCTTCCCATTTGCATATTGGCAATTGATGGTTAGAGGTCTTTGGGGAGGCAGAGATGGAATTAGATTATTCAAAGGAGTTTGAATAGTTCCTCATATCATTTAAATATAATATTAAGTTAAAATAATCACATTTATCTGTGTAACATTCACATTAATTATTACTAATAAAAATTGAGTTCAAAATTAATATTTAATCTTAATATAATTTTTGGATAATAACACTCTCCGCTCTTTTTGGAATTCTATCTTTTGAATATTTATCTACATTTTATTAATAAAAATTAATGAATTGACACAAATTACAGTAACACTAATAATTCTAACATTAGATAGACCTGTTTGGTTTTACGATATAATTTTGCATTTACTCATATCATTTTTCAACTGTGTTAGAACTATAATCTTAATGGAACTTCCTCATCAGAAGGTCGTAAAAATATCACGTTAATCCATGTTTTCAAAATTCTTTCATCCATTGTACTAGGTTGTATATCTGCGCATTACAATTTTTGTATGCATAACAGATATGGCCATTTTGGCTAATCACATTAATCTTACACCCAAACAAATACATATATTATTGTATTTTAGATAAAATTATAATACTCAATATTTTAAAGCTTGATTTAATTGGTTGTAAGTCTCCTTATAAAGCGATTCGAAGTTTACTTATTCCAATATTAACAGCATCGCTATTCCTCTTACATTGTGGGCCAAGAATCCTCCATAACCCCAACTGAAATTCCATTCCTTCATATTAAATTTCAATTTATCCCACAAATTCTATTTTTTTGATGCTTCTTACTAAAACAAAATAGATTTCACCTGCAAACGACGTCTCACACTATCAATCGGATATATTAATGCATATGATCCCAAGTAAGCTAATTATTGATTATAAGGTGTTGTGCCGTCTAAAACATAATTCAAACCCACTATGCCATATGCAAATAACAATGTCTATAAACATCCAACTGTAAATCCTGAATATAGACCCTTGAAAAATCCACTCTCTATTTTGATATTAAATCGAGTCTCTTCGAAACCCACATACATTCTTTTCTAACCTGGAATCTAAATTTCAGTTGCCTATCTCACTCTAATCGTATCAAAAGGGTATGAGAATATAGAGGTAGTAATGCCGCAAAGTGTTGCACAAAGTCCCATTGACAAAAGCTTGAAATTCAATTTATTTATATACATCTTTGTCATAAGTGGCTTATTTGATATTTTGATAGAAAACATATTGTGCATACACCTAAGGTATCCACATGTAAATTGCTGTTAAATTTGATCTGAATAATCCTTTTGGTCCTTCATTTTAAATTGTTTTCTTAAGAAATTAATAAAAATTAGTCATCTTCTCTTTGGAACTCAAAGTAAGAATATCTTAGGTCTGTCTGATGAGTTTATACCTCTCCAATGGAGCTAAAAGTGTTTTTACTATCGATGTGCTCACAAACCCTTGTAGATATTCCTCCATAAATAAAATGAATAATTTTATGAATTTAATTATTTCCCATTAATTTTATCAATAACTATTTTCATCTCTACGAATATAAACTTCATTTAAAAAATTATGCTATTTTAACTATTTTCCGTAATCTTAGAGGAATCATATGTGATGTTAGTTTACAATGTCTAGTTTTCATACTCAGGGTTAAATTTAAATTTATAGTTAGAATAAAATGACGAAATAAATCAATATAAAGGTTTCGAATATGACATTATTTGTTTGAATACTTAAGCCTGGACTTGATGCTGTTCAGTTCATCATTATTTGATAAATCTATAATTGAAGAATAATTAAAAAATTATATACACATAAAATATAAGATACTTTTTTATCATTATAATGTAAGGCTACAATCAAGTTTAGCATCTTCTAAATTTAAAACTTAACAAACTTTAATTCTTATTTTTTGTAGTTGTTATTCAGTTTAAATCATCTGATGAAACTCAATAATTCCTTAATGGATAAGATAAATTGTCAGAGAATCCATTTCAATTGCATTATATACTTATATTGATAATGGATTTTTCAATTTTTTGAAACGTATACTTAAATATAATTATAATTTATGTACAATTATAGAAAGCTCATTAATTCTTAAAAGAAGAGATGATAAAAGATTTTATTAAATCACTTAATATTTTTTTGAATTTATTTTATTTCTTTGTATAGATTTGTGTATATCTCCAAGTTCTCTTGATGTAGTTAATCTATATTTTCGACAATGCTCTATATATTTAGATTAGGATTAGTGTGTCTCAGATTACTCGAGATAGTAGGTTATGCGACTCTTTGTACAATTTTTTTGTCTTTTTCAGACAATAGAAATTTTAATGAGAAAGTATCAGTTTCTTAGAATTGTAATTTGAGTGATTCCATAAATACTCTATCTCTAATTTTCTTTTCTTCATTACGATTAAGAATGAAATGATCAGCCTCATTTAATTCTTTGCCTAGTTTACGTACAATTAAATTGTCTCTAGTCATTTAGATGGCATCCATTAAACGGTTGACATTGCGATCACTCCATAAATCTACTACTCCCATTGATCCATCAATTGCAGCATCTCCAAAAACATCTCTCACTTTTTTGATTAAAGGTTATAAATAGTAATTATTCTTCTTTTCATGTGTTCTGAAACCGAATTTAAGAAAGGTTAATCTTTTATTCTTGGATTGCTTATTGGCCACTCCAAATGTCTGATCTCGTTTCACTTAGATTTCTGTTTTTGGCACATCTTTAACTTTATTGTATTTCAAGAGGCCTCGTAAATGTCCCAGTGCAAAACTCGATTTAACATTCTCCTTAAGAATATCGATATTTGGTAAGAGAGAAGGCTCACTTTTTTATTTTGGTTTGTGCTTTCTTTCTGATTGCGATAATTATTTCATTATGAATATTTAGAAATTAATATAATTATATCGAAATTATTAAGATATTTATATATTTAATATTATAGAACAGAAAGGTAAAGGAGTAAGTGAACTTTAATTAGTAAATTTCCGAAGTTCAAATTGTATTTCTACAAAATGAAAATAGAATCCAAATTAATTGCATTATATTAATAATAATAATGTGGATGTATCTTATAATAGAAATATATCAGGATTGAATTGCTTATTATTTTATCAGAATACTAATTAATGAATTTTAGTAATAAGATTATAAATCAAATGTCTTAATTTTCTTCTTGATCTGCTTAGCTAGTACTTTCTTAATTTTTACCCAAATCATTGGTTTCTTTTTAACTAATTTAATAATTTATCTCATTGCCATTCTCCTGGAGTTCCACCTAACTATTATTTTTGGAGACCACAAATTGCTTTGGATATTCAATTAATTCAATATTATCAATTTTTTGTTCTTCTATGTTTTCAATTTTAATTTCTTGTATATTATTTCCATCATCTTGTACAATCTTCATCTTCTAATCATTCTTCTTCTAATCAGATGCTGGTTATTGTTCTTCTGTTGGCATCTCAATGTCTTCCTGTATTGTATCCTGTTTCTTGGCTCTGCTGTACATCATAAACCGTCTCTCTCTCTAACTAATAAACCCTTGCGATGCTGGTTATTGTTGATCAGTGCTATTTGATCGAGAATTTCTCTGACTCCTCAATTACCTCTATTGAGTAATCCTCTACTGTTCATGCTGTGCCTATTGTTCGAGATGTTTCGCACTCTTCAGATCGATTTTCAACTGCAATGGTGGCATCAACTTCCTGGCTGGATCAAACAACTTATGCAACAGGTAATAAGACATGGTTTTCTTCTCTATCATTTACACCTACATTAGAGACCAAATGCTACTTCTCTAAAGAACTCAAATATTTCTATGTTGGAGGCTCTGGAGTTGGTGTCTAACAGGGCAGAAAGAGAGTTTATCAATTGTCTTTGAAATTGTCTCAATTCACTATAAAGATTACACGCTAGTTTTTTGAGAAGAAAGTCATGGGGGAAATTAGATAATGCAGTCTTTAGTTGAGGTACAAGAGACAAGCCTTGATTGACCAGATTCTCCAATTTGAAACACTCTATCACCAGACTTCTATTGATTTCGGACTCTTACTTCGATTGCAGCATTTACTTTCTGGGATTATTATTTCTATAGGCCTTTATTTCTTGGACATTCAATGCTAACTTCTATAGGTATTGCAGGAACGGAATCTGTATATTATCGAGTAGCCACACCTCATTTGGTATTTGCTTAAAAACAAAGGTTTAAGGCTTGGATATCGGTCTACTTTACTAGCTACATTACTTATTGAAATATGCAAAATTAATCTTTGAGAAGTGTTGGGCAAATTCCTCACTAATGTTCAACACTTAATGGATTGTGATTAACATCTTCATTTTCACTGTATATATTTGCAAATTTCCATCTTAGTAAACCTTGAAGAAATCTGTGATATTTTATTCATCAGTTAGAAATGGAATTAAAATTTCCACATCTTCCTGTTTAAATACAAAATTATCTCTGGACAAACTGGATTTAGTTAAAAAGTTTTGGAACTCCGATTGACTCTGAAATAGTTTCTTGAATTTCTTTATCATATAATTAATAATATAATCACTAAAAAATAAAAAATGTCCGATTTTCTCTTTATTTATAAAACCTTTTCATCGTTATCAACCAGGAGAAAAATTCAAAATTACGAAATTCAAAGCCTTCTGCAAGATCACTAATTACTCCTTCCTTTCTACTCACAATAAGAATATGTAATCCATGATTTAATTATTTATCAATCAATTTTAATATCAATAAAAGTTGCAAATTATTAAGTCCAATACTACGCCGTTTCATAATACTCTGAGCAATTCTCCTAATATTACTAGGCTAATTTTAGGTTGAGCGGATTTTAGGGATTAGGCTTTTAAAAAAGACTCAAAATCTCTAATAGCACTCAAAGGTTTTAAATATTCATTTACTTTTCTTTACACCAATGCTTTCAGACCATTCCTTCTTCAAAGTATTTAGAGCAATACAACCTAATTGATTCACATTCATATGGTATATTTTATTCAATATGCGAAATTTTGGGGGAATGTTTGGATATTCTTTTGGAAATTCCACAAGTATGAAAAATTGCCCTTTTTCATAAGGGCTCAATTTAGGACCCTTTATAACAATCTACCAGCTATTCACATTCAGCATCTTTAAATCTATTATACCATCAGAGATTTCCTTGCACTCATTAAACTCCTTTTGTAATATTTAACTCATCACTTAATTCATAAACAAAATGAATTTATAAATATTGTTTTACCTCAATTAATAAAATTGAATTAGTTATGATTTCAAAACAGGATAAGATTTGAATAAAATTAAGTAGTATGTAAGAATTATATCATTGTAAGAGAATGGTTTTATAGTAGGACTGCATATTTCATTATATATATTATTTATAAAGTAATAAACCCAGCAGCCATATTGGCTGTCTTAGAATTACTTATTTTTTGTTAGACTAGTTGGATAACAAGTTGTTTGACCCAAGTTAAAACTTCTCTGTAGCACATTTATAATTTAAAAATAAATAAATCAAAATTGATAGTAATTCAAATTTAAGCCTCATATACTCATAGTTATGTAATTTGAAGTAATATCTAATAAGAAGATATTCCTGTAATTATCTACTTATAATATTGATTTTTTATATGAAAATACAAAAAATAATAATTACTAATAGCACTGTATATTAAAAGGCACTTCTAGATTTCTTGAAGAATATTTGCCGACTTGGTAATTATGTTTGACTCCCAATAAAATTGACTTGATTTCTCTGAAATAATAAACTACTTATTATATTTTTCTTAAAATAATTTTTATTACTATATATTATAAAATATGATATAATATCTAAACTATTTTGAGACTTATAAATTTTATTTAATTTCAAGATATTATCAAAATATTGGACATGAGTTGTCCAAAGACAGATGCATATTTAGAGTCGAATATTCCCCTAATATGCAGGAGAGAAAACTAATAGGTTTAAGAACTACAATTTATTTTTCTATTTAAAACAATAAAATTCAGCATCACGATTCAATTACTCTTGAATTTATCTTCTTAAACTTAACCATTTTGTCATGTTTTGGATATACTATTGGTAGAGGATCATTATTAAATTAAGAAAAGTCAATCAATGGTAGAATAGATTGATGAGTTTCAACGTATGTGGTCTTTTTATTATATAACATCATTAGACGTTGATTATTTTGAAATTAATATCTTTTTTTGCCAATTTTCTTAAATTCTTTGTTTCTCCCTTATGCCATCAAATCTATTTCTAAGTTTTGCAAACTCATAGTTGGAGGATCAAGAGTAGATAATTTCCGTTTGACATCTCCACTTTAGATTGCCTAAGAGTTTTCATTGTTGAGAGTTCTGCGACGAATTGACATTGTCTTTCTTTGATCATTTAATCGAGCAATAATTTCCTTAATGTTTTATTGCATAAAATTAAATATTTACATAGTAGAATGTTAGTTAATCTTATTAATTGGAATTAGATTTTAAATAGATATACGCAAAAATTGAAAATTAACATAGTAGATGGATGATTTATAAAGATCCTTGAGTATAATTTGCAATCATTTTATTAAATAACAATATATAGTGAAATAATATAAATATCAATCAACGTAAATGAGCTTCAAAGAATTAATTCTTTAGCATATTTACAGGAATTATTTCTTTGTCAAATTTGTAGGCTTTTCTTCAACTACTAATTTTAGATTGAATTGATTCAAATAGAATATTGAAGTTTTAAAATGTTGGACTATATACATACATATTTCTAAGTATAATACCAAATATTTTAAAACCAGTATGCCCCCTTCTTCTGCTCCATCTAATTAATCATGCTCTCTCACATTATTCAATTTTAAGTTCAATTGATTCTATAGCAAAATAATAGAATTTCTTAATAAAGGAAGCATTAATATGTAATGACTATGAACTTCTAATTCACTTTAGTCAAATACGGCTGTAAATTTCTTATCTTTAAGTATTTCATTACATAAAGTCTCATTTCTATGTATGGAGTCCCACTAAATGATAAAATGAAAATACTTACTAATTTTTGGAATGAAGTTCTAAATGTATCATGCATAAAAGTACTTTAATTTATGAATTCATCTTTCTTAGATTAGTCTATAGTAGAATGATTCTGATTTAAAATAGTTATAAGTTGTTTAGATTTGAATATGGCATGTTTAATGATAAAATACAATAATTTTTCTTTCAATCCTCCTTCAATAAAGAAATCAAAGTGATCAACAATTTTAGCTATCCTTAAAATCAATTTAAGTAAATTTAGTATATTGCTGACAGCATCTCCATAATTTATGAATTCTTATCTAATTCCTTTTGAATTCCTACAGCTTTGGACAGAAAGATTCGATCGTTATTGAGAATAGCTAGTTTTTGCTCTTTTTTCTAAATCTCCAATTTGATAATTATTGACTAGCAATTAAATGGACTTTCTTGAAGGTCTAACTTGCAATTAATTAAATATCTCATGTTCTAATAATTGATTGCAATTGTATCTCTTGTTCTCCTCTAATTATAAGCATTTATCAATGAGGTCCTTTGCTGCAGATGAAATATTGATGCTTTTCGAGAAATGAATAGGAGTTGTTGTGATTACTTTGATGAATTCTTGTTCTGTCCCTGCCTACCAAGGTACCTTTCCTAAGAAAATAAAGAAGACGTTACCATTAAGTATTTAATAGAACATCACTCCCAAACTCCAGACATCACTCTTTTCTGAGTATTTGTTTTCAGTCAAAGCTTTAGGAGGCATATATAGAGTTGTGCCCACATTATATTAGACTTTCTCTTTTTTTGAATAAACCATTTTTGAAAAGCCGTAATCTGCAATCTTATAAATGCCTTTGTTTATCAAGATATTTGAAGGTTTTAGGTCTCTGTGAATGACTCCTTTAGAGATTTGGTCTCTGAATCCTTTTAAAATCTGATGAAAGATTAAGATTGCCTCATTCTCAGGGATGCACTCTCTTTTAATGAGCAGATCCGCTAAATCACCTTTATCCAATTAAATTAAGTAATACCCTAATTGCAGTATTCAGTTATGATAAAAGTGAAATTGGTATTTTGAGAGTAGAAATGCATTTTAACAATGTTGATAGAATCTAATACTTATAAAGCAGTGATTTCTTATTGTAATAACTGTTTCTCAATTTCATGTTGTATTTTTGAATGATCACAAACCTTGATTTGAAGCATTTCCATACTTTTATTGCAACGACCTCTTTATTGATATCATTCTGTCCTTTGAAGACTTGACTTCTGTATCCTGATCCAATCAAGTCATTTGGATTATAGCTGTAAATACTCACTTTTATTCTCTATTGATTATTCATAATTTTTATAATTAATTTCTATATTTATAGTTATGATTCAAATTACAAATATAAATGGATATATATAAATACCTATTAAACAATTTCAACTATGAACTAACTGTTTGTTACGAATAAATTGATGTAAATGTATAGGCTACTTAAATTACAATTTGAATTTTCAAAATTGTTCAATTTATTCTATATCTATTTTATCTATTCTTATTAAGAGTTATCCTCTAAAAATGGAAAATTAAACATTACTCGATTTTATAATTTAGAATCTAGTATTTACTTTACTCTCAAATGATTTCAATTGGTATTACAAATTAGATACGTATAAACTTACATTAATCTTTTTCTGATGTTTGTAATTGATTATCAATCAATGTAATGACACAGAATAAATCCTATTTTGAATGAATAAAAGTAGATTCTAATAACTCAAAGCAAAGTCCTGTTGTGAACAAATCGCTATCTTTAAGATTTAATAAAATATTAGAAAATTGAATATTTCCTCTAGATTTTGATTGCAAATAGCATCCCTAATGGAGTTTATAATTGTTAATTAGTATATTTTATAAAATGAAATCTCCTTAGAAAGATTTTGATCCAACAAAAATTGATAGAAAGGTGAGTTCCTTTTGGTAATTTAAAAACATAACAAACTTACCTCCGAACATCGGGTTCGATAAATTCAATGTGTATTCTGAAAAGAAGAAAACGTTCAAAGTTATAGAGATAGCTAAGATGAAGAGCCTAATCTTTAAGAAGAAGAAGAATCAAGTATGAGGGATATTTGATTATAGACTGGATATATGATAGTAGATATAACAGATTGCATCATATCGATAGTCGAAAACAGTCATATTGGCCATGGACTATCCTTTACTAAGTCAAGCTTTAAGTTTCTGATATTTGGGTCTCAAATTCTCGATTGGTTTGAATCACTAAAAAAGTATTGTTATCAAAATGAATTCAGCAATAAGTATGAGTTGTTGAATTTGCTCAACAGAGGATCAACATACAAGGTATCAATTTATAATAATAAATTAGGTATACGATGCAATTAATATCTTCGAATAAACAAATTATACTGTGAAAGTATATGAGAAATAAATATTAACAAAATAATCCGATATTGATGCAATCAAAAAGGAGATTCAAATCTTTAGATTGATGAATCATCCTGGAGTGGTAAATTTGATAGAAGTCTTTGAAAATGAATAAGAATTCCTCATAGTATACGATTCATTTGAAGGTGGCACTCTAACAGATTTGATAAAGAAGTATCAGATACCTGAATAATCGGCTGTTAAGATAATGTTCCGATTGCTCAACTCAATCAGTTACATTCATGAGCAGAATGTTCTACATAGAAATCTAAAACCAGAAAACATCTTAGTGAAGAACCCTTTGGCACCGTACAATGTGTATATCACTGATTTTAGTCTTGCAGATTTCTTTAGGAGAGATGTCAAATATTTATTTACTCGTTGTGGCACTCCCGGTTACGTGGCTCCAGAAATTCTATAGGACAAAAGTTACGATTTCAAGGTTGACGTCTACAGCTTAGGTGTCATCTTCTATACAATGCTATCTGGAGGTATTTCCCCCTTTCCAACCAAAAGTTATGATGAAAGGATTTTTCTCAATTATCATGGTTAAATCGATTTCTCTGTAATTGATACATCACCTGATGCACTTGATCTATTGAAGTAGATGCTAGAAATTAATCCACAGAAACGAATCAATTCATCTTAAGCAATTTGGCATCCTGTGTTCAAAGGATTACATAAACTCAAAATTACTAACTTAGAATCAGAGAGGAGAAACTCTTCCATTAAATTAGCCATCAAATAAAGTCTACCTCCTAAGACAATTGAGAATCTAAAACTAATCCCTTGTCCCATGAATTAATTGCCTGCTGCCTCAAGATAATATCAGAGAAGATAAAAATTTAGAATCACATTCAAAAATACACGCTAGTCGTTAAGTAATGCCTCATCTCCTTTGACATCCCCAGGAAAGAATCTATTTTCAACCCAATCGCAAAGAACACTCTTTTCTAATTTCACTTGAAATATTAAATCACTAATATATGATTATATAAATCTATTGTATTTTAATATTAAATATTAATGTAAATTAATTTCAAAATTTATGTTGAAAAATCTTCAAATTTAATATTTATAGTTATTGACGAGTCTGCACATTTCTTGTACAAGTCTCTCCAAATAATAGAGTACCTAATGAGGAAATTACGACTTATAACAATTCTGATTGATATAGAATTCAGGGTTGCATAGATAGTTGAATTTCTTAACAGGAATAAAGAAAGAAAATGAATAAAGATAGTATCTATGCTTTCAATTTTTTCTTAACATTCTCAGACCCTCTATTCATACTTGGTTAATCACTTAACTATGATTATTGAATTATATACTTGCTATATTTTAGTGATATCACTCTTATTCTTCTCTTGATAAATTTGGATAGATTATAAAACAATATTAGGGTATGATTTAAGTATTTCAATTAAGTGCAAAATGTATATGAATTTCGAAGATTTTAGGTTCTATATTTATGTAAAAAATGAAGCTAAGATCACGTAATTAAAATCTTAAAAATTTTGTGTCTTAATAATTGAATGAAATTTCATAATCTAACCTAGTAATTCGATTAATAATAACACCGAATGGAATCTTAGAAGCAACTAAATTACATGTCTATACTTTTTGAGACAGATTAACCTTTCTGGAAAAAAGTTGACCAAAGTATTAAACTAAATGAATTTACAAAAGAGGAGTTTTTATATTATTCAAAAAGGCATAAGGAATATAAGAGTAAGAATTTTGCTAGGAAGGATGCAATTATACTGAAATTCGGAAAAGGGGAAGTATGTTAATAATTTAAAATAGGATGATATAATGTGTTGTAATGTGAGTAACTTTAGGTTGGAAATTATCAATCATCAGAAATTTGGAGCTGGACTCAAGTTAATCTCTAAATCTAATTGTTTTGAGGTTTTCGGTTCCGTTGAACAATGGCATCAAGACCTTAAAAAATATTGTATTTAGACCAATCTTAAAACCAAATATACAATTGGGAAAAAATTAGGAAATGGGAGCTTTGCAGATGTAATTAGTAATCCTAAACATAAGGTGCATCTTCTCATTCACAAGGAGAGCAAGCAAGAGTTTGCTGTCAAAATATATGACAAGGCCTCTACAAAATTTGATTTAACTTGTGTAAAATAGGAATTAGATATTTTACGATAAATGGATCATCCATACACAAGTCAAATCATAGAAGCATATGAATCATCAAAATACTTATATTTAATCTAAGAGTTTTACAAATATGGGAGTCTTTATGAGTATCTCCTAAGAACTGAAATTCCAGAAGAAGATGCCATTAAAACTACACATAAATTGCTAGAAGCTTTGGTTAGTATTCATTCGAAAGGAGTGCTGCATAGAGACATTAAACCAGAGAACATCTTACTTCGCAAACCCAATCTCGAAGATATCGTAATCTCAGACTTTGGGTTGGCTGTCTATTACAATGAAAATGGGAAGTACAATCATCAAAGAGCTGGTACTCCTGGTAATATTGCTCCAGAAATTCTGAAAGATCAGAATTACGATTATAAAGTTGATGTGTATGGCTTAGGGATTGTGCTCTATTAAATGTTGACTTCTCAGCAATCCCCTTTCTACAATGAAAACTACCAAAAGATGTTGTCTCAAAATCAAGAAGGCTTTATAGATTATTCATAAATGAAATTCTCGTCTCAAACTATCGAACTACTTACTAAAATGCTCGATCCTGATCCCTTGGCAAGATACACAGCAATACAGGCTAAGCTAGATTAAGCATTTAAGAAATATAATCGACAAACCATTATAATAAAGAGAAAGAAAATAGTCTAGGATAAAACTACATCTAGTTTTAGTCCAAGAAGTGATTCCATCATTTTCAGTCCATCCCCAAAGCAAACACCTCCATTAATCGTATCGAGTCCTAAAAATAGTTCTCAATTCAGCAAGAGAATATTAGGTCTCCAATTAAGATCAAAACCTGATGAAAGAAAACAGTTTTTTTCTCCGAATTCTTTTATCAATTGCGGCACTCCCAAAAATTCGAGTAGGCAGTTATATAAAATGTCAACTCACTAAACTAGAAAGAGTATTTATTAAGGGCTTATTTCTTAAAAAGCAGCATTTTGAATTATTTCGAAATCTATTTGACTCTTTGGTTATTATATATATAACAATATTTAATATTTATATATTTCCATGTATTACTTAATAATAATCTTCATTGGAATAGCTTGGTATATTTGGAGAGACAATATCAAGTGTAAACATCCTATAACTGCAAAGGATACAATTTTAATTACAGGAGCATGCATGGGATTGGGCAAAGCACTGGCGATTGAATGCGCAAAAAAAAAGTGCAAATTAATCCTTTTGGATGTAAGATCTGATTTATCCTTGGATTTGCTTCAAGATGTAAGAAGAGAAGGAGGCGAGGCCTAATTTTTTAGATGTGATCTAAGTGACTTATAATCAACAAAGGAATTAATTTCAACAATAAAATAGAAATACAAGGTCACTATTTTGATAAACAATGCTGGAGTTGGAATATTCAAATTATTTGAAGACGAAACAATACAGGATGTGATTAAAACTAACACAATCAATTACCTTGCACCAGCAATGCTCACTTAAGAATTTATTAAAGATAATATCAATCATATTGTTAACATAGGGTCTGCTGCATCGATTGTTTAAGGGATGAAGATAACTGCGTATTCAGCTAGTAAACATGCAATGTGGGGATTTCATAATGCTTTAAGAATGGAATTGAAATACTAGAATAGCAAAGTTCGCACTACACTAGTTTGTCCTTGGGGAATAAAAACTGGGATGGTATATAAGAATCATTATATTTTATAGATACAAGGTTTGAAAACTAAATTGGATTACTTTTTACCTATGATGTCTCCTGAGTATGTTGCATAATGTATCGTATAAGCAATAGAGGCAGGAAGAGAAATTATTTTTATACAATGGTATTAATTCTACATTGCTCACATATCAAGATTAGTATCCAGTAAAATAGTAGATTGGTTTATTTTGTTTGTTTAAGCAAAACATGTGCATGAGTTTAAGGGTAGACATGGATGATTTTGAGTTTTTTATTGATATTTATAATTAATTGAGATTAATTTAATTGATCAACTCAAGATCCAAACAAATAATTAAACAAATAAATTGATGTAGCAAATAATATGGGGAATCTGTTCAAATTATTTTGAAAATATTTTATATAAAAATATGATCTGATCATATATTTATTCAAATATTAAGGGTGCATAAGTTTTTAGCAAATGAAGCATAGTAACACAGGAAATTGGATATATTATGAAATCACAAGATAAAATTGTTACTACAACAACAAAAAATAGAAAATTAAAAGAGATAAAAAATTTAATTAAGGTTAATTTAACACTTAGAATGAATAAAGTTATGAGAAAATGTAGATTGATTATTTTATGATTTTCTTAAACTACTAATTATCATTATTCTATTATAACTGAAAAATTGTCTTATTAGATTAAAAATGGATTTAATTATAAAATCTTCTTAAAAATAAAATCACATTTAATGCAATTTATTTTGAGATTGGGATTTGCACTAGGACTTTTGTTTGAGACACTCTCTTAGACATGCAGAGTAAAGAATTTTAATGATGATAGCTGAAAAATACAGAGTATAATCTATTGACGATTGTGAGCGGTGAGACCTTCCGCTTACCATTAAATGATTACTTCGTTGGAGATGGACTTGAATATTCTATTTTACCTTCGGAAGGGTCCTTTAATCTAAATTAGCCAGAAATGGGATAAGGAACTATAGAAGGAACAATAATTTCATCGACGTCTTCAACCTACAATAATAACCCTTACATCTAAGGAAAGTATTCTTATGCACTTGTGTAATAAGGCAACTCTAATTATACAATCTATAAATCATCACTATCAACATCATCTTATGACGTCGAATTTGCATCAATAACCTCAGGAACATGCTACTCAATTAATTATATGCTTGAAAAAGTTGTATTGACATGTTCAGAATAAGGATCAAATTACCTTCAATATATATTCTATCCTGAAAGCGGTCAATAGAATGCGACTTTTGTTACAGACGATGCAATTAAAATCACTCCTGGATCATATGTGACGACTTAAATATCTGGATAATATATAGTGACATTGATGAATGTTGGGACATTCTAAAATGGCACGTATTCAGTCATATCCACAAACATTTCAGCTTTTCAATATTCGGAGAGTCCGAATGGAGAAAGCTAACTCTTAGGAATGAGCCTTCCCGTCATTCTGAGCAATAATAGCTAATAAATAACTGACTTTTATACAGGGATTTCTGTGAATTAAAATGGAATATGTAATGTTTATAGTCTATATTAGTATTTGTATCTACTTATTACTCTGGATTTATGGCTGTTAATTTGTTAGATATTGAAACAGTCGCTAAGCATTTCAATCCTTTTGGAGTAGGCACTTTGGGTGTAAGTTCCTTTAAATTGGATTACAATAATGATTTATTTTATGTGGCTACATGGAGTAATGAAGGTTTGATAATCTCAGAATTTCATGAGAAAGTTGTAAATGTGGGCCCAGCTGCATATGCTAGACTTATTGGATATTTATAAGCTAATTTCATTGTAAGTACTCAAATTCCCTTAACTTAAATGTTTTCAACTTAAGTTTTCATGAATTCTAGATTCATTATAGTTAGTAATTCCAATGGAATTTCAGTTTATCCAAGCCTTTTGAATTCTATTAATGAGTGGAAATTGCTGTATTACTACAATACAAGTGTATAATCTGCTGCTTTTGACTACTCCAATAATATTTTACTAGCTGTATCAGGTTAAAATGTTACTACCTATTTCTTCACCAATCCAACCCTCACAATCTCAAATTTATCTGTCAATACAGCCATCTAAAATATCACAATAAATGCAAGATTCAACATGTATGAATATCAACGTAATTTTACATGTGCTTCATTGATGTTATACTATAATGTCACTTCGAGTGAATATTAATTATCAATATTCAACACATATCTAGCGAATACTACAAAACAGACATTTGTTCAATGGGGTCCCTTATTTTAACTCTCTTTGGGATCCTTCCAATATGTGAACATTAACAAAATGCTTATTGGGCCTGCTATAATAGCTGGATTACCAACAACCCAATAAGCATACTCTAATTTTGATATTTAGTTTTCAAATGTTCTATCAACTCCTTAAATAAATAGTCCATTCAGAATCAACTAAAATCTAATAGGAGTATAAAAGATTTTGTACTCTCAAACCTTTTATGATGCACCCTTCTTGTAAAATTATCATTATAAGGGATCTTTCACTGATAACTATCTTCAGTTGGTGTAGGTTTCTAATTACGTTGCCCTATTTCAATGCGCAGCCCTAGAGAACTTGCCATGCTTTTTGATTGCTAACATCGCAGTTAAAGACATATTAATTGAGCAATTCGCCTTGAGTTTATCAGCCAACAATTCATTGAATGTAGCGTATATGTGGAACGATTATGATATCAAAGAAAAAACAACAATTGGAAAAACTACAATTTGCATGTTAGATTATCCATATGAAGCATTTTATTAAATATGCAAGACCATTAATTATAGTCTGGATTAAGCAAACTCTTCTAAAGCAATTCATATTGGATTGATTTAAAATAGTTTCTTTATGCTTTATTCATACTCAATAGGAAATGGAAAAGAAGTAACAAAATTCTCAGCTTTAAATATTTTACAACTTTTGACTTCAGATGCCAACTTTACTGCACTTTCATCTTTTCAAACATTTGCATTAAATGACGAAAATATCATTATAACTAGTTTCACATTTAATGTTCTTGCCTATGGAAATATTATCTTTCTGAATACTTTGAATACTACAGAAGCAGATTAGGGTATATATTCTTACTACGTGATGGCTCTCAATTATAATGTAGCCTACTAAAGCTCCTCTACTGATTATACTTACATGTTATTGGAAATCGGGTTTGCTCAAACATATACTAGTACCACCAAAGTAGTTTAAACTTTACAATTAACCATCGAAGGAATGTACCGTTTGATAATAGACAACCTTGGATAATCAAAAATAACGTTTTATCCAAGAACTGAATTATTGCCATTATTTATTCAATAGCGATATTAGGAAGTAATTCCTAACGTCCTTATTTATGGAATTGAATTGTACTTGTATGGAGCACAGAAGATAGTATAAACTGCTGCCTCAGCTCGTTTCCTCTACATTATGGTTTAGCCATCCAATTAAAACACATATTAAATTTATGTGTACAGGAATACCCCTTCCATTTAGAATGCTTTGTATTATGTGATCTCCTCCAGTCCTAATGATCAGATAGTCAATGCCCCCTTTAGTGTAGTCAGTGCAGCATAATATGATGGAATAGTATTTAAATCCAAAGGAAATGACGGATATTCTAACAGTTTTCTTTTGAATGAATATGAGTTTATTGCAGAATGCAATTTGAATAGCAATTTCTTAGAGTAAACAGAATACAGCTACATCATTTTTAAGGCCTCCAGCCTATTGTAAACTTCAATATTACAAGAGTCTGCCTAAGAATATTGGGCAACCTTTCAATCTGTGAATTTAATTTCCTTTGTTAAAGAAGCAAGTACATTAGCGGATGGTTTGACTATTTCGACATAAGGATACACCTAATTGGATCCAAGAGGGTTTTTCATAGGAAATACATAAAGTTTCTAATTAACAAATGGAACTAATCCCTCCTCTTATTATTATTTTGATATAGCCTCTCCAGTGGAAAGACAACCACAAACCTAGAACTTCTAGTTTCCAGTGACGGCAGTCTCAGCCTACATGGCTTTCTAAAATCCTCAAGGAGGTTAATTATAAACCCAATATTGGTTCACTTTTGTTTAAACTAATAGATTAGTCTATGTGACACCTTACATTTATTATAATCCTCCTGAAGATTTTGTTGATAACTCAACAGTGAAAATTGATTACCCTTTGATTTACAAGTTGCCGATATTGGACATATCACCTAATTCCTAGAGATGTCCTTTGATATTTGTCGATGCATACTCAAAAGGAGTGGTCAGTGTCTGTGGAACAAACATAAACAATAAATTTGCCGCTTCCTTCACATTATTTAACACATTGACTCAGGAGGTACAGGAAACCAAGATAATTCTGTTGGAAGAAGCTTTCCCAACTCTCGGAGAGCAAAATAGTACAAACAATGGGACATATTATCTTTCATCAGCTACGTACTTGGATATAGGAGTGGTAGTATTGCAATTCTAATACAATTATAACTTTGGTTCAGCTCCTCCAACCATTATAATATTATCATTTTTATATACTTCTAATTTGATTAGGAGAATAGCCAGTTATCCATCCAATCCAAGTGTCTATTATTACTAGTTCATTTAACCAATTCAAACAATCTTTCAAGTTCCAAATAATACTTAGCCCAATTAATATTCAGTCGCAGTAATCCAAATAACAACTGAATACTTAGGTGGTTTAAATCAAAATTTAACATTGAATCCAGTATCTCAAATAATGTTTAGTTATATATGTGTATCAGAAATTTATGAGGCATGTTTAATGCAATATCCACAAATTCCTAATAGCATAGCGACTTCAAGTGAAGTTGTAATTGCAGTCACTCCAGAAAATAATTTGTCCTCAATATTCAGGACAAATGCAAATGTAAGTTTTTCGTTGTCAAATCCCTTGATTTCATTTACTACAAATGACAACAATTTTCAATTACTTAATCTAATTTCAGGTATTTAGTTGATTACAATTTAGTTTACACAAAAAATTCAGTCCAATAAATAATTTAAGCAGGATCTCCAATTATTCAATATAACGCAGTCTCTGTTATACCTATAATAGCAGTCAGTCAAGGAACAGCTTATGTCTTCAACTTAGAATTTTAGTTTGCCAATGGAGAATATCTCTAAAGCAAATATGCTTGCACACTCCTCGGATTATCTAATAAGAATCGTATTCTGCAAGTTTCAGCAAGCAGTTCAAACACAGGCTAATATCAAGTGGTTGCTATTGTAGCCAACCCTACAGCTACGAACAATAATTAAGTCACCCTCCTTAATTATGGATTTATAAATCAGTAAATTTCTTATTCACTTTTGTAGATAATGCAACATAAATTATACACCCTAAGATAATGACCCAATTATTGTAAGATAAGGAGTGGAAGTCATAGTAACAGCCATAGGATCAACCACTTATATTTCTACTGAATCCAATCCTATTTTGGCTTTGATGCAACCGTCTTCAATAGATAACTAACCTGTTGCAGAAGTAGCCAGAACTTTGATCAGCGATAATCAAGTCATCACCTTGCTTGATACAAGTCCTTATCTTACCATCTAAGCTTACCCTAATTATAATATCAAAGGAGGAGTTACACTTAATTCATCAGGAATAATCTCTAATGTTACTGAACCATTAGTCACTTCTATTTCAGCCATGAGCATTTAGACCTACATAAACAATTAAATGGTTTCAGGAAAGGGAGGATCTACAATCTTTAATTTCACTATTAATAAGATCCCAATAAATCCTTAATTCCCAGACTCTGTTTGGGATAGAAAATTATGGGGTTAATTCATTTGGGGATTCTTCATGTTTGTTATTATCTTTGGAGTCGTTGGATACTTATTTTATAAATCTCAGCCCTTGCCTTATGATAGGTTATGATTAATATCATATATCCATTAAATGAGTATTATGTCAAATGACAATTCTTCATAATTGATCTAATTATTCGTTCATTTTGCAACTCTCTTGTATTTTCTATTACATATCATATTCTTATAGGTAGAGAGAATATCTACCTATAAATCTGCAATAATCAATTTTAAAGAGTATAGATAAAATTGTTTTAAATTATAGATACTATTATTTAGCATAGTCAACACTTATATTATAAAATTTAATATTATTTATAGAGTAAGTAATATCACATAATGTTTTACACAATAGATTGGCACTCATCAATAATTTCGTCAATATCTCTTTCTATTTTCATGATTTCAAATTTGTGAATAGAAAATTTCATTGCCAATTGTATAATATATTTAACATTTAAATTTAACACTTTAAGTTATTAAATTGAATTCTTTCTAATATTATCTTGTTTAGATTTAATTTTTTATTTTTGATCAATCCTGGCTTGTAAAAGTTCTTGATAAATTTATTCATGAAATGATGAATAATAGAGATCAATTTCTCTCTTTATTGATTTTCTATGTTTACTTTTATTCCAATCAGAAACAAGATTTTTGAATTTGATTCTCTTAATCTTTTCATAAGATTCTTATTTTTTTTTTATGATAAAGGATTAAACTAAATTTTCTTATTCTACCACCTTGCCGAATTTATTCATCAATTTTTGTAAATAATTAGTACTATCAAATGTAGTTGTTTAGATTGTCTATTGACTTCTAGTGGCAATCAATTCTCTGATGATCTTATAGTCAGGATCAGCAACTAAGGCTCCTCTTCTTTTCTTGGTTCTTACTATCATTTACTTGATCCTATCAACAGCCTTGATTATCAAACAATTATACCAGTCTAAACTTCTCTCTCAGCAATTTCTTCCTTGCCTACTTCTATCCAACAACAGATAACATTAAATCCTACTGAACACTAATGTAATTTCGACAGTCTATTTTGGATTTGAATTGCTGCCTATTTTCACTTGATCTTCGAACCTGTTGTGTTTACACCACTTTGCCTTCTACAATTATGGCAGTTGATCTTTTAAGTTTGACAGCTTATCCTAGAATTTATTGGATTAATAACTATTACTTTATTTTTACTCTGCATAATCAGATAAAAGGATTTTCCTTCTCTTATACATCTAATATAATTCAAAAAACTGAGTTGAGTTTTACTTGATCAGTGACTCAAAAAATCTGCCTGGACACATCAGAACTACGCTTTTGGTAACAGCATGAGCATGCCATCTTCTTAAGGTCTATTCAATTGATTCTACTTCTCCAAAGACTGTTCCTTCCATTACTCTGATAATACATTCCCCAGATGCATCAGACAATCTGACATCTCCACTTAGCAGGTAATAGAAGTCCGATGAGCTTTGACCTATGTGATAAATGCTAGAATATTCATCGTATTTGGCAAAGGTACAATAAGGCAATACCATTGTGGAGAAGTTGATGTCATTGGCAATGAAGGGAACCATCTTGAGTATTTCTCTATGAGTTGAAGCAATAATGTATTATCTCATACTCCAAGGCAGAGCTTAGACCATCTCGATAGTATTACGTGCCCAGAATGGATTATGAGAGATATTGAATTTAGCGAATTGAATTAGTTCTTTGAGCACATCATCTATCATAAATGTTTGATCTCCCAACTCCTCCAGCAATATTAATTAATCTTCATACTCTTAACGTGGATTAACATTCACCAAGATGCAAGTGATATCACCAATAGTAAATGAGTAGAATCCAACTCCGATGAGCATCCAAATGATTTGGAGAAAGAACTCAAATGATGTATGAGCAGCAACATCTCCATATCCAATCACTGTCACTGTTTATATGGCCCAATAGAAACAAATCAAATACTGTTTTCCTACATTCAAATCATATGCATTCTCTCTGACAACCCAAGTTTCCTAATTAAATTCATCCATTCTGGCACACCAAAACCATAAACATGCAAAAATGTGAGTCAAGATTATCATGTCTATAAATATGGTTACAACTCTTCTGATCCTCAGATCTATGTTGTAATCTTCTCTATAGGATAAATCTTCATTCAAGATGATTTCCTTCTTTTTAATGATATCATTAGCTGTGTGGTAATTTTCACGTCTTTCGTACATGAAATACTTGGCTATTCTAAATAATCTCATCAACCCAAAGAGTTAAGTGCTCTCGAAATCTTCGAATGGGATTATCGATATTAAGTCTATTACAAACCATCTTTTCAGGTAATAGGGAATTATGGCATCAAAAGTGTGTAAAAGAATGTTATGCTCATCTATGTGACAACTTATGCAATTAAAGAGGATGTCTATTGCAAATATACCAGACAGTATTTGAGTCACTATTGTTCCGACTCCCTTAATATTTTTAGCTACAATACTTGGAATGCCAACTCAAATGGCAGGATTATTGAGGCCACGCAATGCAACCCCTTCATTAACACTATCCATATGATATACATCTTATCATCTGGGTACAAAGGGAAAAAGTTGCGATGCCGATATTTGTACTCCATGTGTTGCGACTTCAATTGTTCAGCATATTACCGAAGTTCCTTCACAAAATTCATTGCATGGATCAATTTTCTACTTATTTGACGAAATTCACATTTTGCATTTCTCCTCATTTGCTACGAATGACTAACAAAACTTAACTTCAAATGAGAGTCTGTTCTTGACAATGTGATTCTCGATTCAACTGAAGGTGGATTATAAAGTGGCAATCTATTCTTTACATTTATCTAATACAAATATCGAGAAGTCTTAGCTATATGAAGCCTCTTCACCTAGGTTGATCCGCTTTTATGGGCACTTCCAGACGTAACCTCATTAATAGGAGAATCATCGCCACTTATCGGGTATATTTACATTTCTAAATGTTTTGATTATTTATTATTATTACAATTCTGAACAAAAATTATCATCTTTTACTTTCTTAATTGCTTTAATCTGTAATTCCATCTACTTAGTCCATACAAATTTATCCATCCCCGTAAACCTAGATCAGGATTCATCATTAATTTAAACATCCTATTATTTCATCATTGACAATTTAACATATATTAAATTTTGCTGTTCCTTCGTTCAGATATTCGGTTTAATCAAATTTGTTTAGAATTTAGAGAATAATAGATTTATATCATTTAACTGTAATTTTAAGTTGCAAAATAAAAGTATTAGACTAGTATAAATTTTTGATTAATCTTTTTATAAAATATTAAAATGATAGAATCTTATATTCAGTACTTTAATCTATGAAAAAGAGGAATCTTAAATATAAAATATTCAAAAAATTATAAATTTAACTCATTATAGTTTAGATATTTATAAACAATACAGGGATTTCATTCTTCATTGACTTCTGCTTGCTATTCTTAAGATTCAATTCTAGCTTTTAATTTTTGATCTCCCTTTCTAAGCTTCTTTCTTTTCTTTAAGGCCAGAGTGCTGAGATCTTGTTGTTAAACGAAAACCTTTCCTCTTTTGTCTCCTACTTCATCATAAACAATGTTTTTTTCCTAAAATGATTAATAAATTAATTACATGTGGTTTAGCTTTTGGTTTAGGTTAACGACAGGCTTTCTTAAATAATTCATCATCTGCCCACTTTGTTCTTCTTATATCAAAGACACTTCTAGGTCCAATTTCTTGGATTTTGATTCCATCTTCATGAGTCTATTTTTATAAAACTGTTATTGCTAAAGTAGAGTCATCTGCTGCAGTGATGCTTATGATTAAATGGATCTCTTATGACTTTATGTCTTAGATGGGTACATTTTCAAAAAAGAAATCAGTCAAAAGATTATGCAATTTCATATGATTTGGATTAAATCCGAATACTTCACCATTAAAAACTATCAAAGGTCTTGCATGCATAGGAATTTCAACAGAAGTAGCAAATTCTTCTTGACTTTTGAATTCTTTGAGATGTAATTCAACCATATCTAATAATTTTTTATCGAATGTTCTTCCAATAATAAGATTATCTGGTCTTTTCTTTGAATTTGACACAAAGCAGAACATTGAACATTAGCTTCTTTCACAAAATGTTTCTAATTGTTTGGCATCTTCAAATGGTTAGATTTCATGATTCTTGTTGTAGGTTGTACTAAAATCTCTTTTTATCATATGCCATTCATGCGCCAATTATCTTACACTAAGAGAAGTCTTAGGACCTCTTATGAACAGAGTTTGCTTTGGACCTTCAACTAATTTAGGTTCACGAGACTCTAGAATTCTTTTGCCTTTATGAGTCTTAGCTCCTCTAGGTGTTGTTTCTTCTTGATCAGACATTATAATTTTAATTTAAATTAAAGAATTTTTGTATATTCAATAAATAAATTTATTTATATATCAGAAATTTACTATTTGATTAAAATGTCAATAATCACTCTCTTCACTTTCCACTTCATCATCTTCATGTTCTGATTTGATATCATTATCTTCCAATGCCATCAAATTTCTCTCTCGTTCTCTATTAATATAGATAATTAAATGTACTCTTATTTCCTTTCCTCCTCCAATAGTTTCCTTTATCTTGCCTTGATCTCTTATTAGATTCTTAATTGTTTCAATTGTTCCTTCTAAATATCTTTCTAGGTCTGGGGTTCTAATCTTGGCTATTTGAATTTGCTTAAAGTAGGAGGCTTTCTACTTTTAAGCTTTTTGATGTGATTACTCATTCTGAGTTTGAATTCATCCTCTTTATTTGTATGTAAATCTTTATGCTAGATGTTATGATAGAATGAATACTTTTTTCACCAAGAATGATGTAAGAATGTCTGTAAATTCAAACAGCAACAATTCATATTTAATAATGGATGTAGCCTTATCTAGAGTCTTTTTTTGATCTTTTTCAGCTGTCTGATCTTACTACTTCTTTCTACGTTTATTACCATCTTCTCTGACTGTTTAGTTAACAGATGATTAATCAATTTATGAAATTGATTGTTAGGTTATTTGACCTTCATCAGTATCAAAGTTTTTATCTACATAACTTATTAGAATGAGTTTGTCTTATTCTGAAGCATTGAGTAGCTTATAGATTTACTCTAAATTAATAGTTCTGTCAGTGAATCCAAATTGAGTCTCTCTATTCTCGATTGACCATACATCAAATATAGGTTTGACTTCATCAATGAAATCTCCAATTATTATTTTAGGATGAGTAGACTTTTTAGTATCATCTAAGGATTAATTTTACTTGCCCTTCTTTCTTTCAAAATATGGAGTCAATTTACTGATGATTACTCTCTCAATAGCTCTATGTAAATCAACCAGATTGCCATATTTCAAGTATGATAATCTCACAATTAATTCAATAAAATGTCTAAATAGAATACACCTTCTTGGATCGTGTATATCTTCAACTTTCTTCTTAAATGTTACATCTTTAAGTTAGAAATCTTGATAATTGATTTTTTCAGTTGATATGCAATCAAAAGCCATTTATTAATGAAATAAATCATTAAGTTCTTACAAGTTGATGTTACTACCTTATCTACTAAGAACATCAATTTCAACATTGAGTTCTAGTCTATCATATTTTAATCTATAATTATTCTTGGATCCTTATAAGAAATTTCTATTCAACTCAGCCAGAGAATAGTTTTGATTCAATAATTTAGCCTAAATAATACAAATATTAAAGTACATCTCTTGCAATTTTCCAGAAGCCTTCTAAACTCAAAGAGAAGGTATCTTCATAAAGCATACTTTCAAATTTATTGGCGAAGAATTTATAATGTGTTTTAAGTGTGTAATTGTGTCTCAATAACATAGTTTGAACATTTTGATCAATTAATTAAGAGTCTAATTGCAATCCTTTATATAAATCTGAGAAATCAATCATATAGGAATAAGGATTAGTTTCTATTGTTTTATTTAGATTAGTTTAAGTTTGATTTGGATTATTGATACCTGCCAATTTTTCAGGTCTCTTTGTGGTATTGCCTAATTTATTCTTATCTTTATCTTTATCTTTATTATCCTTATCTTTATTATCTTTATTATCCTTATTATCTTTACTATCCTTTTTTTTGTCCTTGTTATCCCCTCCTTCTTTGGGATTCTCGTGTTATAAGATTACTTCACCACCTTGAGGAGCAATTTCTCTTGGTAAGATACCAGTTCTAGATTCATTTTCAGTTGTTGCATAAACCTTAACTAATCTGTCTTATTTGAATTCTCCAAGAATGAAACCACCTGTATCTGTTATGAATAGAGCAACTCCATATTTCAGATTATTCCTCCAACTACCCATATACTTGGCTCCATTCGCATAGTAAAAGACTCCAACTCCACTCCTTTCTCCATTTTCCCATTCTCCTTCATATCTATTCCTTAAATATTTGGAACCTTCTCCTTTAGGTTCAATCCATAGATGAACTCCCCAACCATTTTGAACATTGTCCTTCCATTCTCCATAATACTTCTCATTTGAATTCAACCAAAACATCACTCCGTATCCTTCTTTCTTGTCCATCAAGAAATCACCATCATAGTAGTTGCCAGAGGGGTAACTCATTTTGCCCTTCCCAGATTTATTGCCTTGATAGAATTGCCCTTCAAATGTGGCACTAAATTTAAAATGTGACAATTATACCCACTTTTGAATGTAATTTTACCATAACCATGTCTTAATCCATTCTCCCATTAGCCTTCATATATGGCTGATTTGTCTGCTGTAACAAACTTGCCTTATCCATGTCTAAGTCCATTCACAACAGTGCCAGTATAGGTAGAACCTTCTGGCCAATAATATGTTCCTTATCCTTCAATCTTGTTATAGGTGAATTCACCCTTATAGATTACTCCAGATGCCCAAGTAAATGTGCCCTCACCTAGGTTATAGTAAATTACTAGAACCATGCAACATCCCATTGTGAAACTCTCCTTCGTACTTATTTCCATTTTTGAATGTAACTTCTCCCTTCCCATGTAATGCTTTGCCATAAACTTAATCAGGCTGATCCAAGATGGCCAAATCAGCATCCCACTTATCATAAATGATCTTGGCTAAATCCAAAGGGATTATCAGATTTTTTGGATCCTCTTTGAAATTCATTTTATATTATAAATATTAATTTGTGTACTTCTCTAATATACATATAAATATTAATATTAATCAAATATTGCTAATACCACGAACAATCAATTCAATCTAGTCTCAAATCTACTAGTTCAAAACCTAAATAATATAATTTAATATTGAAGTATAGCCACGTACTTCTAAAGTCGATTGATAAAGATTATTATCAATTAGCACTAAATAATAATGTTATTGATATATCATTGAATACTTTGAGTGCAATCAGAAACAGATAGTTGATAAGTTTGAGAAGGATGGTAACTGGATTTATAAAAATATATTGGATTTTTAATTTGACTCCAGGTAAATCAGATCTCTGGGTTAAATTCTTTTAATCAGTAAGTTATGGATGCTTACATAAAATTAAAAATATAAACATTCTTTCCTTACTCTAAAATTGAATCAAAGCTTTACTTTATTTTAGATTGTATTGTTTAATATGGATATGCAGTTTCTACATAAAATTAACGTGAATATCTTGTTAATCAATTGAATTAGAGATACACGATTGTGATCATATCAAAGAGTGCAAAAACCATAAATGGACTGTTTGACAGAGATGAAGAGAGATCCAAAATAGAATCTAACAAGTTTTCAAAAATAAATTGGCTAAGGAAGGAAGGTAATGATAAATCAATGAAGATAATTAGGCTTAAGTGAGAGATTGAATATTTTAGAATTTATTGTTCTGAATTTTAGACTTAAATTTAATAGAATTAGTGATATTTATAGTAAATATTTCTTACTAGATATTCTAAATCTTAATAATAATAAAATAATAAATCTAGTATACATGTTTGAATGTCCTATATGTTTCGCGACTTATGATAACAAATTAGCCTTTACATTTCCTTCCTGTTTCCATACGTTCTGCAAGAATTGCTTAAAATCAACTTTTGAGAGTAGGATAACGGAACAAAATGTGACATTGGATATCTTTAAATGCCCAGGATGTGAAAAGATGTTCGATTAATCTTTGATTTAGCAATTTGTTTCAGAATAAATATTCAAGAAATACTGTGAATTGAGTATAGAGATGAATTAGATCTATGGATTGGAGGAGGACGAGATATTAGCAAATTGTTTAAACGAGGCTTGTAGAGAGAAGTATATCATTTGGAAGAATGCAGGTAAAATACAATTGGCATTAATTTAGAATACTAAAAATGTGTAAAATGCAAAATGGAATATTGCCGGTTGTGTTTCTTGCCATAACATAAGACTGAGCGTACTTGTGAAGAATAAAAATTGCTATTTTAGGACAAAGTTTATAAAGATTTAAAGGTTCTTCTGAAAGCATGCAGATGTCCTAAATGTAGTATTATGGTGGAGAAGACAGCAGGTTGTAATTTTATGACCTGCAAATGTGGTACATTCTTTTGCAATCTCTGTGATATTTAACTAGAGAAAGCAGTAATAATTTATTATTAATAAATAAGGATCATAATTCTCATTTTGAGGGGAATAGTCCATTTCAAAATAAATGTAAAATAAAAGTGAATGGATAGTGGGTCACAAGACCAGCAGTGCAATAAGTTCAATAGATTTAATAGAAGTAAGTAATTTAACCAGTTGCAAATCTAATCAATAAAATCCCTTGTCCTAATTGCAATTCGACAGATCCCAAGATTACTACTCTCCAACTATATGATAGAATTGCTCATTGTAACAGCGTGAAATGTTAAAGTAGGGCATATTGTATTGCATGTAAAAAGATGATTCCTCAATAAGAATTGTTAAATCACTTCACCAACACATTAGATTGCAGATTTAAATGATCTGTTTAATAATTATATTTTCAAACAATCGAATAATTATCACTCAATAGATTATTTAATTATATAATGTTTAATATAGTAGGAGAACTTTGGAAGGCATAATAATACGCAATGTATGAATGCTGTTTTGAGGTTCCATAGACATTCTACATGCAAGGTAGCAAAATATCTCACTATTTCACCAGTTCACAATGTTCTGGTAAAATATTGAAGAAACGAAAAGAGAATGTGACTCTAAGGAGTATATTAGACACTTTCAACTCTAAAGAAAAGTATGTGTGTTCCTTTTAGCGACTACTGAACAAGAAAGACGTCCAATTTAAATACTTAACACGTAATGAACTTGAAGCACTCATATCTGACATCTCTAATTTCTCAGAACTATATTAAGATGTTATAATCTAATAGATATTCTCAAGCGAAAACTTTATTACATATTCTCGATAAGGTCATGTCACTTAAATTCAATAAAGGATACCCTTATCCTTAGAACCTTTAATAACTTTGAAAGACAGCTAATATGCTTGTGAAAAAGTTATATTTGAAACAAGAGTTAATAATGTAGGAATCACTGTTGAAAAATTAATCAGTCTAATTGAGGGTTAAAAAGTGAATGAAATTGAATTTTATATGAAATATATAGGAGATAAATTGATTGTTATGTGGAACACCAATCTTTAAAGTAAGAGCATAAAAAGAACTCTAAATTTCATTAATTCCTTGAACTACTTACACAATCAAGAATATTTCGAATAGTTTTAACCAAAAAAGTAAGTCACAGATGATATAACTATGATTTAATGTTTTGGGTGCAGAAAATTAACCAAAATTAATGATACTTTCGAAGTCTTGAAGAATAGAATATGGAAGATAAGAATGCATAGAAATCTGCATCATTTGAATGATTAGAAATTACATCTAGATGTAACAGGGAGAATTGTACCAAGATTTGATGAGTTTCAATTTGTGAGAGTATGTGGATTATGTTATAATAGTTTCATTGAAACTATCTCAAATAATAATACAAAAGTCGAAAATACTCTAAGGAGATTACCACAAAAATAAAAAGAACTACAATAAAAAATGATGCCCAGTGGTCCTAGAAGGAAATTGTTTAGATTTCATGATAATTAAACATATTTGGGAAGTCGTACAAATAGCGCTCAGATAAAGGATAGGAGAATGACAGCATAAATAATGAATTCGACATTTGATGAGAACTATGATAGCATCTAGAATTAAAGAATGGAAATAGATGATGAATTTGATTAGTTGTTAGATGAAGTAAAAAACGACATCCGAAGTTCTTATCAATCAAATAAAGTGATGAATAATAAATCTAGAATTTAGAGTTCTTAAAACAATCATAAATTTAAATTATATTACTAATGAACATATATATATATATAAAGAATCAATCGCAAACTAATTTAAGTATTTCTAATGAATTTACGTCCAATTGTTTTTCATTCTAAAAATGTTTAGATAATAAAATACCAACTAATTGATCACCCTGATATATTTAGATACAAATTTCACTGCTTATTAGATTTTCTGTTTTGATGTATCGCGAGTCTTAAGAAAATCTTCAAATTACTCTTCTTATAGATCTTTAGTAAAAAGTACAGATACAATTGAAAAGGATAGATCCTCCAAAGAATAGCTTAAATAATGATGGTCCAGAACAATAGAATTAACAATTTAATTTATGGTTTTGGTTTTCTGATCTTATTAGGCTTGTAAATTGGGAAAAGCAATATAAAATCTGTAAATAATTTCATGGATAATATCTTGTAAGGTTAGAGGATTAGTGTGCCAATCTAATACTTTAAGAATGAGTCTCTCATATTATATGAGTTATTGTTTGGTCATATTGAGTGATGACTATGATAAGAGTGAATTGATATTGGGAGTTTCAGCATTCATTTTAGTAGCTACAAAGATCATAGCCAAGGAAAGAAATCTTAATTGGGTTTAGTTGGTTATGCTTTTACTTTAAAGTCTGCTAAGGAACAGGTCATAAAGATATATTGCTTTATGAGAGTAAGAGTTATTCAAATTCTGACAATTATCTTATATTCGATTTAAGATAATGGCCCTTGTTTTATAGTTATATTCTTTCTCATTGTATTCTTATAAGTAAAGAGGATTGATATTGTAGAATTCTTTCTATATTGGGATTGGAGAGGATTTAGTCTAAAATGTGATGGGTGCTGATTCAGTATTTTGTATGCTTTCATAGCAATATAAATCGTCTTCATAGGTGTGGATAGTGCTTTCGGCAATGACTTTTACTTTCTAATACAATTTTTAAGAATTAATACCTTAATAATTTATGGAGATTGTAATAAATAGTCAAATTGAGTGAAATCCTAAGTCGTAGTTTAAGTATTGACACATCTTTTGAGAGTACTAGATTTATTAGATGAGGCAAAATAATCTATGGATTAATTGCAATCTCTTACTTGTTGACCCTTCATAATTAAGTCCTAGCATCAGTTTAAATCTTTTATTGTCCATCTTCATTAATTATTTTATGGCAAGAAATCCTTTTAATAATTGCCTTTTTTATTTAAGACTAAGCGCAATTTTAAGATTTTCGTGTTTAATTTGTATATTGGAACCAGAAAAGTAATTTATAATTTTTTAATAATTATATTGTCAATCTACAAATTTCTGTTCTTTCTTGTTTTTACTATTAAAAAAGCAGGACTATTACTAAATTCAAGGTCTTTATTATGAAGTAAAAGACAATTAGTTCAAATCCAAAGAATTAAATGAATAATCGTCAAAATAGGTAAGTTTGCTATCAAAATTTTATTCCAAAACTAATTTCCAATGCCTAACATCTCTATATATCATGATCTCAGCATTCTCATCACCTTCTCAAACAATCAACGTTAATCCCCACGATAAAATAAAAAAATAACATACTAATTTTTTAAAAGATGGAGATACATTTAAGATAATCAAATAGCTATTTAAAATGGATCGAATATTTATAGAACCATCAGCCCTCCAAAGCTCACTTAACTCGAGATAAGCAAATTCTAGAATTTTAGAAATAAAACTATAATTAATTATTCAGCAATATGGGTCTATGCAATTATCATTCAATCTAATAATTTCAATAACATATGCTACAATACTTTAACTCTTCAAATATTAATAATAAAATTTTTCATTAAATTAAAAAACAGAATATACCGCATTCTTTCATAATTTCCATTAAATTCTTCCTTTATTTCTCTATTATTTACGTTTCATCATATAGGTAAATAACATACTCATTATTATATTAATATATATAATTCATTAAAAGAATTAACTCAATAATCCACCAATACCTTAAGACTATTATTCCTTCTCTTTAAGTCCAAAGTATTTCACTCCTACTTTATAATATAACTAAATTTATCATAGTATGATATACATCTTAGAAGATTGGATCTGCATCAACAACAACTCTAAACTTATTAAAAACCAAGTCATATGCTTCCCTGCTTTAAATTCTTATTGATTTCACTAAAAGATGAATAAATAGTGCTTCTTAAGTGACTGTGGTAGGAATCAGTTCATTCAATATCTTAACACTTTCATTGTATAATCCCTAACCAAGTTTACTAATTTATTTGCTCTACAATTTTACATTAATAAATATCTGATTAAGTTATATTGTCTTTCTTACTCTGCCAATTGCTAATTCCATTTGACTAACATCTAAATTTCTGTATTGACATCAGATAGTTATATTAGGTATCTCCATGCTAAATGGAATTTATTATGATTGATTAGATCCACACCCACTTATTGGCAAATTTAATCTGTATATTTTGGATATTTCTTAAGCACTTTATTTATGAATTGAACTTTCAATTTACTGAATTGAGCTATAGAATAGATTGACATGATCTCAGCTTCGAAATTAATGGATCAATCTTACCAATACTTTGGGAATCCAATTCATCTGATATTTTGATTACTTCTGTTGCTAAATTAAAGCCTGAATTATCTTAATTGTTCTTTACTAAAACTTTGCTTGCTTATAGATAAAGAGTAATAGCTCCATCCTTATTTTGTTAATTGATGAATCTGGATCCAAAAGTTAGTATTTTTTGTTCATATTCATAGTATTTCTATTCCTTTATTAATTATTCTTATTTGAGCAGGATCTAAAGTATTTATCAAAAGTTACTTGCTATACTTTATCAGAATTCTATGTTTCGACGTTCATAAAAATTAATATATTTATTTAATTANAAGATAATCAAATAGCTATTTAAAATGGATCGAATATTTATAGAACCATCAGCCCTCCAAAGCTCACTTAACTCGAGATAAGCAAATTCTAGAATTTTAGAAATAAAACTATAATTAATTATTCAGCAATATGGGTCTATGCAATTATCATTCAATCTAATAATTTCAATAACATATGCTACAATACTTTAACTCTTCAAATATTAATAATAAAATTTTTCATTAAATTAAAAAACAGAATATACCGCATTCTTTCATAATTTCCATTAAATTCTTCCTTTATTTCTCTATTATTTACGTTTCATCATATAGGTAAATAACATACTCATTATTATATTAATATATATAATTCATTAAAAGAATTAACTCAATAATCCACCAATACCTTAAGACTATTATTCCTTCTCTTTAAGTCCAAAGTATTTCACTCCTACTTTATAATATAACTAAATTTATCATAGTATGATATACATCTTAGAAGATTGGATCTGCATCAACAACAACTCTAAACTTATTAAAAACCAAGTCATATGCTTCCCTGCTTTAAATTCTTATTGATTTCACTAAAAGATGAATAAATAGTGCTTCTTAAGTGACTGTGGTAGGAATCAGTTCATTCAATATCTTAACACTTTCATTGTATAATCCCTAACCAAGTTTACTAATTTATTTGCTCTACAATTTTACATTAATAAATATCTGATTAAGTTATATTGTCTTTCTTACTCTGCCAATTGCTAATTCCATTTGACTAACATCTAAATTTCTGTATTGACATCAGATAGTTATATTAGGTATCTCCATGCTAAATGGAATTTATTATGATTGATTAGATCCACACCCACTTATTGGCAAATTTAATCTGTATATTTTGGATATTTCTTAAGCACTTTATTTATGAATTGAACTTTCAATTTACTGAATTGAGCTATAGAATAGATTGACATGATCTCAGCTTCGAAATTAATGGATCAATCTTACCAATACTTTGGGAATCCAATTCATCTGATATTTTGATTACTTCTGTTGCTAAATTAAAGCCTGAATTATCTTAATTGTTCTTTACTAAAACTTTGCTTGCTTATAGATAAAGAGTAATAGCTCCATCCTTATTTTGTTAATTGATGAATCTGGATCCAAAAGTTAGTATTTTTTGTTCATATTCATAGTATTTCTATTCCTTTATTAATTATTCTTATTTGAGCAGGATCTAAAGTATTTATCAAAAGTTACTTGCTATACTTTATCAGAATTCTATGTTTCGACGTTCATAAAAATTAATATATTTATTTAATTATAATTCAATTAATTTTGTTAGATTCTTCTTTGACTTATACTTGTGTAATATTTTTATAGTTCTAAAATAATTTAGATTCTATTTTACTTAGATCATCATCATTAATTAAAAATTCACCATTTTCTATTAAGCCAATTCTCTTTGACAATATGCCAAAGCAATTTAAGTGTTATCAAGATTAGGTGAGCTCATTACTGGAATCATTATTTATTGATAAGTTTAAGGGGAAGGTTTCCTTTCTGGAGAAGTGGTTTTTATTTGTTAAGGTTATTCGAGATTATACATCGATTAAATCTTCCTACTTTGATTGTGATCTCCCAAATCCTATTTACTCTTATTTCGATCTCTTGTCTTTTTCTTGCCTACACGTCCTTCTTTTCGATAAGTTTGCAAAATCGCTTTTGCTGTCGAGAAATTTATTCCAAATTCTTATGCTGCCTCTTTTATTGTAGATTATTTAGATAGTATCCGACATAATAATTGAACACGAACAGATTAATTAATAATTGCATATTTTTTGTTGTCTCTATTTCTTAATTCTTCTTTATTCTCTTAATGTCTTATTTATAACTGATTAAAATACCCTGAATCTGGTGTGAAACTGTTTATACTCTCTTCTTCTAATCGAATCATTGATTTTTTAATGAGATAAATTTATATATAAAATTATAAAGATTCTATTTAAAACACTAAATCAATTTTAATATTTTAAGTCATCATAATAATATTTGATTTTTATATATATTTAAATTACTATATTTCATAATTAATTAAAGGATTTTCATTTTAATTTTTTTATGATTTTGACTAACCTTGAATTCAGACTTATAATTATCAATAATTATTTGACTGTCATCAATTAGACTCTATTATTTTTTCTTTTGGAAATATCAATGGCAAATGAGTTTCATAAATTAATAGAATTATTAATAAATTCATTTATAAGTTGTAATTTAAGATCAATCAATTATATAATTCAACAGCAAATAATTGTATATAAATAAAATCTAAAATCAAAATAATTTCTATTTGTCTTAATCAGATCCCATAAAATTATTAGTTAATTCTCTTTTTGCTTTCTGACTTAATACTTCATGCAAATTTTGTACTTAACTGACCTAAAATTCAATCAATTTTCTTTTAAATTAGTTTTCTTACAAAAATCTATCAAATCCTTCATTAGTATCCATTTCCATTTCTTGGTTTTTATATCTACATCTGGCTGTATCAAAATATGTATTCAACTCTCTTCCCATTAAGTTTATTCTTTTTTTAAGTATTTAATTTGATATTTTGTGTTCATCCTCAAACAATTCACATTTATCCATAATAGTCTTAATTTTATAACTAAAATCAGTGTTTGGAACATTAATTGGTGATTTGCTGTCACTAAAAGTACCAATTGATGTTGTCAAATAACTTGGTTTGAGTTCTTAATGTATAGAAATTTAGGGTGACATTGGGACAGTGGTAGGCTATGAAATAAATATATTATTAGAAGGTGTAAATTATTAAGAAAGGGTAACCTTGTGTTTGGATTCAGGAGTTTTATTCTTAGCCTGAAAGAAATGCTTTGTAAGATTATGCTTTGAAGAACGATGGGATTTAACTTTAAAAATTTCAGCAAACATCTTATCCTAAATTTCTTTTTGTCTCTTTATTTTACACATATTAATTTAGCCTTATTTCTTAAATTCTGGTTCAAATTAATCATATCTGGTTTCCTTGTAAATATTTACAAGATTTTAATTGTATTATTCTTCCAATTTCATCAATTATTCCAATTCTTCTTACTTTATTCTCTTTAAAACTAGATCCTTCAATATTTGCTCTTAATTATCTAATTTTAATTCTTTCTTCTCAACATCCACACTTAGTAGTTTCCCTACATCAATCTCTGGATGATTCCTGCAAATCTCTGTCAGAAAATATTTCACTTATTCTTCATCTTCCAATTCCACATGATTCAACTCATTTAATTAGTATGACTTCTTGGATTGCAATTTTATTAAGTTGGCTTTCAAATTGGCTAGTTTGTATTCCTAATACAATGGACTAATTTAATGCTATCTAAGTAATTCATCATTTAGATAGGAAGCTAATCTAACCTCAGGTTTAACTGGTGGAGATCTAAATTTGTAGCGAAACTTTTTTTCTGAATCATCTTTTTAAACAGACATAGATTTGCGCTTTAAAGAAGCCTTTCTTTTTATTTTATGCCCCTCAGTATTCTTGTCTTTTGGGATTTTTATTTTTAGGTTCATAATTCGCTTAGCTGATATATCGTTGCTGCCACTTTAAACTAATAAATTCATACAATACATCTTAGATCTGCTAATTTTTTGTTTATGAAAAGAACAAAATTTTAATCAGTGTAATCATCATAATATACAGGCTTTTATCTAATTGGGAACTATTAGATAGTTTTCTTAACCAAAAATCCTTAAAAACTCATTTATTAATTAAATAAAATTAAATTAAAAATTTTGGCAACTTTACCATAAAATATTAAATCAATCAATATTTATTAAAAGCCACTTTAATCTTATAATGGATGGTAAAGACTCGCATTTTATATCAGATTAAAATTATTGATTTAATAGAGGAATATAGAATAAAATAGAAATCTCCTTAAAATATTTTGGTCTTATTTAGAAATCCAAAATTATAATTCTAATATGATTCTCAAATAACAGTGTAGCTTGCTTAAAGATAAAATCAAATATCAAAAATATGATCAAGAAAAAATACAGAAAGAAAACATTATTTTATAATCAGAGTTATGGTGCTTTTAATTCATAGATAGTTGAAATTGTCTTTAAAATAACTAAAGGATTCAATTGTGAATGTTTTTGAATTATATTTTTAATATTTTTCATTTATTTATTTGATTTCATTTCATTATTATTTAGTCGAAAATTTACTTAAAAAAGAGGAAAAAAACTTTTCTTTTTTTTAGCAACAAGAACTGCATTTTGAATCATTACATCCTAAACAAACAGTTTTATTACATTTATAACATTAAATAGTACTATCAACTTATGATGTTTTTATCCATTTTTTACAATTTGGACATTCCTTATAATTATCACCATTTTTAAATTCAATATTATCACTTGTTTGACATTTATTAATTCCATGGCTTTAAGAAAAACATCGAAGACAGTATTTCTTTTTGCAATTTTAGCATCTATAAATTTCTTATCCTTAAAATACAAATTTTTTTCTGCATGCTGGTGTTGGACAACAAGAAACCACTTATTATTTATTATTTTGTAATTGGTTCATTATCTCATCTTTAGGTGTTTAGTTTTCACATATTGGACATTGATATTTTGGAGATGTTTGATTTTGAATAATTAAATTTGGCAAGACACATTACTAATGAAATAAATGGTTGCATTCCCACTAGATTGTTTTCATTTTATCCTGTCCATGCACGTACTTATTACAAACTTAGCAAACTCCATTTTATATATTTTATTATGATATTCTTCTCAAAGAGTTTTAGAAACTTTATAAAACATCAGCCAACTCAGAATTATTTAAATAATTACATTTTCTTTTTCGTTAATTATCCTATCATAAATATCATCTCTAATGAAGGGACTGAATAGGCTATTATCGATTTTCTGTTTTAGATTCTTTAATTATTCTACAACACTCTTGAGGTCATTAAAATCAGAAATATTTCCTCTTCCTATTTCAATCCCCATTACCAAAGCATCTATTAATAGCTCCTGTCCTCTCTACTCAGTAAGTTTAATGATTTCTATAATGTCGTATAATTTCATTATTATAAATAACGAAAAAGAATCAATTATATAAATATACTGAAAAATTTGTTATTTTTTATTTCAATCTCTATGGGAACGTGGAATTTTGAAAATAATCCAATATAAGCATTTTAAATAATTTAAACATTAATTCTTTAGCTTAAGAAAAAGTATATAAAATGAATAAATAAATTTTGTATTGTAACCTTCTAATGAACATTTCAGAGAAAAAATAGATATATTTGTAATTTAAATGAATTTTTGGCATATCATATGAGAACTCTTTATTATTTTTTTAAGAATATTCATATATCTCAAAACAAAGTGAATGAATAATTTAAATTGAAGATTATCGATAAATATAATAGGTAGATGAATAAAATGTGAAACTGAAACTGATAGTTGAGAAAGATAAATCTAAAAGGTCAATTTAGTATAAACTGAATAACTAATGATATCTAAAATTATATTGAATAGTATTATCATTAGAATTAATTTAAAGTGACTATTTTCTTTTTCACAATGCATTAAGATTTATATTTTTAACAAATACATTTATAGTTTTTTAATTTAAATCTTCTTTCAAGCGCCATCAATTAATAATTAACATTGTTGTAAACACTCAAAATCCCTATTTTACCCAGCAATAAAAGTATTGAATTCTTCAAATAAATTTATTTGGCTAAAATAAAATTGGAAAAGGAAGTTTAAGTACTTAAAAATATAAGCCATCTTAAATCAAATTAAAGAGATTAATCTGAATCATGATGTTTCAACTTATTTTTGATTCTATAATTTGAAAGATACATTATACTTACATTAAATAATTGTAACTTATAAATGGATTGTAAATATGATTTTTGTGAAATACCAATTTATTCACACACCAGTTAAGAATGTAGAAGTTTATCATATGATAATAATGAAAAGGGAGGTTTTTTAAACATACGTAAAATTAATTAAAAGAATTTATTCTTTAAAAACATTCATATTTAATTATTTTATACAAAAAACCTAAATCTATAAAAATCTGGAAAAAATGGATAATTGCTATTGATCACAAATAGCCAATTGAAAGTGTTGGTTTCAAATAGGAAAGCTGAATAATCTTTTCAATGAGGTTAGGAAGCAAGAATAAGGATTTATTGATTATCAAAAGTTGAAATTATGGAAAAATAAAATAGATTACCTTTGAAAATTAATAAATTTATGTATAAATATATTAATTTAAACAGTTAGGTTCCAAATGAGAATGTGGAGAGTGACAAAAAGTTGTGTAAAAGAAAGTCTTAGCTTGATTATATTTATAATAATAAAATTTGTTCCAGAATTTCTATGGTTTATTTAGGGATGTTCAGATGGAATAATAATAATGAAAAATCATTATGACACTTTGGGCTTGGAGAGGAATGCTAAACCTAACCAAATTAAGTAGGCCTATCATAAATTAGCCCTTTAGTGGCATCCAGTATTAAATTGCTGATGTCTTTTTAGGATAAGAATAGTGAATTTGGTGCAACAGATTAATTTAACTAAATAAATGAAGCCTACACTACCCTATCGAAAGAGGAATCGAAATCAAAATACGACAGAAGACTATAAACTAGAGAAAATTGGAATGAACTGATAAGCTATTTTAAATAGTCACAAGAAGAACCAAAGTTACAATATGATATTAGGGATGATTTTATATCAAAAGAGGATCGAGAATTCCTAAGAAACTTTTCAAATAAACAAGAAACAGAATAAATTAAAAAAAAAAGAATTAGAAAAAGAAAATGAAATCTTAACTTTACAAATAATTTAAAAACATAAATTGGATCAGAAATATTTGTCTATGTAAATGTGGATTATAGCTGATCCATTCTATTATCTTTAATAATAACCAATAACTCTTATTCGAATATATTTAATATATAAATGTTATCAGTAAAAAGTATCTCCTTATTTTTCCTAAGCAACTTACTTAATTTCAATGTATTCTTTCATTTAAAACTTACATCATTAAAAAATTAATCCATAAATTCCTAAAGAAACCATATTTCTTAAAACACATTAATTCAACATATCTTAAATTTTTAATCGTTCTTCTGTTAGATTAGAGTAAATCATTGTTCTCCTTCCATTTTTATTATAAAAGTATCAATAAAATTGCACTTTTTTAGTAAACAGCTTAAATTGCCAGAATTTCATAAAAATTAGAATTCTTAAATTTAACAGTGAGTATCATTATTGGAAAAAAAGTGGAGTCAACAAACTCATTTAATAAATGTAAATCTTAATTAGATTAATAATAATTTAAGTAATAATCATGGATCTTCATTAGTTTGTGATAACGATAATTTTAAAATAGAGTAATCCAAAAGTTTATTAGAATATTTTTTTATAGAAAATTATTTTAACCATGAATTTAGGTTTTCTCTTAATTAATTTATGTTTCTACAATTACCCAATTCTATCATCGAATAAATGTAATTGAAAATTAATAAAGAATAACTGAGCTACTTCTTCAACGCTTAAATTTGCTTTCCAATTCATTAAATAATTTCATCTAATTGCATACATTTTTCAATATTTAGACTTCTTAGATCAAATCATCTATTTTAACATTCAAAATTAATTGGTTTAAAAAAAATAATAAAATAGTGTTCTTTTATTCAAAATTTTCCTTAATTTATTTATGGTCTTCAAATTCTTCTAATCCTAAACTAAATTTGCTTGATGTTGTCAATTTATTCTTTCAATTAAATAATATATTCTTCATATTTTCCAGCATCTCTTTTAAAGTTGATAACTAAGTAACTAATTTTCCTATATACTGATTATTTCCCTTCAAATTATCATATTGATCATTCTTAGTCTTGAAAATATGCCATTATCTTTGAAATTTCAGCGGCGAACATAGCTCCTCATGTTTGAAACCATTCTTCCAATATTAGAATTAAGTATCTTTACCTCTTTGCTTTTAAGTTGATTTCAAATTATTTCATTAAAGCTATAATTATTATGACTCTTCAATAATCTTTGCATAATCTGTTTCAATTGCCTCTAATTTCATTAATCTTAAAAAAACCTGTTCACTATACGCATCTTCCCATACATTAGCGTATCTAGGAGTAGTCGATGATAATCATTAAAATTCCCGTAGCTATAGCTTCACTATTGCGTTACTTATTGAATTGCTGCTTCTCCATTGAGTTCTACAAATTGAGAGATAATTAGCCCCACATGTGATTTTGTTAATGATAACTAAATGAATGATTATTACTTTAGGAGACTCATTTGCAATGATTTAAAATATTCATTAAACTAATAAATAAAAATATTAGTATTTAATTTAGTTCTCATTTCCGAGTAGAAGTTCTATTTATTTTATGAAACTCTTTTTTAAGTCCTAATTATATATAATATAACATAAAAATAAACAATATTAAATGAAGTTTTCTAGATCAACCTCAACTCATCTCACTAATCTATCATTTAGGTCAAATAATCTTAGCGCTGTTTAAACACCCTAAAACAATTCACGTTTGAGTGAGGTCAATAATAAAATAGAGGATTTATTAAAAAAATCATCAACTTCTATTGAGAATTAAGAATTCAGGCTCACATCCCAAGAAAACAAAATTAATTAAACATACAGTTTTTCTCTTATGGTTTAATAAATATAAAAAGAAAAAAAATAATTGCTGACCATTTTATTGCAAAAAGATAGCATAATAAGGGATTAATAGAATAAGATTGCCCAATTAGATATATAGAATAAGAATTTGATGAAATAATTGCTATAATTAGCTAATCTAAAACCAAAAATTGAACAATTGGAAGAAGAATGTTAATAAATTATTAAGTAGAATGAATAACTGAAATATGAGAAAAATTAAATACAAACATCACTTAATTATTTTAAATGTTAAAATGTTTAAGTCATAAGCTATGAATTAAAGAATTCCTTACAACAATTACATTAATAGATTAAGAAATATTACATATGCAGTTATAAGGAAGACTATTATAATTTAGAGTAAAGTAGAATGACTCTAAAAACAAGTGACTTGGATTTCTATACAATCCTGAGGGAATGTTTAGATTGCATTTTGTTCATGATTAAAAACACTGATCATTCAATAGAACTCTATGTAAATAGAAATACTAAAATTTGATTAATACTGAGTAATTAAATATAGATTTAAATCATAATCTAAATACAGTTAATCATTCAATCAAAGAAAATAGCGATAGATTTTATAATCATATTTCTGCAAACTATCCTTCCAATATTTGTTTCCTTAGCTTTTGCAATCTTTTCCTCTTTGAATTATCAATGCTCTCCTTTTCCTTCTATAATTATTATAACATAGAAAGGAATTTATTTTTCTGCTATAAACTTTACCTAACACTATAATTAAGCGATTTTTTAAGTTCATTCTAGGTATCATCCAAGAATCTTTGACCTTAAATCGTATTATTTAATTTTTCTGATTTTTCTTCTAACGATCTATCTCTATTGCTCATTAAAAAGTATAAAGTTTAGTTAAATTTATCGACTTAATTTGTTTTTCGTGAATAATTATCACTAATTGTAGTGTGAATTCTATTCTAGTAATAACAATAATCCTTTCCCTCTTGTTTTGTCTTACAATTCTTCGGTAGTTAAACTTATTATAATTCGCTTATGTCTTATTCTTCCATCTCTTAAATATATTAATCATTAATCTTAAATTTCAATTGTTCCAATCTGTTTTTACAAACATTAACTTTCTTCTTGCAATCTTAAATACAATTTTCGATTTAAATCTATTCTTTCATTCCAAAATATTCATCTAAATCTGGTATGTCTATAGAATATCTGTAAGACATTGGAATTTATTGGAATCTGATACATTTTTTATTCTTTGCTTATTTCAGTCTATAAAATCTTTAATTATTAACTTTACTATACATTTTATTCAAACAAAAGATCTCTTAGCATTGTTTTAGGATTTCTATTAATGAAAGCACTTCTATCATATTTCTTCTCTAATGTTGTTAAAGCTCTTTTAGGCCTATTGTATTTCATAGAGTTATGATTCATTACACAATAAGAAAATAAATAATAAACAATAATATATTATATGATATTTATATATATGACAAAGATACTTAAATCTAAATTCAAGAATTGGAAGTACTAATAAATTTAATTGTTTTACTAAAAAGAGATGATTAATACCATCGTTTTGCATAAAATTAAACATTTTTAGATAATTTTCCATTTTTTATATTTTTTCTCAAAAGTATCAATAATAAACTTACTTTACACTATTATACGAAGTATTTTTAATGAGAATTAAATGGATTTTTTTGGTTGTCATTATTATTCAAGTTTTGGGTTAGGGGAGAGATTTTTGCCATGTAAAAGATATTTATAAAGTTTTAGTTGAAAGAAATTGAAAATCCTTTAATAACGATCGCAAGTGGTGAAAATTATGATTTATTATTATCTGACTATATGATTGTAGATGACCTGACCTATCATATGAGCACTCCTTCTGATCAATAGTCTGATGTTCCTTTTTCATACATGTAACGAATTACTAGATATGGTATTATTAACGACGAGGTTATTTAAATTTTGGAACACATTTTAAAATATAAAAATAAGGTGAGTTCTTATTTTTGCTTTATAAGAAATACTATCGATAATTAAACAGTTTATAGGCTAGTTAAATGTGTATTTACCACTGATAACATAATATATTTTGATGTTTAATTCATTATCAATAGGGAGCATTGCTATAAAGTAATTTATATAAGGGATTTGTTTATCATAACATGCAAGGATGATATTACAAACTAACTTGAGATCATAACTTTTTCTGAATATAAATAAAAATTATAACACACTCTCATATCAGATGTTACAATACCTCCAGAATCAAAAGTCAATGCTAAATATTCTCCAACTTATTTGGGTGTTTTTATTTATAAAGGGAGAATTGACAATAATAAGTATATATCAGAAATTTCCTCACTATTCCTATTTTAAATTATTAGTTTATTTTATCCAGATTTAATGTTTTTTAAATAGTATGAAGCTCATAGCCAACCTGATGATTTCATAACTGATTTTGATTTATATTAGGAGCTTGGTAAGATTAATATTAATAGTATTAGTATTTATAACAAGATTCAAAGGAGGCTTAACTTTTCGAAATTTGAAAATCTCATGGAGTGAGGAAATTAAAGTTAATAATTTTCAAACATAGCTTTTCGGAGTTCATATCATGTATGACTTCCTTCAAATCTAGACTTCATAATAGATTTTTTCCTTAATGCTTTGGGGTGAAAATTTTTTAACATTTGTTCTTTTAAAAGTTAGTAATATCAATTACCTTCAAGCAAAAGGATAAACTGAAACAATTCTTCAAAAGAAATATGAATTAAAATCAGAAACAGTATATAGTAGAAATGTTGTATCAGATAAGTATTATTTGATTTTCACAAATTATGAAGGATTTTAAGTTTTTAGTATTAATTTGAGGAAACATTCTGAAATTTTATTGATTTACTAAGGTGTTGTAAATTCAAGATTATATTATTTTAGTATTATTTCAAGTACTCTCCTATATGAAGAATAAAATGTGATAAAAATTTTAGATTTGCAATTAATAAGAATAGAACTTGTAAATCTATCTGAAACAAAAAATCCTTAATTGCTCTAATTCTCATTACAAAAATATGGTTTTTATTTTGATTAAATTCAATGTTAAGATATCAATATATACTATCAAGTATAACCATTGGATCCAACAAAAATATGGCCGAAATTTTATAAAGAAAAAGAGAAGAACGTTTTTATTTTGAGGTATACTAAAAATGAGTTAACAATAAAGTTTGATTTTAGTAAATATTTTTCTGGTTCTGCTTTAAGTCTAGAGGATATTAATTTTATTAATAAAGAAACCAAATTTACACCACAAAATTTTTTGGTGAATATAGAGAGAATGAATAAATTCCAGGTTATGGCTGAATTTGTAACCTTGTGTCAATTCAATAATGAAAACTATTTACTCCAAAAAATAGGTACATATATAAGTATGATGGAATGTGATGCTCAATCTTCTTTTCTTTCCTGTCAAAAAATTATAGATCAAATGGTCGAAGATGCCGATTTATCAAATTTAGTTTGTTAATCGACTGAGATGAAGCATTAATTTGCATACGTTGGAAAATTGAAACATGGTTTTGGTGGAGAATTTATTCATACTTATTAAGTATAATTTTAGAAAGGATAAAAAGTTCTTTAATTATATGATGTATATTGGAACACTAAAGGAAATATTCTTTCTATTATATTATTGAAATATATATAAGTATTCACAATTCTAACAGATAATTTTTATACACTGAATTGGAGATTTTTTGGTTACTCAGAGGGTAATTTAAATGTGAGAAGTTTAGAAGTAGACTGTTACAAAATATTTGAATTAGTAGTTGATCTGAATAATTTTAAAGAGTTACTTTTTCTTCCAATTATAAAATATAAAAATTTCGTGTTCCAAATCATAATTGAAATTTATATTATCGAAGAGAGTACTTCTTAAATATCATACTTGAGTTCTCTTCTTGTTGGTGTGACTAAAAAACCAACTAAAGAAAGGTTGTAAGTTCAATTAACTGAAGATGGAATTTTTATTTTATCAGTCTGTGATATATCAGAGGATGAATAAAGCAAACAACTATTGTTTATTGAGAAAGCAATATTCTTGAGAAAATTGTTGTTTAAAAAAGAATAGCAACTTTAATTAAAAAATATTAGAACTAAAATATATCCAACTTTCTCGCTTAAGAAGGTTGAAAAAATGGTAACATCAAAATATTTCTTATATGTGTATGGTAGTGAAATTGATGCACCTACTTGTATCTATATATATAGAATCTATGAAAATCAAATGGATAGCTTGTATCATGTGATCAGACCTGACATTTAAAGCATCCGATTCTTTAATGTAATGTCTATGATGAAGGATTACGAAACTTTAATAATATTTACTAATTAATTGAGTTAATTTATTTGGTTAAAGTCTACTAAAATTCTAGAGATAATTAAGTCAGATTCAAAATAGGACTCCAACTTGAATGACAATGAAGTTATTGATATTAAAATGAAGTCACTGATTCCAAAAGATAATAACAAGATACATGAATTTTAGATAAAGCTTATTTGTACTGATTGTTAAAGTACCGATAACTAGGTTTGATTAGAATGAATACCTAAAATGAATTTGTATTGTTAAAATTTGTTAATTATTAATATTTTATATATCTTAATAGATTGATCATTTAGGTTATACTTAAAATAATAAAACATAAATCTATTATCGAAATTTGGAGAATTCAAAAGGAAAATTAAAATTGAAATGAATTAATTAAAAAAGATAAAAATTATTATATTTCTAAATGGACACAAGGCAATTTGAAGCTATACCAGTTTAGCAAAGGAGTATAGTGAAATAATAGGAAGTAAGTTGGTATTACTATAAAAGGACCTTTACATATCATTGCCAGATTTATATATTAGAAAATATGTACTATCCGAAAAATTATGTGCATTGAAGAAACCATACATTCCAAAAGTGAATATGCATGATCACACAAATTAAGAGGTATAGATGAAAACTATTTTTTAGATTTTGAGAGTGCCAAAGATTTGGTAATAAGTAATGAATGATGTACAATTAAAGGCGCTTGATTTCCAAGAGAGAAAGAAATGGAAAGTAAGAGAATCATTTGAATTTGTGTAGATAGCTGTGAATTATTAATTGGCGTAGGAAGCAAAGGCTACTCATTAAATGTTACAGAAAGAAAGGGAAGAAATAGAGTAATTTGGAATTTGTATTTCTTATTCATTGTGTCAGATGGTATAGAAAGCATTCAATTAAATGGGTAAGAATTAAAGTATAGGATTAGATATTGAAGAACCAAATCAAAAGCCAATATAAAAGTATTTGAGAACGATGAAAAACGAGAATTAAGAATTAGATGAGCAGAGATATTAAGATGCACTTTAAAAAGTGAAAAGATACTTGTCAACCAATAGAGATGTCTATGTGTCTTTAGAATCTTTATTTCCAGATATGCAATAAACATATTCAGAATCAAATACTCATGATATCCATTCCAGTGATAGAAGAAAGATTAAGCAGACAGTTGAATTCGATTTCAAAAAGAAATATGAAAATCTGTAAGAGGCCTTGTAATTATTTGTGAATAAGGACATTCCATTAAAGGAATCTTTTGAGAAGAGTGTGATGAGTATAGAGAGTTTTCCTACCTCCTTGGAAATGATCTACAAATACAAAGCAAAATCATATTATCAAGAGCCTTGTTTGGATCCGGAATACGAGGAATTATTATTCAGGATTGGATGCACTCCAGAATAAGTGTTAAATAATGGAGAAAAGTTGATGAAGAAGTATAAAATAGAATAAATTCTAGGATGAAGATCTTCTCGAATAATTAGCCAGCTGAATAGCAATTACCTCCTTAATTAGAACTTAAAGATCTATTTCGATACAAGTTCAATTATATTGAAAGAGATTGTCATTTTATTTAATAGAGTGGAAAATTTGTACCTTTAGATGCAGAAAGATTTAATTCACATGTTCAATAGATAACAAAATCAAATGAGTTAGTTAAACAATATTACATATAGTAAGGACTCTTTATATTCACATTTTTAGTTATTATCAGAAATTCTAAGGGGATTTTAACTAAGTTAGTTAAGCACTTTCATCAAACACTGTAACAGCCAATCTATATTTGTATACTCCCAATTTCTGTGCTGATCTCTATGCATGGTTCATCTTTACTAAGAGTATTCCATCAAACTCTAAATTTATATTGCCTCAACAATATTAAAAGAAATGCGAATCAATTAAATACATAAAGAAGCCCTAATAACCATAAACTTAATATACTAATATACTCAATGATTATGAATCTCTTATTTAGAAGAAACTCCCCATCAAAATACAACACTTAAGACCTCTTCCTTAGAATCCATTCAAATAATATACTAAATCTGGATTCAAAGAATTGCAATAAAAAATCAAGTTTGATGATCTAATCTAGGTTAAGACTTCAGGATAAGCTGATTATTCAATGGTTGAAAGACTCTCATTTTCTAATTTGAAAGAGTTGGTCAAATCTGTTAACAATTCCAAAGGACATATTGAAAAAAGATATAAGAACATTTACGATATTGCAAGATAAGATTGTTATCCTATAGAATAAATTAAAAAAGAAATTGTACAATGTTCATATAATATTAGCGGAAAAACTTCAAGTAATAAATGGCAGGATAAAGAATGTTCCCTGTTTAATAGAGCAATTACAATAAAGCAACTAGTACTGCATTGCCTATTAATCAATACTAAGCAAAACCATCAACCATTGATAATTTGAATAGTGGATAAACTATTGTTTTGCCAGCATAATTAGTTCCTCCTCCATAATAAGTTACTTCAACTTAAATCTAACCAGCATTGTAACAACTTCCTTAAGGTGCCCAACCTCCACCAGCTGTTTAACCATATACGCCATCCGCTTCATCAAGACCACGCAAAACTAAACCAGAAGCTCCTGCTCCAACTCCTTAATAAGCACCCCCAGTTGTTTAATAACCAACATCTGCAAAGAAGACCAACCGAAAAAAGGATGATTCAGTAGCTCAATCTGTTTAAGCAGCTACCCCTGCCAATGTTGAAACACAGGATCAGCCTAAATAATCCAAGAGAACCAAAAAGTAAACAAAAGCCAATGATAAAAATAAGCAATAACAACCAGAAGATCGCAAAGATGACAGTGTTTGAAACCTATATAATTTTTATGTAATTCAATAATTTTTATTTATACATGACGTTATGTTCTCCAAGAATCATACATCATTTACATACATCAAGCAACGCCACTTCTCAAACAAGCGCAAACAAGAATCTAAACTACCAAATTACACATATATCACCCCAGATGCTAAAAACCTGTTTCTTAACCTATTACTATTTCAAAGCTATAAAATCTTTGATGTAACAATACTAAACAAATTGTGTCTTAGGCTGCTCAAAAAGCAGAAATCAAATATTCATCTGCTAAAACCATATTATTCGCTCAGCTTAAATTATATAGAGAAAAATTGATTAGAGATAAATGACTGCAGTAAAATTTATAAAAAATATAGAATTCTGTAAATGCTAAGTGTTGTGGATATAAACATAAATAATCTGGAGAGTCAATTTTGATTTAAGTGATAACTAGGGTTGGAATGTGGCAGAGTTATTACGTAATCACTATATTTTGATATTTGAAATTTTGAATAAAATTATCAATTTATATTAGTAATTTTTATCCATTAAAAATTTAACATCAATCTTAATTTCTTGATGAATTAACCTCATGAACAAACAGAATATAATTAATCAATTACAAATTAGAAATAAAGAAATTTAAATACTGGTTTGTCCTTATTGAACAACTTTATGAGTGGAGATAAAAGAATTTATTATCACCTATTGAAATAATTGATTTGATGTTCGAATATTCTATGACAAAGTTACATAATAATTCTTTGATTAAAATATTGTTAAAAACTTAGCTTTTCACACTAAACATAATTTTCTGATTTTGAGAATATCCTTGCAATTAATCAACTTTAGTTAATAACAATTATGTGTTGTCTATCCAATAATATAATGTTGTACTTGAAATTGTATTATTAAATCGAATGTACATTACCAATTTAAAAAGTTATCTCAGCCACCTGGACAAGATTATTTATATCGGTAACAATTACAATTAATTAATGTAACTAATAATGGAGTTTTGTACAGCAACATTCTAAATTATGATGCTATTCTTGATTCTTTTAATTACAGAAATGTGATATAATATTAATAAAATTTAACATATGTCTGAATAACACTTATAGGAGAGCAAATTTACTTATGTACAGTGTGTTTTAATTTTAGAGTTCAAATTTAGTGGTTTAGAGAGAACATGGTGTTAGAACAGATGAACCTTCCGGAGAGCCTGAATCTTTAGTGGGTAAAATCAATCCCAGATTGATGGGTACTAAGGCAATCAGAGAAAAACCAACTAAGGGAAATAAATAATAAGGTTTGAAATTAGATAGGTAAGTCGATATTGAAGTTGAGGAGGGAATAGGAATGCCAACATATGAAAATCTATTGTACATCCCAAAAACAAAAGATAATAGATTACATTATGAAAAATTATTAGCGATAGTATATGGGTTATTTTAAGAACAATCATAAGATGTTATAAAGTCGATTGTAGACGAAGTGCTGGCAATAATGAAGAGTGAGAATTTGAAAGATTCGGAGAAAAGACAAGAAGTAGAAGCTATCATAGGAAAATTGTCAAATGAACTATTTTCGGATATTGTGTTGTCAACTAAGGCAATAACTGATTATCAGCCTGAGGTTGGCTCAAAAGGAAATGATGAAATGGATTTGCCATTGAATTTGGAAGAGGAGTAAGAATCTAGTGATGTTGATCAGATTATAGAGGAAGAGGATGAGTGGGAAGAATAAAATGAATAAGCAATAAAAACTAAGTTTTAGGAGGAATAAAACAGAAATAAATTGTTGGATATTGATGGATTTTGGCTATAGAGAGAACTATAGAAAATTTACAAAGATCCAATATAAGCATAGCAGATGGAGTAGACAGTATTGGACATAATAAAATTGCAATCTGATATTGAATGTGAAAATCAACTTGTCTAACTTTTTGGTTAAGAAAAGTTTGATTTGATTAGATTATTACATCAAAATAGATGTAAAATCTATTTTTGCACTTTATTAAGCAGAGCTTAGCATGTTGAATAAATACAATAAATTCATTAGTAAATGGAATAGACTTAAGAAGGAATGAGGTTGTTGATAGAATTGAAAAAGCAGAACAAATACAATAAAAATACAACTCAATTACAAATAACATAGGAAGATATTGAATAGTTTGAGAATATAAGCATAGTAGATTAAGATTTGTAAGGAATATCAAAGAAAGTTATAGATTTAGAACAATTACAATTTATATCTCAAGGCCACTTAATGTCAAATGAGAAATGTCATCTACCTCCTCGTTCTTTGAAAGTAAGTAAGAAAGGCTATGAGGAAATCTATATACCTGCACCAAAATGTAATATAAGAAAATCTACTCTGATTTAGATAAATGAGATGCCTGAATTCGCATAATAAGCATTCAGGGGTTTCAAAGAATTAAATACAATTCAGAGTATTGTTTATGAAACAGCTCTTTTAAGTGATGAGAATATGCTAATTTGTGCTCCAACAGGTGCAGGTAAAACTAATGTAGCACTCTTAACAATGTTGTAAACTATAGGTCAATATTATGAGCATGGCATTGTGGATATTTAAAAATTTAAAATTATCTATATAGCCCCAATGAAGGCTTTGGTAAACGAAATGGTACATAATTTCTAAAATAGATTAGAACCCTATAACATTAAAGTTGCTGAAGTAACAGGTGACACTCATTTAACTAAACATTAATTAAATGCCATTCAAGTTTTGATAGCAACACCTGAAAAATGGGATATCTTAACACGTAAAACTTAATAGAATGACTTCATTCAGTTAGTGAGATTAGTAATTATTGATGAAATACACCTATTGCATGATAGTCGAGGTCCTGTTATTGAATCAATCATAGCAAGGACATTGAAATCAATGGAAGAAAGACAAGAGTATGTGAGGATAGTTGGATTATCAGCTACACTCCCAAATTATGCAGATGTTGCCACTTTTATAAGAGTTAAACAGTCAGGAGTGTTCTTTTTTGATAATTCCTTCAGGCCTGTTCCATTATAATAACAATACATAGGAATTAATGAAATGAAACCTATCAGAAGAATGCTCTTAATGAATGAGGTTTTATATGAGAAAGTCATTGAAAGAATTACTAAATCATAAATCTTGGTCTTCGTCCATTCTCGAAAAGAAACTGTTAAAACTGCTAAAACTCTTAAAGAAATGGCTTTTTCGAAGGATGAGTTATCTAATTTTATTAAAGAGGAGAGTTCTTCCAAAAAAATACTAGAGACTGTTATTGCACAAGAAGACATCAAATCATTAGATTTGAAAGAATTGCTAGCAAGTGGAATAGGTATACATCATGCAGGATTATGTAGAGGGGATAGAGATTTAGTGGAAAGTCTCTTTGAAAAAAAGAATCTACAAATATTAATATCAACTTCAACATTAGCTTGGGGAGTGAATTTGCCTGCACATACTGTTATTATTAAAGGAACACAAATTTATTCCCCTGAATAAGGGAAGTGGATCGAATTAAGTCCCTAAGATATCTTGTAAATGATGGGTAGAGCAGGTAGACCTAGATATGATACATCTGGGGAAGGAATAATACTAACAACATACTAAGAATTAAAATATTACTTATCTCTTTTGAATATGCAGTTACCGATAGAATCATAATTCATCACTCAATTAGCAGATCAACTCAATGCTGAAGTTGCCTAAGGAAATATAAAAAATCTGAAGGATGGCGTGAATTGGTTGGCTTACACTTATTTATATGTCAGAATGCTCAGAAATCCAACATTATATAACATACCAGATTTTAATAATGATTAGTATTTAATTAAATATCGTGCTGACCTTCTGCATTCTGCTTCCCTGTTATTAGATAAGAATAACTTGATTACTTACGATAAAAAGACTGGTAATTTGGAAAGTACGATTTTGGGTAAGATTGCCAGCAATTATTACATCAAATACCCCAGTATGTAGATATATAATCAACATCTGAAGTAGAATATGGGCATGATAGATATATTCAAAGTATTTTCTTTATCTTATGAATTCAAATTAATTCCAATCAGAGAAGAAGAGAAAATAGAATTATCTAAATTAATGATGAGTGTACCTGTGCCCATCAAAGGATCCCCTGAAGATCCTTCAACTAAAATTAATGTGCTCCTTTAAGCCTATATTAGCAGATTGAAATTAGAAGGATACGCTTTGAATTCAGATATGGTTTATATAACATAAAGTGCAGGTAGAATTATGAGAGCATTGTATGAAATATGCTTACATAAAGAGTGGGCTTAGAGTTCTTTGCAATGTCTCTAATTATCTAAAATGATTGAAAAGCGAATGTGGAATTGCATGACCCCCCTAAGATAATTTAAAGGATTGCCAGATGATTTATTAAGAAGAATCGAAAAGAAGGAAGGAATTACTTGGGAACATCTTTATGCAATGTCGTCTTAATAATTAGGAGAATTGATTAGATATCAAAATCAGAACATGACTAAATTGATTCATAAATACATTCACAAATTTCCAAAAATTGAAATCTAAGCTTTTGCTTAGCCAATAACTAGGTCCTGTCTTCGAATAGATCTGATGCTATCATGTGACTTTTAATGGGATGAAAAACTTCATGGAAGATAAGAACCTTTCCACATTTTTGTTCTGGATTCTGATGCTGAAAAAATACTATATCATGAACTATTCCTAATGAAATAGAAAAATCAAGAAATGTAATTTACACTCACAGTTGCATTGTTTGATGTCATGCATCCAATATATTACATCAAAGTCATATCAGATAAGTGGATATCATGCGAAACTGAGTAGCCTATCCCTTTCAAAAATCTTATCCTGCCTCAACCATTTAATAGATGTACTGAATTGCTTCAATTGACTCTGCTATCTATTGATTAAATTAAACATTCATAAATCGAAAATATTCTAGCTAAGAAAATAATGCATAATAGATACTTTGATTAGATTCAGACTTAAGTATTTCAAAATTTATATCAATCGAATGATAATATCTACATTGGATCATCAACCTATTAATCAAAAAGCATATTACCATTCCTAGCTATTTTGCAAATGATCAATAATTTTAAAGGTTTTAAAGCAATCTATATCTCATCTATCAATTGTGAAGTTAAGTTTAATTAATTTATTTAATTATTTACTAAGACACTATCATTAAAAATAGGCTAACTAACCGGGTAATTTTAAACAGACAACAAAATCTTGGAATAATCTGATATTATCATTTCAAATCCAGTTAATTGGGATATAATGAGTAGAAGATGGCGATCTAAAAAAGGATTTAAAAGTATAAGATTATTGATAGCTGATGATTTACACACTCTCAATCAATCTGGAAGTGTTATGGAAGTTGTTGTGTCAAGAATGAGAATGATATCAATGGAAATTCCTTTTAGAATTGTTGGTTTATCACTATCTGTTGCAGATTATAAAGAAATGAGCGAATGGTTAGGTAGTAAACACACATTCAACTTCTCACCTGTTATTAGACCTAATAATATCTAAATCTAGATTAGTTCTTTCGATCAATGCTAGAGACCATTAAGAATATAAGCAATGATCAAATAATTAAAAACTAGCTTATCTCCATCAGAACTAAACATAATCTACGTTTCTGATAGAAAATAAGCAAGAGTCTGTGCCTTAGAACTCATGATCAACAATGATTATTAATTATCTGGATTCTAAATTAAAGAAGACTAATATCTTTAGCACACTCTTTAAGCATCTGTCGGATTCTTATATGAATGTATGGATCCTTAAGATGAAAGTGAAGTTTTAAAGTTCATTTAATTAAACGAATTGAAGATCGTGGTTCTTCCATACAAGCAAGCCTTACATTATAATTTAAAAGGATATGTCTTTATTTTGGACAATCAAAAATACGACGGCATTGAAAAAAGATATGTAGATTATACGATTGCAGAAATGTTAGAAATGGTAGAAAGTACAACAACTTAATGCCATATCCTAACATACACTCCTAGGAAGGAATACTATAAGAAATTTTTATATGAACCAATGCCAATTGAATCCCATTTAAATCACCATTTAGCCAATCATTTGAATGCTGAAATAGTGGCAAAGAATATTCACAACACTCAAGATTGTATTGATTGGATAACTTGGACATTTATGTATAGAAGATTAACATAAAATCCAAATTACTACAATCTTCATGAAGTTAATGGAGTAGCCATTAATAATTATCTCAGTGAACTTATTGAAACTACAATCGATGAACTACATGAAAGTAAATGCATTGCAGTAGAAGAGGATAATGAATTAGAAGCCATAAACTCTGGAATTATAGCAAATTACTATTATATCAACGTTGAAACTGTTAAGAATTTCTCTGATAAAATTAATTCTAACTCAAAATTAAGAGACCTCCTTTTCATTTTATCTGAAGCAAAAGAATTCGAAGTACTTAATATTAGGAACGGAGAAGAAAATCTGCTTGCATAATTACTCTCCAAGATTCCTTATTAACCAACCAATCCAAAATTGAATGAACCAAACACTAAGGCATTAATACTGTTATAAGCTCATTTATCTAGAATTAAATTAAATTCAGATCTCAAATCAGATCTTAATATTTTAGAATTGGCTATTAGGTTGAGCACTGCAATGGTGGATATAGCTTCATCCAACTTATGGCTTAAACCTGCTATTCTCTCCATGTAAATCTGTTAAATGATTGTCTAAAGTCTTTGGATTGATTAAGACAGTGTCCTACTATAATTGCCTTATTTTGACTAAAATACAATTTAAATACTTAAAGAAAGAAATGTTTAAGATTGGGCAGACTTTTTTGATATGCAAGAATCCGATAGAACCTTAATTTTGTCAAACTTTGCATCAAGTTAAGTTGAGGAAATAGCTTAAGCTGGAAACAGGTATTTATTTTCTTTTAATTTAGAATACCTTCTGTTGAAATTACTGATATCATATCGGATCCTTAAGTTATATAAGGAGAAGTTTTTCATGTCTAAGTTATTTTGACAAGGCAAGATAACATATACACTGATTATGTCATTGCTCCAAATTATCCTAAACCAAAAGAAGAATAATGGTGGGTATTGTGTGCTGATCGAAAATCAAATAGATTATTTGGTAACAAAAAGGTCTCTTTTTAAACAAATATTAAAGTAGATCTGAGATTTTAAGCTCCAGAAGCTGGTGATTATGATTTGACTATCTATGCTATTTGTGACTCCTATATTGGTGTAGATACGACATCTCAATTTCGATTAACTGTTAGTCCTATCATTGAATAAGAATAAGAATAATGAGTGTATATTAAATAACTCCTCAAAGATAATTTTTATAATAATAAAATTTAGAATCAAATTAGAAATATTTTGCATTATACAAAGAATATCATAAAACATTTTTCTATAACAATATATAGTTGACAAATTCATAATTTAAAAACATAAAATTCTTAATGTTTTAAAAATTATTTTGAATACAATAGTGAGAATTTGAATATTTAAATAGAACTCTATTAAAAATTTATACACAATTTCAAATATTCTGGCTCTCATATTTTTCTCCTTTTACTTTGTATTTTCACCTTCGTAGAATAATAATTTTAGAATTAATATCTAAGGTAATTCATAAAGTTCATTTATTATAAATAAAATGTAAAAAATGATCAAAACAACCTTCATACCCACCTGTTTTCTTTTGAGGCATTCAGGAATTAAGACAGAAAGGCTTTATTAATGCTCTCTTTCTTTAAATACTGATGAAAAGGACTTAATTAAAACATTCAATTTATTTATTAAACATAATATTTCAGACAAATAAATTAATGATTTTAAACGAGTAAAATGAAATTTAAATCCTCAAAAACAGACATAATTACAATATAGTAAATTTTGATAGAATATAATGATTACAATAACAAATTTATGTAAATAGTTTAGAAAAATTATTTCTTTTTAAATTGATAGAGAGAGCAAGAAATTTTGTATTTTTAGGTACTTGTGGCTTTTGAGACAATTATAAAATCTTTAATAAGTAAAGTTGTGACAATCTGAGTTTCCAAAATTTTAACTCTTAAAGAGTAGAATCATCATTATCAATTAACATGCAGGAGGATAAATTCTATTAAAGAAATACAAATGATAAGAGTTATTTAAACTTGATGGGTAGGATAGGTAAAGTTGGACATAGTAAATATACAATTCTTTGATAGATAATAGATTTCATTTTTTTATATTAGTTATTAATTTTAATATGATATTAATAGATATCCTATTTATAT